ATCTCTGTCATAATCTCTTCTGGTCCTTTGTATTATCTATTAGGCTGACTAGATTGATGTTTATTCTTCTATCCCTTTATCAAACCCCCGATCACAGCTTTGCAAATGCCTGTGGTCGCTCTTTCCCTTCATGACTGTCAGATGTCATATTATCTGTATGGAGAAAGAGTGTTATCGACACACAACAAGACAAACACTGTGTGCGGAAGCTGCGCTGACAGATTCACCATGGTAAATGTCAAATTTAATTGGATTCTGATCGTTTAATTATTGCCCGTCAAGACCAAATAAACAGCATGACTTCCAATGACAGGATGTGAAGCTAATGTGCACCTGAGGGCCATTCAGACAGCTCTGGTATCAACAGCTGCTGAGAAAGGACAAATACCGAGTCAGAAGTGAACTAAAGAGCTCTCCAGTTTCTTTCTGATTTCTTTGTTTGTTAAACAATGTGGTCAGGGCTATCAAGGGCAATCAACGGAATACTGAAGAAGGAGTATAAAGGTTGTTCGGAGTGAAAGAAAAATGTCTGCAGATCACTTAAACGCCAGCAAAAGAGCAGCAGAGTGGCAGATTTTAGCACAGATGGTAGGGTGTTGTCAGAGCCAAGACTTAAGGTCTGAGTTGATATTTAGGGTAAAAAAAGGGCAATTTTCATCTCCATTTAATGAAAATATATTTGTTTTACCCTTTTACTTACTTCATAGTGTCCTTGTCAACCTAAAGTTTTTACTTAATGTGCAAAATCTAACAGGCCTTTGCTGTATTTTCAGTGTTTTGCAGCAGTGTTGGACATTCTAGCCACTGAGGTCCAATCAATCGATCATTTTGATGGGCCAGTCCCTTTGTGGTATGTTGTCCCCCATATTATTACCTCACCCTATGCATTTCTGTTTTTAGCTGCCATGTCTGAGACATGCACATGCAAAAATTTAAAATTATTTTTTTTTAAATATTTTTCTGTGCACAAGATAATGTTCACATAAAGTAACAAATAGTGCAAATGCAACAATTGTAAACTTACTATCTACTAACATAATTTGCCATTATTTTTGATTGAATGCCAGTATTCTGTTGTTTTGACTGTGTAAAAAGGATATATTTCTTATTAGCTTTACATTGAGACTGTAACATTAAAACACTCTCTACTTGGCAGAATGTAGGGCTATTAGCATTCATCCAACATGGCTGTATAAACTAATTCTAGTTCTATACTGTCATCAGCTGTCATGAATGAATGAAAAACAGTAGAGGACAAAGTCAAGTCCTGGACTGACCAGACGCTAAATGAATTAGACATCAACTCAGCTTACAGATCTTGTAATTGAAGATCTCCTAGCTTGCAACACAGACAGTACCAGCAGTAATAGGGGTTGTGCACACTTTCTAAATAAAGCAACAAACATGAGCCTGATGGCTCTTACTTAACATAAGTAAAAAAATAAAACAACTCAAATTACTGGACACTCAGTAGGTTTCTCAGAAGATTTTTGAAACTTATTCACCTAGTGCCAAGTCAAGTAATTCAACTTCTCAAAGATAAATAAAAGCACACAGTCTCGAGATGACATGTGGATGACGCTGAAAGAAGTGTAAGAATATCAAAAATTACAGGAGAGCTATAGACATTATGGTGTGATTATTAGTCAATTATCTGTGGTATATATTCTTTATGAGGCCCTCATTTAAGCCCATTAAAGCCGAACAAGAAGTAATCCATTTGACAGTGGAGGAGCAGCGAATCATTCTGACCATGTGTGAGAGGAAGAAAAAGAAGAAGACCCTAGTAATTTGGCACACTGACCTATTGATGTGAACCTGGTGCAGGTAAAGGGAAGGTACAAACCAGATTACAGCCAAGCAGAGAGTCCGAGTGCTAGAGATTAGTGGGAATTTGAAAGGGGAGATGGGAGGGGATTTAGTGGGATGAGGCAGAGAAGAGGACGGAGGATTATGGAAGGCAGAGCCTGGATCCCAAAATAATCCTCTCAGTATACTGGGCTTTATGCGCCATGGGGCTGGGGCCAGTCTGAGATATTAAATTGACATTGCAATCATAGACTGTAATTTGAACGTGCAGAAAACATTCAATAAAGTGTGATTATCAACACCATCACCTCTGTTTTGGAAGAGCAGGGGTCTGATTTTATCTATCGGTATAGACATACACACACATGCACACACACACACACACACACACACACACACACACACACACACACACACACACACACACACACACACAGCAACAGGCGCGTTTATTCCATCTGCCTTAATCTGGAGAGCTGGTTCGATGCTACGTGCCTTAATGTGAAGCTCAAAGCCCCGCCTTCTTTCCAATGCTCCATGTTCTAATTTGGGTATCGCCATGGTTACATAAGATTCAGGGTCAGGGGGTCAGTGACGTTGCAAGCAAACACCGGATGGATGTGTTGCTGTTTCGTGGCGACAGAGGGACATGCTAAGGGAAATAATATAAGCTGAGAAACTTGTGAGATGAGGAACAGGAAGAAGACCATCAGACTGACAAAAACCACATAAATAGAAGGAAGTGGAAGTTTACAACCAGTGAATAAAATACAACAAAACACTAGCTGCACTTTTCCCATTACCTATTGTATTTTTGGACTGTGCAGTCACAGAAAAGCAGCACAATGTTGCTTCACTCATGTTTTCATATATTTCTGTTTGTTTTTCCAAAGTGGGTGAGGCAGAAATCATACAAAGCTATACATTGAAGACTGTATATGAAGAAATGTAAGTAGGTAGTAACAGTAGAAAGAGGTAGAAACATTTCTCATTGCTGTTAAAGTAGTTGTGTAAAAGTAAAAGCTTTGATTCTGATAGGATTCAGGAAAAACACATTGAAAGTGGGAAAAAAAACAGAAAGACAGGAGGAGACTCACCACGCATGCACACCAGAAAGACAAGAGAGGGAGGGGTGTGAATGCTCTGTGTTGCTCTACTAACCTACTTTCCATAATCTCCCTCTTCTTCTCATTTCATAACTGTGCTTAAGTTACGTGATACATCCGTCATCTAAACCACGCTTGCAAATCAATTATTTTCATCTGCACTGTCATTAATGCTTTTGGTTTCTGTGACAGAGGGTGTGCCGGCTCTCTTTGTCTTTGAAAGGCAAGCAATTCAAAGCAACAGGAATATACCTAAAGCTCTTTAATTAACTAAAGATAGATTGATACAAAGACATGCAGACAACAGATAAACAGTAACAAAGCATACATAGAAACATGTGGGAAATACAGTACATGCATACATAAATACAAACAAGCATATATGCGTACTTGCAAACAAATGTAAATGCAAACATAAATACATACAGTAAATATATACATTGTTTCATTCATACATACAAAACAACGTACATCAACACACAATCAAAATAAAAAGTATCTACAAAGGCCAGTTTAAAGCGCCTTATAGACATAGTTTTTAAAAATATTGAAGAACCATTACGGTTTATTTAGGATTTAAACATGTTTTATTTAGGTTAAAAGTGTAAACAAAGTCCTCGGATAGGAACACACACTTGGCCAGTAAAGCTGATTCTGATTCTGAGATGTGCTCAAGAAAACAGAGGATCAGATAACAACAAATGTTTGACAATGTCATTTGCAATATGCTTGTTTTTATTTTTTTCTTGGTTTGTGTGTTTGTTTGTTTGTTTGTTTTTAAGTAACTGTTTCCATCAGTCTGCTGGTTTATATAGATATTTGTCTTTTTCTACATATTTGCAACAAAATGTCACCCTGTTATAAATATATATAAGTTATTAATATTATTTGTACATAAACTATTACAAACAATTTACAAACAAGATGAGAAAATTGAAAAAGCAAATTAATCATCACTAATCTTGTTGCTTCCAAAGGGATTATTCTACAGTGCTTTGATAAAGACTCAATTTCATAGTTGGCTATATATCATGGTATATATTACCATTAATTATATGTTATACAATAAGCGTTTACTTTGTTGAGTGTACTTATGTTGCCTTTGGCTGACCTGCATTCTGCATTCCAGAGACTCAAAAACCATATCTGTCATAAAGCTCCATCAGAGATCATACTGATATGCCAAATGTTGATCAAGTTTAACAGTACTTGTGTGATTTTCCTTATATTTGTCCATCACAACTTAGTGGTACTAACAAAAAAAGTCTGTCTGTCCTGCTGTTTGCAAAAATACAGGGTAACACTCTACAATAACCATAACTTATAAATGGTAAATAGACCATTTATAAATGGTAAGCAGATAGTTTATTAATGTTCAATCATCATTTATCAATAGCGAATAGACCATAAATAAATTGTAAATTTGACTATTTTAAAAACCTGACCCTAAACAACTATCTAAGTAATGTTTATCACTTACAAAATCACTTACAAAGTATTACAAACATCAGTTGCAACTTTACAATAACCATCTAACTAATGTTTATAGATGGATTAAAAACCAAATATTAACCATTTACAGAGTGCTACTGACACACATTTTAATCTAAATGTTTTAAAACCAATATTTAAACCCTATATAAACCTTTCATACATAGTCCATAAAAAAAATAATAACAATTATTAATCATAGTTTCATTGCTTGTAATGGTAAAGTAACTATTAACTTTATTTATAATTGGTCTATATGCTGTTTTAAAATGATGATTAAACATTAATAAACTATCTATTTACCGTTTGTAAGTTATGGTTATTGTAAAGTGTTACCAAATACAGTTTTAATTTTGCAAGTATTCAATAGTGACTTTCATATAGGCTAGTTCTTTCAGTGCTGTCTGTAAACTACAATTCACCATAGCATATCTAGTTTTTTTATGTAGCAGCAGTGGGTAAAATTAAATACGGTCTCTCATTTCCATAGAAAAACAAACTTCAATTACATAAAACTGAAGTCTTGTTATTAAATAGTTCCCACGCCGTTCAACCGTCAGGCTGAACTGACACACTGCCACACTTTCCCACGCACGCGAGTCCTCCTTAAAGCGCGCGGAGGGTGGCGCGCGCGTCAGCTCACGGGACACGAGGCGGGCGGACCGCGGGGTGAGGATCATGTGTAGTCCACGCGCCGAAACTAGGTTACAGCGAGCCGCAGAGAGGAAAGAGCTCGAGGACGAAGAGCTGCTGCTTCATTATTTTAGAAGTGTTAAGTCACCGCGACACCTCTGAGACTGCGCAGAAGAAGAAGAAGTAGAACAAGAAGCTAACCGAAAACACAACCTTGCTTTTTATTTACATTTAAGGTCTGCGCGCGAAGAGAAGGCAGAAAAGCCGTATGAGGATTTGGTGTTGTGACAGTTTTCAGCTGCTCCGCTCAGGAGCGAAACCGTGCGCGTCGCTCTTAGTGTTTCTTTGCTTCATTCCCATCTGGAGTTGCATGACTTGAAGAGTTGGAGAGACACAACCAGCATCATGAGAGGTGAGTTTTTATTTTGTTTTAACGTAATTGTGATATTTGCTTGAATTTCCTCTTAAGTGAGGTTTGTATATAACTTTGGAGTTGCGTCTAGTTGGATGAAGGCACTGCTTTCAGCCTGAGTCCGAAGTGCGTAGTCTGCAGGAGCGCGCAGGAATAAACGCCACATTGGATCTTTGAGCTAAATCTTTCTCTATGTAGACCCAGAGTGCTTTATCAAAGTATAATATCATACCCTCAAGTTGTTTACAGTCTAAATAAGCTTTAAAAGACGTGTTTACCATACTTTAGGAGTAAATTTCTAATTAATATCTCTGCACACAAAGGCAAGTTTTATGCACAAGTATTAACTGTATTATTGTAGGCCAGTAAATGCAAAATGTTAAGGGCGTGTGTTTATTTTTGCCTGTAGAAAGAGGAATGCGTTGGAGCCGTTGTACTTTATTCCACTGCTGAGTGACTCGGGTTATGTAAGAGAGGAGAGGAGAGGGGGGAGGGAGGGAGAGGGAGTGAGCGGAGTGATTCAGAGCCTGTCAACCCGCACCGACATCTCCTGACAGCGACAGCTTACTTTGAATTAAAACCTTTTTTCTCACATTCTTCTTCATTTTTCTGCATTGTTTTAATCTAATAGACCTCACCATCACTTATGTGTTATCTTAACAGCTGTACGGACAATATATGTTGAGTTGTTCGTCATTGCGCATGATGTTTTTATGCGAGTTAAATCACTGATTATTGGTTTTATATTGTGTTTTACTTTGACAGGTAGTTCATGGATAGTCTGTGTGTGTGTTTTGTTTTCGAGAGAGAGAGAGAGAGAGAGATGAGGTGCTCCATTGACCTAGTTCTGTCATTGAGGATTATAGCAGTTGTGTGCGTGAGTGTACGTTCGTGCGCGCGCGCCTGGGGGTGGGAGTGCATGGTTTGTCGTCATATCTGATGAGACATTGTTGATAATTGAAATCAGTTGGCACGGCAGACTGCTCCTCTCTCTAACACCCTGTATATGTGATTTTAAGGCACTTTGCAAAACACTGCTGCATTATACTATCACAGTTAAACCATTTGACTATTTCTGAATCATTTGGTTCCTTTAAATGCCAAATATTTCTGTGCAATATCCATTAAAAGATGTTTTTTTTTTCTCTCTGTTATATAACTTTGAAACACTGAACAGTAAAGAAGAGTGTTCTGCAGTTTGGTCGCTGAAGCTCATGCACCACTGTGACAAGCAGGATATGGGCACAGCAAGCTCTCACGTAACCATAAAGCACAGCAGGGTTCAGTTAAGCTCAGTTTCCTCTGCCAGCTAGGGTTACTTACATCAACAAGAGTGTTTGTAATGCCTGATAAGCACAACTTATCTGTCTGATTTTCTCCGGATAAAGCACACACATCACTTATGACCCCGTGTACATATTTCATTTGACTCAATCATGCTGGAGTGTAAATTTCACCTGAAGATTACAGTTATTTTTCCCTGAGTCACCCTATTGCCTTCTGCAGTGCAATAAGCAAAGCTGTTGTGCTTATTCATAAGAGTTATTCCTGTTACTTGTCTCAAAAACAGGTTAGACGGGTTAGATGCAACATGATCTAATAAACAAACTTCATTCAAACACCCTTAGATGTTGCGCCTCAGTGCACCAGTGGTGTTCAGGCTAGTCTGGGATCAAAGATACAGCAGCGGTAAAGAAGGACGGCTGTTCTCTTTGCCTCTCAAGGCCATTGCTGCGCTTTCACTATCTGTTGAGTTTGCAGCCTCGGGGAAGTTCACAGTGAGCTACAGTATGTGTCAAGGTGCCCTTTCTCTCTGACAACTGCACGCTAAGATTCCATTCCCCTTATCTGCAGCGTCAACTCTTCACCTCGCCTACATGTTAATACAAAAGATGAATGTCAAAATGTCCGCGTGGATCTTTGCCTCTTTGTGTCTTTGGATTAAAACGGAAACATTTGATTCTACAGTACAAAGGTCTTTTCAATGGCTGCTAAAAAAATTCACATCTTCTTTAGGTTTTGGTGTATCTTCTAGATAAGTCATTTCTGATAGGGCTGTATCTGTTCACAGAGTATGTCAACACATAGACTGAAAGAGATTTTAATTTGAGGTGACCATGATTGCCGCGGCATACTCCAAAATTTGTTCCCGTGGTTTGTTGCAGCAGCGTTCAAAATTACCGTGTTGCAGCGAACTGAATTCCTAAGTCTGGATTTGCTTGTGCTACAGAGGCCCACTTGGGTTCTGGCTGGGTGCTGCATACACAGCATGATCAAGCAAATGCACTTCATCTCCTCTGATCAATGGTGAGGGATTACAGAGGCACAGGGTGTGAATCCTGGTTTCTTGGAAGTCATGTAGTTGCGCTGTTGCTCTGCATGCAAATGTAAATCACAGACAAAGCATTGAGCGGTGTTTGCAAATCGTTTGCAAGGTGAAGACGATCCATCATTTTATTAAGAGCTGTGTGTATTTGGTTGGCTTGAAAGTTATACTACATGATTGATTTTAGACTGTTACGTATGTTTTTTTTTTCTCTTATTCAAAACTGTCAGAGAATTTTTGTTTCTTTTTTATCGACTGTATTTAAATTTTCTGTTGTCATATGTGTCTTTTTTACACCGTAACATAGTGCATTTCCATTAATGAGCAGTCACAGTGTCAGTATTCTTGCTCATTTCTAACTGAGGCTTTCTCTCTGTGTAATCAGACGGAAATTCTCACAATGAACTCAATACATTAGTGCATGTAAAGCACTTCAGCTATATAGCTGCGGCTGAATTCAATGCATGATGCAGGCCATTTATCTCCTATTGAACCAACACTGTAGCTGCTGAGTAATTGCCTACACCTGTATTGCATTTTTAAAGAGCTTGAGGTCGGTGTCAGGCCATATTATAGTACCTGTGTACTCTTGGCAAGACAGTGGAGGAATAAAAGGGGGAAAATGCAATCATTACCAGTTCACACAGAGATGTATAAAGCCTTTTTATTAAAAGGTATGTAGATGAAGAGAAGAATGACAGGACCTATCAGGATATCTATGAAATTAACCGCTTGACTGGGCAAATCTTTGCGGTTGTAACTTCACAGTGAGGTAAAACCCGCGTTTCAATGTAGGTTAAGTATACAGTATATGAGGTAAAAGTAAAGTGCAAGGCAAATAGGACTTTGGACTGTGTTTGATTAGTTGGGATGAGAGGGCAAAGTCTCCCTTGCTGAGGGTTTACAGCAGAACTGAAGAAAAGTGCTGACCATCAGGGACTGACACACTGACTGAGTGACACACATAAAGCGTTGACGTCTTACACACATTTTACTTCAAAGTTCAGTCAATATTTCCCTTATGTAAGAAAAGGCGTCTTTGAAAATTAAAAAAAATCATTATCACCCTATAGTCATTATTGATACTGCACTAAAAAGCCTCCAAGCTACCAATTTTCATTTATTCTTGTTGGATATAAATGAGATTTTGTTCAAGCTCTATTCCTGCTTTAAAGGCAGAATTAACCTAGCCAAGCTGAGTTTTGTAACAATGATTATTGTAATAGCACTTAAATTGTGTTCCAGCAGTTATTTTTAATGTTTGTCTTTAACAAAGACTCATTGAAAAGCTCGAAGTCCAGCTGTAGCTTGAGCTCATGTTCATGCGATTTCAGACCCTGATGAGGCCCAGCTGCGAAACAACATACCAACAATTATAAATATGCACCGAGCAGACTTTTTTAGCAAACTGAGACCACGCTGACAGTGCTTCACACAAGATGCAAGAGCGTTCACTCCGGTCCAAATAAACGTTGTGTAACATTTTGTTTGCCAGTAGATTAAAATAAGCTGAGGGAATCTCTTGGCAGTGCAGTGCAGCAGAAGTAAAAATAGAGGTATGGTCGGTGAAGCACATACGCAGCTGAAATTTCACTCAAATACTTGACGTGCTGTAACAAGTTGAGTGCTATGCTACTATTAGCCACGTATGTTCCCTCTGCTGCAGTTTACAGCACTGGATGTTTCTGAAAGTATTTCCAGATGTTTCACAAGTTGTAAAATCTCCACTGGAGCCACTTGGCCCTGCCAGTTTTGACTGGTCGTCCATCTTACAGTACAGTAATCAAACCTCACATTGTTTCCCTTCCAAAACAGAGAGAAGGGCTCCTCCCTCCTTTTGCTTAACCAGATTTGGTTCCACCTTAAAAAAAAAAATTAGGCAAGGAACCAGGTTTTGTTTCTTGTGTGGCTGTAACCACAAGTGCCTCCCCTTTGCTTGAATGGGAAACTGTGTCAGTGGAGCAGTCCTGCTTTCTGGGCCTGACTGTGCCGCTCAGCTGACTGGCAGGTGAGGCAGCGAGTCACATATGAAGCCGCCCACTCAGCAACCAATAGGAGTGCAAGGGGTTGAGGGAGGATCTTCACCCCTGTTGCCTAGACTACCACCTTTGAATGAGTGTGTTCATGGAATGTGGCCAGACGGCGGTTATATAACAGGCCGATGGGCGGGGTGGAGGCTCTGGAAGGGGAGCGGTAAGGGGAGCAATGGAGAAAGAGATTTTTTTTTCCGTTGCCCTTTATTTATTTATATCCCTCAGTTGTGTTGCGTTAGCTGGTAGGAATCCTACCAAAATGAACCACTCAAACATGTTACCAGCTCTGCATATACAGTCTTAGAGGAAGGAATTTAAGGGTAATGTCAGTCACTGAACACTTCGTCTTTTTCTCGGAGTGTGACGCACTCAAGTCCCCACACACGGTGATTCATGTTATTGGTTGGTTGTAAGTACTTTATAAAAGAGCCTTCGGTAAAGAGCAATTTTCTGAAAAGCTGTGAAGGCCGGTTAAAGCAATTGCTATAGTGTGTACAGGTTACCTAATACCCTGTTTGACCCATCTAAAATGGTTTAGAGAATGTTTGGCGCACCCTGCAGCCCAAGCCAAATCAAATCCTGCACACAGTGGACGGACACAGTAAAGAGCGGTTGTTTCATGGAGAACAATTTTAGGCCACAACACAGCAGTATACCTCCGAATACCTGCTGACATTTTGTTCATCTTGGAGAAGGAGAGTCAAAGAGAGAGTGAGAGAAGTGAAACTTTATAACCCTGGGCCTCAGCTAATGCAATTGACCTGCTATTCTGGGCTTGAGGAGGCCCAGCTACTTAGATAAACAACATAATGAAAAGAACAGGCTGTTCCTCTGTAAGAAGGCTCAGGCTTCCACAATGAAAACAAGGCATACAATGTATACACAGTCTGTACTGTCAGTCATAAGATTTATGGTGTTTTTGACGCTTTCCTTGTGCCCTCACTATGCTATAGAATTAAAACCTGAAGTTCTTGTGAGCAAATCTGAAGCGATCCTCTGGAAATATTTTTTGCACCACTCTAACAGCTTTGTCTCAGCTCACTGTGTAAAAAGATTCAGTATGAATGTGTATCTGTGACAGGCTACCCACTTTAATCAATATGAAAAAGGTGTGTTATTAGCAGTATTTGCTGTAAACATTGTAGGCCATGAAAAGCAAATGTCAAATGTTCCTAGAAGTAGAAAAAAAACAAAAGTCTTTATTTGCAATCCTACTGGATTGTTTCCAAATGTATGTTTGCATGATACATAGCCCGGGGCTGGATTTTTTCTTTACATATGCTAATGGAGATGTCAGTTATGTAATCGTTTTAGTCTTGCAAACATCCATCTGAAATATCAGAAAATGAAGAAAAGTTAAATTGATATCAGAGTACAAACACTAATCTGTATTCGATGAAGCGTTTTCCTCTGTCTCACCAATCTTCTCTCATTTATTTCTCGTTCCAGCTCAAATAGAGGTGATTCCCTGTAAAATCTGTGGGGACAAATCATCAGGGATTCATTATGGTGTTATCACCTGTGAAGGCTGCAAGGTGAGCTATTACCTCTCATCCTCACTCATTTTTACTTCAAGCTTTATGTATCCAATCGTTTCTTTTTTTTTAAATAATTCTTCAACTCTATTTCTGTTATATTTACCCACATGCATGTATGTGGTTGCTCAGTTTTCCGCCACCTCACTGTTTTTGTGTGTGTCTCTTCCCCTCTGTAGGGTTTCTTTCGCCGCAGCCAGCAGAACAATGCTATGTACTCCTGCTCACGACAGAGAAACTGTCTTATTGACCGGACCAATCGTAACCGCTGTCAGCACTGTAGGCTGCAGAAGTGTCTTGCTCTGGGCATGAGCCGTGATGGTGAGTCCAGCAGTTTGATCTATATTTAATTAAGTTTCCAAGTTTCCACCTCTTGTGTTTTTCTTATCACATCAAACGAGTCATTTAATCCTTGTTTGGCGAACATCAAACCTTCTTGAAAGTTTAATTTTTGTCTTAATTCTCCTGTTGCAGCGGTCAAGTTTGGCCGAATGTCCAAGAAGCAGCGCGACAGCTTGTACGCAGAAGTCCAGAAGCACCAGCAGTCACAGGAGTGCACGGGGGTCGGTGCCCAGGAGGAGAACAGCGACTTGGTCGACCTCGGCCGTACCTACAGAAGAGGATCCAGCACAGCGCTCAGTGATCTGGACGACATCACCACACTGCCAGAAGGGCTTCTTTTTGACCTGCCATTGACCCCAGAGGATGGAGGAGGAGAGTACTGCGGCCTGGACATGCTGGGTGGTGGCAGCGCGGGCAGCGGCTCATCCTCTCAAAGTTCACCAGAGCAGACCAACTTGGACTTTGTAGACGTCAACCACAGCATCAAGCATGAGTACCAGTTGCTGCATGACTCTGGTCTCTTCTCACATGCTATCCTCAACCCACTGCCTGAAGGCTGCTCTCTGCTTGAAATAGGTCTGTAGAGTTTACAAAACTTTGCTCTAAATCTTGTGAGTCCACTGTTAAGATAAAGGAAAACTCAATAAATCTTTCCTTTTGTCCAGAGCGTATAACCCAGAATGTGGTGAAGTCCCATATTGAGACAAGCCAGTACAGCACAGAGGAGCTGAAGAGGATGGCGTGGACCTTGTACAGCCATGAAGAGATTCGCTCATACCAGACCAAGGTACATGTGAAACAAGTGTAAAGCAATATGAACTCATTTTAGAATATGGGGTTCAGAGCTTCAGGAAACTCTTTCAAAAATCTATCCTTATACCAGGAGTTATTTGAAATGTAGAGCATAAATCTGTAAGAATTTCACTCAAAGTCACACATAAAAATGTATTTTCCTGTCATTTTCATTTGGCAATATCATGGGGTTATTCTGTTTGACAAGATTCAGATAAAAATGTTTAAAATTCAGAAGGAAAACTCTAGATTGAGAGAAAACTTCCCTCAAACAATCAGTTGTTTCTGCTGCTTATCACTGCTGTTAAAAGTCCAGTGAGGAGCTTTCGGCTGGTTATGAAACAGGCTTAAATTAATACTGATGCAATAAAACAACCAACAAAGCAGCCGACAAAACCGAACAATGCTACAACAGATAAGATCTTTTATTTCACATAACAGAAGCAGGAAAATCACACAGCCACACAAGCTTCAATGCATGGTGCTTGTCAAGTGTTGCAATGCTCATCAAAGCCTCCCTGTCTGTTGTTTTTCTCTTACAGTCAGCTGAGGTTATGTGGCAACAATGTGCCATTCACATCACCAATGCAATCCAGTATGTGGTAGAGTTTGCCAAGCGCATCTCTGGCTTCATGGACCTCTGTCAAAACGATCAGATTATCCTCCTCAAAGCAGGTCAGTACATGTCACACACACAAACACACATGCACACACACACACACACACACACACACACACACAAACTGTGCAATACAAAATCACTTGTTTGCACTGCGTTCAGCCACACAACTGGTCAGGAGATGTTTTTACAACAGATGGGCCTCCGGCGAGACATCTGTTGTGTGATGTTTATTACATAGCAAACTTTTATGTGTGACAAAGATAACTGTTGTCATATGAACAGTATATTACCCTTAAACAGTCGTTGACTTCACAGAAAAATCACATGCATGCGGAGTGACCTGAAAAGACGCACTGTGGGTCTTCCTTGTAGAAAAAGGCTGGCCTTGTTTTTGTCCCAGTGCTCTTCCTCAGCTGCCCTCTGTGGTTAACCTTCTGTGAATCGTCAGTACTTATAAATCACTGAGGCACAAGTGTTATCTACATTTAGATATAGTTGAACGGTAGTTTGTCATTGATAACCAAACACTAAATCAGTCAAAAAGTAAATTTATGGCTTTGGATGGTGACCTTGGTAGCCTTCATTTTGTAAGGATCAAGAGCAGCATACAAAGAGGTTTTGATCAAATACAAAACAGGTTATCAACACGCAACATCGAGTATTAACATTGTTAGTGTTACATGTTCAAAATCATAACAACTGATTACCTGTGGAAAAACAGTTTTATTTTAACTTCAAACAATGAGGATACATGAACAAACATGCCAGGATCTTGGAAATGTCTGTTTTTTTGTCTTCGATGTGGCTAATTTTCAGTGTGTGTTTCTTTTTTTGTTGTGTGTCCTCAGGCTGTATGGATGTCCTCCTGATCCGTATGTGTCGGGCCTACAACCCTATCAACAACACTTTGCTCTTTGATGGGAAGTTCGCCATCGCTCAGATGTTCAAAGCTCTCGGTGAGTCAATGAATTCATTGTTTCTCTTTCATCACCTTCACCCTCTATTTATTAGGGATTGTCACACTCATCTGTTTATTCTTATATTCCTCCCCCCCTCCCCAGGCTGTGACGACCTTGTGAATTCAGTTTTTGACCTCGCTAAAAGCCTGAGTCGTATACAGATGTCAGAGGAGGAGATGGCTCTCTTCAGTGCTGCTGTGTTGCTCTCACCAGGTACGCTTTCCGTGATACTGTGTGACACTTTATTAATCATTTTAACTTGTCCTGCTCCACAACATTCATATCAGGGCGTCCAACCATTTGTATCCATTGATTCTGAATACAAAAAGAGAGACATTTGTAGAGAACAAAATGATCCAAATTTCATTTCAAAAATAGAAAAGGACATTTGTTTCCTGGCATCACTGTCACAGATTTAATTGCACTCTGGATTTGCATATTATGGGTTAAACATTTACACCACACCTGCATCAGCTGTGCTGTGCCCATGTTGGCAGAATGGTTATGCAACTGGCATGATAATGTCTAAGTGTCGGTGTCAAACGCCCTTTTGGATCATACCCATACTTTTGCCTGCTGTAGTGCTACAGAGGCATTATTTGCGTTATATACTCAGCTGATAGCGACTTAGTCCAAAATACATTTTTACATCCCGACTTTACAGCTGACATTGATTACTGTAGAATATGACATGACACAAGACATGTTTGTCACAACAAAGGCGGGGTTAATTGGCACCCTTTTTTTAATAGCATAATGAAGAGTCATAAATCTCTAACAGGAACAAGTTATAAAAGTAGTCCCACCCCATTTAATGACCTTGCAAATGTTTTTTCCTGGTGTTATGTAGTCAGTGACCGCCTTTAAAAGAATCAAAGAAATCTGGAGTAACAGCATACTGTTGATAGAAATAATCAGAGGGAAACCATGATCAAAGTTTAGATGCTTGAGTTAGAATGCTCAGTTCACTTGTGTTCTACTTGTAGGTGTTTGTACAGTGTAAACTTACCAGTTTAGATTTCAAAGTGACTATATGAACAATGCTAATGGAAACATCCTGTTGCTGTAATTCTCTACAGACCGACCCTGGTTGACAGATGTTCAGAAGATCCAAAAGTTGCAGGAGAGAGTCTACGTGGCTCTGCAGCGCTGCCTACAAAAAGAGGGGGCATCAGAAGAAAAGCTAGCCAAGGTGAATATTTGATTCAAAAAGCCGATATTCTTTGGCCATCTACTGTATTCCTGTATCACAAACTTGCATTTATCTCATCTCTAAAAACTCGCTCTTCTGTCGTCCCCCTTTAGATGGTGTCCAAGCTCCCCATAATGAAGTCCATCTGCAACCTTCACATTGACAAACTGGAGTTTTTCCGTCTGGTTCACCCTGAAACAGCGTACACCTTTCCACCTCTGTATAGGGAAGTTTTTGGCAGTGAACTCACCTTCCCAGACTCCACAGAGGGCTAACATTGTTTAGCAAAATTGTGTGATTTGAATAATGACACTGAGGTGTAGGGAGGGGGAGATAAAAATGTGGCAACCAGCTGAGTCAAAACCAACCAGCAGCTCAATGACAATCCTGCACGCTACACTTTAGGACACACTCCTCTCACCTCCTGCCCTGCAAGCTAGTCCATTCAGCTTCAACGTAACAACACAGGAACTGCGGCTGGCTACTCAGCGCATGTTACCTCCTTTTGGCAGAAATTACTCGAGAGTTGCTGACATGATTTTTACTCTCAAGAAATATTTTTCTATGAGGAGACATCAAACCTGTCATTGAGTTGAATTCCTTTCTTCTCTAAATTTGACTCTCACCGTTCTCACAGTTCCTGTAAGCTATTGTTGAATGTAACCCTTTTCCCTTTAACCGCTCAGCACAGCCCTAGGCTTGTAATAGAATGTACATACTTTAAATCCTCAGCCACTTTATGGAGATTTGCCGTAATGATGCCTGTTTATATTGTCAGTCTAGTAACATTTTCTTGTTTCATTCAGTCTCTTCAGTAGCGCCCATACTTTGCAGTTTTGTAACAAATGAACAAACTGTGTAAAGGGACCATGATCAAACTTTCTAACAGGCAGGGTTTTCAAACTGCGTGAATCATGGGTAAACACCCCTGAGTGTCTGCCACCGTGCACCGAAAAGCTCTTGTACACAGAGCACAAAAAAATAGCACTTATCCTGATCTTTATAGCTTTTTCTACTGGCACACCCTCAGACACTGATGGAGACGGGCTCTTTATTTTTCTAATGCAATCAGTGACCTCAGTCCTTATCCCCTCTCCCTTTACAAATGCCACTTAACGAGTCAGAGCAGGAGGAGCATTCTCAGAAGTTCCTTTTCTATCAGAAAAAAAACAAAAAACATCCATACTGTAGATCATGTCAGATGAGAACAGTAGTGAATTCAGTTCGAGGAACGTTTCGCTTGAGCTCAGGTCTTTTTAACAGACACTGCCGACCCAAACTTTGGGGTTCTGTTGTGGAGAGATTGTTTTTAGGTGGAGGAAAAAAATAGCACTTAAATTCACAGTCGAATCAGAGACGATCTTGCAGCACAACACATTACAATTTGCACTCAAACTTCCATCTATGAAGCCTGTTTCAAACCAGTCATGGTTTCTGGATGCACCCTCTCACTGCTACTCAGCTACATGAACAAGGTGCTAGTAAGCTAGCTGATGCCCTTTTGGGTTGCAGTTTGTGCTCTCATGTGCACCTCAGCTCCCTCCATGGATGAGTGCCATTGCCCAAACCATCCGGCAGCATCTCATTCGGTGATCGGAGATTATTTTTAAAATAAAAGAAAGAGAAAAAAAGGATGTGGTTAAAAGAATAACAGCGGTGGGTTTGGGTGAAGGGCAGAATAGAATAGAAAGTGGATAGGTGGGTGCAGGTGTTTAAGCTCCTTAGACTTCAGTTAGAGGGGATTTACAGTCTGCGTCGACTCTTACTGCTTCAGGGTCAGACGGGCTGTGCTGCCACGGACGGCCTTGGTCTTCTGATTGGAGAATTAAATCTTCTGTTCCTTCCCCCCCTGCTCCCTTACTACCTCACCCTCTTGAAACACTACACAGCACAGCAAAGGGTTGACAGAGCCATCAGCTACCCCCCTGAGTTAGTATTTATGCATCCATGCTGTAGAGCTTCTTTAAGTTGAAATTTGAAGGCCAGTGATAACTCCTAAAATATACCACGCCCTCTAAACTGGACATTTGACTAAAGCATGCTTCATTGCTGGATCTGATTTTGCTACTTTTCCTTCTAAACTGCTTCTCTGTCACTCAAGAGCAGTCCAGGCCTTGAGGTCCTGAGTGACCTACTTAGATATGGATCTATGTGAAGGAAGGTCTCTGGAGACACATGAGAGCAAGAGGGTGTGTCCAGATGAAACCTTTTCTTTAAAGTAAGGGGACGTATTGGATTTCTCTACAAAACAAAGCATATTTATGCCGTTGTCTTCGAAGAAACAACAAAGAAAGAAAACATTGCTTATTTCATTTTCAGACAATCACTTGACACATTTTTTATGTCTATGTCTATTTAATATGTCAGCCAGGTTTGCACTGCTGGGACAGTGCTGTTTGCCATACAATATATTATCTCACATAGTATGAAGGGTTATTACCCTTTTCTGGGTACGTAAGACAGTGGCATGATGGGATTGTGCAATAATGTCTTTCCCATTGTTCTCAGTATGTTGGGCCTTTGTTGCCATGTATTACAGATAATATTTCACAAGCACTCCAGCAAAGTTAACCTCGCAGCGCAACCGATGATTTCATGAAAAACTATAATGTACCAAATAAACAGCCAACCACTACACAGGTCAGCCATCAGCTGACACAGCCAGATGACCTTTTGGAGATTGTAACAAAGTGCAATGCTTTGTGTGTCGAGTCCTCGAATGTTAGACTTGCTGGTTCTGAGGAATCAGCTTTGTTTATAGTTTATGCAGGTCTAAAGCTGTCCAGGGAGCAGCGCTGAAGATCTGCACTAACATTTCCGTCTAGAGTTACTCAGGGAGATAGCTGGGCTCTCTGTCCTACAGTGTCTGCAGTCAGTCTAGCTAGCAAGACACCTTGCACCAACATAGAAGACCTTAAAACCTTGATCACTGTGTACAGTTCATGTTCTTGTGAATGTTTGATTTCAGAAGTATCAAAGATTTTTACCCCTGTCTAATATCATTATTTCAAAACCTTATGGAGTTTGAGTCATAGTTTAAAATAGAATATTAAAAAAAAGTAAGCCTAGTTAAATAAATATAAAAGATGGATTATAATCTCTGAATCTTGTGTTGGTTTTGTTGTGATCTTTTGTTTCTTAATTTTTATCCTTATATGTACTGTTTTTTCTCATCAGTTTAGTGTCCTTTTTGTCTTGGAGAGATGTAATTCTATTTTTTTAAAGAGCGTTTTTAACAATGTCTCCCTAAAAGTTTCTCTTTTGTCATGATCCTTCTGTTTATGATATGTTGACGCTATTTTAAGATTATTATTAATGAATCAATATAGATTTTAATAAGAAATAATTTATGATATGTTATGGATATAAAGCCCAAGAGGTTTTAACACTGTAAGGTGTTATTGCACAATGGTGATACAATATGTGGATTTAAGAATGTAATAAAAGTCTTTTTACAGTAAAATGAAAACATTTGTTGTGGTTTTTATCTTGTGATTTTTCCTTATCCCAACCAAAATAACTGCACTACAACACCTCTAATCTTTTCAGACATAAAGTCAATAAATACATAAAAAAAAATAGTTTTCTGTTTGATAATCTTCACTGTTTAGTTGACTTCTATACAGCATTTCTCATTTAGTTTGCTGCTGTCACATATAAGTGGGAAAAAAAAGATAAAGTCCCCATTTAAGTGAAACCCAAAGAAATAGAATTTAAAAACTGCATTTTCTTACAAATGTATACCTACCAGCACTGTACTGAGCAAGGACCCCATCAATGTCCCCCGGATGCCCCAGGCTTTCTATTGCAATTGCAATTGGGTTTCAGGATATGAACCACTGAAATGGCATCAAGAAGTCATTAAAGGAGCGTTAACTTGACTCAGGTTTATTACCTGATCTATGGGTCTCATTCGCAGGAGTATATTCATACAACAAAACAGAAGCGCAGGTCTGAGCTCATTTTTTGCTTTTCAATCCCCACAAGAAAACGACACTGAGATTAATTTACGGGCTCCATTTTGCCTCTGGGTACAGTGAAAAGGTAATCCAGCTACATCTGTAGGGGAGATTGGGGTAAAATGAGCCATATTTCATATTTTGGATTTAAAATTTTAAATGATCTTTTATGGTCTGAACACAATTCTAATAAACTTTTGACAGTCTAAATTCACTTTCAAGAGTGAAAAATGTGTTGTTCTTTTTTGTTTGATGTTTTTTTAAATAAATATCTAACCTCTTCACCCATGTGCTTCTAACCTTCACAGACTCCATGAATTGATGCATGATCAATTTCTTTTACCATTTCCAAGCAACAGGGGGTGGCTCAACTTAACCTTTGGTTCATCATTATACAACAAAATCGAAGGGCAGGTCTGAGCTCATGTTTTGCTTTTCTACCGTCACAATAAAACTACACTGAGATTAATTTATAGGCCCAGCAGATAGAAGCTCCATTTTGCAACTGGGCACAGCGGAAAGGTAATCCAGCTATGTCTGTAATACCCACACGAAGGGAACATCTGGCCCCTGTAACAGCGTCACCCAGCAGACAGATCGGCGTGTACCCGCCACATCCAGCAGAGGGCAGTGCGCACAAGCACAAGACTGCTCCAACCTCTGGCGTGTAAACTCAGGAAACTGATTTCTTCAAAGTGGCTGGAGCAGATTTGGTGCCCCCTCTATCGAGCCGCTGCGCCCTAGTTTTTTTTTTCTTTCAAGGGGCTAGTGTCGAAGTTGTGTTGTAGATCTTTGTATATTTGATTTCAGTATCTAGTCAGACAGAGTGAAGATTCATCCTCCTCGACGTGGACGTGGTCAGCTGGCGTGTCCTGACTTGGAGTGACGGTTGTTCAGTCCTATGAGTCCTCCTAAACATTTCTGCACTGGCCCCCTTTTCTAACTAAACTATACCGCTAACTCGAGTTATACCGTGACCTATTTACACCTTCGCTGGAAGCTGAAGACGGACGGCGACCAAGATGTCAGTCGCGGGGTTGAAGAAACAGTTTTATAAAGCCAGTCAGGTTTGCAAAACTTTTTTTTGTTGTTGTTGTTGCGACTAACTGTCATGTATCGTTAGCTGTTAGCCTCATTTAGCTTTGTGGGCTAACTAGCGGTTCCCAGTTGTCTAATGTTAATAATAACGCTTTGTGCTGTGACACAGTGGGAATAAAGCTAGAAAGACTTTGTTGCTTTAAGTTGGGGGTCTGTTTGTTTTAAAGCTGGTTTAATTTTGTATTAATATTTGGATAAATTATAGTTGAACTAGCGGGAACTTAGTTAAGCTACTTTGCTAAGCAGCGTTATAAAGCTGTTCATGGTTAACAGTCGATACTCAGTTTCTGCTGTTTATTCACGACCCGGTCACATTCAGTAAGTGTGGTAAACATTAACGCTAGCTCTGTTTGCCTTAGGGACTCTTCGGGTGACTCACAGCGCAAAACTGTATCAAACATATCAAGAAGAAGTTGAGTAACAAACCAAGAGAGGGGATAGTAGTTTGTTCATATTCACTTAGAGGAGCTCTTCATGTCTGAGGCAGTGATAGCTGATGGGAAAACCCAGTTACCTGTTTACCAGATGTGTTTCTTTTAGTGGAATGAGTCAAAACGGTGTTTACATTAAAGACAGTTCACAAACCACTCAGTTCTAAATACTGCACATACATGTATAAAAGTCTTTTTCTGTCTAAACCCCAGCATGAATGTTTTTAATTTGTGCCAGCTCGCTCAGTCATGGGCGGGGACGCTTAAACAGATTTTTTTTAGGAGTCTCTTTTTCTTCCTACCCCTGCTGATCTAAGCAGGAAAGACATTTGGTTTCTGCCCCAAGCTTCCTGTCAGGAACACACTCAGATCCCTGTAGGTTTGGTTGTGAAGAAAAATAAATAACAGTTGTCATTTTAGGATTGTTGAAGCACAGAGTAATGTAAATGAAAAAAAAAAGCCAAGGTGTTTGCAGCAGAGTAGGAATGCAGTATAGAGCATCAGACAAGAGACCAGTGGGGTGATGCAGAGAGAAGCTGGGAATAGAGCAGCGTACTTTCCCTTTACTTGACTGCAATGCAGCTTCTTTTCTTGCCAAAACTCCATGAGAGTAAATAACTCTTGACATAGCTCAGATTTTCTACACTAGAGGCATGCAGGAAGTTGGCTGTGGAAAAGAAATCTGTTCCCTGTAGCTCACACGTCCTTATTTTCTTCGTTTACAGTATAACTATCTCTATTGTTTGGTTTTCTACATAGATCGGCACTTCACTTGAGATGTGTAACCTGGAATAGTAGACTTATTTAGAGCAAGGAATAACAGCAGAAGGTTAACTGTTAGATCCAGAGACATTTTGAAGAATTGTTTAAAAAAAAATGTCTGGAAATAAACAAAAAATCTGGATAATTCTTTTCATTTCCATCTGATTTTTTGTAGTATGCACAAATCAAACAGGCTTAAGGCTCCGTACAATGCCCTCCAATCCTCTTTGGAGCTAATGCTAGTGCTAATCTTCTGCATCTGTGTAGAGGTGTGTGGTCTTCATTTTCCAAAAATAATACACACACCTACTGCCATTCAGAGTTCTTCTTTTGCCTTCTTTAACTCCTAACAACACAGATCAGTCAGTAGAAATTAGTTTATGTGCGCGTTTATTAAAAAGTAGACTTATCTCTGCTCAGCCACTACATAGAGGTGCAGGATTCTGTCTGCATTAGGCATGTGCCGATATGAAAAAATTGATATTGCGATATTGGTGGCCCAGAATATCACGATTCATGATATTATCATGATATTATTGTATTTGTTAATGGAATGATCTGTGTGATAAAACTGACCAAGCTCCATCAATGAAATGCCATAATGCTTCTGATGGGTCTCCAAAAAGGCTACTGAATCTCTTCCACAGCTTCACCTGAATCTCCAGTCACAGCCACTTTCCTCTTGGAAGTGTGGTTCATCCAGATCATGTGGCAGCAAAGCTCTTTTTATCTTTGGCTCTGACCCATTTTTCTGGTCTGTAATTATGATGTAATTTTTTTCATATCAAACATTGTGGACATAGTGTTGTACCTGTTGAAGTAAGATAACACACAGTGGCCTCAACGGAATGATCTCATATAAGGCAGGACTGTTGATCATGACCAGTAAACTCCTGTAGTTTTCTCCTCATGTGGGTGTTTACTAGCTAAATTCCACTCGCCACGTAAGTAGTCAAAAGTCATCGACATCAGGTTGCTGTTTTTTTCCTTTCTCTTCTCACCTATTTTCTGTCCAGGCCTCTGTGTGAGTCACTTTTTAGGCTTTCAAATCTTCCAGTCATCTAAGCCAAACAAGACCAGGATCATGAGGCTTTCTGATAATGCACCGGCTTTTAACTAACCACCCGTGGCTTTAATACCCAATCATTAGGGTGAAAAGGATACCTGTTTTAGACTTATCCCTAAGTGTAACTGTATGCATGTTTATCCCAAAACGTCCAGAAGATAACCTTTAGAGGATGTTTTTGGCTGCGGTCCTTTGATCCTGTGTGCATGTAAACAGGTATGTTACACTGACATGAGCGGGCGAAGCTTTCATTAGTAGCGCAAAAAGGATGCAAAAGGAGGAAAGTGGGAAACAGATTAATCAGATAAGTTAGTGATATTCACCCTCATGATTAGGATTCAAAACACCTACCAGAGAGCCGAGTTTGGCAGATAGAGGTGCAGAATAAGTTATGATAGCAACACTACAGTGCTGCAGTCCTCCCTCTGAGGCAGAGAGTCAAATGCTGAATCTGCTCATAGTTTAGAGACTGTATCTTTACTTTTGACCTGAATCCCCCAAGGCCCTCGGTCATGTGCTTCGCTCATACAGCAAAGAATCTGCAGTTTATCAGGAGGATCCTTCGTTCACTGCAACAAAGAGGAGGCTGAGCTTGTGGGAAAGATTAGTCACCATTTATGTTATTACTAAATCTACATACTGACATCTCTGAATTTAAAGTGTATTTCTTTAGAGTCTATTTCTTTTGGGTCCAGAAACATCTTTAAAATGTCCACATTTTAAATTTTATCTATGTAGAAAACGTGTGAAATTGCTGTTACTCTTTCACAACCAAGGATATTTAGCTAAAAAAAGAAGACAATGACCAACCAAATCTAGTACACAAAAGCTTTGATATGCTTTAAAAAATCCCGTGACAGAGTAACACAACAGGAAAATGGATTTATACTCATAATCATAAGAGAGAGCCTCATTCATTTGGTATAGAAATGGCATTCTGGAGTACTCTGCATTGCATCAGCAATCCAATCCAATCCAGGTTTATTTATAAAGCACATTTAAAAACAACAAAGCGCTGACCAAAGTGCTGTACAGTAAAATAAAAAAAATAAAAAAACAGACGATTGACATGAACAAAAGGAGACAGGACACAGGAACACACTAAAAACAGGGGGGCATAGATAGTTCAGTAAATACATGATTAAAAGGCCAAGGTAAGTCAGGTGTCATCCCCATATTTCCAAATGCTAACACACTCATTTCACATTAAATTACAGCATATCAAATCTGAATCAGTTACTTGCCAGTGTTTCATACAAATTATGTTTGAATGTGCAGAGTAATGTAGCATGAATGCATAAATATCACCAAGTAATGAAAATCAACAACAGCCTTGTTGCTGGCTAAGGTTACCATGCATATTAGATTGTTATGTACATGAAATCACAGATTTATAAGTGTATTTTTTTGTCTGTTTGTAACCCAAATATTGACGTAGAGTTTTTTCAGACATGGTAATCACAGATTGTAGGTCAGAAATCCGAAAGTCCCTTGCAGCAGTGCTTTACTAATCAAGTATTTTCTGTCTATGTATATTTGAGAAAATCTACATTCATGTTCAGCAACTTTGTTTCTCATTTTTTATATTGTTGTATTTAAATGCAAAAAAATAACAAGGTCACATCAGCATAACAACCATCAGCTGACCTGCTCACTCATAATCAGCTTCAACCATTAATCAAAAATGATAATGGTCTGATTTTACACCTTCTGAATGCATTGACTGCGCTCCAGTGTCTCATGATAAATATGAACCTTCTCATGCCATTGTATCTCCATGCTGCAGATGTTCTTTTGCACCCTTGGCTTTGTTAGGTCATGAATAACAAGCGTCCATATGTGAGGCTCCATGCTGGGAGTGAAGCATTTTAGCCCAGAGAGAGTTGTCACTCTGTAAATGATGATGATGAAGATTACCAGAGGAGCAGAGCAGACACTCACACTCAGACCTTGCACAGAAAATGTTGTATTTTACAGTAAAGTCAGACATTCTTACTCTCTCCTCTCATTCAGTGTGCATGCATGCATGTGTTCATAAACACTAACTCCTCTTGTACTCAGAATCAAGATTTCAGTAAGCCTGATCAAAAACAAGGTCACCAACTTACTACTACAATGTAGTGGTGCAAAAAAAGCATAGATTGGTGCAGATAAATTCACCATATTTTGAACAGGACTAAGTCATAGGAGTAATTATGTGCACGTATCCCTGGCAGTGCTCATTGACTCTCTCTCAACAGTTTGAAATGCTCACTCTGTTTGTACTGTGGAGCCTTGTGGAGGGATTAAAGATTAATCTGTGCCGTTACAAACTTCTCTAAAAACTTCCAGTGCAAGACAGATCCATCACATCCTGCTGCGGTTAATCACACCACTACAGAGCTGTCAGCAATTTCCACAGAAACCATAGCATGAAACTGTGTGAAAAAGCCACGGCAGTTGTAGAGGTTAGCCTCTTTTTTTGTAGAATACTAGGTGTCCGGGTTACTATGGTAACCAAGGACTATTGTTGCGTGACATTTTTAAACCCCCCGACTTGTACAAGGGGTGATGTGAGTTGTTTTCCTTGTGTCCTGGAGTTTCAGCAGATCAGACCAATCAGATGTGTCAACAAAAGGAACAAATTCTGCTCACAATCGTGTCAATAAGCTGAATGTGTACTGTAAATACATGGGAACTGAGTCTGTTTTCCTTTTTTTCTATGTAGACTAAAAACATCAGAGAGCTCTCACTCTCATGTGCTTTCAATTAACATATTCGAGTCGACTTGAATTGTTGCTCGTTGTCTCTGTTGGACTAAATGTTATTCCGTTTGATGGTCCAACATTTTTCGCCGGTGTTTATCACCAGTATAAGAGATTGCATAACATTTTCTGTGCTGATTTGCTCCTCTGTTATCAGTCGTTCTGCATTCCTATGTTGAAGTCACCTTGAGGGGTTAGGTTAAAGGTAGGATTTTAAAAAGCAGACCCCATACTTGATTTTTTTTTCTGGAGGAAACATGCTTCCTTGTTTATCCTCGCTGAACAGGCATGCTAAAGTCCAAAAAAAGACTCACTACTCAAATCAAAACCTGATGAGCAGCGGTAATTAGTTTACACTGATTTTTTTTTTCTGTCTCTCTCTGTCTCCTTCTTTAGATGGTTAGTGAGAAAGTCGGTGGCGCAGAAGGAACGAAGCTGGATGATGACTTCAGAGACTTGGAACGGGTGAGAGAGGAATCTGTTCGAGGTCTTAAAAAAAGAAACATCTTTTTGCCAAATGTGTAGGCCTTGCTGGTTTGACGGTACACAATGCATCAACCCCCTTCTGCTGCTCTTAATGTTAACACCTCATTGAAAGCATGACTTCATCCACTGTCAGTTCACTGAAGTGCTCAAATTTGACATGGCAGCAATGATGAGTTTTGGTTTATGTAACAGCCAAATAAATCAGCAACTCTTTAATAACTTATTCCCTGTTTAATAATACACAGAAAAATTCCAAACTTAAAGTGTACAACTTTGTAACACATGAGGCACTTTTGAATATGTGCAAAACTGGATGTATAAAAGAATTAAGTAATTAACGGTTGAGAAATGTCCAAAAGGTTTAAAAAAAGGGAACACATCTCAAATTCTAACCAGTTGATTCAGCTCACTTCAGTATAATCAGATGAATTCCTGTGTGCCTAATAGGGATGGGTGATAAGTTATTGTTCACGATTTATCATCAGAAAATTCCTCCCTGATAAGTATTTGCCATCTCATGATAAATACAATGAATGCAAGTTGATGACGTAAGCATGAGCGACGGACTTTCAACCGTAGCCCACATAGAGCAAAATCACAAACAAACATGGCCGAAGGTAATGAGGAAGATGTCTCTGAGCAGCTTGTTGCCAAACAAGGCTCCACATGAGGGATTTACTTAGAGATTGGGGTTTAGACGAGTGCAATCAGGTATGCCTGACATCGGACAGTAGATCTGCTCACTCTGTGCAATGAGAGTTTTTAATAAGTGTTAAAAGTGTTTTTACAAATGAAACTTGTTTGACATCACTACTTTTCTATACAAGCTACCACTTAAACTTGTAGTTAGGCATCTTATTTGACTACTCCAACTGGTGTTCTCGAGACAAAATAAGTCAAAAACACATAAAAGGAATTTCATCATTATCACCAGAATGGCAAAACTTATCGTGATCATTTTTTTAGCCTGTATCGCCCATCCCTAGTGCCTAATCAACTTGAGATGTGCTCCCCTTTTCATCCTTTTTAAAAACTATCGGAGCTGAGGCCAAGCACTCTACTAAGAAAACCTCACTGCTACCTCTTATTGTGATAAATCCTAAATTTGTATAATCTTTTAATTAAATGACAGCATTTAAATGAGTTTTATTCATTAGTTAAGTTTATGAAGTCATGTGTTGCTCTACCCTTGTCTTGCCTGTCTTCAAATTGACTCATTGGTTTGTTTAGATAGATATCGTAATGATATCATTAATGTGATGGTTTACAGACAAATCAGAGGTCATGACAACCCTGAATGACACTATTTGATACAACTTGATATAGTAAGACACATCACAATGCAGTGAGATGTAATATGACACCACACCACATGATGAACATGACACCACAAGTTAAAATACAATACCACATGATACCATATTTAACAATAGGATTTGAAACCTTATGCTTTGAAAAGGTATGATTTGATTTTATAGCACACCACGATACAACATAATATATGATAGCATAACAAACAAACAGCTTTATTGTTCCTTTTTGTGTCCCTGGTGTACATTTGTGATGTAAGTGTGTTTGCTGTGATTTGTAGAAAGTAGATGTGACCAGTAAAGCCGTAGTGGAGGTCATCTCCAAAACATCAGAGTACCTTCAGCCTAACCCAGGTAAGAAAAAAAAAACAGAAAACGTGTGTTTATGGATTCGTAAACAGACCATAAATCCTCAGATGACATTAGCTTCAACTCCCTCTCACAGCATCACGGGCCAAATTGTCCATGTTGAACACCATGTCCAAGATCCGGGGTCAGGTGAAGAATCCAGGCTACCCTCAAGCTGAAGGGCTGCTGGGGGAGTGTATGAGCAAGTATGGACGGGAACTTGGAGAGGACACTAATTTTGGTGAGAAAAGTTTGTGTGTTTGTGTTCGTGTAGTAAATTCCTGGATGAGGAATGTTGAGGTTTGTTACTCTGGGTTTTTGGGTGTGCTTGGTTGTGCTTGTGTGGTTTTTTTCTGTGGTATACTGCAAGTCGAGTGGATAAATTGCACTCCAACTGTTTGAATGGCATCTAGTTTTTTTTTTCTATTAAGCAGTCTGTGTGTGTGAATGGTGTTTTTCTGTGTGTGTGTGTGTGTGATCTGAAGGTGATATGACTCTTTGGTACCGCCACATGAATTCACCAGTGTCACTGAACTATTAAATCCCCGTCTTTGTGGCTTAGGGGGAGCATTAGTGGATGTAGGAGAAGCCATGAAGAGATTGGCTGAAGTAAAAGACTCTCTAGACATTGATGTCAAACAGAACTTCATCGATCCACTACAAGGACTGTGTGACAAGGACCTTAGAGAGATACAGGTACTTTGACATTTTAACAACAATCACTTCCACGTGTGACAGACCGTCAAGCTTGCAAATTCCATCTAATGCAGGATAGTTATAGTTTCTTCATCCTTTCCTTTGTTTACCTTTGGTGTCATCATTTCAGCACCACCTGAAAAAGCTGGAGGGCCGCCGCCTGGACTATGATTATAAGAAGAAGCGTCAAGGCAAGATCCCAGACGAGGAGGTTCGACAAGCCTTGGAGAAGTTTCATGAGTCAAAAGAGGTGGCTGAGACGAGCATGTACAACCTACTGGAGACTGATGTAAGAACAAGTTCAACTCTACTCAAGGTTAACCCCTTTAGTGCCAGGATATACTGTAGATATAAACTATGTTTCCAATGGTTGAAAGCTGTTGTTTTGCAGCAGCATACTCGTACATGTTGTATTTTTATACCCCCAACAAATGGTTTTTTGAAGTCATCCACGAAGTACGAAATCTAAAAAAAGACAAAAATTCCCTGTCGCCAGTATGTGAAGTATGCAGTATTTTAAAACGGTATTTGGTAAAATCATACAAGCATCGAAACAAAAACAGCTGCAACAGCTCAGTATCGGATTAGATGGTGAACACAATACAGTAAAAAAAAGCAAAGTGAAAGATTTGTATTTTTTTGTTCACTGTAGTTTGATTTGCTTCCTCTGAGATTCACAGAAACAAACGTTATAGTACCATAAAACAGTTTGCGTAAGGACGCACATTTCTTAAAAAGGGCACAGCTTGTGTTTGTAAACCTGTTTTAAAGCTCCTATAAGGAACATTTACTATGTGTCAATTTTGGCACCCTCCTGTGGACATAACACTCTTCACTGATCTTATCCTGAGTGATTTCTTATTAAAAATCCCATCCTGCTGACTTGAAGGTAAATAACGTCATTTATTGTGAATACTCTATGTGCAAAGTGTAAAACAGGATTATTATTTAAATCTTTTTAAAGATGACACCTACCCCCCTACCCCAAAAAAGTCCAAAAACTCCTCACAGGAGCTTTAAGTTTTCTGTGTAAACTTCAGAATATCAACTTGTTTTTAGGTTCACCTTACGGCAATGTCAACCACTGCAGCAGCCTCTGTAGCCTTCAGGCCAAACTTCTACTACATGCACATCAGTTCCCATAACTACCTCAGCCCAAAATCAAATCAAAAGTTGTAAAAAACAGAAGTTTAATTTTATTACATCTCAAAAAAAATCACTCTACCATTTGCCGTAGAAGTCATTGCTGACTGTGTGACTTTCTGCCTCATCAGTATCAGTCTGTGAAATCCCATGTTGTTTGGGCACTCACTTTTTGTCTGGTTGTTATTGAGCCCATGCATCGCCACCATTGCATCCTACTTTCCACTACACACCCACAGAGTAAACACGCTGCAATAGCTACCCTTTAAAGAGCAACAAAACACACCCGTTCAAGCATAATAAAAGTTTAATAAAAGATAAACAGGTCTTAAAATATCCACAGGGGACAGGATGAGCGGCTTAGAGAGTACAACTGAGTGTACGGAAACTGTATGTAGTTTATTCTGATACGTTGAAACACAGTAATGAGGGGTTTGTTTTCAAGTGGAACGTGGGTTGACAATGTGAATACGACCAGCGCTGTGTAGAGGAAGTGTGTGTGCTTCATATTTCCTGTAAATTCTCTTGTGTCAGCCTCTTTTATCTTGTTCCCTACGATTATTCATACTCCAATCATTCAATGGGGAAGTTAGAAAAAATAATACTGATGTAACATCTTACGAGCTCCAGATGAGGACCTTGGAAGTTGAAGTGAAATGACTCTGGTTATCTTGTCTATATGAGGTATTTCTGTGTGTGTTTTTTGTGTAGATAGAGCAGGTGAGCCAGCTCTCCTCTCTGGTGGAGTCCCAGCTGCAGTATCACAGACAGGCTGTGCAGGTGCTGGAGGAGCTTTCTGACAAACTCAGAGACAGGTGTGGTATGAGAGCTGACTCACACATATATACCAACATACAGTTTAGTTCTCTGCACAGAGGTGTTCCCCAGTCTGGTTCTGGCTCCAACAGTCCACAGTGTATGAAAAACTTCATGATAACTTTGTATTCATGTTGAAGATGTTAATTATCGATATAATTATTATAATTATTTAACATATATTTTAATTGCAGCCCTGGATGTTTTATGCTATTGCTTAATGACCTACTTTTAATAAAGAACACACAAGCACTGAATACACACCTAAACCCAAACCCATCTTTGACTTTGGAGATGACAACCATTCTAACGGCGGCTACCCAACCTCCATGGCCCTGCCGCCATCACGCAACTCAGGTACGAAGCAGCTGAAGAGACTTTGAGTGTCTGATGTTCAATCAACATTTTGATATTTTTATAAAACTATCAAGCTTTCCGGTGTCATGATAACAAAGTAGAGCAGCTGAGGTTTCTACAAAGCCAAAAGAGAAAGGAAACGCCCACAGTGGTTTTACTTTGAAGTCTTTCTCACAGTGATCATGTCACCCTCGTAGCCAAACAAAAAAAGGCAGCATTTTTTGGTAAAGAGCTGCTGCAGTGCAGTTGCAGCTGTCTCTGCATGTAAAAGACTGCTCAGCCAAGAAGCGAGTTCCCTCCGAACAAACTCTCCAAAGTGCCAACATGATTGCTCAAGACCTGCAACTAATCAGTACCACTGTGCAGGAAAAAATGTGAGACAATCTTTTTTTGTCGTCTTATTGAGGCTCGTAAATGTGGCAGATACTGAAGGTTTGACTCAGTAGCTGGCCACAAGAAAATGGATGTCTGTGTCCACATGTGGGAGTGTGTTGTGTTGTCTGTGTGTTTTTGTGAGAGTGGGTAAGTGTCAGTGAGTGTATGTCTTGCCCTGTCATCTGGCTGGCCTTTCTCCAACTGACCTTGTTCCTTTCTCTTCTGACGTCATCATCATCATCAGAGCCAGATTGTCCTTTCGGAAACCACGATTGTGTCAGTCACAGACCGTGTGGGACAGTTTTTCAGAGTCGCAGTTTTTGTGGTGTGCAAATGCCGCCGCGCGCTCACCGCTTGTGCGAGGTGAAACGCAGGAAGGCAGGAAACACATTTGCTTCTTTCTCACGGGTTCCTTGCATTATTGCTAGTTTATAATGCATGAATAGTGAGACAGCATATGTGGAGTTTTGTGTAACCAACATTTGTTGCGCAGTCTTACTCAATAGAGTTTCTCAACAACTCTGCAGCCGCTGTTAAGTCAAGACACATCTATGTAGGGACAACATACATGTCACCTGTATTACAATGACTTTGAATGAGTTTCCAAATCAGTGTTTCCTCTCGGGGAGGGAGAAAAAATCAATACAGCATAGTGTTGCAATATTTTGTCTGGTGATATATTGTATCGCCTCATTTACCAAGTATTGATTTTTTTCAAATAAATTGTTTATATGAAGTCAAATCTATGATAAAGGAAAAATAAAATCAACATTTTATTTTTTTTATTTTCTTTTTCACAACAAAAAATATAATAAAAAACAATTCAGCATTTCCAGTTCACATTTCCTACATAATAGTAATGCAGCAAAGCCATATATATGACAATGTATAACAATAATGAAGCAAAAGAGAAAAAAAATAATTAAAAAAAATAATAATAATAACTAATTAATAAAATCAACCGTTAGTCCAGTGAGGTTGGTAGAGGTGACATCATAGAGCAGGAGAAAGTTAGTGCAACAAATATAACAGCACCTGGGGAAAGACATAAGGAATGCAAGCAGGGCACAAATGAGATGGACCTGACATGTAAGGTTTGCCAGATGTGCCACATGAAAATAAAATACTGTGTAAATAAGACAAACATTAGGGAAAGCCAAATGCTAAATTAGCTAACCGTAGAAAAAAAAATGTATATATCGAAATATATACTATCGCAATACTCACTGTATCGCAAAATGTTAAAAATCGTGATAATATCGTATCGTGGCCCAAGTATTGTGATAATATCGTGTTGTGGAGCCACTGGTGATTCCCAACCCTAGTTTCTTCTGAAAGGACTCTGAACCCACATGCAGAAATCTCAGTTATGAACCTTGGCTTGTATTAATGCAACAAAGATTACTGTTGAGAGTAAAGTCCCCTGTGAGCCATTACTGGAAAGTTTTATTCAGTTCCTGCCTCCTATCCTAGTTTTTATTGCACTGCGTCATGACGAGTGGTGATATAAACTAGGTCTGAATTACTGCAACAATCTTCTCTAATATTAAAGCCATTAAGATGAAGGCCATAGAGAACAGAACTGCCACGGAGCAGCAATCTCCAGGTGGGTCATACCGGCTGCCACAGATTGAAGCTATCTTTCCTGAAATTACAGTTATTCTAGAGTTTATTTTATCTTTCGAGAAATGGATCAGTTGTGGAAACAGAGCCACAGGATTATCACTTATACAGCCACTCTGCTTGGTGTCACAGCTTTTACAACTTCACCGTTTAGATTTTGTCTCACTGCTTATCCACAATGAATGGCTCAAATAAGCGGCAATTAATCTGTAGTAAGTAATCTACTAAGTAAGTCTAATTTAGTGGTTTATCAGTGCTCTACAGACTTCTGTTAAAGGAGTCTGTGCAACTGCTTAAGCTGAGAGGAAGTATCAGCTTTTAATTGCTTCAGATTTTACACTAATTGTTAACACAGCTGATTCTGCTCCTGTAATTCAATGTAGTATGGAGTATAACACAGAGAAAGAGTGACCGAGGCCTTTCTCATCTCTCGCCTGCCCTCCAGTCTGTGGGTAAACTTGATACAATGAGAAAATTGTTTGGGGACAAAAAAGCCTAGTTTGTCTGTGTGTGAAGCCTCACTCTCCTCTGCTGATCCATGTGAGGTCACGGAGAGGGAAAGACGAGGAAAGAAGGAAAGGAGAAGAAGAAGAATATACACACAGAAATCTAGTGTCAGGGTTTTCTTTTTCCTTTTCTAACTTGTCAGCGATCATCAGCTTTTCTGCTGTTGTCTTGTAGCTGACATAACTGTTTCACTAACTCACTGTAACAAAGAGTTAAAGGGATATTCCGGCGCAAAATTAACTTCAAACACTGTAACACCGAGTTAGACACCCCCCTCAAGAGATTAATGTTGCAGACCGCTTGCTTCTTTATACCAACTTTAGTTACAACCGCAGATAGCAATACAGAGAGCCACACGCTTAACCAAAAAGCCACTCTATAGCCACAAATAATGCTCTGAACAGCATCTAACTTCATCAACAGTACATGTACAACACACCTGATTCAAATGATCAGCTCGTTATCAAGCTCTGTAATGGCTTGATAACGAGCTGATCATTTGAATCAGGTGTTTTGGAGCAGGGAAACGTCCAAAACAAGCAGGACAGTGGGCCTCGAGGACTGGAATTGAGAACCACTGGCCTAAGGTCTCGCTACAAACAAGCGGCTGCTGGAAGATAGTAGGTGAGTTGAGTTTAGTCTCTTTGCTAAAGAAATCAGGCAAAGTTTAAAAGATGTTTGGTTTCTAGTACTGTGGCTGGGACCCTATATGTACTGTTGATGAAGTTAGGTGCTGTTCTGCGCATTATTTGTGGCTATAGAGTGGCGTTTTGGTTGAGGTTTGTTTAAGGCTCCTCAGACCGCTGTGTATTGCTGTCGTGCGGTTGTTACTAAAGTTGGTATAACTAGAAGCAAGCAGTCGGCAACATTCATCTCTCGAGGGGGTGTCTAACTCGGTGTTACGGTGTGTTTGACTCTGATTTAATTTCACGCTGGAATATCCCTTTAAATAAGGTGTGCAGTGTGACACTTGCTTTTACTCCTAAAAGCATCCACAAATTTTCCTCCTTTTCTGCCCTAAGATCCTCACTCTTGTCTCCTCGTTTGTGTTTTGCCAGCCCCAGAGCAGCCAAGCTGTAAGGCGCTGTACGACTTTGAGCCAGAGAACGAGGGAGAGCTGGGTTTCCGCGAGGGCGACATCATCACCCTGACCAATCAGATCGACGAGAACTGGTACGAGGGAATGCTAAACGGCCAGTCTGGATTCTTCCCTCTTAACTACGTCGAGGTCCTCGTCCCGTTGCCACACTAATGCAGAGAGCGAGAGAGCCAAGAGGAGACTGAAGGAGAGGAGGAGGAGGAGGAGGAGGAGAGAGCAAGTAGAATTTATAGAGAAGAGGATGTGAAGCCAAGGAGTGGTCTGCAGAATATTCATTTTCACCTTCAGCTCCAACTTCATCTTCACTGATGAGCACTTTTCATCCACATTTCCGGAGAAGATGGTCACATTTCAAAGTCCAGACCAGAGTGTTGACCTGGTCATCCAGATGGACACAAAATGCCAGAACTCATTATCTGGCACTCTTGACACATTTTTTTAGGGCTAACTATTGAAACATTTTCAAGCAATATTTTCTTCAACCTCGAATTGCTTCAAGAGTGAAGACAATTTGTATTAAATCTAGTGATCTGAATAACGGGGTGACATTTTCATATCACTCTTTTTGTGTGGCTGAAGTCTGTTTCAAACTCAGGTTGGTCACCAGCTCAACAGTGAGAGACTGAAGAGGTCCACTCACACCTCACAGGAAGTGTCATTTCAAAACTGAAAATATTTGTTCGTGCCCCTTTGTAACTTGAGCTGGTATCCTTAGTGCCTCCTGCTGGTTAAATATAGAATTGGAAAATGGAACTACACACTACTAGGCATGTAGTTCAGCATGTACAGAAGAGGAATAAAACTGCAGCCGTATTTTTTTAGTGAGAAACACGGTTTTGTGATGTGGACAGTTTCAGGTTTGGCTTTTCGTAACGCTCTTTTAAAAGCTGTGTGTCTGAGCTGTGTGCCGATGGGAGCTTAAGAGAACAACAGGCCTCGTACATCAGTTTCCTTTTATTGTTTCAGTATTTGATTGATGTTGGTCTCAACCTACCACAGTAGTTTCACAAGTTCTTACTGACGATGTGAGAAATGTAATTGCACCTTGATCCTCCAATGAGATTGATATGCGTGTGTGAGACAGACGTATTCCACCTTTACACACAGACCCAAAGTTAAATGCACAAGTTGCACCTTTGTGTCACTTAGGCAGATGTGTGTTTGTTGTCTATAGATGCAGAATGGTTTGTTTTTCAGTGGTTGTCTGTTAGTCCGTTTTGACAGAGGAATCAGAGCCAAAAAGTCTTTATAAAATGCAATAGAAACATAATCGTTAACTACCAACTATTCTGTAACACAGCCATATTTTACATCTAGTTTTGGGCCTGTCTGTCTGTCTGTCCGTGCATGTTTTCTTTTATAATCTCCTTATAGACTCCTGTTGACTTTGCAGTGCCTGAGTAGATGGATAGATTAAGTAACGCTGCCGGCAGCGCGTCGATCTTTTCATCACTAACTGTCCCTCTGTGTCCGTCTGCCCTCTAGTCTTTGATAATGTGAAACTCATCCCCGCTCTGAAACTTATCCTCACCTTCTGATGATTCTTGACGCCTCATCTCCTCTATGTTAGTTAGCACATGGGGTTGAAACACGCAGACTTCTTTTAATATAATCTCTTTTTAGTCAAGGCTGGTTCCTTGTTCTGGGTTTAGCCACAGATGAAGTCTGACCCGGTATACACTGTAAAGAATGAGGGAAAGACCTGGAATGAAAGGGAAAACACCTAGGGAAAAGTCATGGTTGGCTTTTTTGACTCGAATCAGAGAACTTTTGTTTCCAAACATGAATCTTTATCGAATAGTTATCTTAGTATTTCCCCCTCACTCTCTCTGTTTGTCCATCACTCCCTGCTGCCAAACATTTCCTCGTCTAATAATGTTTACATCCATGATCCAACTACATTTCAGTGCTTGTATCAAGATTGAGGCTGGGTTCAAAGACTGGATAACGCAGTCCTTTGTTTTAGTGCCTTCGGAAAAGAGAGGACTAATACAGCAACCAAATCCTAACCTAGCTACTTCAGACACAGTCAAGAATTTCTTTTCTGTTTGGTTTGAGTGTAAGCCATTGGCACTTTTTCTGTGTGGATGAAATGCATGTGTGCTCCTTCCTGCACATCTCTTGACACTACAGGCAGTTTTCAGCACATGAGTTGTTTGACTAATGTGAGGCGAAAACTGTTTTTATGTTGATTTTAATCCATGTTTGAAAAAAAAAGTCCCACTGATACCTTCTTCTTTAAAGGGCTATGTATTTGTTTAATCAGTCTTAAATGCTTTTTTGAACAGCATTGAATCATTCTGGCTCTTTATTGTTTTATTTTTATATACAAAACCTTAAAACATTTAAATTAATCTTTGCATGTAGTCCTCTATTACACCTCGTTCATGTATGTCTTAGAGTTAAGTTGCCTTTTTACTTTTGGTATGAGTACAGAAATTAACCGCAACATTTTTCCTTTTATTATCAAAGTATTTGTATGTGCTTCTTTATTGTCCCCCACCTCCCCCTTCTTACAATAAATGATAAAGAAAAAGGGCTGTTGTTGAGTTTTGTCAAAACTGGAGTCCTCTTATGGAAAAATAGTTTTAGCTTACGACACATTTTTCACCTTTTGACGAACATTTTTGCTTTGAAATTTAATATTTATGTATTTCACTCATCATGTTGAACATTGGACTGTGAGTTGGATACATGACTTAATTGTGAAACTCAAATTTGTTCATTTCACTCCTGCAACGTATGCGTAGTCTGCAGCAAACTACTATTACTATTATATGTCATAAAGACCGGCTTCAACACTGTATCTAAAAAACCGAACTGCTCTTGTTAAAATTTGGGGGTTTAGATGCCTGTTTTCATCTGGAGTGGCTGTACAAAAATGTGTGTGCAGAAATCAGCTGTTTGTTTGTTCAAAGCTTTGAAAACTTTATTTCAGAGATTTTATTTTTCTAACTTTTTTAAATAACACTACAGAGTGCCAGTATCTATACTTTTTGGCTTTTTTCTTAAAGGTCTTAGGGGATTTATGTCTGTAGTTATAATATTAAGAACTGACAGGAGAAAGTGTGCAACCTATCAGCAGCCTGACGCAACAAACCCAAGAGCTGATTTTGGGTCCCACGTCTGGCATGGTTTGGAACTGCAACTTTTTTGGTCACCAATCCTCCAGAAATGTAATCTGTGCAACCTCCAGTGTGTTTATGAACATCTCTGGAAGTGCAAATAGTTGCTGTGGTGCAACTTTTAAATTTTAATTTTTTTGATTTCTCTATAAACTCAAGCCAATACAGTGACTGGTGGTTGGTAGGTCAAGCCTGCTAAGAGGTGTGCAGAATGTACCTCTCAGCAGACATTACAGAAACACTTTATTTGACACCTATCTCTATAACACATTATAAATACATGTATAGTGCGTTATAATCACGTTATAGTAGGGCTGGGCGATGTGGTCTCAAATCAATATCACAATATATTGCGCAGTTGACCTTTATAACGGTAAAGGGACGATAACTACTCCACAAGCTCCCACACCCCCTACTCACCCCCTCCCACATTAACTTTGTCTACTTCAGCTGCTGCTTCAGACGCTACAACTTTTGAACCATCCTCCATCTCCTCACCTGTCTTTCCCTCTTTGTCACGGACTGGATGGGTTGGAATCACATCTCTGATGTAGGACAGCGAAAAAGGGACATAACCTACCTACACACATCCAAAACCAACTTTTATTTATTTATTTATGTTTTTGACACCGAATATACCGACATGGGCAAAATGACGTTGGTTATTGGCGTAAATTTTGGTATCGGTAAATTTTTGGTTTATCGCCCAGCCCTACATTATAGCCCTGTATAACTATAGTTATAAACACTCATTAATGATCATAATGCTTTATAGCAATAATCAGAACACATTATAAAGCATTTTATCATGACTTACAAGGCAATCATCTATGAGTGTTTATAATTATAGTTATACAGTGCTGTAACGTAATTATAACGCATTATATATAGTTATAATGCGTTATAGAGATAGGTGTTACCGACATTAATAATCAATTAAAGTCAATCAAAGGTTAGTTTGATATCCTCAGCTTTCATCACTGATTATAGCTTGGTTCAGTTGGCCTTCAGTTACTTCCTTTGACTGCGCTTCAGTGTTGTGAGTCAGAGCTAACTATATCAGAAATCTGAAGTGACAAGATGAAAAGACAGCTGAGGGGTTTCTTTTGTAGGCTGCCTAACGGTGTGAAGTTGTGGTTCCTGATATTGGTGATGGTGATGATGATGTGGTCAAAGTGGATTCAACAGCAGCATGGAGAGCTCAGTTTTCAGAGAGAGGTGTGAAAGACTTCACAATGAAAAAGATCAAGTGCACATCAGTATTCACAGTAAAGCCTGTAGGATGATGGTAGTAGGTGATGTGTGGAACAGAATCCATGCACATTTAAAGCAGTGGAGTTGTGCGGCTCCTAATTTTCAGTGAACTGTCAGTCGTAGAGAGGAGTTGCTTCCAAGTAAAAAAGTGTATTTTGAGCTCTGTGTGGGTTTGAATGAGTCACCTAGGGTGGCCCGTGGAATTCCCTGGTAACCCCTCTGGTTCTACCCCTGCTTCCCAGAGACATCATAGATCAAAGACTTCATAAAACATGAACTCCAGCTCCCATTGGTTTCTAATTTAGTTTGGATAGTCAGCTATAGCGGAAATGTTCATCCAACCTAACCTTCTATCATCCTAGCCTAGCAAGAGGCACAGAGGTGGAGTTAAGGTGGGCCTTACCCTAACAGATATTATGTCCCTGCTCAACAACTATGCAAGCCACGCCACAAAATTTGTAACCTAAACATCTTCAAAACATGAGTAATGGATAAATTCACTTTAAGTAACATTTATCTATCTGCTTGCAATAAAGAAAACAGCCAAACAATCTCTTTTAAATAGTTCCAGTGTGTATGTTTTAATGCTTTGTGGATCATCAGCAGGCTTAAGGCATTGCTCTGTCTTCATACATGTACATCACACAATCCACAGTTAGTAATAAATACAGTACAGGGAAGAAAGAAGACGTAAATATCTGTCCTATCCTACAGGACTCATGTCTCACAAAACTCTGAGGAGACAGTAGAGGGCAACTTTCACAAACACTCACCCGCGCGCGCACACACACACATACACACGCAGGTTAGTAAAAACAAAATGCTTGGCACATTGAATTACTTGTACCACTTTGCAGCCTTAAGGAATAGAAACATTCACAAAACCAAGTGCAGAGTACAGCTAAGCTCATACCGAGAAACGTTTGCATACTTTGCTAAGGTAGTATTGTTAATGCTAGTCATTTTCACTTTTTCCCCCAAACACTGGTTTAGTCTTTAAAGGCAATAAAAACACACTAAAAAGTTACATAGTACATATCTGGCAGTATCCACATATACCACAGAATACTAGCACAGATAGGCACATACAGGTCCAGGTGTAAAATGTAAGAGGCCAGTCAGGTGGGCTGAAATAAGTCTATTTAGTGTGTCCTCAATACGATACTTTCTAACACTTATCAGTATCATGTACCTTAATTCAGGGCTTTCTAGCTTCAGTTATCAATTGTATATTCCTCTATGTTTAATCAAGCACTCCTGATATCACAGATTTAGCACAGATTTGAGAACCTCCAGAGTCGTTCCAGTGTTTTTTTTTTTAACTCAGGATAATGCCGTGTCAAAATTAAGTGTCGAAGAGCAAAGAATTCAAGGCATCTTTATGTTTTTCAAGCAGGTTTTTACGTTGGTACATCGGTCACTCCCGTCCTGTCCGCTCTGCACAAACAATGTTTGTAATGGAACCCCTCCAAGTTGGACAGAGGCCACATGCAGAGTAGCCGCACTCAATGCATGTTGCTCAGCTGACTGTAGACGTGCTCCAAGATCTGAGAATAGGCCTGGTCTTTGGGAGCATGGCAGCTCAGAGAGCCCTGAAGACAAAGACAGAAGTTTGTACTTATATCAGCTCAATGCTAGGTGGCATATTAAATGGGAGACAGCCAGGATCATCACCTTGAGTCTGCCCATTATTTTATCTTTCAGATGACAGGTTTTAACTAAATCATCCTACCTTTATCTTGTCCATCATGGTTGTATCAGGACACCAGTACTGGCCGAACTGTACAAGATCAGGAGCTGCCCTGTAGTAGTCAACCAGCAGCATCTGCGGAGGAAAGAAACAAAACCTTTTCATGAATTCTGCAGTAGTTCCAAAAAATGTACTATACTTTGGTTTTCTGAGGCTGTTGTATCCATACCATCTCATTAAGAACATCACTAGTGAGAAAGTTGTCCTGTACATAAGTGACCTCCACAGCTACTGGAATACCGTAATCATTAGACCGTTGCTGCAGGAAAACAGAAGATGTTAAACTTAAGCTCAAACGTCACAAATACGATATTAAGTTTGCAGTTTTGCTTTTCAAACTCCAAATTATAGTTGATAACCCTTTTCACAATGCCTTCTCCTCACCTCAGGTGGTGGTACGACCCAAAATGGAGTTATTGTAGATGCCACTCCTTGATTACCGTGATAATATGGACCTGCAAGAGACGAAGGGTTGAAAGCAAAGTAGTTATCTTCTCTTTAATGTTGATCCCACATCCCTGCAGTTATAGATGAACCTAAGACATTTCTGTTCACATCCACAGAAGACACTCGCACTCACTAACTCAAATAAGAACTGAAAAAACAAAAACAGCAAATTAAACAAAAGTGAATTTTCAAATAATAGACACTCCTGTGATCTGCTTAAATCACGAGTAATGTTGAATTTTTGGTTGTTTCAATGGGCAATGTTAACATGTTGGTGAGAGGATTTTTTTTTTCTTTTGTGTTGATTTAATTTTTCACAAATTAAAAAGAAGAAGAAAGTTTAAAGAAAATAAAGACAGGCACCCACCACAGATAATGCCCAGGCAGGGCTGGAAGCCGTTGTTTGAGCCCTGCAGCCTCAGCTGGTGGTCCATTTGAGAGTCAATGTCCTGCAGTGATGGCAGAGCGGGACCTCTCGGGTGACTGTGGTACCAGCCCACCAATGACAGCCCGCGCATGAACAAGTTCTGACAGATCTGGAGCAGAGTCACACGGGAGAGGGTGAGAAGAAGAAAAAAGTTCTCCTGTGTTGCTGATTCTATTAAAAAAAGACTTAAAGAAATAAGCAGCAGAGAATTTTTATGTACACTACAAGAGGAGACAAGTCAAAATGTGCTAATTTGAAATAACTTCTAATTGCACCGTTCTTCTAGGCTTTATTTCCTATATGGCAAATTTTCTTTTACGCTCCTTACTAATTTTAAGTGCCTTAAAAATTCATGCAATTTGCTTTTACTTTACAAATAAATGTGCTTAAAGACTTAAAGGAGGAACACTTTTCATGAAGTTATAATTAAATCACAGAAAAACTGTCTGTGCTTGTGATTGGAGCATTTCTGTGAGACTAAAATTCCAGGAAACTGTTGAATTTTTGCAGTTGATCAGCCTTAGATTCTCGCATAAGTGAACATGTGTTTCAACTGCAAAAATGCACAGAATCTATAGATTAATATCATTTTGATGTGATTAAAACTGTATTATGTCATTTGGTTTCTGGTTTCTTAAAAAGAGAAATGCATACTGACAAGTGTTGTCCTGAAACACTGAAAACACTTGTGAATTTTTAAAATGAGTGTCATTCCCCATCATGTTATCCGAAAGCATGCATGCTGTTATTGCAGACAACTGATTCACTGTTTGTTTATTACCTCCTCCTCAACTGCAGATGCAGAGTCTCTGTCTGCCAGCCTGGTCCGACAGGGAAAAGCCCTCAAGACAGTCAACACTGGAACAAATCGAGGGTAAAGAGAGTGATGATAGGGTCAAATCAGGCTTCTTCAATTGATGTACATTAAACATGAGGTGAAGTTGCACTCACGTTGTGTGTTGGTATCCCATCTACCTCCAAGGTATCCCACCACCTCACTAGTGGTCAGGTGACAGTGGAAATCCTGATGGGAATAAAAAGTTTATGATTTCACATCCTCTTCATCATTAAATTTCTTTCATTTTGTTAGATTGTGTATTTACCATTAGCAGCAACACGTTACTGGACACAGCAACATTGAAAGGCTGGAACCGGTTGATGGCTGAGAAGGCTGACAGCTCCACCAGCGTGTGAGGATCTCTGAGAATAAAAATTAGTGTCTATCACACTTTAACACACTCTGAACAAGATGAATGCATCTGTCACATGAAATCACATAGATCTTTTGGAATTACAGTCAGTACCTGGCAGCATCCCTGGTGCCCAAGGTGCAATATCTGACAGGGATTCTCTCTCTGTCAGATCTCCGTGACACCATCGCGTCTGTAACATTTAAGAACAGTATTTGTTTTATTTTCATGAAAATGCATAATCATGAAATATGTACATATTTAAAAATTTAAAAGAGAAGGTAATCATACCATGTAATCCAGGTTTGCTGTTCTTGTTTTTCTCATCTGCTTGCACAGCTGTCTTCCCTTCTTCTTCGTCCTCGTCATCGTCCTCCTCACTTACCAAGCTCTGGCAGTACGAAAAATACGCAATCGATAAACATACAACTCAGAACAGGATAATATAGTGGGTAATAATTATTGAATTAGTTAAAGAGTTTAACTAATTCATTATATTCAAACCTTAAATACAAGTAAGGGGTCATTAGGTAGTTTTAATCTGAAGATTGAATACTTGAAAAGATTATGTTGTTAAAATGGGACCAAAAATGACTGATACTGCTGTCAAATATATGTCTTCTTTTTTTTCACAAAGGAATTTTTAAAAATCTGTTGCGTTGTTTTCTTTCTGTGATTTAACAAATAATAATTTTCTTACTTTTTTACAATATCTATCAAGCTCGGTATAAGAAAATTAATACAAGATGCTGGAACACTTGTGATTGAGCTTTTTGAGCTGGGAAATGCATATCCTTACAACTTATCTCCACGCTTAGACCGGGGCTCTTTTTTAAGGAGCAGTAATTTTTAGCTCAACAGACTTCTTTTCCTTGCCTCTAGAAAATTACATCATCCCTCTTTCACTACCAGCGCCCACTTTGTTACAACTCTGTTTTTCTTTCATCATCTAGGAAAAATCCTGCAACAGTGCAGCAGTGTCATTGGTTGCATTGTACAAATGAAAAATTGAAACACATGCTTTAGGGTAGCTAACTGTATGTTAGTTATTTAGAAGCCGGAGTTGTGACCAGGGTTATGTGAATCAAAATTTAGGTCATGTTTGATTTTGACACACATCTAACTTTCTGCTGCTTAGAATGGTTTGTTCTATTTCCTCTCACCATGTCTGCGCTGGGTTGGTACTTATGCAGCCATGTTGTTTTGTACTGAACCAGCTTCTGTCCTCGGTAGCGTACCGATGCCCAGCCACAGCCAGACTTCTTGGCTGGGTTGACCAAACGTTTGCAGTGTGTCGCCCAGGCACTAGGGGAGTTGAAGATCTGGCCTGTTTCCACCCATCTGATTTTCCCATCAGTCAACAGGTCTCCAACAAAGTTCTTACCCTGAGGAAACAAACGAGAGGATTTATAACTTTCAAAAGTCAAACCATAGATAAGAGCATTTGCTGCCATGAATGCAAGGGCGTGAATGAGGCATGATATCCTACGTCATGTTTGTTATTACCAAATAGTGTATGGCCAGCACCCCGTCCCCTGGTTCCACAAGGCCGTCCTTGAGCAGTACCCTCAGGGTGATCCCTCTCCTGGTCAGCAGGGAGCCCCTGCCAGAGCTGGAGCGCAGGTCTGCCTCCTCCCCTCCACTCAGCTCCTCCTCATCCTCCTCTCCTCCATCCTCTACCACCTGTGGAGAGCTGGGTGGCTCTGAGCCTGGACACACACACACACAAACACACAATAGTTGTGTAATATTAGTGTTGAAACAAATCTATGATCCACGGACGGTATGGTGCATTCACTTAATGTTTGCCCACAGCCTGCTGTGTTAGATACAACATAAGCCAGATTACCAGTGAAACATCTGTAAAGATAAGTAACATCAGGAACACAGCCTATGATACAAAAGCTCATTGTTTTCATGATTAAGTCTTAAAAAGGCAAACTCCACTGTAATGGCAGCCTGCTTCTCTCATAATTGCAGCATGCTAAAATGATAGCAGTCCTATCATAGTGAAAGGAACCTCATGGGGGCAAAATAGCTCAAAGATTATCTAAATTGGCATTTCATTAATTATGGCTGAGGTACGCGGTTGGTCTTTGTTTCCTCTCCCCATTAGGACGGAGCTCTGTCTGCTCGTAAGACAGGCCTGTCCTCCTTCAGTTAATTTCCCACAGAATTACAATTAAACCTCTCTTTCATTATCCTCACCCATATCTCTGAAAGCGTCCGAGAGCGCCTTTTCAATCCAACTCGCTGAAAAGCTGCTCCTTTTCGGGGCACTTGCCGCTGTGTGGGGCTGAGCTCCGGGCAGATTTCACAGATACACTTCGCCACACCAGCTCCTGCTATTATTCAAAAACATAAAATGAAGGCGTCTGAGGCTCTGCAGTGTAGTTTCCTTGTTGTGTTGCTTTAATGTCAGTTCCCCTCCCCTTTCTTTCTCCCTCTCCTCGTCCTTGTCACTCTCCCTGTGTTCTTCTGGCTGACGTGCCATGCCGGTCTATCTGCCATTATACACACATTCATTTGACTATAAACACGAGGAAATTAGTTATTAGATAAAATAATCGGTTTAATAATCGCGGCATGTATTGAACGCTGGTGAAAAACGCAAACAACGGAGCTTTAAATCTGCGTTTCCTCCGGAAAAGATGAAGTGTCGCCCCGTGCGCGTGAACCAACCGCTATTTGGCATTCATGCAGATTAAAAGTACATCCTTAAGACTGAGGGTTCTGTGTATAAAAGAAACACCGCACAGGAGCTCAGACTGGTGATTTATGTGGCGTTATAATACGACCAAGTCGTCCACTTTTCTCAGTTACAGTGTGGTTTTCTTCCCTACACCGAGATGTTCCTTCTTTTATCTCAGAGAAGAAGCACATTTACCGGGAAGCAGCCTGCGGAGGGCAGCAAACCTCCGCCAGGGTTCAATTTCTTTTACTCCCACGTGGTGTTAGCAGGCCTGTGTTTAGACAACAAGAGGAGACCGTTGGCGTTTGACCCATAAAACCTTTGTAATAAATAACATAGTAGGCCAGAGTGACACTGCAGTGGATATAAAGTATTCAACACATAATTCTCAGATAGACTACCTCTACCATGGAGTTGTGTGGGTTACTTTTAGTCTAACACCTTCATGATCTGTGTGCCAAAAGACTTCATATGAATTACACCTTTATAGAAATAGGATTATACATATTTTAAAGGGTGTTTTGGCTCAAATGATCACTGAAGAACATTTTAGACCCATAACTATGATTTTAGGTAGCCTATTTGGTAGTAGATCTGTTTATTGTTGGTACAGGCTCTATGCACTGATATTAGTCGACTAATTCAAGAGTTCAATCTTAAATTTGCACTTTCTCTCTTAGGTCATGTCCTGGGTGAAAACCAAAACTGAGGTTTAGATTGCACTGCTTAATTTCTAATCAGTAAATTTTCCAAGTTTTTATACTAGAGGACACTTTAAATGTAGCCATGAGTGTTGTGTCCAGAATGAGGGACTGTCTTTGGTCAGCAGCCCTAACAGAGGAGTATGAATGAATACATCAACGTGTTTCACCTTAGAAATCAACAAGTTTCAATTAATTCAGAACCAAGTCATAAGTAAAATAGATGTAATCCACCTGCAACAGAGAATCTCCGAACGTGTAACAAAACCCAAATGTCATTTATTCAAGTACAGATACATGTGTTGAAAAGAAAAACTATTAAAAAGCACTCACTGGCTCTCACCTTTTATCCTATTCTCCCATCCTCATTAAAGTTGGTACAGCTAAGCTGCTCTTTAAATGTGCCATCTGGAAGAACAGGATTTTGAAACATGGACAGACTTGTGCAGTGCTTGTTTTGTTTTATAGCAAAAAGGGTGATCTGAAACTAAACATATTACACCTTTTTATTTTGCTTTCATTCCCAAATTTTCAAATTAAACATACCTAGTTAATGTATACACACAAAATATGTGAATGAGCAGATAGATTAGAAACAATAATGATAATATAGGGATGCAAATCAAATATCACTCTTTTTCCTTGTTGCTGCTCTTTCTTACCTTTTCTCAGTCATTGTTGTAGGACAAAGTAAAGAGAAATGAAACCAAAGCAGCCGCCTCAAACGCTATTATCAGCCCTAACCTACTGAGCCACAAATCCTCTAAAAGTACTGAAACTGTCACCAGACTCACAAACAGAGGAAGCATGGACATGATTATTTGCGTATAATTCATGATTGAAAAAATTAAAATGTCATGAATATCAGATGATAAGCTGTTAGTAAACCCCATCAATGTCGAAAGGATCCCAGTTAAAGGAATCACATAATCTAGTCTATTAAGTGCTGAGGGTGGATCACCGCTTGGTAGACAAACAGGTTTGGGACTTGTGGTTCACAATTTGTGATAAATAACATTCTAACCAACCACAGCCTCAAAATCTCCAAGCAGGAAACAAATTTCCTTTCAGATCTTATAACAAGCCTGTGCTGTGACAATCACTTTCAAACACTTTACTGCATTGATTGCAGTTCTAGTCGTCCAACTTCAGTGTCACACCCAGCAAAGAAAGGCAGATGATATTTTCACTCCTCAGTGATAAGTTCCTGTGTTTTCCAGCACATGGTGTGAGAAGTTAATGGTTATGAACAGGTGTTTGTAAATCAGATGTCAGGTTATTGATATGGATAGCAGAGCAGATCCCAAAATCCTCATCAGATTTAAGAACAGGATGGTTGAAAGTTAATATCCAAGGTCAGGCAGTGTAAATTGTGGGTGTGTAAATGTTGTGAGGTTATAAAGCAGTGTTTTAACAGGTAGAGCATTAAAATGGAAACCCCTAAGACTTGCTGGCATGGTACATTGAGTCATTGGGAAATGGATAAGCCTCAGGAGCATTTCAGTTGTAGAGTTCCCATGAGCTGCCGCCCAACCTACCTACCATACCACTCAGAATGATGATTTCATTTTGCACCACAAGATCTGAACATGATGGAAGAGCTTCAAATACACTAGACTAGCTGGAAGCCATCTTAAAACTATATTGAGCAGAGATACTGCAACTCTAATCTGTTGGTGTAGATCTGAGAAGAAAGCACCCTCCCCACTTTAGAAGAATAAGGCATTGATTTAGTTTAAAGCTTGCTCAGGGTTGCCTTAGTTTAGCCCCTAGTTATGCTGCTGTAGGCCTAATGTTTACAACTTTGCCCAGAGTTTTATGTGTTTTTCTGTCTAGCAGGTTCTTGTGGTCTCAGCAGTTGGCTGAAGAGGACCGGCTAGACTGCCACACTTAATATTTTCAGTCATGTTTACCTTGTGACTGGTTTAATTGAGTCATATCTCTATGATTATAACTGGTATTGCAGCTGAGCTATCTATTGTTACTTTTATTGCTGTCTTACCATCTGTTAGATTATTTATCCTTCCCTGTCCTACCCCTGCCTTACTGTCTTACATAGTTTGTAAAGTCCCAGCTGATGACTGTGCAGCAGTGAGCCTTAGTTTATAGTTTCTGTCATATAAAAGGAATGTTTTCATTGCCACAGTGGTTAAGAGCTTTCTTATTGATGTTGAGTCTCTGTACAAAGTATTGAAGAGTACTAATGTGACCGTCTTATGGAGTTATTTTAAGTTTTATAAGATAATGTTTTTTATTTGGTCTCCAAATAAATACATTTGATTAGTTAAAACTAAACTAATATTGCTTAAGGTTGATACAGGACTAAAGGTTGGAACTTTTAAGTCAGAAGTTTGCTTTGACCTGAGAAAGTTGTTGGCATGTTGACTACAGTCATATGTGACATCAGTACTGAGGTTTCTGAAGTCTTTATGAAGAGTTTTCAGATTTGGGTTCAGAGAAAGAATGACCTGTGTGCTCAGATCATGTATATGATGTTGTCAACAACCGCTGTAATGGTCAAATCACAGTCGTGTCCACTGTTCAACAGCTCCCCCAACTGCTGAGAGATGATGCTTGCATTCAGGTCTAAAACATACATGGCTGGGATCTTTCTGTAAGATTAAACATACCAATTGAAAACATGAGCCAATTTTGACCTATTTATCTCTGATTTATTTATTGAATTGTTTATTTAATCTCTTAGCCCTAATGATAGTTATCTTACCTTTTTCACATTCAACACCAGCATCCTCAGTCATGGATCCTCCACACATGAAATTGACAATGTCCCCTTACAGCTTAAATTCATCCATTAAAATGTTACCATCCTCTGACACAAATTTGATTCAAACATAACACCAGGTGAGGAGTCAGTTGCACCAAATATTGCTTAAAGTGACTGCTTTTTCTAAGACTGTATAAAGATTTTGGCACATGTGTGATTGTATCATAGTCTCTTACTTTTCTACCATTGCCAAATTATGCTGATGATCCCAGAGGTTTCACTGCACCAGATAACTTATATATAAGCTTCATTTATGTCCAAGTTGGTCGCACTCAGTAGCCTACCCAAACTCCATCATTAAAGACTACACTGGTATTGTATGGGGCGTTACCTAGCAACCGTTAGCAAGCTGCCATAAGCAAATTCGTCGTAAAATATCAGAAACGAGTCGAGCTCGACAAAAAACGTCACGTTTTGACTCCTGAGAAAGCCTTCAGTCAATAAATTAACTTTATGTGTAATTGCCTTATCATTTTTGATACTTTTTATTGTTCATTTCGCCAGGAAAAGAGGAAAACAAACTGCTATGCTAACCCAGGATGGACAAGCGAATATCGGCAAAGTGCTTAGCTTTCTCCGGGAGTGGGACCGAGGTGACACGAAAGCCCGCGGCCGTATGTTGAACACTTTTCTGTCCCAGAACACAGGAAAGACGTTTTATGAGCTGGAGCTAGGATTTGCTCAGGTTGCTAGTTTGTTTCTGGCTCGGGTCACCACCTGGATGAGACTCACGTATCCTTTCCTTTTTCAGAGATGTAACTAAACCTAAATCTGTGTCAGCTGTAAGTAACACTGCCGCACACTGATTTTGGTTGACTACCTATAGAGAAATAAGAAGTCCAAAGCATACTTGAGCTTCAGTCCTTAACTGAGTATTCAGATATATGTTTGGGACATTTTTGGGCCTGCAGCTTAAAGCAGTAGGAGTTTTTCTTTCAGCATCAAGCCAGTAAGTGAGATTAAATACACCTACATTCTTTGCACTCTTTGTAACATTAAATATTTACATGTGTACTCCCCTCTCTCTTGTCACTGTTGTTATGTTATAAAAAGGGGGATACATATTGTGTCTCGGCTTACATTTCAAAGCTTTGTATGTGACCCTTTTCACCCCCATTCCTCAGTGATCAGTACTTGAAGGAGTTTGTGGAGGATGGAGGTGTTCTCACGCTGCTGGAGATCCTGGACCACTCTAAAAGTAAAGAGGAGGATAAAACAGAGGCTCTCTGTCTTCTGCTCACTGTTTCAAAGTCTGGTCGAAAGTATAAAGAGTTCATCTGTGACAGCAATGGTACATTTTCCTGGAATACATACAGTATAATCAGTTCATTGCGTACAATTGTACATGCCATGCAGATTAGTGTAGTACTACTACTACCCAACCAATTTAACTACTCTCTATGAACTGTTGAGGTCATTTTATGGTATTTTCAGAGTTATGTTTGCTTCTCTTTGGGTTCTTTGTTTTATTATTGCAGGTGTGAAAGCCATAGCAGAGTCCCTTGCTACATCAAATACTGATGATTCCCAAAAGACAGCTCGGGCCCTCCTGGAGTCCCTGTCCCATGGAAACCCCAAATATCAAAACCAAATCTACAAAAGCCTGATCGGGCTCATGACTTGTACCTCTCCAAAGGCGCAGCATATGGTCCTGTACACCTTACACACAGTGCAGGTGAAGCAGAGAGCGTGCATACTCAATTTTAATGTTTATGCTTTGAATTAGCTTTTTGAAATGTATATTTTGTTTGACATTGAGTATTACCACAATGAAAAAGAACAGGCACTTATTCAAAGGAAAAAAAATGTAGATTCAACACCATGGTACTCACTTTCATATCTTGTAGTCTAATATGAAAACAGCCCACCAAAGCATTGTGGAACCTCTGCTGAACATGCTGAGGTCTCTGCACCTTGAGGTTCAAGATGCAGGTAAACAAATGTCAGGTTTTGTCAGATTTTTTTTTTTTTGTGGCTGTTTTTTTGTCAGTTTTTTGCTTTGCACTTGAGTGAAATTTAGGGTTCTTTGCAGATGTCATAGAACCCTGTTTTTCTAAAACTCCTATCTTTTTCTGGATATGAATCTGGCAGCTTTAAATCTTATCCTGCTCCTTAAGTCTTATGATGTGAGGCCAGCGCTGCTTAATGCACTGGTTGTCCTGCTGAGACCCAGTAAAGAGGAAATACAGCAGCACCAGGATACCAGGATGGCAGAGGGTAATTTTTTGTTCCATAAATATTTTGTTTCTCTGGAAATTTTTAGATCAAAAATTTAACATTGCAGTAACTACTTTATTTAAAATGTCTGGCTATTTTACTTGAAATCCTACCAGAGTCTGAGATAACCACAGTCACAGTATCTCTGCCTGTGTTTGTGCAACAAGCAGCTGCAGCTAAAACTATACGGTATGGACTAATGTGTAAATATTGCAAAAGCAAACATAAATCTATCATAACAACACATAATGTAATGATATTTTATAGAACAATCTGTTGAAACAATTTGATGCATGATATTTGCATATCAGTGTGCATTAATGTGTATATTTCTGTCTTCTTGAAGCCTGCTAGCTGAAAACAGTCAAGAAGTTTCTCAAGAGCTTCTTCCTCTCGGGGTGATTCAGCATCTACTGTTTGCTGTGGGCAACAGAGAACACACAGACTCTCAGATACAAGCAAGTCTAGCCTTACAGGTACATCCCTGTTTGCTCTCTTAAAACAGTCCTAGGTAATGACTAGCTGATTCACTTCAGCAACTAAGGCGCTGCTAAGTTTAGATTTGGCGGTGGCAAATTCTTTGAAAAATATTACAAAGTTGAGTTTTGTTAAATGGTTAAATACTGATAAATAGTTTTAAAAGTAATTTTGTCACTTTTTATGTCTCTTATGGTATAAAAGAGTCTTGCTAAAATACATAAAACAGAGACTCAGTACCCTAACGAATTCTGTGAATCACTGTCTATTGTGCTACATCACTTCAATGTGCCAAAACACTGATACAGAATGTCTGCCTCTATCTCTACCCAGCATTTTACCTGCTCATATCCCACAATAGGAGAACATGTTAAGGGGTTCATTGGCAGTACACTGTTTGCAGCCTTAATGGTAAGCTTTGATAACATACTAACATATGGTGACAATGTGATAAGTCAAGGTCAATACACAATCTGCTAGAAGCTATAAACTTACTATCTAACGGATTCAATCTCCCTTTGTTTGCAGCACAAAGCTGAAACTTTGTATATGCATGTGGATGAAACACTAGCAGAAACTCTGTGCACCAACAACCTGAACATTACTGAAGGTAAAGAAAGTAATTTCTGGAGATTCTCTCCTACGTTCAAGAATTTTGTTGATACTCAATGTCATGATAATAGCTTTTCATTTGGATGTTTGCTTTCCAGGTCTGGATGGTGATCAACCTGAAGGATGAAAAGAAAATAATTTGTTGAATGATGTTGACGGTGACTGGATCCCTAACCCCTATATAGGCGACCATATGGGGGTTAGCGCCATTTTGAGGGGTGTCGAAACCTGAGTGATCAATTCCAGTGCCCCATATAGCCGACTCAAAATTTCCCATAGAGCATTGCAAAATGTAGTGACCATCCAGAGTCACTCACTGGTGGTGGGCATAACGTCATGCATTGTGTCTTGCCATGTAGTGTCCGAAACCTCCGGTGATTGAGTTCACTACATAGTCAACTATATAGTGAAACCCCATATGGGGGTTAGGGGTTTTGGATTAAGTGATTCATTTTGGACACAGCTATAATTCTCTTAGTGTGAAAATCTAAAAGAATACCTTAATTGAAATAAAAACAGCTTTATTCTTTGAGTAGTTTGCAGTTCACTTTTTGGTGGGTATTTATATAAGAAATGAATCAATAGCTTTTGTCTGAAAATTACAGTCTGCAATAATTGATGCCGAATTGTACACTGATTGATCATAGAGTTGCTGAACATTTTCAAAGTGCTAATTTTTAAAATATTTTTTTATGTTTAAAAAGCACCTGCTACCAAGAGCATCTTTAGTTATTGTCATTTCTTTATTATCAATTTAACGTTATACTTACAAACATACACATGGTGTTTAGATAATCAAGAATCTGACACGCCTACCGGACGTGACGTTTGATGTGCGTACGCGAGTTCCATTGAGCTGATTGGTCGAGCAGCTTTGGCCTCTCCTCATCGTGGCGGGAGCTGAAATGAATCCGTGAAGTAAACAAGAAGGTCTGTGCAGAGGAGTAACATCAGTGGACTCAGTCAGTTTATTTTATTTTATCTGGCCATGAGCAGGTTACGTTCAGCGGTTAATAAGGGGAAGAGCGTCGCACAGGAGATGGTAGAAACAGCGAAACCAAAGAGGAAGAAGTCAGGGACTGCTGTCAGAGAAGAAGGTAGGTGCAGAAGTCAGTGGAAGTAAGGGCGAGTAACATAATTTATCACCCATGGAATGACAGAAATGATTAAAGGGGAGCGTGGCTGTCCTCCTTTAAGGCATCTAACACTTAAAGTGTACTCTACAGTTTTATGTACTGCAAGAAAATCCAGAGGTCACTTTTTTGTTTTTGCTTTACGCAATTGAAGGGGATCTAGAGGAAACTTCTCATATTTTACACGCTAGAAGGGCAACAAGAGGCGACTCTGTCATATTTCAACCTTTTAACCCGAGAACATTATTGCTAAAATGAGTAATATATATATAAATATATATATAAAAATATGAGTATCATATATATATGATACTCAGACAAACGCAACGTAATGAAAATCACGTAAACATGTTTGGTCGGTGAAAGTCACCCGGCGATAGTGTTCTAGGGTTAAAAAGCAGCTTCTTTACCATTTTTATATATTATCCACTAAGACGGCACCAGAGAGGGCATTGGATTTTTTCAGACATGGGGGCACAATGAGAGGTTATCATCCCTCACCTGAGTACTCCACTGATTACAGCGATCATCAAAATTTACAAAACCACATTTTACCTCATGGGCATATACTTTGCATTCAGTATCACACTTGCTGAGAACACTTCACATAGCTTGGAAATCCCTGTATCAACCAATCAATCTTTATTTAGAGTGCCAAATCACATCAGATGTCACCTCAGGATGCTGTACAGACAGAGCAGGTCTGGTCCATACTCTGTGGGTGTAGCGATAATACTGATACAAGAAAAATGTGCTTTCCTTTCCTCTCGTCTTTGTTTGAGTCAGTTCTCAGTACCCTTATAAGGATAGTCCGATAACAGGGAATTATGGTAATCCAGCTGAGAGGTAATAACAGTTGTTCTGAGAAATGATGTGTCTGATTTTTCTGATCAAATAGAACTCCCATATTCCCAGACAGTAGTACTAGATGCCAGGCTGATGCTATCTAATGTAGTCATATCATCAGAAAAGGACTCTTTTGGGTGTTTTGGGCCAAGAACTGTTACTTCAGTGTAGTCTGAGTTGAGCAGCAAAAAAATTCTGGTTATTCAGGTTTATCTTAGCATAGTTATCTGCATGTTGTTAGCTCTCTCACATAAACATATCTTGTAACCACCCCAGCCCCAAATTTGAACCATTTATTTGACAAGTTGTTCAGGTTTGAATGTTTATGTTTTTTTCTGCTTTTTTTTAGAGAAATCCACAAATGCCACCCTCATGTCCACATACCACACTTTCCCTGACCCCGCTGATGTTGTTCTGCTGCGCTCTCACCTGCTCAATTGGTATGACAAAGAGAAGAGAGAGCTGCCATGGAGGACTCTGGTAAATAAAGGTTTTCTCTTTTTAATGGTTTATTATCCTGAAAGAAAATAATGTGTTGAAGTAGGTGTGGTTATGTAGCAGTATGCATGTTACATGTTCACTTTTTTCAATTTAGTAAGGATGCTTTTATTAGAGATTTACGTCTGTCTCTATGTTGTCACCTTTTTTCAAACTGTGGTCAGATAAAAATTAAGTTTTTTTGTCTTTCTTATAATTGTAGAATGTAACGTAAGATGCCTTTGTCAGATTTTAAACAGTCATATGGTTATTAATGTGTCATTGTGTTATAGAATAAAGGCTCTAATACCATTATGTAAAATTAGTGGGTATATATTTGTGGTTTGGTACAGAAAGTAACTGGGAGTTAGCTTTTTTTCATCAGGGTGGGGATCTACAAAGTTACTATAAACTTTAAGAAGAAGAAGAAAAACTTTATTGATCCCCGAAGGGAAATTCAATTGTCTGTTGTCTCATGTAATATGTCTATAAAAGTTATCTGGTATTTACATAAGAGCTATAAAGCCTGATGGCTGTTGTTATTTTTCATACAAAGTTGGATAATGTGAAAACAATGCTGACAGTTTCTGTTTGGTAAAATAACCAGCTGACTTTTTATATTACACAGGCTGTGACAGAGTCAGACCTCAACATCAGGACATATGCAGGTAAAAAAAAATCTTTTCAGTATCTAACACCATTTATGTCACTGCTTTGGTGTCTCTTAACAAGACAGTTTCTCTGGTCTTTATAGTCTGGGTTTCAGAAATCATGCTGCAGCAGACCCAAGTAGCCACAGTGATAGATTACTACAACAAATGGATGAAGGTTAGTATTTTTTCTCTCATGTAGAAAATCTCTCGCATTGGTTTTTCCTCATTTGAACCTTTTCCTTCGTTCTGTTCCAGCGGTGGCCCACTGTACAGGATCTTGCTGCTGCTACACTAGAGGTAATGATTAAAAAAGCTGTTGCTGGTAGTCATGGTGATCTTAAATTGACTTCTAAAAAAACAGTGTTAATTGTGTTCATGTGTAGGAAGTGAATCAGATGTGGGCAGGCCTTGGCTACTACTCTAGAGGAAAAAGACTACACGAAGGATCTCAGAAGGTCAGTGAAGAGCTTTGTAAACCTGGTCTGACTGTAGTTTCCCTCTCTCTCTTGCACTCGGTCGACTTTTTCAGACTCAAGACTTTATAGAAGACCCAGGATGTTTATGTAAATCATTGACCGTTAGAGTATACATTTGAAGTGTATTTTTGGACTGTATCAGGTGGTGTCAGAGCTGAAGGGACAGATGCCTCGCACAGTCGACAGCCTGTTAAAACAGCTGCCAGGAGTGGGACGCTACACTGCAGCGGCTATTGGCTCCATTTCTCTGGGCCAGGTGAGTCATTATACACATCAAAACAGCTGGAGAAACATCTCAATAGCTACACTTTCTCATTACTCCCTAAATCCCTCTTGACTAGGTCACTGGAGCTGTGGATGGCAATGTGATTCGAGTGCTGTGTCGTCTGAGGGCCATTGGAGCTGACAGCACAAGTTCTACAGTAACAGAGGCTCTGTGGTGAGATTGAACATCATGACTATCTCCACGTACCGTAATCTGACCATGATGTCTAATTTTGCATCACTTTCACATTTGTGCTGAGTTTTAAGTTTCAACACTTCTCCTATAAGAGCCTCAACATGCAGTCATGTCCACTCTCAGGAATCTAGCTAATAAACTGGTGGATCCTGAGAGATCTGGAGACTTTAACCAGGCCATGATGGAGCTGGGTGCAAGAATCTGCACCCCCAAAGGACCTTTGTGCAGCCAGTGTCCCATACAGACTCACTGTCACTCCTACAGGAAGGTGAGAAGAATGCTGAGTGTCAAAGCAATGCTAGTAGGTAATTGCAACGGTCTGTGCTTTTATTTCCAATGATAATTTAATTTAATTTAATTTTAATTAACAAGGTTTTGTTTGTCTCTTTTACTTATCTTTTATATCTGGACTTATTTCCGTACTCACCTGTACTGTATTCGTATTTGTGTCTATATCTGTACTTATCTTATGTACCGTTTTTGTTTATCTTATTTTATATACAGCGCTTTGTAATTTTGATCTGTGAAAAGCACTCTATAAATAAACTTAACTTACTTACTTACTTACTAACAAAAGCTTGGTGCTAGCATTTACGTGTTGTAGAGTGCATGATAGTGGTCTTATATTGTGTTGAATTGTGCAGGTTCACATCAAACAAGAGAAAAACTCCCAGAAGCTGTTGGGGAAGCAGGATAAGAAGCTGTCCTCCCTGCCTGATATAGAAGACTGTGGTAAATGTCCTAATTCAGATCCCTACACCTTCCTCTGGTTATAACATTAGATTAAAAGACTTTTTCTTCTCTGTCAGTGGACGGCCGGGAATGTCTGTTGTGTCCCTCTGAGCCCTGGGATGATGAGCTGGGTGTTCAGAACTTCCCCAGAAAGCCAGCAAAGAAGCCGCCCCGCGTGGAGCGAACTCTGACCTGTGTGGTGATCAGAACAGGCGAGGAGGGCGAGGACGAGTACCTGCTTACACAGAGGCCGAACAAAGGTTAGTATGGTCAACACATCAGAGGTCACACTCTTATTCCTACTTGACTTTTTATTCACAGCTTTCACTCCAGTCCTGCCTGTGTCGATTTGGCTGTACTTTCTGCCTAGTTTTACTCTATCATTGTTATCTTATGTGATAAATTTTGAAATACTGACGGCAAAATCTAATAAATGATGAAACCTTGTATAAAACACATTAGTATATAAATTAAATATGTTAATAATAGGATGAGCCTTAAGTAGTGTTTGTTTATCAACAGGTTTGCTGGCAGGCATGTGGGAGTTTCCAAGTGTCCTGCTGGAGGAGAAAAACTCTGAGGTGGATCAGAAGAGGGTGCTGTGTTCAGAGATCAACAGGTTACTAGGAACCAGTCTGACAGAAAGTCTTTTCCAGTATGTAGGAGAGGTAATGAGAACATGATGAGTACAACCTGTACAACCTGACACACATTTTTATGCAGAATAAACTCCTTTTTACCCCCCTGTTTACAACTTCTGATGGGCCACTGATGTGGTCTTTGCAGGTTGTCCACATCTTCTCCCACATCCACCAGACGTACCTGGTTCACAGTGTTTGTTTGAGGAACGGTGGGACACAAACACAGACTGAAAATGCACAGTGGCTGAGCAGATCGGCTATACAGGAAGCTGCTGTGTCCACAGGAGTGAAAAAGGTTTTTACTTTGTTTGCTCAGAGTCTAGGGAGGTGTGTGAGTTTGCAGTCTGCTGCATCAGGAGTAGACTACAGTATCTCTCACAGGCTTTTACAGATTACAGAGAAGAGATTATGTGAAGAGAAGATGAAACAAATCAAAATGTTGTGTCTCCTGCAGATTGTGAAGCTTTGTAGTGAAAACGAACAAACCACCAAGGTAAAAGCTCTTTATTTCTGTGTACTGAAACCTGAATCTCACTCTATACTCCTGTACTAAAACAGATTCTATGTGTATTATTTGTTTCTTCTTTCTTTACTCAGGATGGAAAAAGGAAAAAGCCCACTGACACGAAGAATGTCAAGAAACAACCAACTTCTAAAAAAGCCAAAGTGGACGCCGCTCACACAGGCAGCAGACAGCTCTCTCTCAGTTCCTTCTTTAAAGCAGTAAAAGAAGAGTCTGTCTGAAGCATGCAAACGTCCCTCACTGTGCCTTTTCAGGAGTATGTGCCTCTTTTGACACAGGAAGGTGAAAAATACAGTTACACAAAATCACTCCTTTTTTTAAAGACAATTGGTTAACACTGAAAAACTATTTACCCCATGATACCGATGAAGTGTTAGAAACCTACTGTTAATCATGTTTTATTAATGTTTTATGGGAAGTTCGAAAACAAAGTCAATTAAATCCTTTTACTTCAGCTTTTTATGTGTTTTTAGACTTTGTAAAAGCGAATGATATTTCACTGTAACAAAAATGTACAGTTGATGAAGACGATCTTTTCAACATTAATATCAACTATAATCTGGGTAACTGTCGATCTTTGTAGTGCCAACATCAGCTGCCATCATTGTTACTATATTATCAGTTTCTACTATTATCTTAACATTGCAACAACAATGAATTTTGAATGTGCCTTCAGGAATAAATAAAGTTATTCTTGTTCTTACATTGATTTTGCCTTCAAATTTTAATCTCAACCACAATGGTTATTCTGATGGAAAATCAAGATTGTCTCAACAATGTCTTGCTATCTAGGTGTTTCAATATTATAGTGACTATCCTCCAAGATTAGATTATATTAAACTTTAGACTCAATTTGAAACAGATGGTTTCCAAATTTAGTAAAAGACATTTTAGTTCATATCTAAGTTTGTAGTCTGGAGGTGGTAAAGATGAATTTAAGTTTTTCACCAGCCAAAGTTACCAGTATTGCAATAAACAGGTTCATTAACAAAGTGTGTTATTGTTGCATTTCTAAAACTCGTGTTAAAACCCAATTTTATTCAACCCTGCATGAGACTCGGCTCCTGTTTTAGTGTTTTATGTTTTTTTTTTTAGTTTATTTGTTTCTATTGTTTTTAAATTAGTTTTTAAAAACGTTGAAACTATATTTTACTTTTTAATATCTGTTTTTATTTTATCCAATGTCTTAATTGTTTTTTGATTTGTTTTGTCTATTTATGTACAGCACTTTGTCCAGCTGTGGTTGTTTTAAAGTGCTTTACAAATAAAGTTGGGTTGGGTTGAGTTTAACCATATACATAAATATGTATGATAAAACATTTAATTCAGAGAAAAAGATAGATTCTTCATATAAAGCAATGGTTTAACATAAAAAGGTGACATGACTTGTGGAAACAGCGCCCCCCGCTGTTCTGAAAGTGTCATGGTAAAAAAAAAAAATCTACAACAGAAGCGGGGAAAACAGGAAGTGATTCAACTTCTTTCTCTACTGTCTTGCAAAGTCAATGAGGCAACCCTCGGTGTCTTTCAGCGCCACTTTTTCTGGTGAGGCTGGTCGCTCCAGTCTGTCTTCATTCATTCCCAGCAGAGTCAGATCTTGGACTGATTCGGGCGCCTGCATGAAGGGCCACAAGTTGAACTTTGCTTGTAATTGTTCGCCCAATAAGAGTCCAAAGGTCCTCCAGTGCTGTCACTGAATCTTGGGCGTTTTGCAGAGCGTGCATTGGTAAGTTTTGTCCTTGTTAATATGATCAGATTTGAGTTTATTTCCTCTTGTAATTCACTCATTTTCTTAATGTGTCCAGATGGCTGCTGCTTGGGAAAGTGCCCTTTCTGTGCACCAGAGAATAGTGGACAATGGAGGTATATTTCTGATTTTGTTTAAAAAGATTTTTATTTCTTTTTACTATTTAAATGGATTCTGCAGCACTATTTCATTCACAGAAAAGATTCTCAGTTGGAATAAAAACCCAGGCCAGTGTGTAGGAGTTGTGAACTCCTTGCCTTCACAATCAGTGCTTTGTGGTTTTCCACATGATTTGCCACCATTTAGCTTCCATTATCTTGTTAGAGTGCTGGGCATATAAGGACAGAGGATTGATACTGACTCTGCCAATAACAGACAAAAGCCCTCTCTTTTTCTGTTGTAAAACCCCCTTCCTGTTTTTTGAATAAGTATTTGGTGCCAAAATCCTTAAAAAAAAAAAAAAAAAAAGACTGTAAAAGTTTGTCACTTGCTATTGCACTTGATTTTGTTGGTTGAAATCACTGCAGCTCTAAAAATATTAGACTTTGGCCTGCTGTGTCCTACGTGATATTGATTAATTTTGAGTAATGGACCCTGAAGACCTTGACACAGAACCCTGTTATGTTCCAGATAAGAGGACAGACCCGTGGCTGCTGGTCTACTCCCCCGTCCCAGTGTCCATCATCTTCCTGATCTACCTGTGTGTGGTCTGGGTCGGCCCTCATCTGATGAAACACAGACAACCTGTCGACCTCAAAGTTGTTCTCATAGTTTATAACTTTGCCATGGTTGGCTTGTCTGCCTACATGTTTCACGAGGTGTGTTTTTGTTGAAACAACATCAAACCTGAACACAGCACTGTTGGAAACAATTAGTGGTTATCAAAGGGTTTAATTGTGTGTGTAATTTCTCATAATTGCTGCTTTTTGCTTTGGGACATGTTTTATAGCACTAGCACTGACGTTGCTGTTAAACTTCTTATAAATTCATTCACAGTTCCTGGTCACATCATGGCTCTCCAACTACAGCCTCCTCTGTCAGCCTGTAGACTACAGCACCAGCCCACTAGCAATGAGGGTGAGTGAGTCTCTGATCTTTAACATTTAGCCCTGAATTTGCTTTTTATCTAATACAAAAGCAAAGAAATCTGGGTCATGATTTGATGTAAGACTCACTTTTCTCCTTTCTGCGTTTCCTCCAGATGGCCAGAGTCTGCTGGTGGTTTTTCTTTTCCAAAGTCATCGAGCTCAGTGACACGGTATAACATGTATTCATGAGAACATCTGAAATATCAGAGAAAATTAAAGAAACGGATGATTTAACCGTCTCTGCTCCTCTCTCTGGACAGATCTTCTTCATCCTGAGAAAGAAGAACAGTCAGGTGACTTTCCTTCATGTTTACCATCACGCTACCATGATCTTCAACTGGTGGGCGGGTGTCAAATATGTCGCAGGAGGACAATGTAAGACGGTTGTTTTAAATGATTTTCAATGCTGTATTGCAGTTAATGTGAAAACATGTCATAAGTAACAGTAAATAGTGTTAGCTTGTGGGCGTAGATTGTTGCTTAAATCTGATAAATCTGGTAATTTTCTTCAATTATAAACGCATAACTAGTCATGATTTGTACTGGGTTCTGTGTCCTATTGATTTGCTGAGGGAAACATTGAATCAGTCCAATGTCCACTATCACAGGCTGCTCAATAGTCACTCTATTATCAACTGTTTATAAATCCTCAGCTGAAAGTAGTCCCTCAAACACACCATTTAGTCACTTTTTAGTATCGTACTCAGCTGTTTACACAAAACCTCTATTCAAAATGAAACAACAAATGCTTTTAGTCCTTTGCACAGCCCTTGTTTCATGAACATTAAGAGCTTGCACAAACTGAAGAATGCTGAAAAAGGTTTACTGTCATTCCGCTGCATGCCTGCTGCCTTATACTCCATTCAGTAAACTGCACTTATATTTTTTTATAAGTTTTTATGAAACTTTTTAAACTTTTTAAAAACTTTTTTATAAGTTTTATAAGTTCACTGTTTTTGAAATCTAACAGCTGCTCTGATTGCTTTTGCTCATCCCTCAGCCTTCTTCATCGGCTTGGTTAACACATTCGTCCACATAGTGATGTATTCTTACTATGGCCTGGCTGCCATCGGCCCTCACATGCAGAAGTATCTCTGGTGGAAGAAGTATCTCACCTCTCTGCAGCTGGTGAGTCCTGCTTTAAAGGAACTGTGAGTATACAGACCCTCTCTCATGGTGAAATAAGCCATTATGACCCGCTCTTGCCTGTCCCTCCAGGTGCAGTTCATGCTTTTCCTCTTTCACACCGGCTACAACCTGTTCACCGAGTGCGACTTCCCCGACTCCTTTAATGTGGTGGTGTTTGGTTACTGCGTCACCCTCATCATCCTCTTCAGTAACTTCTACTATCAGAGCTACCTCAACAAGAAGAAGCAGAAATAAGACTGAAAACACACTCTGTATGAGAGACACTGACACAATGGTGTGGCCATGTTGTCAGCGGGTGCCTGCAGTACTCAGCAGATTCCAGTAGAGGGAGCAACATGCCCACAGTTTGGTGGTTTTACTCCAGGTGCTTGGCCAGCCAAACTTGAACACTGATATGAGTTTGTCCAAAAAAGTTAGTCAGACATAAAGAAAGACAAATGCATCATGATGATCATACAATTATTTATTTCTTATTAGAGAAAGGACAAACATTCAAATAACTGTTGTAAACAAACTGTACATTTTTTACATATTATAATAAAGTAGGTTGTTTCTCTGCATTATTGCTGAGTTATGGGTTCGAACCTCCTCCAGAGATCAATCAAAGAAAACAAAAATAAATCAATAACAAAATACAGAAATGCAAACATTTTTTTTCCACTGTTACAACGACACAGCAAAATGATATAATCTTTTCTCACTTCATTTTAAAACAGAGTGAAATATGTAGATCAGAGAGGAAAACATTAAAAAAGACAGCAAGGGCGGTTTTGTAATTACAGGTCAACACTGAGTCTGAAAAACTGAATTTTTGAGCTTGAAATATGACGTGTGTGAAAGTGTTAGCACCAGTGTGTCCAAATTAGACTCTGTAAAATGATGAGTGATAGTGAACCAAAGAAAGAAAACACAGATACTTAAAAGACTAACAGGGTTGTGTCAATAAGGGGAAGCCACAGCAGCTGTCTTCCAGGTGGAAATTGAACAAGGTGCCTTTATTCACTCAAGGCCAATCTCATAAACACATGAAGTGCTATTCCATCCACCTGAGTATTAAACTTTCTCAGCTGTCTTTGCAAATGTTTTTCACAGGATGCAAAAAGAGGGTAGAAATCAAAACACTGACTAGGTTTTGCATGTCTTACATTAACTGTTTACCAGATCACACTGGCCATACAATGTAATCTCTGCTTTTCACAGCCTCCAGGCCACATTATGTCATAAATAAATCTCATTTGTTTGGTGAAGACTGTGTGGGTCAAAAGCAGCGGATTCTTTACTTTAATGTCATTGATTTTTACAAGATATACCATGATTCATATTCTATATGAATTAAGGCTTTTTACCTTGTCCCCTACTCAAGAAAGCCCCCGTGGCTTCCCCATAGTGACAGTATTTCAAAAGAGTACCTGGATTGTACCTACCAACCTGAGCACATCTCTTTTTTTCCCTATTGGGACTGACGGGGTTATTTTTTTAAAACCGTAATTCTTCATCTTTGTTGGCGAGGTGAGACTTCCCTGTCATTTTTCAGGCTTGTTTTAATCATTTTAAATCTATGGTTAGGGTTTTAAATTTCATTTTTTAACCTTTTTTTCCAGAGGAGTTTTTCAAGGCTTATAACCCAGTGGTCCCCAAGCTGTGGTTCAGGGCTGAGGCAGAATTAAAAGACAAATTTGAAGGCTCAAACAGCTGTCATACTTTCAAGGCACTACACTTGTTTTTGCCAGAGCCATATTACAAACTGAATGACCAAAGAGACATTTGACATCCAACAACATTGGTTCCAACAATAGTGCAGCTTTGCATCTGTTATTAGACTCTCCCTGCCTGGTAAATGCTGGAATACCTTACACTCCAGGTCCACTTCTAGTTTGGGACACAGATTTTTGCCTGATTCCAGGAACACCATCGTCACCATGATATCACTTTGACATCACTGGTGGTTTTTATGGTTGAGTAAGATTATTATTTCTACTATTACAACAGGGAATACCTCCAAATGTGTTTTTAAGCAACTGGTGCTGACACATTCTGTGAGGGGATACAAGCCAAAGTGTTCCAGTCCCTCTATAATCACTTACTTGGACTCAAAGAGAAGTGAAATGTGCCACAACCATTGAGACTACGGTAAGAAGTGAGACACACTGCAGTGCTCATCGGTTTCTTCGAGCCTGTTTCCTGATGTGATGTCTGTGGAAGAAATTGGACAGCAAACTGCTGGAGGAGGTGTGCTGAAGCGTGCCCTGCTCTGGTGCTGCTCTATGTCTCTGTGTAGACGGAGGACATGTGGCTCAGACTGCGGTCAAAGCTTCCCACCTGGAAGAAGATGCTTTCCTCTGGGCTTGAGGAGAACTGGCATCCACCGCCACCTTGAAGCTCCTGGGTCAAGCTAAAGCCTGGAGCAGAGGAGAAAAAAGAGCAGCCAGTTAAACATTTAGATGAGATTGTCCAGGTCGTAATTCAGGCGAGTTGGCTCTGAGTGAAATTTTCTCACCTGGTGTGCCTGTGTTGTTGGTTGGCATATGGAAGTTGTTGTGCTGATGGGAATTGTATGCGTGAGAATCTCCTGGGACTTGGATGCCACCAACTGTCTGCTCCATCCTGTAGGAGTCTCCGAAGTGGAAGCAGCTCTGAAAGCTGCCTTGGTATTCTAGGAGGAGAAAGAGGAAAAATAGAAACCAGATTTGATTGACTAACTATTATCTATGGTCGATTGTTTCAGAGGTAAGTAAGCGTTCTCTTCATTCGGCTGAAACCTGATTTGGATCAGAATTGTGTGACAATGTTATATTTGTGTTTTTGCTATCTGTGCCAGCCCTGCAGTATGTTGCATCTGTCCTCATCGTCTCAGTCTGGACGACCGCAGGAGTCACGATAATGGGGAAGCAGTCTATCCTTGGGTGCTTTTACGCAACTCCCTGACCACAGTGTGGTTTGAGAAACGCTCATGTGTAGATCTTTACAGGGAAAACAGTGTTTAAGGCGCTAGGAAAAAGGCTTTGGAGTGACAGCTGAGCCTGCCATGTTAGGGCGCCGAGAGACAGCTGAGCACATGAGCCAGCATTTTGTTGGCCAATTCAGCGCAGGAGAAAGGCTTCCGGCATGTGGTTTTCTCCGCTCTGCCTCGATGGTTCTAATCTTACTCCATCCTAAAAGCACTCTGATGTAGCCACGGGGAAGAATCGCTGCTCTGAGAGACAACTTCCTCCCTTTTTAGACCTTTCATGTGGGTGTGCTGGTGCAGTACGCGTTTGAAAAAGAGACACAGGGTTGTTCTCATGCATATTCAAGTGATCTGACTCTTAATTCCCTCACAGGAAGTTCTATGAAAGTAATACCTTCTACATGTTTCTGAACCACCTGCCACAGGAAATAAAAATCAGGATATTAAATTGAAATGCCAATGAACATTTCTTGAATTCACGTCAGGGTGGATTTCCTGAAACAAGCTCAGCAGGAAGTCTTTGGGTTAACCTTACCGTCGCTGGCAAGCTGATGGTGGTGATAGTGGGAGTACGGCTTGTGTTGAGGGTGGACATGCTGTTTCTCCAGAGGAGGCGGAGGAGGAGGCGTCCCGGTTCCCTTCATCCCTGGAGACAGGAGGGGACCTGACACCCTGAAGGAGACGCAGAAAAGGGTAGTCAAACATGCGTGAATATTAAGACATCCAAATCTATTATTAGTTCCTTTAAAGACAGCGTCACAAATTTCTCAGTATAATGTCTTCATGCTTCGTCAAAGCCGTCACGACACGCCAGCTCTCCAAACACATGATCCGACAAACCCAGCCGAGCGTTTTAGTGATCTTGAACGGACAGAAGAAGAAACATTCCAGGCATGTGGAAACTTGGGCTCCCCACATGTAATCGTCCTCCTACCACATATTATGATCTTAAGTCAACAAACAGCAGAGTGTGCATTCAACTAAAACCACCCCCTCCTCACATGCACACACACACACACGCACGCACGCACGCACGCACGCACGCACGCACGCACGCACGCACACACACACACACTGCCCACATTGCAGTAACTACAGGCTTTGTGGCCTCCAAAGAATAAAGCACAATAGTGTTTACATTCATGACTTTGGAGAAAGAAAAATATAAAGCTGACATGTTTGTGACTTTGTGGACTTTAACAGCTTGGATAACAACTCAAATGACCAAGCCGGCTTATTTTTGTGGGTATTGATCATTTAAATAAAAGATCTGATCCAGCAGTCTGAAATCTCAGACTTCTTTCTAGTGGAGTGTACCGCCAAGTGTTTGTTGGTCATACCATCTAAGGTCGCTCTCTGCGCTGGGAAAACCACGTTGTAAAGATCACAGAAACGAGTGAAATATTACAGTAATACCAGCTGATGGTAATTCCCCCTTTTAGCGTCACGCTTAAATTGGTTCAACCCCAAAAAAACATAGAGTGAAATTAAAGACTCTCCAGCGTGCTTCGGTGAGGTTACGCAGAAGCTGTCAGCAGCATCAGAGACCACGCTCTGTCTAACATCATATCAAAAGTATGCTGATATCATGGTGGTTGTTATTTATTTAAATTGTTGTCTCTGCTCAAAAGTGTGCACATCAATGGATTTCTAAATATTTGGAGAATTACATCATGCATTTTAAGGGGAACTCCACCTCGAATCAAAGTTGTACAAGCATCAAAAGGATTGTTAAACCTCTTTTTGAAATGCCTCGAGCACCTGAGTCAACTTTGCATCAAAGTCCCCTCTGTGGTCTCACTGGGTCATGAAGAGTGATATTCCCATTAGCATAGCAAAAACCTGGCTTGAATCTCTTTAAAGGCACAGAGTGATATTTTTCATAAACGTCTTGGTGGGAGTTAAATATGAAAGTAGTCACTACTCATGTCTGCACAGTCCGTGTGAAGCTGAAAAAGAATAAGCCCACATAGATAATGGATTATACATATATTTATGATGTGTTACAATTTGCTTAAAAACTTGTATAACTATCATTATAAACACTCATAAATGATCATAATGCTTTATAGCTATGATCATAACATATAATAAAGCATTTTATCATGACTTACAAGGTCAGGTATTATAATGTGTTATAACTGTTAACAACACACTGACGATGCCCACATAGATAATGCATTATACATATATTTATGATGTGTTATAATTTGCTTATAAACTTGTATAACTATCATTATAAACACTCATAAATGATTATAAGGCTTTATAACAATAAGCATAACACATTATAATACCTGATCTTGTGAGTCATGATAAAATGCTTTATTATATATATATATTATTATATGTTATGATTATTGCTATAAAGCATTATGACTATTTATGAGTGTTTATAACCATGGTTATACAGTGCTATAACGTGATTATAATGCATTATACATATATTTATAATGCATTATGGAGATAGGCGTCAAGTAAAGTGTTATCGATATATGCATCATAAGAACATTTTAAAGCTGTATAAATGCTACTACAAGGTTTTATAACATCATATATGCCATAATAAGCAATTATAACAGCTTATAGCCGCATTTGTGAAGAGGGTGAGCATAATGCATATGAGTTGTTTAACAAGTACATGTTTCTATAACACATTTATAAGGGCTTATAAGCAGTATTTTGTAGCTGTAAGTAAAATGTATGACAAAACTACCTCCCCTCCAAAAATACCCTTAGATAATTGAAACTTTTTTTGGTATTATGCATGATAAACTACTCCTTCACAGGCAAAGTGAATTAAAAAAAAAAAAAAAAGATGTTGCTGATGGTTTGCTCGTTAAATTCATAAGGAGACACTAGTATTAATTTAAGTTTGTTTCATAACAGATAAACATTTCACATAGGAGCTTTAATGTTTGACATTAACCTAATAGGACAGAAATTTACTCAAATCCTGCCTGTAAAAACAGAGAAGGCCAATCACTCCCCAAAATATTCAGCAGCCACTTAGTGCCCTCTCATGAGTGCACATCAGGAATGCCAACACATAAACTGCTGCTGTGTTACTATGTGCTGCTTAGCTGTGGAAGCATATGGTTTACACTAAGCGCTATATGAATGTGATGACAGAGTGCCGCTGGAGGCAGACAAGCCCTCAAATAACTGCTCGGCTGGCCTGGCTGGAGCCTACAAAATGACCTACTGCTTCATGCATGGGGCTTCCTGGACAGCAAAAAGTAGCCCGCTATGTGTACAAAATGTGGCTAAGGAAGGCTGAAGATGTCAAACAAAGGTGTGTGATTCTTAACACACTTTCATCAGGGACGTACAGTAGCTTTAAACTCGTGTTTTTGCCTCCATTACTTCTATCCATCACAAAACTATATAATCAATACATTTTGGCATACTTTTTAAAGTTGTTGATGCATATTTGCTTAAGTATAAGATCCTACTGACTTTAGTGCAGAGAAAACTGACCAGCAAACTGCTCCAAAGGAAACAAAAAGAAACAGTGCAAATTCATACAATTTAATATGGTCTGATGGCATTGATTCAATGGGAGAGACTAAAATGAAAAATAAGTTTGTCAGACTTGCTCTATGAAATAATTTCACATATGGTGAGTTTTAAAATATTGCACCACCCAGCTCAATATACAGTAATTAATGAACTTAACCAAAATGATTACAGACAGGGAAACTTTTACTGACATTTTTAGACTTAAATTGTTGGTATTTTAAGCTTTTGTGAGGATCTGTTGGTTTGTTTCAATTTTGGCACCTTAGGTGGAGAAAACAGTTCCTCTAATCTCTTCGCTGGTTTTATCCTTTAAATGTCCAACCAGTACAGAGAAGTATTCACTTAAGGGAAAGAATCTGCTTTGTACAGAATTAACACGATAATAACTTCATAGATGCAAACCTTTTGCTGTGTTTTTCCGATTTCTTGGGTTTCTAAGTCAGTTTTTCTAAGAAAAACAATTTTGATCCATAAAATCTTCTCATAATTCTGAGATAATTATCTTGCTAATTTAGAATAACAGGGAAAAATATTTAATTTTCAAAAAGTTATCATGTAATCCTGAGAACAGAGACCTTGATATTTCAGAAAAAGGGGTTTTATTTACTCAAGTGAAAAAAAATCATGTCCTGCATTTCCCATGTCCCAGATTTTTTGTCATGGAAATGAAAAAAATCGTTGTAAAAACTCCAAACAAAAGCCTTAAAGTACTTTTTTTGCCAGCACTTTTGACAGCATATCAGAAAACACTCTTTTTGTGGTATGGAAACAAAAGTGCTGTAGCCTATTGGTAACTTGTCTAAGGTCAATATACCCCTCGATTCAGTGCTCATTCCTTTAAGAGACAAAAATGAGAAAACATTGCACGGACTATTGGCACATCTTCAAATTTAAGCGATAAGGCTGAGTTTTATGGAAAAAACAAATCTTTCAAACTTTCTGCATTGGTTTTTCTCTCTGAGCCTCCTTTCTATCAACATGTTCATCTGGGCATCAAATGCACTGTAAATGCACTGCACTTGACCTCTTGTGTCCACCTCCTGAAATTGGGGAAGCTTGTGTGGCACCTGGTGTCAGTCTGGCTCTAAAGAAGCTAGCTGTTAGCGAGCGTAGCTAATCCATGGGTTGGCATGGGCCCAGTGCGTGGCCATGTGGTCCTGCAGAGAGCAGCATTCCCCCAGGAGCTGCTGTCAGCACAAACTCAGGAAACAGTTATACTGTTCATATTTTTACAAGCTGCCTCTATGTGCAGCTAAAGTGAATCATAAGCTAATCACTGCCAGCTGCCCACAGACTCTGCTCATGCTGGACTCTGGCTTGCTCTTGACTGAGGCTGGAGGTATGAGGGGAATCTTTCATATTCCGCATTAATCTCTGACCTGATATTCATCTTCACTGACCATCCTGTATTACTCCACTTTTTCCAGCCAGCCCACCCACTCATGTCTCACGGCAATGAGAAAGTGATTTGACCTTTGACCTGTTGATTCTTAAAGACAGGGATTGATCTGATTTCGGGGTGAGGCGATGAGATTGATGAAGTAAATTTCTGAGAGGGTTTAGAGATTGTCGACAGACGTGTAAACTAACTTCTGTGCTGTCTGTTAGAGCGACATCCTTTCAGCTCTGTTTCGTGAAGATAGCAGCGTGGGTAAGAGGTGCCAGCATGATCATTTCTTCAGTGATTAGCATGGGGTTTCTGAGACCTCCCTCTTCACTTATGAAAATATGGCTCAGTGACTTAAAACTCGAGTGTCTCAGCGACTTTTCCTGTGAGTAATATGGGAAAGCTGATGTCATTCTAGGAGGGAGATTTAGTAAAGTTCATGACCTAGCTGTACGCCTGGAGCCCAGACAACAGGACTTGTATTGAGGTAAGCCTGAGCAGATTATTGTCCAGAAATGTAACAAAAAAGTTGATGAACTCTTGTTGTGTGAAAGAAAAGCAGTCCTGGCGGAGTCTTGGCTCTTTGTACTGAGGCATGATGGGATGGAAAGAAAAACCTGAAGATTCATGAGCACTGCTGCTCTGCTGCTCGTTCGTCTTCCTTCACCTGCAGCTAGCTGTCCCACCAGGGAGCGGGGATCAGACTCCATCCTCCAAAGACTTTACGTTCTCGACAAACACCCTCCGCCCCCTCCTCTCATCTGCTCCCTTAGCAGCCGACATTAAGCTCCTCTGATGGATGACAGGGTCTTCTTTGGCATAGACTGGTGGGAACGCTTCTGGTTCTGGTTAGCAAACTAAAGCTGTGCTTGAGAGACAGACTATAGCATCCTGGCTAAAGCTAAGCTAACACTAAGCCAGCCCTGCAGGCCTCAGTGTGAAGACTACATTTAGGGCTTTGGATACTTTTGGGGCCTTAAAGCTCTTTGAAAGCCCCGGTAAGACAACTGCTCTAAACACAAAGGATCTGTCCTTAATCACCATCATTCTTGGACAAAATATTGACGATATAACATCTGAATCTTTAGCGTGAGTTAACCGTTTGTGCTGATGGGTTTAAATAAAGACTAGCGTCGATTAAAGACTGGGCATTAATAGCAGAGAATGAGTTACTGACCACACTCTGTCGTGAGCAACCACCCCAAAAAATGTTTTTGTTTGGGCTGCGAGGTTGACACTCGTTTTCTGGATCACTGCGTTGACTGATAATGACTGGAAGTCAACAGTGTCGGGTTATGAGCGGCGAACGTCCCCCTTCACTGCCCAAACTCTTAATGTAGCTCTGTGGCGTCCCTGCTGCCACTCTAATTCAATTACCCTACGTCAATCACTGCTGAGGTATCAAACCACCTCAGACCAATATTTACAGAGGGGCTCTAATATCAATACGCAGGTAACGGCTGCATACTCGCCCCTCTGCAATTATATAACCACATATGGCCGAGGCAGTGAATGACAACATTTACCACCCATCCCTCTGTGAGCACACGCTGCTGTGGTGGAGCAGCCGTTTCCATGATAGCTGCTGCACACACACACACTCAAACACAAATACACACTTACACACACATGCACAAGATCGCAAAATGTATTTTAACTGGCATATTTTAATATTAGCTTCAGAAAAATGACACTGGTATTTAGAGAGTAAAAGGAGTCTAAATGGCCCATTTGAGCCAGAGTAAACACATTTAGCTATGAGGTCAGAGGCTGCCACACTAGAGGCAGGTTAGTTTGATAATTTTGTCAAAATGTTTAATGTCCTGCTAAACCGTTTGGGAAAAACAAGTGCGGCGCTGATATTGACTTTGGCAGCAGGCTGTATACTCAAGGCTTTAAAACATGTAAATCAAATGCTCCATCTTCAGGCTAATGTGAGTAGACGTTTCATGCCCGGCTCGTTGCTCTGTAGGTCCCTGCCACAACTCTGCTTATTTGACTCTCAACCCCACCCTCAGTGCGTTATCCTGTGATGAACAGATAGGGCGACACAGTGTGTGTGTGAGTGTGTGTGTCATAGCTTTTAGGTGAAACATCTTGATTTGATGAAATTTCCAAGTGTGGAAATTTCTGTCATTTTAATGCAGCATTGTAATCGCATAACAAGCGTGAGCTGAAGCTGGAGTGGGAGGGGGAGGACAAACATGAACCTGAATGGCATTTTGGATACTTATGTTGCAGAACAAATGGGACTCGAACTGCACAACGCAGACATTTAGAAGCTCCTCATCAAGCCTCAGAGGGAGAAACCCCCATCATAGGGCTGGGTGATATGGGAAAAAGTTTATCACAATATATTTTTTTCATATCAGATGATATCGATATATATCACGATATAAAAAATGAAATTGAAGAGTGCCTATTGGTAGCATGTCTTTTGCAATACAATAAGCTACTGCATCTGTGAGGTCTTTGTGTTTCTTCAACATTTTGTCGTAAGGCGTTGCAGTAGAGAAAGCAGAATGGTTGGCTGTTTCGGCTGCACAGGCGCCATGGGCTCCTTTCTCCGCTCGGGTTTGTAACCTTTTGCATTGTGCATGCTCTGCTGTGTGGCACTGCTTCAGGTGGTGATAAAGATTTGAGGTATTCCCTGACTTTACGAGAACATGTACTTGACATAATTTGCTGTGCGCATTACTCTGCTTCATGTCCGATTTTGTACGTTTTCATGCCAGTGTTGTCAACGATGTCTTCATCTGTTGAGCCTTCATCTGCATTTCTGTCAGGGGTAGCACTCATTTTCTTTTTTCTCACTGACAGTGCTTTCGGCTTCTCGTGTTAAAATGCTATAGTTGCGTGTAGCTGCAGCCTGCTACTACGCAGTCATTTGCTACTTGGTTCTACTTTAGCACATGATTGGTTCAGTGCGAAGCGGACCCGGAGTAACTCCCCTTTCATTGGCTATTCGTATAGTCTACCAAAACATGGTAGAATTCCAACAATTGAAAATGATACTGACCATGTTTTATATTGATATTGAGGGAAATTAATTTTTGATATATATCGTTGTCGTTTTATCGCCCAGCTCTACCCCATCATACCTTTACTACGTCACCCTGCATGTGTAACCACTGTTACAGCATCCCCTACCCAGGTCCTTTTCAGTTTCTATCCCTCTCACTGTGCTGGTAATTGTGCCCGCCATCAAGAAAGAGGCGCTGCAGCCACAACGTAATTTCATCAGCCTTCTCCTCCTGTTTTTAAGGCTTGAAACAACACATCACCTTCCAGCTGCTTTCAGACCGGTCGAGCGTCTCTCTGCTGCACTTGGACGTTTACATCCAGACGGTTTTGCCGCCTCGGCTCGCTGCTCTGTTTGTGCTGGAAGTCTGCTGTGCCTCACACCCCAATCACTCGCAATCATGTGTGTTTCCTGGATTACTATATGTAAACTCCACTCACTCACACACACTCCCACACACTGAGACACACATGTGCACACACATGCATGGCTCTTAAGAGTAAGAAAGCTTTCAAATCTCATTCTCTCATGAGCCGGTGCTGTATATACTCCAGTGAAAGTGCATATACACACAGACACCTAAAGAGTGGACCACAGGGTTAAAATAAAGCATGTTTACGTAACACAATCACTTTTGTAACACAGGGTTTATCATGCCTGATTCCATCCACTCTTTCTCAATGTTATTAAACTGTAAAAGAGTGTTTTCCTTTTCCACCTCCCTGGTTTTCGGCACTTTCTTTAGTACAGTACACACTGTGCCTCCTGACGACACTTGGGCTCTGTGTTTCTGCTCCGCTGGGAAATCTTCTGCACTAATAGGAAACATGCTGAGTCTCTCACACGTACACTCACACACAGGACAAATAAAAATTGATACATGAAAAGAGCGGTCACTTCTGCCCAAGTTTTCTTGTGCAACAAGGCAGCATTTGTGCAAACTGCAGGTTTTCCAAGCACAGTTAGAGGCAGCTCTTTCGAAAATCGTGTTTTACGGTTTCCTATATTTTCTCATTCAAGTTAATCTTTATCATAATAAGCTGCTCCATATTTTCTGACATACAAGCACATACATCATTATGAAGTTTGATATACAAACTGACTGAAAGTGAAGTTTCATAGCAGTTTTGAAATGCATTGCCCAAATCAAAAACTCTAATACCTCCCAGGATTTCAGAAAGCTGACCCATCAGAGGAAACTGGGCTTTCATGGAGAGGAGCCTCAAAGGGACACTACCTGAGATTACCTGTGCTAGTCAAAGGTTTTCTCTGACACCAGGGTGAGATATAACATGGTTTTTAGATTTGTAAATCATGTAAAGCTATTTTAAAGGTTTCAGAGTGAAAATATAAAACTTGTGATAAGCATTAAAGAGCCACTTTAAACATCAGCTCAAGGGGGTTTGTACAAACTAAGTCGTAAGGTCATGTTTTTGGGAGAATTTGTTGAATCATGTCATCAGGGATTAAACCTCTTCACAATATAAACACCAAATAATCCTATCACACTGCCCTAGCAGTGTCCTCAAAGCCAAACAGTTCGGTCATCACACTGATGGTGTCGTATCCAGTGGAGATGGGGGACCTTATGTACACTGACGATGGTGCCAGAAGTGGAGCTGGTGATGTGTCACGTTGACCCCACAGTGACCAGCATAGCCCTCTTTTCATGAGGAAAGTCTCAGGGGTTGTAGAGTTTAGATTGTTTCCAGTGAGATGACCAAATAGGTTTGTCAGCAGGACAGAGGGGCTTAACCCAACATGATCTAAGAGGGTTCGCCCTGCCGTGATTCAGGATGATGAATAGGTGAAAAACAATGAAAAACCAGAGGGTCCAAATTTGTGAGAATCACAATACTATCAGCATGATTAATGTAAGAAAACAGTTCAACTGGCCTCGAGGTATAAGCAGATATTTTCATGTTTATGTGAAGATTCATCAAAAACACTACAGAACAGCACTTTAATAACTCTTCTTTAGTGCTGCAATAGTGAAGACAAATGAACTTATTGGACCTCTGTCCAGGAGCGTGTGTGTGACCATTCAGCACCATGTCACTCAAACATGTGTGGTCACTTACAAGCCTTTCTTTATGAGGAGATATTACTCTCTTTATGATTTCTGGTAACTAAAACAAGAAAAGTTTGACCAGACAAATACAATACAAAAGCACAAATACTCTGTTACTCTATGTAAGAGCTGATGTCAGTTATCTGTCCCTTAAAAATTATTTGTCTTTCTAACCACTCGTTTGTTTTGCACATTACACATAAATTTCAACAAAAATACTCATCACTAAATACATCTCTAACATTTTCAAAAAATCGAAAACTTGAATCTATTGTGCATCATTACCACTTGTCCTCTCACTATAAAAACTTCTCCAGCAGCGATTATACTTGAATAATCAACCAAGTGAATAAATGTCATCACCCTCTGTAGAATTACTAGCTGGCTATATGAGGTATTAGTATTCTTATGATTGTTAGTCAAAAATAGTGTTTATATGTTGGCCTAAGTTGCACAGCCAACTACCACCAGCTGGGACTGTGGCTGTATTTAACTGCTGCCATAATGTTATAATGCTCTACAACCCAGATGTAGCACTGATTGCCAATGGCCCAGTTTGGCAGTATTTTGATCTGGAGAATGAAGATAAAGATGTGTGTAAGCTGTATCAGGTTAAGGTTGCATATAACCATTTGACTAGAGCAATGCAAAACAGCACAGGCATTTGAATATTAAAACTGCATGGAAGACTGATAGCTGGTGGTGCCAGCTCTCCTAATGTTAGCTACACTCTGCAAACCAATTTGACATTAATTACCTGCAGACTCTGTGAACTGAAATAAGCTCAATTTTGACTGTTTTGAGTGTTTTATGACCTGTAAGCAAAGTATTTCCTAGTGTAAAGTAGTAGCTTTAAAACATCCCTGATTCAAATGTAAATGGAGGGTAACTACTATAGAGAAAAGAAGAGTCCTGAGTATATTTACCATTGCATGTCATGCGCAACAGATACAAAATGGAATATCGGGAAAAAACAAATAAAAGAAAGATGTGATTTGGAGCAGCAATGGTTTTCAGATTGGAGCAAAGTTGATGTTTTTAAAGCACTGTACCATGTTTTTATTTTACTGATATGAGATAAATCATCTAATAAAAATAACATAAGGTTCAGTTCACACAGTCCAGAAAGAATCTCCTTCAGAGGGCTAGTTTCATGTTTCATTATTCAAGTATATTCCACTTTTTCATTTTGGATTCTTTACTCTTCAGCGTTAACTTTCACACAAGTACATGTACTTCTACTTATGTAAAATACTGTAGCTAAGCTAAGTGTAATTCTGCCTTCTGCCAAATCACTTGACTATACCAGTGAGTGTATTTAAGTTCCCTGCAGAGACCATTCAGAGGGAGTTAAAGAAATTCACATTTTATTCCTCAACTGTCATGGGGTTAAAAGTGCCAAAGTGTCATCTCCACACTCATGTAGGACTCACCCATCTCTCGTGCCGTCCATGGCAGTCAGTGGGGACAGGTGATGAGGGCTGTTGAGGTCACGGTCTAGTCTGTGTTGTCGTGACGGCAGGTCAGTGACAGAAGTGGGAGGGGGGTTGGGAGTCGGAGAGAGGAGCTCCACTGAGGCGCTGTGATGGGGGGTGCTGGAGCCAGTGTACAGGCCTGAAAGAAAAACAAAGCTAATTCAGTAAAGGTGCCACATAAACCCAAGAACCATGCACTCTGTGTTTCCTTTAAGCTAATTGAAAGCCATTTTATGGTAACAGGATTTTGTTTTGACAACCTTCATCCAATCAGAGAGCTCTATGAAATCAAATGTTCGGTGTTTGTGCTGTTTGCAATTTGGGGTACATTGTTTGTGCTGCCATGGGGATTGGCCCTGTTTGTCCTTTCAGCTGTTTGTTCTTATTACACAATAATAAGCTAAAATGTTACATGTGTTTATATAGTGACTTTAAACAGTAGGGCATTCAAAAAAGAGACTACGCTTATGGGAAACCCTCTGTTGTGAGTGTGTATCTGTGAGAATCCTGCATTCTGGTTCTCATGGGTATGGGTTTGTGAGTACATGCAAGCATATGTGGATCTTTTTTTTTGCATGTATGGATGAACATTTCATGCACACAGCTGGAAATATACAGAGAAAAAGTTTTATGGGACAGTGCCTCACTCTGTTTTGGAAGATCTAATGTTGTTTTTTTTTCTATTTAGTTGCTGAGTTCGCCAAAATCACAGTGATTTACTCTCTGTTGACACAGTGAGGAAAAATTTCAACAGTTTCAAGCTGTGGCCTTGAAAAAAACAGGTCCTTTTTTCTAATTTATAATGCAAATCTGAATAAAACAAATGTTTTCTATAGTGCCAGCATCTTTACTGCTACTTGAGATCCAGATGTTGTTGTTTTTAAATGTGAAACGTGTACAGATGAAGCTCCTGATACCCCTGCCTGCTTAAGTTTTTGTTCTGTTTGGCTGATCTAAACCTACTGACTAATAAAAAGAGCTGTCAATCAAGTCAGAACTGACATTATGATTGATCGCAGTGGTGGCTGTGATTAATAATGATTAATCATGCACACCACTGCGCCACAGTATGGATGCAAACATACGGTGCCTCAGCTCAGTTAGCTACTTTTGTAAGGTGCCACAAACCTCAACTTAAGCACATAAACATATTTTGAGTCCACTCCCAATTAATTTAAGACACTGAATGTCTTACCTACTCTAAGACAAATCACTTTATTTTAATAGACAGCTCTGATTGCTCCAGAGATTGACTCGAGACCAGTCATGAGAGATTTGTTCAGACTGGAGTTAAAACATCAGGACAAATCGGTGTTGATAAGAGACGTTATGCCTACACTTGTTCTCCCGACACAATAAATCTGCTTTCTCCATCTCCTTCACCATTTATCACATGATTTCTTTTCCAGCATCCACAGCAGAGGAGAGAGAGTCATGCTGACAGTTAAACCAGCGATGAGAGGGGAAGACAGGATGAGATGAAAGCAGGAGAAAAGACTGGCGCTCCTGGTTTTGCCGTTTCCTGGCCCAGCTGTTCTCAAGTGGAAGCATGCCAAGGTCTGATCTGACAGCGCCCTGAAATGGCTACAAGCCTGATTCATTACCCCCAAATCATCAATCACAGACCTTAAATGTTTTCCCCTTTAGCCCCAACATCTGCTACCACACCAGCAAAACAGTCGACAAATAATGGCTTTGATTGCCTCAATTTCATCTCTGGCTCCTTGTGGAAGAAGGAGGTAGAGAAAGAGGAGATCTGATGGCGCTACTTAAGGGGGTCGGTTGAGGATTTTGTTCTGCAGCGGTTTAAGATTGTTTCAGGAAAAACGAGCTCAGTGTGAGAGCGAGATCGAGGTGTATCCGTCTCTCAGGATCCCAGCAGGAGCATGTAAACCTGTGCGCTAAAATTATGATGAGCATTTCCTCTTGTTAATCAGAGAACAGTGTAATTACGCTCCATAAAACAGAGAGGGGCTTCTCGTAAGTCGCTCTGCAGCCTGGTGAATAAGAGCAGACTTATAGCTGGCGAACAGGAAAAGAAGTCGAGCTCTGACTGGAAGCATGACTCATTTTCTGCTCCACAAGTGTTAATGATGGGATGGCTGCCCACTTTGCCCCACCTCTCACATGCATCCTATTGGCATTGAAACAAAGTAAAACTCATGTAAATGGGGATCCTCTGTGCCAACCTGCAACATCTTTGCTGGCCTTGAATAACTCTGAATCCCTGAGTGCTTTGGCGCTGGGCTCAAGAGCGAGCTCCTCTGGGCTTTGAAAGATTTTAAACAAGGGAACAAGCAACCTTCAAGGTCCAAACAGAGGGGCACAGGGGAGGAGAAGTCAAAACTCAGAGGCCTGGTTTGACATTTGAATGCAAGTTGAGCGTTAACATCGTCAAACGTGTGCTAGAGTTGCAGCAGCAATAACAGAGAGCAATGGGGAGCCTGGATAGGATACAGGCAGAAAACAAGGACAGATGTCCATAAAAAGAGGACTCTGCAGGAAATCTCTCTGGTCTTTAAGATTGTTAGAATCCATTTATCTCCCTCTTGTTACCAATCCAGAGAAGTGTTGACATTTGGTGACGGTCAAATTCATCAATTAGAAATATGCTTTAAAGGCCACATGTGATGAATAAACGTTTGTGGCTGTTTGTGATCGTAATTGCTTTTGCAGCTTTTGCATGACAAGATGACGGCTTAACATGAATCGCCTGTGACACAATGAGAAGTGCAAGGCTGAAACACTTCCTTCTAAATTTAAATAAGCATGTTCAACAGCTAAAAATGTTGATATAAAAAGCGCTGAAGCAATCACAGCAAAATTACAGGAGTATAATTTGTTTATGTTTGACCAAAGGCGCCGTAAGTATGATTTTTACTGCCTGGAAGAGCAAAATTACCACAATACATCTGCAGGAATGTTGACATGGCTGTTGATTACCACCTTTGACTGGATGATTGCTTTGCCAGGTGTTTAGATTTCAGGCCTCGCTTGCTGGCGTGGTCTCTAATTTTGGAAATAATAAACCCTGGCCATCAACATTTTGAGACAGGGCAAGCGTTTTGGAGTCAAATTTTGGATCGCTCCACCAAAAAGATGGCGCAACGATGAATATTACATTATGCATGTACATACTCTTCCAAATCAAAAGCAAGAGATAAAAAGGTATTCCTGGGGTAGTCTTTCCTTAAAGGGACATTTCAGCATAAAATTAAGTTAGGGTCAAACACACCGTAACACCGAGTTAGACACCCCCTTGAGAGGTGAACGTTGCAGACTGCTTGCTTTTCTAGTTATACCAACTTTAGTAACGACCACACAATAGCAACGCACACAAATCTCAACCAAAAAGCCACTCTGTAGCCACAAATAATGCTCAGAACAGCACCTAACTTCATCAACAGTACATATAGAGTCCTAGCCATAGTACTAGCCACCAAACATCTTTATAACTTTGACTAATTTCTTTCCCAAAGAGACTAAACACAACTCAACCACTCTCTTCCAGCAGTCGCTTGTTTATAGCGAGACCTCGGGCCAGTCCATTACGGACTACAGCGGGGTGATGCAGCTCAAGGAAGAACATTTATGATCATTACTTTATCATTTCCTTGAAGTAATAATCACCATATATATCATTTTATACTGCAGACGTGGTAGTTCTTCTGCCTTAGCGTCTCGGTCTGATTGCATTTCCATGAAGAAATGATCATAAATGTTCTTCCTTGAGCTGTGTAACCCTGTAGCAGTCCATAATGGACTGGCCTGAGGTCTCGCTACAAACAAGCGGCTGCTGGAAGAGAGTAGGTGAGTTGTTTTCAGTCTCTTTGCTAAAGGACTTAGGCAAAGTTAAAAAGATGTTCGGTGGCTTGTGCTGTGGCTAGGACCCTATATGTGCTGTTGATGAAGTTAGGTGCTGTTCTGAGCATTATTTGTGGCTATAGAGTGACTTTTTGGTTGAGGTTTGTTTGTGGCTCCTCAGACCGCTGTGTATTGCTATCGTGTGGTCCTTACTAAAGTTGGTATAACTAGAGAAGCAAGCGGTCTGCGACATTCATCTCTCGAGGAGGTGTCTAAAACAGTGTTATCGTGTGTTTGACCCTAAATTAATTTTTCGCCGGGATAGCTCTTTAATGCTTATTTGAGGGTTTTTTTTGTCTGAACATACTTAGCCTAACATGTTATCAGACATTCAAAAGTGGAAATATGATTTGAGACATGCTGCAGAGAGCGTGATGTTTATTCCACATCTCTCTAAATTTTATCCTTAGATGATAGGACTGTGATTACAGCAGAAACCGAGAGCAAGAGAGGGGAAGGACATGCAAAAGAAACATAGTCACTTCAAGAACTGTGGCTCCTGTACACAGGGCAATCAACTAATTCAATATAAGATGTTCTAAGTTGTATGTACTTGATCCATGTCATTTTTTCTTAAGATAGTACATCTTCATACACCATCAGTTATTATCTGATGAAGGTATTTGCCTCTGTGAGCTATAGTCAACTTTTTAAGCCTTCCAGACTAGCTTGTGGTGAGCAGTAAATGACTTCCTGCTGAGATTTCCCTGATCCTGTGACGCATAGTTTACAGCCCAATTAGCAAGAGTGTGTTCAGAAGTGGAGCAGGATTCCCCCCTCCAGATGTGTCCGTAAAAGAAATGACATCATTTCATAGATCATGACGTCCTTAATGTAGCGCCTGTTCATTCAGCACACTGAGGTGAGTTACAGAGTCTTCCCATTGGCTTACTTCAGTAGTGAGTCAGGGAATCTGGATGGGGATTGTCTGTTCCTGGTGAGTCTCAGTTTCACTGTAAATATTAACATTTCACAAAGCCTTGCCTAGGTAATATGAACCAAATCTAGACCCCTGCTTGCAGATTCTACATTATATAGAGTCAGTAGCATAACAGCATAATAGTAGTAAAAATCTATAATGTACTGTTGTTGAGGATTTGTTTTTGCTTCAGGTGTGTTTGATTAATTGACACCTTTGTAATGCATTAATAAAGATTCAGAGACAGAGTAGGATCCTGTGTGCACCTGTGAAGATGTCCTGACCCAGTCCAGGAGAGCGACCGTCTTTGCTGTTGTAGAGGTGCTGCGAGGAGGCTGAGCTCTGGAGGTGCTGCATGGACAGACAGTCACTGAGGACGTCCTGCTCCAGATGAGGACAGGGCCGGAGCTGTCAATCACAGGGTAGAGGAAAAAACAGCAAATGTTTACAAGAACTGATGTTGAGTCATTTTAAGAGAACTACATCTGGTTTGCACAAATTACACAACCAGAGGAACAAAACACAGCTTCAGTTTTGTCTATTTGTAGGTCCAACCCGATGTGGGGTGTGTTTTCTCTTTTTGCAATAACGTGATTGTGATGTTAATTTGAAGCAGTAACTCAGCAAACAAGAATACACTCTCAGTCAGGGGGGAACCAAAGGGAAGATCATACACTCCTTTTTGAGTCATGCGTTGGCCTTGGACCTCGCGGGTAAGTGATCACTGTACCAACTCAGAGCCAACGTCAGATTGCTTCTGTTTCTCTCTCTGCCAACACTAAAGAGGGCAACTGAAGACACATTTCAGCAGGAGAGACCGTCACACGGCAGGCAGAAGAAACGTAAATCTAAAGAAACCTGTTTTAGTTCAAGAAATGGGACATCTGCCCTTTGGATCAGAGGAACATCTGACCTCTGTGGTATCCATCAGTGGGTTCCTCGGTAGTAAAACATTATAGTTCTTGTGGTACACACCAGGGCTGTACCAACAACCTTTAGACTCCTTTAATGTGGAGATTTACCTACAGAGATCCTGAAAGTTCAAAACTGAGACGTGGACAAAGCTCAGAACGATGAACAAGATTAGGTCTGAAAAAATACGTTCCAAACCAGAAGTGTGCAACACCCAATCATGACACTTACTTTAGAGAGGGTAAGCATCTGAATGAGGCTGCTCTGGCTCCAATATTAGGTGAAATTTTGAAGAAAAGAAGAGTGGTGGACTTGATCTGTTGCAGATTTACGTTATTTAGACCTACGGTGTTTATAAAAGCCTGATCAGGTTATTACTCCCTGTCATTGACCTCAATTCTCGTCTACATAAAAGATGGTAAAAAAAAAAAGATCATTCTAATAAAATATGAATATATAATGTATAATTGCAATATAATAAAACATATGACATTGCTATTTAAACATTGATGACCAGATATTTCAACATGCTTACTTTTTATTCTTTTAGTGTTTTATTTCCTAACTTTCTGACTTCGTTCTCAATGTTTTCATCGTACCTCATATGTTTCCTCATTATGATCTTTCAAATGATTTCTCACTTCCTGTTTTCATCGTGCTTTATTTTATTATTTTTACCTCCTGCATGGGTTTTAAGGTGGTATTAAGGTTCATTTTTGATTGATTTTCAATTTTCTAAAGTTTTGTGAAAAGTTTTATTTTTCAAAGCTACTTTTTTCAACCATTCAGACTTTGTTTTCTGTTTTAATGATGCATTAGGGCCTGTGTCCACGAACTGCACTTTTTTTTGTGCTGGCAGCGCCTTTCCATTAACACAAAACCAATGCAGTTCAGCAATTTGAGCACTCAGTGTCCCAAAAACAAACACCATCAGTATTCATTTTTTTTGTTGCTGCACTTACAGCCCCTTCCAAGATGGAAGTAGTTCAATATTTGGAACACCGCGGTGCTCGTAAATGTTTCAACTCAACCATTGACCAATCATTCTCGGAAGTGCCAGGACTTCTGATATCAGTTTTCTTAAAACCCTTTCGATTCTTTGTAAACTTCCATTGAATTACGGCTCAATGTCCTGAAAGAGTTATTTTTTTGGCCATCATGCTAAGAATAAATATCCTGAATAATGTACATCTTTCAGCAGTATGGGAAGTTAAAACTTTATGATGTTCAGTAAAACTATTTATGAGTGTTTGAGACCAGTACAGCTCAAGTATGTATTTAAAAGAAAGTGCTCTAGTTACAGGGTTTTTGCTTGATCACCTATAAGTACAATTATCTATTTCCCAATGTCGGCCTTCATCATTCACTGAAAATACATTCTGTGTTTCAACTTTCTGTTTTGACTGTGTGGAAACATTATCCAACATTATCACTTAAAACCGGCCTTCTCTCCAAGTATCTCCTCACAGTTTATCCACCTCAATGATTGAGTGCGCGCATGAAAATTCGATCTGTGCGTGACTTTCGATCCTCAAGCCCCTCTGCCAGTGAAATCAAATATGATTGAATAACTCAGTGTTGTTTTATTCCACAGTTTTACAGCTGGCATCATGTGCATTATGATTTCACACTTAAATATTGTATGTCAGCAAATGTGTATGGGCACGTCCTTCTGGGGATCCTTATGAGTGCCCTGCGAAACATTCATCACATGTAATTGGGGCTCTGTTTTCCTCACAGCGACACTCCTCTAACAGTTTTTCTCCCGACCGCTCCAAGAGTGGAGTCAGAGCGTTTGTTTGACATTTGTCCATAACATCTGGCCACTGGGGGATTCCACAGTACAGCTTATTAACAATGCTACAAGCACACATGTGTTTCCCTTTACAACGCTAAGCAAAGGAACACATCATCCAGCCTGCCACTATCCAGCCCCTTCCACAACAATGAGCCCTTTCTCTGTTATTTACCCGCTTCCAGTCAGGGAAAGAATCAGCTTTTGACCATGAACATGATGAAATGTGGTCAAACCTGATCTATTGTTGGGAAAAGACCTCCTTCTCCCCCCCATCCCCGGCCTCCCAACCCTTCAATTAAGACAACTAGAAGATTCTGTGGATAATGCACATCAGAACAAGAAAAATTACATAAAGTGGTCTGTTTGTACGACCTTTGGCCTCAGTGTATTGACTGGAAATAAAGTCACACACAGTAGCTTTGAAAGGGGGCATAGCAGAAGTGTGCTTTGCATGATCCACAGGCTAAACCACCCACACGTTTTTATGTCCACTAGGAATTATGGGGCTGCAGCAAAGGAAACCTAAAGGAAAATATCCACAATTCATACCATGAGATTAGATGAGCAACAACTCCAATTTAGAGACATAAGATGAATCCTCAGCTTCTTCAATTTGATGCTCAAGAAAGGAGAAAAAATAAAGATAGCTACAGTTTACTGACCAGTTATTTTGTCATTACCTACACCAAGGAGGTTATGTTTTCAATAGCGTTGGTTTGTTTGTTTGTCTATTAGAAACTTTACGGAGAAAGTTACAGACGGATTGACCTGAAATTTTCACCAGAGGTGCGTCTCAGCCCCAGGAGGATCCCATTTAATTATGGTGGTGATCCGGACAAAATTCTGGATACTGTGATCCAGAACACATAAAAATAAGGGTGTCGTTGGAATTTTCAATGCTGAAAGATAACCAATGGGTGGCACAGTGGTGTAGATAGGTGGCACAGTGGTGTAGTGGTTAGCACTGTCACCTCACAACCAGAAGGTCCTGGGTTTGAATCCCAGTCAGGGCATTTCTTGTTTAAGGGGGGACATGAGCTGCTTGGCGGAGGTCTGTGCTCTCCGAGTGCTTTTCTAGTTTGGCATTGTTTTTTTTAATGAAAGGAAACTACACAAACACTGGCCCCTCCACTGATTTTGACCTCTTCTGAGGACATGGTTGTGTGTTGCTTAAACTGTCTGCACAATCTCACTTCATATTTGATTTTAACTCAACAATGGAACAGGATAATCAGAAAAAAAACATGTATATACATAGGAAAAAAAAAATACATCTACCTCTTATTCTAGGAAACTTTAGACTGTAACTCACGGCTATGAAAATGTTTTATTCATTGAAATTCATTTTTAGAATTATTCATTTACTGTATTTTCATTCAAATCCAATTCCACATTGGTATGTTTTTTAAAATGTATTCACAATCATTTTAACATCAATAAACTTACTTTCTTATATGTTTACATCATGATTTTGCTTTTACATGTGTTAATTTTTATAAGTGGTTATTTTTAACATATCATTTCAGTTAAAGAAGTATCACTATCATATCAAATTGAAAAAAGTGACCACATGCATACTTTGTATTTAGTACTTTGTTGCGTCCCTCTGTCTTACCTTTCTACGCACCTGTTGCTCTTTGGCCGAGTGGATCTTGACATGTTTCCGCAGCGAGCTGGGATCTGTGTATCGCTTGGTGCAGCCTGGGATCTGACATGCATAGGGCTTCTAAACAAAGAGACCAAAAATCCACAGTGAATCTTAAATACGATGTACAGTTACATTCATTTTACTTAAAGGAAACAATGATATAAGAAGCTTGGTGAGCAAAATGAATTGAGTTAAGACTGAAGTCCATTAAGTAAAGGCAAAGTGAGAGTCCTACCTTTAAGCTGAGAATGACAGAATTTGAAGAAAGAACAAAAGAGAAAAAAGCATGAAAAAGAGAAAAAGAAAAGATTTATTATAAAATTAATCTAAATTCATTATTTCAAATGTGCTCCAAGATATGTTTCTACTGCTGATTTATATTAATCCCCCTTTTTAAGTATCAATTTAAATCAGGACATTATCTCAGAAACACTCAGCCAATATTTCAGAAATAGAGATAAACAAATAGATTTTTTTTTATTGGAATTTGGAAAAAAAACTTGTACTAAACCAGATTTATAGAAGGAGACAAGGGCATTTTTATTAATCGATGATACATCTCTAAAATGACAGCACTGTCATAGAGTTTACTCTGTATTTCACATTCACTTCTTTAACCAAGCAAATATACTCTGTAGCGAGTTGATTGAGGGAACTTTTTCCCCCTCACAGCAAATTTTCTCCCATCCTCAGGAATATAGGATGGCCATTAAAGTGTAAGTGGATACACGTCTTTATTAGCTCTGCCTCCATACCTTGATCTGCTCTGTAAATAAGCCATTGTTATTGCAAAGCTCTTACGGTGCCAGTCATCCCTGCTGTGTTTGTTTTGACAAGCAACGCACCCAATACAGCGCAGAACCTTGAGCAAAGAAATCAAGCACAACTTCTGTGCAGAATAAATATCATTAAGTTTGAAAATAATTTTCCCCCAAAGTGTTCTTGGGCAGCCACGGTGACTGCATTTGCGTAGTGTTAATGAGGAGCCCTAAGCATCGGGGTCCCGGATTAGCTGTATCATTTGTCCTACTGCGGAAAGAGTGGGTGGTGGAAGAAAACCATGAACGATACAAAAAAACTGCATTCAGAACTACCCCAAAGAAAAAGTTCTGAATGATTTACTCTTATGTGCAGCAAAAGTAATAGTAGCTGGCTAATACAGAAACACAGGGGGGAAATATTTTGGAAATGAAACTGTTGTTATTAAAGGGATACCTCTTTCATTTACAGGTTGGCAGAAAGCGGTGCATTTGAGCCCTTACAGCTTAATAAAGACTTTCCTCACTGTGACTAAACTTGTTATTACTGATGCTTTATTTTGTGTCTTTTTCAGTAATCACTTGAATACTTACAACTTTTTTGTGCTTTCTATCATTTCAAGGAACAACTGACCCCTTTTAGTAAACTGACTGCTGCCATGTGGCTTAAATTCTTTCATTTTGAAACATTCAAAGCATTTAAGTAGATTTGGAGGAAAGAGAAATAAGCTTAATGTCAAAAGTGTATAATACACTTGTAAAAATCTGTAACAAGACAGTTATTAAGGAGTTTCAGCAAAACTCTAAAGACCTAAAAAAGACAAGTTATGTTACTGGGGGAACATTAAAATTATTTGACTATATACTTCTAATACAATATAAGTGAATTCATGTGTTTTACAGCAAGGGTAGCATTAACTTCAACTTTGAACCTATCAAAAACCTTTGCTCTGAACTTGCTGCTTACAAGCCCAAAAATATCTTTAAAGAAGTTTATAAAAAGCAAATGAGAAAAAAAGAAAGAAACAAAATGTTTTTGTTTCTTTTATACATATCGATACATGTCGTATCGTATCGTGTTGTATCATATCGTATTGTATCATATCGTATTGTATCATATCGCATTATCGCTTTTTTGGCAAGTTAACATACTATTCAAGGTGCAGTGTGTAAAGTTTAGATGCATCTAACTGTATTGACTTTAATGTATAAATTTCTGTATAATTACCTGATCAAAAAAAAAGTTTTGTTCTTGTTAACTTTGAATGAGCCTTTCATATCCATGTCAGAAAGGGACCTATTTTTTCTGTAACAAAAAGTGGACAAACTACTGACAAAAAGAGCAAAATGAATTTGGAGAGTGGAATAGTGAAATTGAAATACACCAGTTTGAAAGTGAAAAAGAAGAATAGTTGTTGTTGTTGTTGTTGTACATATCAGAATTTTTATTAATAGAGGTAAAAAATTAAGAAATCATACTTCTCATGCACCACAGGAGCTTTTTGTCATTAAATGCTGCCATCAGTTTACTTACATGATAAGTAAACAGGGAAGTGCTTTAGTCTGGATTCTGATTGCTAGATGTCACTAAATATTTTACCTTTAAGGGAGTCATTACTGATTTACTTGTTTTATTTTGTAATATTTTTAAACGTAAGACACATTTGAGTTGAAATAGCCGATAACATCAGAAATAAGTGATGAGGATAAACTCTAAAGAATTAGAAAAGATGGTGCCTTGACTGTTTCATAGTCTATGATTTGAGTGAAACATCTTGTTTACTCTCTGGCTGTGTTGGCGTGCGCATGGTGATAAAGTGAGGTATTGGTGGGGTTTACTGAGACATGACGAGAGGCAGCGATGGCTGACTCAACCTTTCCTTCCCTCTCGGCAGGTCAGAGAAACAGGCAAAGCTCTGTGTGCGTCTGCAGCTCCAATCCAAGTCTGTAACGGCCCAAAGCTGCGACTCGGCCTAATGGAACTGATCATTTAATGATCTGTGGCGTGTCACAGCCGGTGTACGGAGGGTGAGAGGGCTACTCTGCTCTCTGACTGACGGCAGAGTTAAGTCTGACACTGTCAAGATGTGGAAACAGGCAGTGAGACTTGGACAGAAACACAGTTTTTTTTAATGTTGGAGGGCTACAACAGGAGCATTTCATACAAAAACTGCTAATTTAGCATTAATCTGAATGTATTTGCAAGGGAGCGACAATCTTTTATGATCTCCAGTTACTTGCAGCCATTTTTGTTTTTGCGACCACCCAACGTTTGTTTAAGAATCCACCCATGACAAGTTAAACATTAATCTACCCAGGAGAGATATTAAGGGGTCATTCAGAGCAGTGACTTAATTTCTGACCGTGTCCAGGTGAGTGCGCTGATGCTTGGCGCGATCGCTGGAGTTGCTGAAAGCTTTCTGGCAGCCAGGGTGCTGGCACAGGTATGGCTTCTCTCCTGTGTGGCTCCTAAGGTGGATCTTCAGGTTCTCCAGACGTGAAAAAGCTTTGTTGCAGCCCTCGAACTATGGGGGAGAGAAGAAAGCACACACACACACACACACACACACACACAAACGGACACATGCACACAGAGACAACCACAGTCAGACAGGTATGCACAAGACCACACAGGGAAATAAACGAGCGCCCACATGCATGCGCGGACACACGTAGAAAAAAAGGAATCAATCAGTATAAAGCCAGTAAATTCTGCTACAATGTGGGCTCTGTATACGTGTGTGTGTCTGTGACTCAGAGAGGAGCTGTCCCACTCTTTCCCTCAGTCCCTTGATCACTGGCAGAGCTGGAGGAGTTCACTCTACACCACTCTACACTGGAAAAGTAGGAGATGCTTAAAACATGGGTGGTATAACCGTGAGCATTTTTTCCATGCCTCTTGAATTACATGACCAATCCAAGGACCTTTGTTGAAAACCACGTCCACTTGAAAGACAGCGGCATGCATGACAGTGCACCTGCCTCAAGGCTGCCACTGCTACCACGTCTAAATTGCAGGGGAAACTAGAGTGTGCTGTACAGTTAATGGGCTGTAATGCATAGCATGAGATAAGTGCTCGGCTGTGTGCTGTATAGTGCATTAGACTGACAAGTGACAGTGACTGTAAACAAGCTCCTATCTGATCCAGCTTGGCCCATTTGATCCAAAGCACTCAGCCAATGAACACCACAGATTTGTTAACAAGTGAATGATTCATGAGGCCTCTCAAGTATCCACTCCTGCTCTTGAGCAGAAAACACGGCTGATTGGTTGATGAGGCGGTCCATGTCAAGACTCCCTGCTTGAGCTGCTGTGTAAAGAGTCACAGAGTGTATGGGTGAGCTACATATTTGAGCTGAATGACACAAACATTTCCTTTAGCTTTGTCTCAGCTCATTCACTGGTATCTGGTAGAATTGTGACATGAATGAGTTGAGACTTAACTATCATTGAGAACAACAGGAGCATACAAGGAGCTCATGTTTGCATCCTTCTACAATCCTTACGTTGTTTGTTTTGCTGCCGAAGAGTTAAGACATATGATGTACAGAAACAGATTATTTATCCCTCCTCCTGTGTTAGGGTCTGCACTGAACCTGTTTTTGTTTTTAAATACTTAAAAGAACCACTTAAATAAGTTTTAATGCATCAAGACTTTTTGAATTTGTCAGGAAACTTAATATCAACAAAATAAAAATTTGAAAATTAAATTGACTAAATCATAAAATGCTCTTCTTAAAATTATGGCACTTGTCGTGTTAGAGTTGCTGTTGACCCGGTTAGATCAATATCTAATAATTAGAGCAAAAACTAAAATCATATGAGCACTGTCAGGTACAACACTGACAGTCAGATCCTCTCCTAATCATGTGAGATTTAGGAAATTCACATTTTGCCTGGTTTGTCCCTGCACAAAAGACAATGTTGGGCATGTCCAGACATGTGAGATCAGTTCAGTATAGATGTCTGTGTGAGGCGTATACTGACAAAGAAAGGCCCAGAGGATCACGACAAAAAATATAAGTATTATTTTCTTGGATAATGAAGCCTAACAAGGTAACCTAGTAACCCAGAATTGCTTTTAGTGTTATTTACAGCTGATTTAAGACACGGGTCAAAACCAACCCTTAACATAGTGCGTACGTAGTAAAAGCTAACACAGGAGGAAGGTTATATGTTTTATTTACTGGTGATTCATTGGCACAAAGCTTTGTTTTGAAGGTTAGTAGACATCAAAAATTGTCTGTTCTAACCCCTTAAAGAACCAGTCCGATGAAAATCATGTTTTTGTTGTTGTCTACATGTTCATATGGCATTTTTCTGATGCTACAGGACATATCAGGAGAAAAATAAGTACGAAATTACATTTCTGTGTATTTATGCATCCAAATCGCTGTGAATCTCTGGCTGACCTCAAATGGCAGGTTCAGATACAGTGAGATTTCCTATGTCACAAATCCAAGCTCCGCCCCCAGAGCCCCATTATGCAAGCCACACTCTGAGAAACAGAGGATGATAGCATGTGCGGTAGTAGATTGCAATGCTCATAAGAAAGCTGATAATTATATTAGCTTTCATTATGTCCCCAAAGACACACGTGTCCAAAACCTGAACAACTCCTATGTTACCCTTCTCAGGTCAAAGTGAGGTTTAAAAGATGCTCGACCCTCTTGAAGAACCTTTACTGGGACAACACTGTATGATTGACCAGTGGATCTAGAATTGAGTTTGATAGTACATGTCAGTAGAAACTCAACTATTTTCTTTCCTTTCATCCCAAATATGCAAACTATTTCTTGTAAAATGAAAAGAATGGTTTAGATTGCTGTTTTTGCCAAAACTAGCATTCACCACCTTAAGTGAACTCCTCTAATCTCAAACAACCATTTTTTTTTTACATATATTTTGTTTTATCAAGGTTGCTTGAAACAGCTTGTAAGACATTCCTGTGGATGAAGATTTGATCTCTACACTTCTTAGATTACCTGAACAATCGTAAGGGGCCAAGTCTCAAACCAGATATCTCTTTAATCCGTTTCTATCTTGTTTGTGTTTGAGATATCAAGTATTGCCTGGGTCTTTAAGTAAGTAGATTTTATTATGATGAGTTTGTAGATTTTTACAATCACATTAGGATGGTGCCCTTGTTTTGATATGAAGGCCATTGTGATCTCATTCAGACACTTGATTTTTAAACAACTATTAAAAGCCCTCCATATTAAAAGTAATTTGAAAGTTAGTAACTTTAGATAATATAAGCACAATAAAAGAAAGTTCACAGAATTTATGATATCATATTTAGTCAGTGCCATAAACCTGTGAAGCTGCAGTAGAGGACACTGAGGAGTGCAGAGCAAAGGCTGCACCTGTACTGAGTCAACCACAGTGTAACTGATCTGAGTGTAGTCTCTGAAGTTTCCTCTTAAATGTCAGTAAATGTCCACTAAAACACTGGCTTATCCAGACTTTGATCTTACTTCTAACAGATTTCTAGTAAAGGCTCATGCTGACCTCATGAACACGCTGCTGTAAAGTTGCCCCGGTCTCTACCGTCCATTGTGGGCTGACCTTTAGTGAAGCCTGCTGACAACAGGTCAGGTTACGGTTAAGAAGATAGTGACTCCATTCTTCTAATGGGCCTTCAGCTTCATCTGGGCGCACTACTCTCACCCTCCTCCTCCTCTCCTTCATTCACTCACACAGCACAGGCAGGGCCCTCTATTCACTGAGGCTCCATTTAATACAGACGAAACCTAAGCCAGTCATGGTAGAGCCATGTTGGGTGACTAGGATGACCTGTGGGTCTGTGCAATTGTGTAGCTCAGTGAGAGTCTTAATATAGATATAAAACACACAGATCCTCATGCAGTTTTTAAGAACTGTAAAGAAACAAAAACACTATTTGGACATGATGAAATAAGATGAAAAGTGACAGTTTAACTAAGAGTGGGCAGTGGATTTTACAGAAAACATAACTGTGGATGTTATCACTGGGGTCCTGTTATCAAAGAGGAAAAAACGCTCAAAGTTTGAGTCATCAAAGTAGATATGGGTTTTGGTACATTTTCAGTAAATATGAAACTTAATCTAATTCAAATAAAGTTAAAATCCAAGAATATTAAGGGAAAATGTGTAAAAGAAGCTAAACATAACAAGACTATAAATCTCAGCGTTTCAATTACAACTTACATTTTTAGAGTTTATCAAAACCTTCAGTCTGTACATTTCGAAGAGTTGATACATTAACCTGTATTTTGTACAAAGCTGAGACACAATCAGGAGCAGTGAGTGATACTGAGACTGATTCCTTCACCAGACATGAAAAGAAATAAAAAAGTGAAAAAAAAAAACAAAAAAAACTTTGATTCATCAACACACAAATATTCTGTCTAGACTTTAGCATTCAACCGTGGAAAAATGTCTCAGAGAGTTCACATTTTACAGTGTTGTACAGCGGAAACATATTATTCTAAAGTCATGCCAATCAAATGTTTCTGGTGGAAACGAGAGCCGCAGTGAGGGTGGGAAAGTTTAATAAAAATCTCAGAGCAGAGGGAACATCCACACTGCCGTACCAGTCATGACAGACACGGCCCATGCTGGCTGTTGAAATACGGCGCCGGGCATTTGAGTTTGGAAAACAAACACAGCTATTATTGACGTGCCAAATGTGTGTATTTATGTATAGGGGAATAATCACTCTTTCATTGCTTTCTTTTCCGCAATACAAATTTGAGTCTAAATTATAGTTACGGGCCCATGGAGGAAAGCGTGTTAATCGTGTAGAGCGTATTATTACTCTGACGGCTGAGAATGAGACTTTCCTGCCTGCTGGAAAACCAATAGGCACCGCCACCTCGAGGCATGGATATTACCCAGAGTCCTGTATGAAAAATTTTATGCTCCTGTAAGATATATAACCCTCGCCAATATGTTGGTTAAAGTTACATCTTTAAGTGATTTCATGGGTTGTCAAAAACCTCCTTATGATTGTAAGTTTGGGAGATGCAGTGCCGTGCTGTTGAATTAAACAATCGGGTCTAATTATGGTGTAAAAAAGACGACCCATCACACGTCAAGATTTTTGGGCTTCTTTTTTCAAAACCTTTAGAAGTTAAAAATAGAAAAAGCCTTAAAAATAACTTTAAAAAGTGTACGTATGAGTAGATCCCCTGTGCTTCCATGAGAAGTTCCCCAAAGTACAAACAGTTTAAAAGGTAATGAGCTTATGTACATGAAAGTGGTGTAAACGGAGAGTTTTGGTGGCCGGAGCTGGTGACACAGCATTGATTTGATCTTTAATGTTGTACATGAAAACAGTTTAGGCAGTGCTAATCACATTAATTGCTTTAAACATGTTTAGTTTTCCTCTCTGAAACCTCCATCTAAGGTAAACCAGCAGATCACCACCGGAGGGGGAGTGACACTGGCAGCCTGGAGGGGAGATTTGAGCCCCCTTTTTTACACCGTCCCGCTCTTGAGTGGTGGGGCTTCAGTAGCTCGGTAAACATTCAGGATGACAGCAGGGTCTTGACACGGCTGAAGGAGGCGAGAGCGGCATGAAAAGGTTGGACGGGCAACTGATCACAACAGACAGATTATGGGCCCAGCGTGCAGGCAGAGTGGAGGAGCGGCCAGCCTGAGGCCTTCATGGGAAATGACTCCTGACTGGCAGGGAAAAGGCCAAACAGTGTCGGGGCTAAAAGGCAGCAGTGTGCAGCCCTCCTCACATTCACCGACTCATTAGCAACATGCTCGAGTAGAGGAGGATGGAAACAAACCGGCCGTTATAGAGCGGTGTCAGGACAAAATATGGCTGCTGACGTACAGCACAGACACTGGATTAGAAGCTTGAATAAATGCATGAAAATAGAAACACAGAGACAAGAGAGAATCCTACAGTGTGGTCCATGCAGCCTTAGTGATCATCAACAAGAGTCTGAAGAATCAGCAACCAGCATCCAGTACAAGTAATCTGATGGGGTCAAGCTGTTAATTCAAATCTGATTAAAACAACAAATTAACAGTGTTTGAAAGAAGAAAAAAGGATTGTGAATCTTGTCATTCTTTTCTTAGTGTTAACATGAATAAAACTTCAAAAACTTTAAGAAGGATTGGGATAGCTTTGAGCAAAAAAAACACACAAAAAAATGATATTCTTGATGCCACAAAAGAATATAGATAACATTAAACATGATTTCTACCATCCTGATTCAAAATGTTAGCATGCAGATTAAAACACAATAAAGAAATTAAACTGAATAAATACATAAATAAACCTCTCAATTATATTGGCTATAAAATATTACAATAACAATATCAAACGACATGTTGGTAAAACTGAGAAATGGCGAGGTAAGTGTGGAGAAACAAAACATTTTTATTTATAAATGCGGGTTATTAACATGTCATCCCTTTCTAATTATATTAAATTTTATGATCAATAATTTCACATTACTTGCCATGTAACTAAAATTTTTCCAGAGAAGATTTAGTCACAAAAAAATATTTTTCTGCCTGGCTTTAGCTTTCTTTATTTGCCATCTGATAAAACTATGCTTTTATTTTGAAGAGAAATATTCTTCCAGTTGATTTTAAGTTACAGAAATGATAAAAGAAAACAGTTAAAAGAAGTGTTGCAGAATATATTCTGTACATTAGTTAACTCAAGAGGCACACTTTGCATCTGGATTTATGATAAATAAGGGAAACAAAAAAAAGTAATAAACAAAAACAAAAACAAAGGAGACTTCAAACCATTGAGTATCTTGAGTCTTGTAGCAGCAAAGAACAGGACAATATCTTATTCTTAAAGCTCTAAAAACTGGTCTCAGAGATGATGTAAACAAGCTCCTGTCCTAACCCTTTTAAAAAGTGAATCAACTTCAAATGAGGAAATATTTTTCATAAAACAGTAAATTATGTTCATTTTAACCTTTGGTGCATTGTGTCCCAACTGTTTTCAATTAAATATAGGGTCTGAATTATCTACAAACCATCAAGTTATGTTTTACCAACACTTTACACTGCATCTCAACTTTTTCTGAGATTGGGATTGTGAATCCAGATCATTCCTGTCAAAGTTCAACCTCTGGAATAATTGGACCTCAGATGGTCCTTATGCTCCTGATGGTCAAGCCTTTCTAGGGCTGCCACACAAGCAGGAATCTCCCTCAGAGCGCTCACTCTCTGGCCGTGGGCAGTAAATGTGGATCAGGCCTCTGACTAATGATGAGGATATAGGAGTCAGTCATTCAGTTGCTTATTAGCATGAAATTCACTATTACTCATGTTCAGACAGGGCCCCCCATAAAAGGATATGCTTCTTGGAGACAAGCATCCTCCGTAGGTTCATAGGTTCTCCACTGTAAATACTTTGAACAAATACGTCCAGGCTCCTTTACAGCCAAGCCTTAAAAACACGATGAAAGGCAAAGAGGTTTGGTGGCAAAAGAAAGCCCTGCCAAATAAAACATGTTACAAAGTGCCAACGCTCACAAGCAGCCTGTATAACTTTATGAGAATGAAAAAAATGGTTTGAGGGGAACGAGTTGGTTTATCACAAGGTGTCTTTCTCTGCCCTGACCAACGAGGAAAACCACCAACACTTCAGGATCTGTTCGGAGGGGAGGCTGCGGAGCAGAGTGGCCCGGCTGCGGATGGGAGGAACATGTGCGTTTAATCTGCTTGCTTCCAAATGCCCTGTGGCAACCACAGCAAAGAGCAGAAAAACGTAAATGGATGAAATTATATCCATATGATTCAACGAGACAGCTAAGGAGAGGCAGGTTTCTCATGCACTTCGTCAGGATAGAAAATTAAACACAGGTTGCCTGAAACATTCACATTACATAGTTTACATATATCATTTCCACTGCTGAGCGGAACCCTTTTAGCAGCCAGCCTCGGCTCAAACAGATTGGGTTTTAATTAGAGTTCAAGATAGTGACAGATCCTTTTTTCTATATATACTTTTTTTTTTCTGAGAAGTGCAGAGCAAATGATTGGCACAGTATCCATTTAGCTTCTTTATAAAATCTTTTTTCAGCATCTTCACTATTTTGCTGACTTTTTTGGGAAGTTTTTGGTAATATAAGTAGAAACACAAAAGCAAGGGAGTGTTGTCCAGATGCGAACTCACAAACGAGCTGCGCAATAGCTCAGCCGATAAATTGGTGGGAGGAAGTAGTCATGTAAATGACTAAAGAAATTGTTCTTAACAGCCATTTTGCACTCATGCCTAACTAGTTTGGGGGCCAGATTAAAAACTATGTGGATGGCACAACAGGAAGCATTCCTATGATGACTAAATGAGGGTGCTCACATAATGAGCCCGCCCAGCTGTTGGGTTCCTCTCGCGGAGCGTTTGCTGGAGATTGAAGAGGAAGTGCAGTGATGGATCTGAACCCCTGCTCCTGTGGTGGAGGCCTGGCACAGGGTGAGCCAGGCTGCACAACAACATATTGAGGCTTCATGGAAGCACTTAACCTGCTGTGATTCAGAGGCCTTCGTTCAGACATCCACCAGCTCTGCAGCCCTGCATCAGATTAGAGAGCTAAAATGTGATTTCCTCTTCAACCAGGCAGCCTGGGGTTTACCGGTTCACCAGGTTGAGGGAAAAAGGAAAACAGGGTCACGTTCTCAAAGAGATGAAGTGGACTGACAGGGAATAGGATTTGTTTTGTGTTTTATCATGCAGCTTTATTCCTCTGTTGCTCAGGTATATTAATTTTTCCTTCTGGAGAGAGGCACGGGTGTCAAGAAATCATTTTCACACAGACATACTATACATGTAAGAACATGGGTCAGCTGCATGACTCCTTTCAAGCAGACTCATACTGTGATCATATCAGCAGCTTCATCTCTTTGTTGGAAATCATTCTAGGTCTCATATTTTCCATCACGGCTGAACTCAAACCTGACAAGACTGAAGTGTTTCCTGAGTTTTTGGCCTGTTCTATATAACAGGAATATGAAACCTTTTTTGCCTTTTGTCAGCAGCTGAGAAATCCTTCTGATAAATGTACGCAAACATTTCTTTAACAATTAGGTTTGAAATAAAGAGTTTAACTGTATACTGTCCAACAGCGCCAAAGAGTAAACCATCGCCGTCTCCTCTCTCAATTTTTTGTACTCATTCTCATTCATGGCTAAGTAACACATTTTTGGAAAACATGGAAAATTGAACTAATCTGGGATGTAATCATCAACATTATGAAGAGTTGTCATCAGCAGGAGATCAAATTTTAAAACTGAAATATTATATTATTTTGAAAGTAACTCCCCCCCTTTAAAATGCCTTTGAGGATTCTTTTTGCATTAATAAAATGGACTGAAATTCATATTAATGCCTGAACATCAGTGACAGGACTGCACATCTTTTATTATAAGTTTTAATGCCTAAAACCTGTGCGAGGGGGTAGGTGTCAGTTAAGCACTGAAAAAACAGCCCCTTTTTATATTTTCCTCATAGAACATTTACAATAAATGATCAATTTTACTGCCAAAAGTAGCATGATGACATATTTTGTCAGGAGATACTATTTCGGCATGTAAGGACAAAATAAGCAAAGACTGTTTTGTCCACGGGGGTGTCTGAGTTGACACAAACTGAAAGTTCCTCACAGCAGCTTTAAGTAATGAAATGAAAAAAAAAACATACATGTATATTCTTGTGCTTCACTTTTCTACAGCTGTTATCACTGCAGCTATGCCTGGATTGCAATCGACAATATTCTCCATATTGTTTAGCGGTCTGATGGAAACTAATGGGTCATGCCACAAAATCAACAGGCAGAGGTGAAGTGTCCTGGACTCTTCTGTGCAGATTGATTTGAGATGAGGTGGATGATCCCATTAAACCTGCCGTAGCCTTTATTATAGACTTAACTACCTTTGTTATGGAGTTATGACCAACCACAGCCAAGTATTTACCACAGCTGGTTGATGAGTAAGGTTTCCAGGTAGTATTTCCATTAAATCTCCAGGAGCACCAGGAGCAAAATTAACAAGGTGACCACGCCAGACTCTGAGGCTGCTAACAACACACTCATTTCCTTTCTCTTGATTCACCCTTGTGCCGTTTCAGCCTCTTAATAAATCAAACTAATCAGTGATGTAATATAAAGGTTACCAAGTCTGTCACAATTTTCAGAAAAAAAAGAGCAACTACATAAACTCACAGATTTTACAATGATGGTTAAAAAATTATAAACCAAAAAATCATCACTGATGTTTTACAGTAGATGAGTGTTGACTTTGTAATTGTCGGATATGAGAGAGATTTGGAGACTTCAGTCCAGTGAGGAGACACATGAGCGAAAGGCTTTTAAAGAGAGCGGTGACGGCATGACAGATGGTTGATCCTCACAACCAATCCCAACCATTTATAATGGCTAATTTGACTGCAACACAAAGCCTCCAGTGCCACAGCCATTAGTAACCATTAAGCCATCAATTATACACTCATTCAAGAAATCCGAACCCACCATGAAAAAGACAGACGGAGGGTTACGCAATGAAAATCCTAAACATGATCTGTGTTCTGAGCCGGCGCCGGGACTGATGTTACTGGCAGTCAATGTAGGATCCAGTTTGACGGGCCCATGAGCTACAGCGTCCTCTGACACCCCGGCTTCAATCTGTCCTGCACCTTTCACTCACACCTGCCTCTACTCTCACTCTCTCAGTCTCTCTTTTACCCCCTCTGCCAATAAGCTCCTCTCATTCCAGCGCTACAAAAGGGTGTCTGAGACCTCAATGTGCTCTGGGACTGCATTTCATATCAGTGCTAATGGGGGGTGATAGACAGCAATTCAGCTCAGACAGAAATGACAGTGAAGTTAAGTGGATCCCTGTCTTTTGTTTGACTACTGGATAAATACGGCAGAATCCAGCATGATGATTGGCCTGTGCTTTAGGATCATCATCACAATCATCACCCATCAGTTTCTCTCTTTCTCTTAACTTCACTAACAAACACGTCTTATGCTTTTCATCAGGATAACTCCAAAAGAAATCATTCCTCCTTTTTTTTTTAACCTCATTCTTTTTATTTCCAAACCAAAAGGAAAAATTTCACTTGCTCAAAATTCAACAGGGCTTGTGAGTACATTTCAGCTTTGGCCTATTGTTGCCAGTGGTAATTGAGAAATTTGCTTTTTTGGATGTTGCGACAGGTCTGGAGTGATGCCCTTAACTCTGACAAAGAGTCCTGACATTTTGCATTTACGTTCTGGAAAGAAAAATTATCCACTGCCAGCCACTGCAACGAATCAAAGGCTGATTTTTAACACTCTGAAGGTGTTTAATTACTTCCTATGAGGCTTTTTGCTGTGGTCACACAATATTTCATGCATATGTTTTTACACTACAACATTTATATGAACGTAAATGCAGTGTGTATTCATGTCGCAGGGTGTGTGTAATTTTTAATCTTAATCTCTTGCCTTTAATTTCTGTGTGACACCTTCATCGTGAACACCGTAATTGCAGTTAGTTCCCCTGTACCATTAAGACATGTCAGGTAAAGAATTAAAGCCATATTTTACCAAACTGTTCAATGTCCACATTAGGCAGGAGTTGACACAGCTGTCTAAAGGCTTACACATACTATAGAGTACACTGTGTGACTCTATAACTCTGACATGACAACAAATAAACACAGCAGAAGCGCCGCACTGCCAAGCCAAATACCTTGATGCCAGAAGCAATGTAGTTTCCAGACAGAAAACATGCCAGCAAAATTAAACAATGGGTCAACATGGCGCTATGATCAGCACCAGCCTGAGGACTCAAGCGGGGCACAGAAGGAAAAAAGCACATTTATGCAACCCTCTTGACGGGGAACCAGACCACAAAGTCTTCTGGGTAAAAAAAAAAAAAAAGCAGCTGCCCAATAAATGTGGTGCAACCAAATGCCGCAGCGCCCATAGATTTGTTTGCTCGTCGACAAGCCAAGGTTGTGTTCTTTTCTGCTCTCTGTGGGTTTCAGGGTCCACTTTCCAGTCCTGTGGATACGGCTGGTTGCAATATATCAGACCGTGCGAGACATCCAGAGTGTCAGGTCCAATAACGGCTTAGGCGTTCTCAGCCAGCACATCACCGCTCATTCGCGTTTCAATAAATCAATTCACCACATTTCAGTGTATACTTCTGCATTCATATTCAATAATCCAGTCCACATCAGCATGTCTGCGCCCGCTGATCTGTAGGAAAAATATACTCAAAGCACAGATCCACTCCTTATTCTTGGGCAGTTTTGAGTGACTTGCCAACAATTCACTGATACCCTTCATTAAAAGTTCTTTAATTAATGCAATCTTTCCTTCTATGTCCAACCGAACATATGTACGATGGAGTATTAGGGCCCCATTAAGAAAAAAAAAAATTAAGACTTCGAGATTAAAGTCATTACTAACAAGAATAATGTCATAGTAAAATAATTTCTTACAAGAATAAAGTACAACTTCGAGATTAAAGTCATTACTAACAAGAATAAAGTCATAGTAAAATCATTTCTTACAAGAATAAAGTTGTAATTAAATCATTACTGATGAGAATTACTGTAAGTCGTAATGTAAATGAAGTCTTAAAGCTGCTTTTGTGGAGGAGGAAATGGCAGGAACTGGTCAACTGCAGAGTTATCAGTGGGTACATCAGTGAGCCATTCAGAGGGCTTTTGTAGTTTCTCAAGAAACAATTGAACTGATGATCAACTTTTGCTATCCAGAGGGAGCTGAGCTCTGACGAACACCGCGCCTGTCTCTGATGCCGGCAGCAACCTACACCTGCAGAGGCACCAACACCTTATGGCATATAGATTCATATGATAAACTAAAGACTTACGCTATTGCTATAAACAGCTGCATTGGGGGATTTCAGCCATTTCCCCCTCCTCAAAAACAGCGATTCCCTACAAGTCTGCCTGGTTCTCTTTGGGGAAAAGATGCATTTCTTGCATATGTCCTGATACTTATGACAATGTGATGCTGAAACGCCACAGGATTTAGTATCTCCTTGTATGTGAAACCTAGCTACTGAAGTTTAATTCATCTGAATTCTCCACAGCACTCATTTCAACAACTAACAACAGGTTAGAAGAGCAATTAGCTACGACTTTATTCTCGTACGTAATGATTTTATCACGACTTTATTCTTGTAAGTAATTACGAAGTCTCACATTTTTTTTCTCTTATTGTGGCCCTAATACTCCGTCACACATATGTTTATGTTAGCTGTAATTTGAGTCCACTCCTGCTACAGGCTGGCCTCAAACAATTTGCCTGCTGGATCATGGTAACATACAATACACCCCTCACCCTGGATACGATATGTAGGACCCAGCTGTACTTGAAATCATGCATGACCTTATCTTAATTTCTAAGCTTAATGCCCTTCAAAATTAAATTGGCAAACAAGTGGTACTGATGTTTTATTTGGTTTACCTCTAATAAGGACTCGATGCAGCCTAAATGACAGCTGCTACATGAAACAGTATGAAAGATCGGAGTTATGAGAAGCTGGAAGAACAGAGGAAAAACAAAGGGATATGCTCTGACTTAAAGGCTTCTTGTGTCTACTGTGATTCTGCCCAAATAACTGAACCAATCTGGTCCTAAATCCCGCATAAATCTTTTTACATCGATGTTGAACTAATCTAAAGCTGAACGGACGTAATGTGAAACAGATGTTTGTAAAAGAAAACAAAAAGCGATAGGGCTTCTTTCTGGAGACAGTTAAAGATCACTGGGGTGTAAAACTCTTCAGGGGAGAGGTAAATCTGTGTTTGGATATCACAGTCACACAATCATAAAATAGTGTACAAACAAATTGAATCATTCTGTGTCCTCATTTGTCCCTCTGCTGACAACTTTTGGTCCTCTCTCTCTTAGTATCAATCATTAAATTAGATGTGGTCAGTGTTTGATAAATACACAATTTAACGCCACAATCCACGCCTCCATATCTGACTCGGATCTTTCCATTTGGATGTCTCCAACTCTCCGGTGGGCATTTGCAAACACACACTGAGCGTCCTGACAGTATAAACACACACACGTCTCGACTTGGAAAGCTCGACCGATTGTAGCCAACACTTCAGATGTGCGCACAACAGCTTCGCTCACGCTTCAAAAATGCTCTTAAGTCTGCATTCAGCGCATACCGATTCACTTGTCATGCATAATGCCTTGTGATGAATTCTGGGGGAAAAAAAGCTGTTTCTTTGGGATGACATCAGTGGAGCTGAATTGCCTGTCTGGCTTGGTTTCTCCTAACCTTCACTTCGTTTCTCAAACATTCAAATTAAAGCCGGCACTCCCACCACAGAACACGGCAGTGCATAATTTAAACTTGACACCCTAAATGTAAACACGTCTTTCGCTACATAATTTATCCATACTTCTCTTAATGTTTGTTTTGCACGGTAGCAACTCAGTTTCTCATGTATATAAGCTCCAGGTCTAGCTCTGTCTGCTGCGTGGGTCTGGTTGGGTGGAGGGATACTGTCATCCTGAGAGGCTGTGACGCGGTCCTGAGGCAGAAGTGGTCTCAGTGTGTATAAATGTCCTTCTTGTTTGCTTATTTGGTGGGTGCTGTGAAAGAGGTTGGGGGTAAATGTTGCTCTGGACTCAGATCTATGCAGTGCCCTCTGCCACACTGACGAGTCAGCGAAAAACAGAAAATCTCATAGAGATTTACCTTTGTTCCACACATACAACAAACCAAACAGTTTGGCTTGTATGTTTGCAGAGCTGCTGCCGTGGTACATGTTGTGCTCGGGCACAAAACGAGGCCAGTGTGGGTGTACGTGACGAGTGTGAGAGGATGTAGTCTCAGACGAGAAAGGAGCAGTTATGTCTGCCCCGCAAAACGCCACAAACAAACAGCCCAGTACGCCTCCACAATGCACATGATCCATGACTGACAGGGTACAGCGAAAAGTACAACTCTTCCGCTCCAACTACCAGGGGAAATTTTTACAAGTTGAAAGAAGAGTCTAAAAAAGCTCATGAACTCAGACACAGATCCTGCAAACCCTCCATCCATCCATCCATCCTCCCTCCCTGAGGTGTATAAGCCGGGTTCACATCCCGCAACAGCCCCCTGATGAAGACGGAGACCCCGAAACACATCCACGCTTCATCCATCTGATGTATTAGTAAACTGATCTGGCTCAGTAAAGAGGTTAAACTGATTAAGCTTTTGGATGGGACACAATTATGACACAATCTCTCTGCAATGTATAACCAGCCGCAGCCCTGGGTCTTCAGGTTTCTGATATTGGAGCGTGATAAAATGTCGAGGAAATTGGGAAACTCAAAATATTGCATTCCAGACAAATGTAATTAGAGTGTATCACATGTAGTAAATCCTGAATGCTTTGATACCTGCTGGTGAGGTTGAAAGGAAGGTAGCTGCAGAGGTTTGACCTTTTGGAGCCTGAGTTCAATATTCCTCCTCTCATGTCAGTTACATTCAACCAATATTTATTGTTGGGTCTATTTCCAGAAGCAAAAGAAAAGGAGCAAAGATGCAGATATTACCTTTTTGATTCTCCATAAGTGAATATATTTTGATATTTGATCATTTATTCCAGCTTACAACACATTTCCACTTACATATGTGTACAGAGGTAAAACAACCAGAGGTTATTTTATTCCTACAGGAATTGGGATCACAGTTGTGCTTGCTAAACCCCTCCCCTCTGTAATATTTTGGTACAGAGTCTGCCTTGATATTTTCCTTTTGAGGTGACGTTTAGGGTCTGTAAGACAGTGTGCTAACTTGGCTAACAGTTTGATGTACCTTACATTAGATCTATCAATTATCAGACAAAAACAGCCTCTCACCTGTTACTTCTGGTAGTTTCTGTCAGATGTCTATCCATTCATAATGAAATGCACTTTCCTGAGTAGGACACTAGAAGAACCATCCATTTAGATCAGGAGCTAAATTTGAGTCTCACTTCTACAAATGCATGTGATAGACACTAGTCACATGCATTTGTGGAAATGAGACACAAGTTCAACAGACTAAAAGTCAATGTGATGAAATACGAGCATTCCCTCTTGTTATTGTAACAAATAAAGTAGCATAACCCTCAAGTAGCAGGTCTGGTCTTTGTTCTCACAGCAACACGCTCTGCCACTAGTACAAATGTTTAAAGCAAGGTTTCAATCACTGAAATGAAAGTATTCTACTATTTTCAGTGATAGAATTTGTTTTTTTTTTCAGTTGTTTGAGGAAATGAACTAAAAGCCATTTTAAACTAGATTGAAACTCAGACACAGCTGTTGATCTGTTGATTTACATCATGCCTTAAAATGAGTAAAATTAAAAAAATATATGTTGAAGAAGTTTTGAATCTTTTTAAGTCAATTAATCAAGAAAAAAAGCTAATTAAATCATTAAGTTTGCCAATAAAGGCACAAATTGGAAGTACATCAAATATATAAAATGCGTAATATTTTAAAAAAAATTATGTTGAAGAAGTTTTGAATCTTTTTAAGCTAATTAATGAAGAAAAAAATAACAAATTAAATAATTAAAAGTGCCAATAAAGGCAATAATTAGAAGTATATCAAATAACTGTGTATGAGATTTAAGATCATATAAAGCCAAGATAAAGTTAATAATACTTGATTATGATGACAACAAGGCCCACAACAAATGTAGTTAGAGAAGCTCTGAAGTGACTAATTTCATCCCTGTTTAAACAGGAATTTGGATTCCTACTGAGATACTACTCTAAAGGTTAAAAAGTATGAAAACAGTCAGATTCAGCAGGAACTTAACATGTCCAAACATGGGATTACCAGCCTGTGGGTGGACAATGTCTTATTGGTTTGCTTCGTTTGGTTTATCTTAGCAGAGCTAGCACCACAAGCCTTCAGTCCTCCCTACAAGTAAGCATTTACCTACCTGTACTGGCTGTGCATTGCTTCAGTGCGGCTGTATGCTAGTTTAACAAACACGGCTACTTTTATCTCCTTCCAAACTGCACTTCTCTATGAAATACCATCTGTCATCTATGCTTATTTACATATGGTGTGTAGAGCATTATAGCATCATTGAAGAATCTACAGTTTAGACGCAACATATGACTGTAATTTGGGCCTGTAATAATAAAAGTATAAATAATTGGTTTCACTGATTACTGATTCTATGTTTGGTCCATGAAACACGCACATCCCTATTGGAAAGGACAGCTGAAGAGAGACAAGGAATGTACGTTTACTCCATTTTTCATATATAAAACACTGAATGCCCCTTCAGTGCGTAATACTAAATTCATATCAATAGTATGTTTAATGATAAACAGCTGAAATATTTAATTTAAACTCAGTCAGTGTCTTCAGATACTTCTGTCAGAAACCAGTATGACAAACAAGCTGACTGTCACATTAGCTGTAACTTGAAACAACATCTTTAAGTATCTCACTAAACAAACACATCTCAAAGAGGAGACCTTTGAGCCTCTGTTGTGGCCGTGTTCCCCCAGCAAGTGTTGAGTGTATCAAAGCAGTCCTAAATTCAGATCTGGATGATCGATAGTGGCAGATAGAGGGTGTATGGGATGTTACTGGCAGGGGTCAGGCTGCGTTGGAAAACATTATTTCATAAAAAGAGTAACTGAATAACTTTTTTTTGGGTCTGACAAGAAGTTGGCCTGGCTCACTCAAACAAGCGAGGTCCATCAATTCAAAGCCTTCGCTGGCATGCCAAAACATCAAGATCAGTCCCAGAGCCCACAGCCAGCAGTTTCATCATCCCAACATCAGATGTGGACAGTGCTGTGTTACTATTAGCATGGGGGACAGACTGCCAAACAGCACGGCAGACATTACGGGGAGACAAAGGATGGGATTATGAGTTTGTAGAAAGATATTAGAATACCTAACTACATGATGAACTCATTTGGCCACATAATGACTGACAGAATAAACTCTGAGAATGATTTGATGGAAAACAAAGGCACTAGATTAGACAAAGTTGCTATAAATTGATCTTCACCAGGTGCTTATTTGGGCCTGATTAGGTTAGTGCATTTGTGCCAACCCAGCAGACTGTAGCAGCTCAGTTTCTGCAGCATGCGGTCACTCCTGACATGCTAAATCAATGCCCTTTCTCGCCTATTGACCCTGATTACTCTAAATGAGCCATGGACAAACCTCTTCTCTTCCAGTGAAGCAATGTGAATGTGAGTTTGTACAGCCTGATGAACCGGTCGGCTTTGCTGAACTGCAGTATCTTGATCTGATCTGAGTTATTTGGGTGAGTTTTTAATGTGATTTTTTTTATAACTGAGCAATGGATTGAATTGAAGAAAAGTAAACTCCTCCAAGTTCTCCCACTACTCTGAAGGATCTTCGAAATAAAACAAAGCACACACCTTGTAACGTTAATTTTGGGTCCAGGACCCTGAGATTCCAGTCTCTAAATCGTCCAGACAGGCCAGAGTGTCAGAGTCTCATACGGGTACAAACACATTAATATCAACGTCAGTCGCCGCCCGCACCCAGTGCCCAGACAGCTCCAGTTTCAGGCGGCATTCAGAGGAAAAGTCCGGTCATGTGCTTGAACCTCAGTTTTAATTAGCTAATGGCGCTACCTGTTTCATCTCCTGTGTCCGAGCTGATTGCTCACAAAAAGACTCCATTTACTCCTGAAAAACACAGACACCATCTTGGCATTGGCTCATGCACTTTGTTTCACCATTCTTCTCCAAAGATTAGTCTGGTACATATATACAGAGTGTTTGTTTGATTCATACAAGTAAAACGAGGAATTTCCACGATCCACGGATTTTTTCTGGCAGGTGTAACATCCAACTTTCTTTCAACGGGTGGTTTGACTGCGTGAGTCAGCGAGGTGTGCGCGTTTTAAAATTCGACTGTGTGTGTGCGTACACATGTGAATTGGAAGGGGTCCCATAAAGCAGCTAATACTGGCTGTGTCCTGTTTTGGCTCTAACATTTGAGTTAAGTACAGGAATCTACCATACATGGAAGAATCTTCTTGAGTTTTGAATTATTTGTCAATTTCATCACCTTGATGGTATGAGACCAGAGTGCAAAGTTAATACCAAAAAAATACATTTCCAAGGAAAAGCTACGTAATAAAGACATATTCATTTTTGTTGTTAAAGCTCCTGTGAGGAATTTTAAGCTGGTTGTGAAATGGCCTAAATTTTGTAATAATGTCACTCTATGACCCAAAAAGTAAAGAAGGCAATCAACGAGAGGAGTGACTATTTAAGTTGAGTTATTTTGTACTGTCTAAAATCACTGGATAGGAGTAGGTATCAGACCAAGAAGTTAAGTGCAAAGTGATCTTTCCAAAACTTTCTGGCCTTCCTTATCTTTCCAAAACTTTTCCAAGCCTATAGCAACTGCTGTAATCAAATTCCATGACTTCTCCATGTTTCCATGACCATACGAACTACGACAAATGGACACAAATACATTTTTCTACATTCTATACAAATCATGCATACCTGACGCTAAAAAATGCTTCACACGTTCAACTCTTGACTAAATCATATTTTCCACACAGCGTTTAGAGCTCGCCGTTGCCCTGCCAAAGAAACCAACTAAAGCTCGCGGGGCCGCACTCTTAAATGTAACTGTGTCCTCTCCACACAGAGTGCCTGCACGGTTCATAAAGACGTTTTCTGGCCTTCATATAGCTCACAGTCCATCTTTCAGACACTTCAAATCCACTGTGCCTGCCTCTGTCGAAGCAGAACAATTTTAAAGTCTGGGACCATGTTGGGCTTGTCCTGCTGGATATATTTTTAATATTTATGCAGACACAGGAAAAAAATGTAATAAACTAAAACAACAAGTGAATTAGGCATGAAACACAACAGGATATTGCAGAGGGATTATGTTGTTTCCTTTTGGCCCATGCCCTGTAGTGTTCGCCTGCTCTACACAACAGCCCAGGGCCGCCTTTAATTGGTGAAGAGAGGGAACCAAATTGAAAGGTATCAAAGCTTTTAACTGCAGCAGACTCAGCCATCTACATATGGAGTGAACAGATTTTTTTTTAAATGTAGGATCTTTTAAAATATTATCCAGGTACAGGCTGTGACAGATCCACGCAGGGGTTTGGCGGTATGACTAGTGCGTTGTGATAATGACTTTTTCCTGCCAAGACGCAGTGTGGAGCAAATGCTGTGCAGCTGTGCGAAGAGAAAGAGATACAGTATATATGTATATAAAGAGAGGAAGAGGGAGGGAGAGGGAGAACGCAGAGAGAGAGATGTGTTATGTTTGGATGTGGGGAGAGCCCTGTTTCATGAGTGCCTGCTGGAATCTGCCGCTGGAAAGATAATAAAAGGATTAGCTCTGGTGTTTCTAGAGCATTTGGTCCAAAAAAAAAGAAAAAAAAGAATGTCTCATCTGCTTCCTCTACACGAATTGCTTGAATTCTTGAATGCCTTTGTCTATTGCCACAAACACAAGAGGAATCAAAGCCAGTGGCCAAAAGGCACAGAAGCTCAGACGAAAACGGGAAGAATCAAGGATGGATATGGCTGAAACATATGAGAACACACGCTTTTGTAACACACGGAGACCGCAGGTTTCCTAAAAGTACAGAGTACTTAAATCTGTATTGACCGTAAGGAAACACAAACACAGTTACAAATACACACCGAGCGTGTTTATTTTCTCGGGCCTCCAAGTTTATCTGCCAGAGTCCCACATCAACATACGTCCAATCCCTGCTGATTACACATGTTGATTCAAGCTTAAAAACATTTCACTTTGCTGTTTATGTTCTGTCGGAAAAGCCAGAGTGTTACAACGCAACATACTGTACAGGGAATCAATACTTCCTATTGTGGGAGTCGAGGGAAACAATGTCCCCATTTTAACATTGCTGCATGTTTTGTGTACACGTTCATGCATAAGTGTGTGTGTGTGTGTGTGTGTGTGTGTGTGCTTGAAATAAAGGTGACGGAGAGGTGAGATAGAGTGTGCGGCTGTAGTTTCTCATTCCCTCATGTCTGCAGACACAGTCCAGTGGCTCGTCCACACTGAGCTGAATTGTTCCAGAGCTCACATATGGTAAACATCTCCAAAAACACACATAAACACACGCGCACACACACACTCCTCACAGTGACATATTCATGCATGCACATGCAAACATTCACTCAGTGTCTATTTGCTGTGTGTCATCCAAACGTGGCCTCAGACCTCACTGGAAAAGAGACATAACCGCACAGAGAGCCAGAAAGCGACAAGACAAATACAATCGAACAAATAAAATTTAAAAAAGAGACAAAAAACAAAAAAACAACACATTCCTAAAGCAGAGTTTACAACTGGGAAACTTACAATTTAAGAAATGACTTCCAAACTTTGAGTTTCCGCTGAGCCAATGAAGCAGAAACGCTGAGTGACGCAAAGCAGCAGCAACAGTTCGGTTTTTGTCTTTTAGCTCACATGTGTGCTAACAAGTCCCAGAATCAGTCAGGATAAACAAGAATCTCTACTCCAACTGCACCGACAACTGCCATGATAAACAACTTTCTATTAACAGACCCTCATCTGAGCTAATTCTGCGAGCCACTGTTATTTAGAAAAAATAAACAAGCTCGGGTTTTGTTTTTATTTCAGAATAAGAAGGCCTTGAGATAAAACAGGTGCTGCAGCAATATTGCAGACTCAGTGCTTCAATAATTAGGACCTGGACGAGTTCCTGAACTTGAAGAGGAACACTTCTGACAGGAGGGCCTTAAGTGAAGCTGTGAATTAAGCAAGACGAGCGAATGTAACCGACAATCCCTCAGCTTCTGCAGACTACTGCATTTCTCCCTGTGTTTGGCTTGGAGAAGAAGCACTTAATACTTGTGGGACAGCTCAACATTTAAAGCTCCCATTTGAAAGGATCGAGTGTGGGGTATTGTTTGGTTATGTTAACCATATGTGTTGGCTTTTCATGATCTGAATCCCTTCTCCAAAAACAGAGTGCTTGTGAAAATAAACAAGGCTTCTCCCTACACAAATTGTGGACTAATTGTGTATTTGGACTGAATCGTGCTTAAGGTTGGAGGGTTTTTCCATTCGCTAACAGACGCGGGGGAGTGACAGCTTGACATTGATTAGTGTGTTGACTTGTGGAATTGGAAACTTACCTGTAAAATAAACAACCACAGATCTATTTATACTGACAGGGAAGTAAAACTCTTACCACATCTTCTGAATGAAATATAAGGACATTACTTGACATTTTCTACTAAAAATACAGAAAAAAATCCTCACGTTTCTAAACAGGAACAAAATAAAAGTTTGTGTTGAGAAGTATTTAGCAGTGAGGGAATGTAAGTTTTGTGTTTTTGGACAAAATGGATGTGAATATTATTGAGTTTTGAGAAATTCGTTGATAGGTGGATGGAAAACACGGATGTTGTTTATTCACTACTTTTGTCTAGGTCAGTGTTCGGTCTACAGTGTGACAGGATTGTGCAGACTCACCATACACTTGTTTGGTTTCTCTCCGGAGTGAACCCTCATGTGAATGAGCAGCTTGTAGCGGGCGTTAAAGGGCTTGTAGCGGCGGATGCAGCCGGCCCAGAAACAGGTGAAGTCCTCACCTTTGCGCTGGTCGATGTGAACCTTCTCAATGTGCCTCACCAGCTCCTCCTGCTGCTCGTACGCAGCGCTGCAGTCAATCCAGCGACACGCCTGCCTATCAGCCAGCGACCCCCCTCCGGCTTCTTCACGCTCTGTTGCTGAGTGTGAGCCAGGAGGGCCTCCGAGGTTGGGTTTGAGTCCAAGGGACGAGGTCTGGGATGCTGTTTGCTGGCTCTGGTGTTGAAGGGGACCTCCTGTATTTGGCTCCACGTATTGGTGTAAGTGGTAAGGTGGAGGCATGGCAGGGCGAGACGGGTGGTGAGAGTGACGAAGGTGCCCGCTGCGCACGCTCAGGTGATGGTGGTGATGAAAGTGGTGCTGAAAGAGTTCGTCTTCACTCGGGGAAAAATCATCCATGGGCTCCTGCTTGAGGACAGCCCCTGATCTTTGGCCCCCATCCAGGAGAGCCCCAGATTCAGGCCCCGAATGCAGCATCCCAGACATCAAAGCCCCACTCATCGTCAGTCCCAGCCCGTCCTGGCCTCCCCCGTCCTGGCCTCCCACTCCCCCTCCAGCTGATCCTCTAGCCCCCCGCCCCTGTAGCATGGATCCCTGCTCCTCACACAGCCCCTGGCCCTGCTCCTGGTCTGCTGATGACGCTGACGAGGAGGATGAAGAGGAGGAGGAGGTGGAGGAGGAGAGGGAGAGCAGGCAGGTGGCAGGTGAGGATAGCTGACAGCTTTCTTGTAGAGAGGCTTGCTGGGGGCTGCCGTGTGGTGGGGGCCTCTGGGGGGCTTCCCGTGAGCAGGAGTTTGAGGGTGGAGATGTCGAAGAGGAGGAGGAAGAGGAAGAGAAGCCGGCACTGCTGGTGTGGCTGGGCGAGAGGTTTGTACGGAACCCGTTGACGCAGGTGACCATCGACATCTGTGAGGAGGAGCAGATGATGGCGGTGATGTTGATCTCTTCGGAAACAGCTCCGGTATTTGACGGGGAACCTGTTGCGGCCACGGTGGACTGCGAGGCCAGGGACAGGCAGCGTCTCTTCAGACTGCTAGCGCTGAGCAGCCGCGCTGAATGATGGGAGCCAGTTGGGGACAAAGCCAGCGGGGAGGAGCCATCTTCATTATTAAAGGCTTGCACTGCGTCCCCTGACACAGCAACACCTACTCCGCTCACTGCGCATACGCCGCTACCGTTGTGGCTAACTTGCGGTGCTCCTAATACCTTGTCTCTTGACACCCCAAAAACCTGTCCCGCCCTACAGTTTTGAAACCCGGCATCGGGCATGCTGTGGACCCCTGACCCCGTGGAGAGTTTGTAGCCCATCGAGTTCTCCTGTTTGATTGGGTAGGGGAGAGAGGAGTGAGCACCATTGGAGGTGCCGCAGCCCAGGTTAGGTGAGGCCCCCGGCAGGGTCCTGTGGAAGGCAAGGGGGGATCTGTAAGGAGAAAGAGACACAGATGGGAATATGAGCGCTATTAGCTCATGGGATGATGACAGATCCTGGCTGGTTGATCTCTTCCTGCAGCAGCAACGTTGAAGCTAAGCCCCTGTGAACTCTTCTCCTTCAATCATTCTGTCTCTATCGGTAAACATCATGTCATCAATGGGGAGTAATACTGATCTCTATTCCAAACAACTTCAACGTAAAGTCAGAACAATACAACTGTGCAGCCTAAGTCATGGATTTCTGGACATAGGGAGATACTGGACACCAGGCAGAATCCAATGTGAACAATTAAAAGTGTTTTTATGATTAAATGAAACAGGATCTTATGGTTGTGAGAGGATATGAAAGGGCATTTATGACTAAGAATAGAGAGGAGGGGGAGGGGTGGCTGCTGAGACCGAGAGGCCACAGGCTAGTGTGTCCGTCTGACAGGCTTTGATGGCACAAAGGGGTTAAACCCAACCCAACATCGGGGATAAATAGGGAGTCACCTGTTTTGGTGGCATAATTGCAGCCTATGAAGGGTCAGCGTTTACAATACTGTGTATTATGGTGGGAATCTTTGCCCCGCTGAATGGGGAGCTCAGGTCAGATTTCTCCATGCGTTGCTGTGATCTCCTACATAATCATTCCTGTCAGTTGGCTCATTATGGATTTTGTCCAAAGCCCCTGAGTGATGTGAGAAGAGCTCTCTTTTCTCCGGGCTGTCTCATGAAGGAATCGTCTTTGTCCCTTTTTCCTGAGCACTCTGAGGGAGAAGCAGAGCCTACGCTAGCGAGGATTTTAGAGAGTCATGGGCAGTTCTTGTCGTTGTTGTTGATAATAAAGACTTGACTCTTCTCCTTCTTTTTTTTTTTCGGGGGCGCCATTTCCTGTTTGGCTGCAGTGAAAATACTGAGAGACAATATGAGCGGGGTGAGTGTCTGTCCAGGAACGCTGTCGGTCAGATGGTCGAGGATAGAGAGAATAAAGGAGGACAAAACCTAAAACAGAGGGCTTCACGAGTCAACCGTTTGACAAACAGTAGTCAAAGATTGCACAACAGAAGAAACACATTAGTGTAACATAAATGTTGTACTTTGGACCCCTTCATGTGTTTTCATGAGAACAAGTAAAACTTTACACATGTGTGCATTTGCGTTGTGAAAGCACAGATAATGAGAAACACATTGTACCTGCACATTGTAAGTAATCCTAAGCCAACAGGAGGTATTCATAACTGGAAGAGGAACAAAATTAATTGAAAGCGGCAACGATAGTGACAGTTTACCTGGTGTTCTGGTGAGGGCCGTCCTGCAGAAGGAGGTCAGGTGTAGGTCTGTCACAGTGGAGGCTCTGGGTATAAAGCCCCCCTGAATGACCCCCTGCCAGCAGTGGCAAGCTCTGCCCACATCGCATCAGGGAGCCCTGAGAGTCTCCCAGCTCGGAGCCAGCATCCTTCTCCGAGCAGTAGGCACCGTTCACTGAAAGAGGAGCAGGAAAAATAACACTTAACGGGTTTCACTAGTTGTAAGAGACAGTATTATAGTATTGTTAAAGCAGCGCAAAATGTATCTCAAATTGAAAAAGAAAAATAATGGCCTAACAGGATGGACTTTATGATCTACTGACTGCCCTGGAAGGATAGTCAGTTCTTAGCGGGATGGATGCCGTCAGTGACATGTTGAAATCCTATCAGATTATTAATAATCTCCTGAGGAATAATTATGGGCTGTCACCACTGTAGAGCCCAGTAATATACACAGAGATCTTTGGCAGGGCCCGAGCAGTGACAGTAAGAATAATGCCGGGGAGATTTATGTCCAAATATTATTGCTGGAGTAATTGAGGAATTGTATTCCAAATGGCGATGCGTCCTCTTTGGAAAAATAAACTTGGTGGAATTAATGTGTCCGGAAGATCCGGCCAATAAAATTGTTGCTGTTGTTTCACTTAATTATTGAAATAACAAACTGTCTATGAAAATGATCAACTATTGTTCCAGTGTTTTGCAACGAATGCTTCAGAGAAAATTATTTCACCCATTTGTATTAATTGTTTAGGATATAATCATCTAGAAAAGTCCTAGTTAAAAGGGTTGTTAGGGTCAAGTGGCATGTATTGTAAAACTACTTTACATAATTCTACCATGTATTTTCATAGTTTCCTCTTTAAGTGTGTTTTTTTTCCCTTATCTTTGTCATGATTTTTTTAATGTACTGTGTGAATCACTTCACAGTGCTACACCAAGAGAAATTAAAGTTACATTTATGCAGATGAACCCTTATATTGAAGAAATTTCTTGAAAAATTTTAAGTTTTGTCCACACGTGGACACTCATAAAATGAGCAAAAGTAACTTAGACGCCGTGGTCCTGAGCTCAGGCAGTAAAAATTGACATTTTGTAACCTTAAACTTCATGTTTATTAAGAAAAACCTTATTTTTTCCTTTCTTTATCAGCTTAACAGTGTTTGTCCCTTAAGCACCACGCTTAATATTTTAAACTAATAAAGACTGAGCTTGAAAATTTGCAAAGTCATCGCTGAATAAATAGTTTCTTTTGTTCTGACCCTAAACATATGTTATTGTTCTGAAGTTAGTGTTTCACATCATTTATTAAGCTAACCGTCTCTGAAATAGTCCGATTCTGTTTTTCTTTCCAGTCTCTTGTTGTTGATTTTATTGCTGGCTTTTATCACGCAGTATTTATCATTTTATCATTCCAACCTGAGTACTTAATAAGAAAAATAAAAACACTTGATGAATGTCACTAAAACATATTAAAACAAAAGAAGGAGAGATGAAAGTGGACGGAGGGAGGGCCGCGCAGTATGAGGAAATATTTGTGAAGAGTAAGCTGATATCCTCACACATCCATGTGCAGGCGGCCGCGTGTCCCCCGCTCCAACCTTCTTAACTCGATTTCTTAAATTCAATTTTCTCCTAACGATGTTATCGACAATGTTATCACACACCATGAGCTATTATTAATACAGTCACCTAAACACCATGTACGTAAGAGACATAAAAAGGAACTGGAAATAATAGACAATGATATACGAGGGGAAAATAAACTCAATGTGAAAACAGAGAGAGAAATATTCAGCTAAATGAGGATAAAATAAGAAAAAAGACAAACAAAGGAGAGAGATATGACAACAGGTTACAGATGGAGAGAGAAACTAAACAAAAGAAGGGAGGATGAGTTTGAGAGGTTACAAGGATGAACAAAAGACAAGAGAAAACAAGAGAACTTTGTGAGCCATGTCACCCACAGTTTTTTTGACATATCCCTCCTACAGTTTATGTATCATTACTCCCTTTTGCATTTGTCTTGTCACGGGTCACAGCAGAAACACAAATGGCCAAGCAAGCAATGCAAACAGTCCAGTATCGCCAGGGGAGTGCAAGAACAACGCTGGTTTCACTCAAAGCCGTTAACAGAAGGCAAGTTGTCTCTCAGTTCTGGTCTGTTTTCAAGCAATACAAATAACTCTGTTTACCCAATCCCCTTTTTTTTTTTTAGACCTTTTTTTTTTTTTACTGCTTTTTGGCTCAGGGTATACAACTGTGTTTCTGTATGAAAGTTTCAAAGCCATGGTGATGTGACGCCAAGTGTTTCCCTGCCTCAAGTCAGGAGTAATTCAATCAGGATGGTCAGAAGTGACATGACTCAGTATAAAAGATGACTAACATCATCAGAGCTGGTTTAATTAGACCTTGACTGTCCTCATGCATGCACACAACACAAACAAGGAAATAAAAATACTGCCATTGTTAAACTCTGGATGGACTGGCAGTGGGTCAATGAGGACTTGACTGGATGCATATGCTCTTTGTCACACATGGGTCATACTCACCAGCACAGTTTGTAAGAGACAGACAAATACCAATCAGCCCTGTCAAAGTAACCTAAGTTTAAGGACAATGTTGCTCTTGCACGTGATACTTTTTACAAGCGAGAAACATCATAAAAATTAGTTAAACTGACACAGAATGAGGATGGAGATAATTCAAAACACTTCTAACCAGCTAGAAACCTTTATCTGGACTTGGACGAAGAAATAACTATTTAAATACGAACCGTTTTCTCAAAATAAATGTCATATGAAGTATCGGTTCAAAAGTCCTCACTGCCAAAGTTGTTCGGTTTCTCCACGAACACCTGAAAAGTTTGGCTATTTAACATCAATATGTTCAATGCAGATGTCCAACATGAATCAGAGCAAATAAAAATAAATAAATACTGGTGTTCATCTGGTCAGATTTATGAACATGTTTATTTATTGCGCGATTAAATAGTTACAGATTGAAAGCACATTTTGTTTAAAGGAACTTCTTGGTTTGTATCAATTGTAGTGCCCACTGTGAGCAAAGCTGTGTATATGATCTCTTTGCTGATACTGTCCTGTACATGCATGGATGATGTCTGACCGAAAATCTTATTCTCCTGTTTTTTAACAGTCAATCATAAAGTATGACACAATGTGACCCTTAAGGAATAACATCTGTGTCTGTGTCCATGGTGACAGTCCCAGGTATTAAAAACTACAAAAAATAAATAATTACTTTTGTTCCTGATGGTTTTGTTTACTTTTGAAGCTCATAATGAGACAACACTGTCAATTTTAGTCTGGTTTATGATCAGCTGAAAAACTGTTATGTCTTTAAACATATAAATGTAAAACTTTTACTTCTTTGGTGCACTGAAAAACACAAGTTTTTATATGCTATTTAAATACAGCATTGATACAAGTCTGATCTGATTTCTCATATTATTGATTATCTTTAAAGCTCCTGTGAGGAGTTTTTGTGGCATGTACCTAGGCTTAAACAGATATAAATGCCTTTATGGAAAAAAGATGGTTTTTATATTGTAATTTTTGATGCCTCAAATCTGTGTGAGAGGGTAGGTGTCAGCCAGGCAGCTGCCAAAATAGGCACTGTTTTAAGAATTTCAGCCAGATATATGAACAATAGATGATATATTTGACTATCAAAAGTCCACAAGATGAGAGTCTTTTGTAAAATAAATAAATAAATTTATTAAAAAAGTAAAAATCACCCCTTGAGAATGAAGAAGAGAGAAGAAAAGACCCACAGAGGGTGCCCAAAAAGTTCCTCACGGGAGCTTTAAAAACAACCTTATCAACGCTCATAATCACTGTTACTAAAGATCATGGGTACGTTTGTGGATGCTGCTCTGAACAAGCATGGTCAGCTAAACTGAATCATGCAGAATTTTTTGTATTACCTCCTTAAAGCTGAAACAAGGCGTAGAAAGTACTGGAAAAGGGACTGTCAGATGATGGTCAGTAGCAGTCTCCTGTGTTGAAATATGAAGCTATTGTGACAGTGCCAGAAAACTGTAGTCTCTTAGGTGTCCACAAGGAAGACAATAAACTAGGTAAAACACATGTCAAATGTACAGCATTTTCACAGCAGAAATAAATTAACTCATGCGCACAATTTACAGAAGGGGTGGGGTGTAACTTCTCCAATATGAAGATATTAAGACTTAGGGATATAGGTGTAGATTTGCATTATAAATTTGCACAAGTGGCACACAGTACTTGCAGTATGCGACTGCCATCGACGTTTTTTTCTTTAAAGAGAACCCATGTTGTATGCAGAGTATGGTTTTGGTCTTTTAAACAGGGAAACACACTGTAGAGCTGATGGAAGTTGCAGAGTCGGGTAGTAAAGACCTGTGGCTTCATCAACTTGACAGACCGTGGCCAAGTGATTTGAATTACGCACGAAAGCGTGTGGCAGAATCTTTTAATAATCTGTATGTTTCTGGAAAGTTCATACTAAGAGATAAATAAAACAAATTACAGTTTGTTAGGTCTGATAAAGAGCTGCACAGATTTAACGATCAGATTTTCAACATAGTTGTCACTCCCACTCATCCTCACTTTATAAGCATCTGAAGTTTTACTGACATCTGGGAGTTTGTGTGTCTCTGAAAATACTGAGTATCACTTTAAATCACTTGTTCAGGTTCAAACACATCCAGAGAAGTCTGAAAAGTTTAAGACCTGCTGAGCCTGTGCTCCTGTGTTAAACTCTTGTGACAAGTGTCATCTTAGCACAAGTATAAGTAGATTAAGGTGTCCCTATCTTGGGAGACGTCGTCTCAGTGTCTCTAGCTCACTGACTTCAGAGTGTTAAATGAGAGTTATAACTCTTGATCCCTCTGCTGCAGAAAGTTTGCACTCGAGTGATTTAGAGCTTTGCTACATTAACAGAATCAGTCATGCTCTGGTCAGGGAAACAGGCTCCTCAACATATGGCGACTTGGATCGGACCCAGCGGTAAATTCAGTTTATATTGAATGTGCAATGGTAATTCAGCGGAGAACATTTCATTGTGTGTTAGAGCTTAGTTTGATCAGGAGGTGGGAACCAGAGGGAGCAACAGGGACTGAGGTGAAATGTAAGACATCTAGCAGCAGGGATGGCAGAAGAGAGAGGGAGAGAGAAAGAGAGAGAAAGAGAGAGAGAGGGAGAGAGATGGAGGAGGTGTGTGTCTGAATTAATGAGGGGGTAAATGTGAGATAAAGACGGGGGAGAAATGACCATTCTACTCTTAATTGAGCTAAATTTATGGGTGGTCTGCTGAGCAGGCATCACTCTGCACATTCCTTTGGCTCTCAACCTGAATTTTTTCCTTGATATGTAATGGAGAGTTGGAATTATGTCCCTATGTAAAAGGCTGCTATATCTAACAAAAATTAATGGTATCTTGTGGTTACATGACACTGATTCAATGGAAACATGTTTTCATGAGTGAGTCAATTCTATTTTAGTCAGGCACACACTCTAGAGGGTAACGCTGTAGTGCACAACGATAATGTACCTGCTGAGGCAAGGAAGAAGAAAAGTGCTGTCAAGTAAAAACAGCTGGAAAGAATATTTTTAAGTTCTAGATGATTCCCAAAAATTAGGTTAACATGATATAAATGGATGGGATTGTATTTCTCTCACTTCCTAGTCCTTAGGTTCTGAAGAGGGAGCGTTGAATGTAAATAAAACATTTCTAATCCCCACAAAGATCTCACTGGGAACTCTGAGGTAGATCCTCCTGAAGGCAGAGAATTAAAAAAAAAAAAAGGAAAGAAATCCTTACATTTGCAGTTGATTGCTGCAGATGGAAATTCAGTCCTGTATTGTTTCCAGCTCTACTGAGCACCTTAGAACAAGCAGGGTGGGATGCTGCGCTGATAGAACAGAAAAAAAGTTGCTAACATTCAGTGCCGATTAGAAGCGACGCCGTGAGGGCGTGAGATCAGGTAAGCAGGGGCAGAAACAGAGACAGAGAAAGAAAGAAAGAAAGAAAGAAAGAAGCGGGGCAGTGCCAAAGCACCGAGGGCAAATGTTGTTCTCAGCACAGAGAGCATGTACAGATGTGCTGGCTCATCCTCACAGAGAGCCACTGATGTCAGCATTGTTGAGTAAAGACGCAGGCACAAAGAAGGACTGTATTGTTATCCACCCTTTAAAAACACCACCCTTAAAACAATCAAACTGAAGAAGGACTGTGGGGAAAAAACAATTCCTGCTGTTGATAACACGGTGCCTAATAATACTGGGTTACAGCTAAAGTGGTGTCATCCGCTCCATAAATGTCATCACATGGTATCTATTCACCCCTCTTCCTCCTGTATAATTAAAGTCGCCCGCTCCTTTCACAGCAGGATGACTGTAAACTGAGGAGCTTGCTGAGACGTATTAGAGGAGAAGTAAAATTAAAGGAGCAGTTTGCCTTTTTTTCATGCTCTGCTTCACATGAAGACAAAAATTAATCCTCCCTACATGAGTGTGATTATAAAGAGATGAACGTGGTTACTCGAGAACTTGTTTTGGGACATGTGTGATTATTATTTGGCTGAGGTTTCGGAGGAGATCGAGGTTCCAATCACCCTGCAATACCCTCGCTCTGATGTCATCCATTTGTCATGCTCCCTTCTTGGCTAAATCCTCTGGGAACACGGTGCGCAAAGCTGTAAAGCCCCGATGCATCACGGTCATGAGTGGAAAGTGAATGCTAATCCTACTCCTGCTGATTAATGCAGCCACTGCGACCGCTGAGGCTGAAAAATAAGACAATAGACAGGAACAATGAAGGAACGCAGACTCGGTAATTCTGATCATTAAAGCACGACTCACTCCTGAGTGGAAGGCTGCGGTCGCTGCAGCCATGATTACATTGATTGTTTAACACGCTTCACATACTGGAAGAATTTCATATCGGGGATCACGGCCAGGTAGGTTGCGCTGTAATTGTACACCTTCACAGGCTGATGATCAGAGTCATGTTCAAGTTCAGCAGTGTTGTGCCTTGGCTAAAAAACTCTCCCCCTGACCTCAGTGACTAATAAATGACTAATAAAGCAGAGCAGACATATGTCTCCAATCTTGCAGAACTTCACCCCTCTGAAATAACAGCTATTATCCCAGGATACACAGTTATGACTGAATTATCACACAAAGTATTCAAGTCAGTACAGTAGAGGAAAACTCAAACTGCATCATCCTGTAGTTGAAAATCCGTGTTGCTTGTCTCGCTCAATGAGTCTCCCCTCGTCACGTCTTCCCTGGCATGATTATTTCTCCACAGACAATACCTCTCTTCCATCTGATCAGCAGATGGTCTGGACAGCATTATTAAGTGTAATTGGTGGTAATCTGGGGCGATTTTTTATTTCGGTGACACTTCATTTTCTATAATTCTCGCCTCTCCCTTTTAAGTCACCTAAGCGCCGTGTTAAGTGCCAGAGTGAGACTGTGTTTGTGCCAGCATTTAATGCGTTCAAGTCTTCAGAGACATGCAGGCCTCAATGAAAAGCAGATGTGTGGATGGATGGATGGTTTAAGGAGAGGGAAGGGGAGCGATCAGAGGTGTACTGTACTTAAAGAAGGAGGGAAGGAGGGATGTTGGAGGGGGGCGAACGGGATGTCAGGAGTGTGATGCAAACATCTGAACCCAAGGTACAACAAGCTGCCAAAACCGCAAGACAGATGCCTCTGGAAATGTGATGTGACACCTCAACTGGCCCCACTTTGGCTCCATAAATCATAACATTCAGCACTTAAACACTTAATAATGATCATTTTATTCCTGTCTGCCCCCACCTGCTGCCATCGTGCTCCCCCCCTCTTTTTACTCTCTTTCAACACGAGATGGGTCAACAGATACAAGTGTGTGACAGAAGGCCTCAGGACTTTGTAGAGGGATGCTCATGCTCTGGTTGTGGGTCTTGTCCGCTGCAGATGTTGTGTATTAAGGTCTAAAGCCTGCCCGGCTTCTCTGAATCTCATAACTCATGTCTATATTTGTGTCTGCGGCATAGTCCCGGAACTTATTTGTTTGCTTAGTAATGGATGTATGATTGAAAAACCTGAGGGCACAAGTAAATGAAAAATAACATTGTCTACGGAGAAAGCTCCTCTTAAAGCAGGTGCGGAGAGAAGGGAAGAAGAAAAACTCGATTAAATTACCGCAGGAGCACAAAAATGTCAGTGTTTTTGTAAGAGGATTACCAGTACCAGCAGACATGAGAACTTTCATGGGGATAAAAATCAATTTGTTCTTGCTGATTTTACCTGCTCTCCACTTGGTATTTATGTTCCTGCCTATTTTCTCATGGTCAGTTTGGTCACACAGTAACCCCAGACTGGATGAAGTGAAGAGGAAAGACTTGTGTAGCTGCAAACCTCCAAAGCATGCTTCAACTCCAAAAAGTAATAGAATTAAAGAAATCATATTAACATCTGACAAAGAGCTGCAAAGCTAGTGGTCAGAGAAAACCTCTTAGTGGATACATCTGGCAAAAAAAAAAAAAAAAAAGAAGCTGTGAGATGATTTGCAGCAGTCCGTAAATGATTAGCTGCCTTTAAGAGAAAAAGGGCACATGTTGTGGGAAGCAGGCATCCTCACAATACCAGGCTCTTCAAGTGGAGCAGTGCTAACCGCAGTCATGAATACAAACAAATAGTTGGCAGCCAGCAACCCTCCCATCCCCAACAACCCCACGAACCTATCCCACCCACCCCATCACCCCATCCCAGTGCCAGGCTCGGCGCCCATCGCGGCCCTAACACCAACTGCTTCACCATGGGGATTAAAATAAAGGCTGTAAGGCAAAACACATGGGAAAATATTGTGGGATTATGTGACTCTACACACATACACACACACAAACACACGCATCTCTCTCTCTAACTCACACAAACAAATATGCCAAAAAGAAAACACACACACTAAACTCTGGTAGTGTCCAGATCACTTCTAACTCCCTCCTTCTTATCCGAGCAGCCAATCATCTCCTCTGCTTTCATCCATGATTAACATAATTAAAACTTTACACTTGTGCATGACACCACCTGGTGGCAGCACCCTGTCACTGGTGGTGTCATCCAGCCAGGTTATAACAAAGGCATACCAATCAACAGGTAAGCAGCTTCAATAGAAGGTCTGAAAAAGTCAAACTAAGGAGAAGTATCTATGGATATAACAGGTCCAGGTGTGATATTCTGCTTTTATAAACGGGTGTGTTTGAACTGTAACTCACTATTTCAGACCACCCACACTGCACCCTATGATCAACTTTGTTTAGAGCGCCTCTCTCGACAAGAAAACATGATTTACTTCACATTCAGAAATTGAGTTTGAAACATCTAATGTTGTCATTTTGTAATGTTTAATATTGTTCTAGAAACTATCTCCCAGTTTGTGTTGATTTTGTCACTTATTGTCAGTATTTTATGTTTTTTTTTTCTCCTTTTAACCATGCTACCTGACCTCTGGTGTGCCACATCCCTTCATTCAGGCATTAAAATCACATTGTAGAAATTTTTACGGGTGGTCTTGTTTGCTTCTGTGGGTCATAAAGAGGTAATTTTAATCTGTTTCATGAGCACTTTTACACCACACAGGGGCTTTAGGTGCATATTTGCTGTAAAAACTGGATATTTGATAAGTGGGGCTGTCAAAACACTGTTTCTAAAGTCACCATTAATTGCTGAATTTTAAAGGTCAATTACAGTTTCTCATGTTTTTTTCACTTGTTTAAGATTATGAATCTCATTACTGATTTTGAGTGAAGAGCAATACATGCCAACCTGAGAACGTGTCTCAGACCAGATCATCCACAGTGTTGTCTTAAAGGGATATTCCGGCGTAAAATTAATTTAGGGTCAAACACACCATAACACCGAGTTAGACACCACATTGAGAGGTGAATGTTGCCAACCGCTTGCTTCTCTAGTTATTCCAACTTTAGTAACGACCGCACGATAGCAATACACAGCGGTCTGAGGAGCCACACACAACCTAAACCAAAAAGGCACTCTATAGCCACAAATAATGCTCAGAACAGCACCTAACTTCATCAACAGTACATATAGAGACCTAGCCACAATACTAGCCACCAAACATCTTTTAACTTTGCCTAATTTCTCTAGCAAAGAGACTAAACACAGCTCACCTACTCTCTTCCAGCAGCCGCTTCAAATTTCCATTTCACATTTCAAAATAATAATAATAATATAAAACTGCATATTACTGATGACTTAACAACTGAGCCATCCAGGACTTCTTAAGTGAAACGTGCCATTCAGAAACACAGTGATGTTGTTATTTTCTATCCTGACAGCAGCAGGAAGCAGGAAGACACTGCAGCAACTTGACTACAGTGTGCTGAAAGGGACAAAAAGGCAGTTGTTTCAGGATTTCATTTTTATAACCACATTAATGCTGACAGCCATAATGAGGACCGGCAATTTGGAAAACAAATAAAAAAGTAATGCTTTAAGTGACAGACCTGCTTTAAATCCTCTCTGAGTCGTCTCTATTAAAACTTAAGTAATGACAACAACCAAAAAAAAAACAAAAAAAAATCCTCAGCAATAATTTATCATCACAAAAATAAGCATTTTCTCTATCTTTTTTGCTGAACTCTTTTATAATATTAGTTGATCGAATAAAAATGTGCCAAGTCAACAAACCACATCAAAGCCTCTAGCAGCCACAATTCAATCCTGACAATTGCTATCAAAACAAGATTATGCCCACAAATCTGTGCACTGCCAGGATTAATCACACACAATCACAAAGTTTAACAAGGAGTGCTCAGCCAAACCACATCCTACAACTTGACTGAAAAGCCACATAATTGGAACAGTCCTACAGAGTGTAAAGCGTCGGCCGGGCCCGTGCACTGACTTGATAGAGCGTCAGACTGACAAGACGTAATGCAGTTGGCTGGCAGACGTGACAGGGATGCCTGGCTTCATGACAGACACCTTTATTGGGCTGGTGAACAACATGAGTGCCGAGCCAGGCCAACAGCACTGAAACCTCGGCATGGGATCATGAGGTGCTTCAAAGCCAGACAAGAGGCTGCTCTGTTTGGAGAGGCAGCAGTAAATCCTGGCAGAGTAATGCAGCCAGTCCAGAGAAGTGACAAGCACCACACCCTCAGAGAAGTGTCAAAGCTGAGGCTTCTTTAAAAAAATATACTTAAATACAACCCCAAAAAAAAAAAAAATTAGTCCTTTAACTATCCCACCCAGTCTGTGCATAGATTTTTGTGTTAAAATGCCAGGATAAGCAGATTGTAGAAACCTGCTGTAAAAAATAAACATGGCAGTTCATGCAGACGCTGCCTCTCTGTGGTCTGATCAATCAGCCATAGTGAGGCTGTGTGCCTGCCCAAGTCAAATCGAAACACCACAGGAACTGTTAAACCACCATCATGTTAATCTGTGTACATGCACATCAATATAATGACAATAAAATCTTTGTATATTGTTCGCACTTAAACTATACTGTCAAGAATGGCTGAGTTTCAAACAGTGTATCAACCCCTGTTTCAAAAAGTCTGAGTCCATGTGTAAAATGTTAAGAATTTGGTGGTTTTTGAACCATTCAAACCCTTTGATTGGAAATATTGCAAAAATAACAACAAGTGTTGAAATGGAAAAATGTTACAGGAAAACATATGCTTGTTTTATATCTGATGCATGTTTACCATTGTGTTGCATCAGTTCTTCTTTTTACAACTCTGTAAACATTGTTTCTGAAGTTTGAAGTGAAATGTTGTCCTCTTCTTGCCTAATGCAGGATTTTAGTAGCGTAACAGCTTGGTCCTTTGTCATACTTTTTGCTTCGTGATGCCCCATGTGTTTATAACGGGTGACAAGCTTGGGCTGTAAGCAGGGTATGCATACCATTAGCCATACCATCACAGATGCTGGCTTTGAAGCTGTGAGCTGATAACAAGCGATGTGGTTATTCTGCTCTATAGAGCAAAGGACACTGCATTCATTATTTCCATAAAGAAGATCACATTTGGATTTGTCAGACCACGGGACAGTTTTTCACTTTGCCTCGGCCAGCTTAAATAAACCCAGAAGAGTCGCCCTGTTTTTGAATCATGTTAATATTTGGTTTCTTCTTTGCATGTCATGGCTCACAACACCTGCGTACATGCGATGCCAAAAACTGCAGTGGGTAAAGCACAGCTCTCTACCATTTCATGTGCATGTATGAAAAGCCAAGGCCGGGAGAGCTGCAGCGAAGACATCAGGAAACAGAGCAGAGCAGAGTGACCGAACAACATGATACAGATAAAAGCAGACACAGCAAAAAAAGTAAGAGCTGAAGTGGAGGTGGGTTGCAAAGAGAAGGCATGCTGAAGCAGTTTAAATAAAACGCAGTTTGATATTTCAATCCACAAAGGTAATCAGCTAATCTGTCAATTTATGGGTTAGTGTTTTGATCAGATGATGTAGCTACTGTGGGGTTTTGTTTATAGACAAAATTTAATGTGAGGTTAACTTCTTTTTTTTTTATTTTACGATTTATACTTTTTTTATTTTTCCAACATTTTCATTCATGACAGGACAACAAACATAACAACATCCATACACACAAAGATTACAATAATATATAAAAAAACAAAATAAATAAATAAATAAATAAAAATAAAATGTGAGGTTAATTTCTGATGAAATAAAGGGTTTAAATTATTTGAAACCATCAAATCTGGTTTTTTTTAATAAACATTTTTGGGCTCAGCATCTTGTCACATAATTGACCATTTATTACTTTTTAGGTTTTATCACATTTTTTTATAACATTTCAGGTCATTGTTAAACATTGGGCTCTAACATGGCTGTAGATTTATTTTGCATGGCTTTTGTATGGCTTTGCATGTCCATATTGATGAATAATGTACATTTGTGAAATGTGAAGTAAAATGTGAAATAAAAGCAGGTTGAAGTAAAGATGGAAGCGGAGTTAAAGTGATCATATTGAAAAGCATTCCTGTGGTATTGTATAACATACAGTATAATTCACTGTACAAGATATAAAAGTAAACAAACTGGGTATTTGCACACCTTGTTTAAGAGACACTCAGACTGACCTCATACTTACTATGCTGATTTGACAATATGCCAAGGTTAAGTAGGAACAAGGTTACCATGCCAACTGTCTTAGTTCGTCATATCAAAACTTCACAACAACACATAGAATAGTTACTGAAACATTCAATCTAGGATGTGTGAACATCACAATGGAACCAACATTATGTGAAGGTGGGATCAAGTGAAGTGGATATAGCATCACAGTCACCCAATGGCTTCTAGACAGACACAAAGAAGCCCAAAGATGGTGGGCACCATCTTTTTAGATGCTGACTCCAACTAACTTTCAGGTAATCAGGACTTTAGCTAATGCACCAACCCTTCAATCAAATCAGAAACATCCCTTATAATGGCTCCTTGTGCATAACACAGAGGCTCAATAGTCAAACCAGATGACTGATGTAGTATTCAGGGACAAAGACGACTCAACAAAAACCAAATCAAAGTTGAGCTTCCATCTCAGTAAAAAAGATATCTTTTTTTTTTTTTTAAAGTAACATCATCTCTTCTAAAAGCAGCTCGATAGTCTACTATCTCCATGCAGCTCCTTGAAACAAAGTCACTTAGCTAAGCCTATCCCTGTGCCAGCTGTCTGTTCCTTTGGTGTAGAAAGCTGTCAAGTACAAAACTCCCAGCACTCCTTCAAACCTCTTCAGCCAGCACCCAATATTTACAAGCAATCCTGAAACTGTGAGAGTATTCGATTGAACACAGATGGCAGGAAATTCCTCCAAAATGACAGTGGCCAAACTCAACCACAGAACATGAGAGTATCTTTATGTAGCAGATGCATCGAGGCCCATCTGACACATCCTGCCTCTTCTTCTCGCCCAGCTACACCTCCTGCCATCGATTACAGTTTGACAAGAGTGCAGATTTATGTGACTCCTGTAAAACAAGTGATCAATTTGCAGCAATTACTGTATATTTTTAATGCTTCAGAGGGTGCGGTGGGGGAGAAGTAAATGAATAGTTAGAAGAGTGTCTGGAAGAAAACTCCCTTGATGGTCGGTGGTCTGACTGAGAGGTTGAATTTAAGCTCTGGTAATTGGATCACATTTGAACGGAGAAACATTTGAAAATGATTATTTTCTTACCTACACACAGTGCACATAACCTTCTGTTATTCTCACAGGGGATGCTATTTGTTTAAAACAAGGGCCAAACCAGATGTTTCAAGGACCAAAAGAGGAATCCAATTTCACTTCCTACAACTTTGTTACCTCTTGTTGTTTTAGCAGAGGACAACTAAAGGAATGTTACTTTGAGGAAAGGATATGTACAAAGCATGCAAAGTAATCACTTTGGCTTTTAGAAGTTTCCTGTTAAAGTTGAGGCTGCTGCCTCTCCACGGCGTCCACCGCTAAATATTGGCCAGTCAGGATGATTAGGGGTTAATTCACCTAAAAAACGGAGCTGCTTTGAGGAAAATGAGTTTTTCAAAAGCCCACAATTTGCTTTGACAGTGGAGGCACAGGGGGGAGGCTTCTATTTTGATTTGATTATTGGAATGATTGGTGTTGCTTCATGTTCCTGGTTTCAAAACCCGGACATTTCACCACAATAAGAAAGTTGATCCTTTTTGAAAAAAGGGTAATCCTCCTTGAGTTCAGCGACAGAATACAACACACAAGAGCTATTGCATAATATGTAAGAACCTTTAACTGAGACACAAATTATTATCTGAACTACAGTTTGGTTGGTCCAAAATGGCCAAACCGAGTCAAAATCGGATCGCATCTGTAGGCCAAGGTTAGAACTTCTTCAAACTAACTATTGAGACTAAGATGTAATAAGCCAAGCAGTTCGTTGACTGGAATAGAATAGAAAAGAATTAATAAAGTAATAGAATAGAAGCAGTAATAGGAAAGACTAGAATAGAAAGAGTAATAGAATGGAATAGAATAGAATTTATATAGTAATAGAATAGACTTGAATAGACTAGACTAGGTACAGGAAGTTGCACTTAAGTAGAGCATTAAATATCGGTTTTTTAATAATGTACATTTATGCAGCAGATAATGTTTATTGTAGACAGATGTACAGTACTGTACAGTAAGTATTTGGTACAGTGGATAATGTACATGATAATGTGATAATGTGATAATAATGTGGACTATGGAGCAACTGATGCAACTGTATTTACTGGTGTTGCCATTAATTTTTTTTCTTTTGTCTCTACCCACTTCCTTATTTCTGCATCTCCCTCTATCCTGTCTTAAGCCCAACAAAGCAGAGGCAGATGACTGTCTATACTATGACTCTGGTTCTGCTCAAGGTTTCTGCAGGTTCAGAATTAGTTTTTCCTTACTACTGTAACTCGCTAAATGCTGTGGATAAAAGTAGGTCTGGGACTTAATCTTATCCTATGGATCTATAAGAATAACTTTTGTGTGAAGAGGTCTGGACCAGCTCAAGACCAGCATCTTGAGGTAACATTTATTGTAAATTGGTGCTGTTTGAATAAAGGTTGATAGATTGGCACACTAAATAATATGCAGTGAAAAATGTTTAGTGTAGTAGATGCTGTATATTGTGCAGTAAATTATTATATTGCATGGTGGTTGATACATTGTGTAGCAAATAAAAAAAATTAAATACCCAACTGGAAAAATGTATTGCTGTAGAAGAGTTAAAATTATTGCACAAAAGTCAGTAGTTTATCCTGTTTATCCTGATATAATTCATGGTTTAATTTGGTTAAACCTGGTTTAATTTCTCACAAAAACAAGTCAATTAAAACCACCACTGGAGAAAGATGCAAAAGATCAGCATTTGTTCAGCAGTCAACATCTGCAGCCAAGTGCAAATACTTGGCTTAAAAACGTATAAATACCTGTTGCAGAGGAACCTCCTGCTTGACTGACCACAGTGTTGGGGTATTTGTAGATATATAGAATAAATAAGAGTGGGCCCCAGATTTTCCACTGAGCAAACCTGTGTTGGGTTTCAAACCACACATACCTAAGGAAGTCAGCAATACTGTTCCTTTTATTGTGTTGGGAGTCCTCATTCACCAAAGGCTTCGGCACAGAGGACCAACCCCCCCGTCGCAACCACACACACACTCACTCACAAACACAGATCACACAAGGAGACAGGAACATGGACTCTCGGTAACTCAAGATGGACAGTCCAGCGGACATTATACATCACTCCACATCAAACAGAGCTCCATAACACTGCTGTGAGGAGGAGGAGGAGGAGGGGGTTGCAATTCTAGGCAACCTCTCGTCTCTCTACAGGTCTACAGGAAAAGCCCACTGTTGGAGCTCTGATGGCATGACTCCCGTGGTTACAGGGACTAAGGCGCAGTGGGGCCTGTTAAAACCAAAAATGGTACCAAATGACACCTAAACAAACACACTCAATCTTATGCGGTGGGGGTCAATACACAGCTATTTATACAGACAGCAGCAGTGTTTCTTAAAACAGACAGGGCCACCATCAAAGAGCTTTATGAGCAAATATATTCTCACTGCGTAAGCATTTTAGATGTCCAGGCATTAAAGGCCTCCTGTGTTTTCCTTCTCTTGTTTAATGGCTGTAATAAGAGCCCCTTTATTATGATTTCTGCACTTACCACATCCCCGCACCACGTGAGTCAGCCAATAGCAACGACCACAGTGAGACAGGCGTTTTGTCTCATTGGTGGAATGATGGTCAGGAACTTGTTTCTCTTTAGATGTGATGGTTGAAACCTTGGACCTTTTGTTACGTGACAATCAAATTCTTATTTATACATTAAATAGAACACATGCATTGTCAACAAAAGACGGAATACATCAGCTCTACTCATAGTTTACTTGTGCGGTTTATTTATATGGATATTTGGATTTATCAGTAGTCAGAGGGAGCCTAATCGAGTGATAACAACCAGAAATAAAGAGCTTATTCTTCATCAGCGTCTCGCCCTCTGTCACATGTGTTGTTTGGCGGCAAAGGAACACTAGAGTCTGTCTGTGTAAGTCTGTGAAAAGTCTGAATAAAGAAGAACCCTCGAAAGGCTCTGGCTTGCACCATGTGTCAGGCCTTTCACATAACCTGGCATTCATTGTGAAGCTCTTTTACGAACCATAAAAAATATTCATTTCGCCCCAGACCTGTTTTCCAATATAGTCTCCAAACTCATAAAATGCTTTGCTTTTCATTTATTTTTATTTGAAGAACTTTGAAATGCAAATGTTTGTTTCCTTGCACATAAAAATTGAGAGAGGACATCTTATAAGAGAAATCTGATGTGAAATATGAATTCTAGCCATTTTACATCATCCCAAACATAAACATGTAGGTTCTCAGTGCAAGTCTTTTTGTGCTGTTAAATGAGTGTACTTTGGCAGGCTGCAGCGTACATATACTGACGCTTTGCCTCTCTCATTGGACTCCTTCATGGCTCAGAGCTCTGGAGGCTCGTAGAAGACTGGCATCTTTACAGTGGCCCAGAATGGCCATATTTTCATGTCCAATAACAGGTCTTGGCCTGTAAAAATGGGCGCTGTGGTAAATTGGGCATTTACATTCACAGCCAACACTATCAAGGACATAGCTAACAAGTCATGTTAGATTTTGTTGAACTAAATAATGAGATGAAAGTAAACTTGTGCTAAGTTGCTTTTTTAAAAAGTCTGATTGCAGTCAGTCTCTGCAATCAGAGTTCTTGTGTATTTTGTATTTGTACTCCTGACTTAGTAGTTCTTCTGCCTTAGTGCCCCAGTCTGATTGCATTTCCATGAAGTAATAATCATAAATGTTCTTCCTTGAGCTGCGGAACTCTGCTGCACTCTGTGATTGACTCATCAGGGCTTCCCCACAAACAAGCGGCTGCTGGAGGAGAGTAGGTGAGTTGTGTTTGGTGTCTTTGCCGAGGAAACCAGGCAAAGCTAAAACGATGTTTGATGGCTTGTACTACATGCTGGGACCCTTTATGTACTGTTGAAGAAGTTAGGTGCTGTTCTGAGCATTATTTGTGGCTACGAGTGACTTTTTGTTTGCGGTTTGCAGGTGGAGGAATAGACTGCTGTGTATTGCTATCGTGTGGTCATTATTAAAGTTGGTATAACTGGAGAAGCAAGCGGTCGGCAACATTCATCTCTCAAGGGGGCGTCTGACTCGGTGTTATGGTGTGTCTGATCATGGCTTAACCCTGCACCAGAATATCCCTTTAAAGCTCTGCTATTGCAATTTTTACTGTTCCAGTGCAACAAATTACATTCCAAAATTAGCAATAATAAAAGCCAAGAAATACCACAAGACCCGCGTTTATGATAGCAGTGTCTGAGATGGCGAGGCAAAGAGATCGCCAATAAATAGAGGAGGAGCTGGTGTGATGATGGGAAATGTGCTTTATTAACAGATTTTCATGACACCAGGTCAAGAAAGAGAAGATTGAGACTCCAATGAAATTTTAAACCCAAGTCCATCTGTCCTCGCTCTTACCAAAACCTTCTCCTAAAAGAAAAGTTTTGCTTTAATATGAAAGGTTAGTTGGCAGGCACTTCTGTGGTGATGCAATGTTGTTAGCAAAGCAGCTATCATCTCAATCCAGAAATCATTCAATTCAAACCAGACTGTCAAAGTCTTGGCTGTTTGCTTCATGGTTGTCAGTATGAATTGGTGCTTGCTGATTTTGTTGTTTGCTTTCACTGAGAATTTAAATCACAGTTTGAGTGTAACAAATGCTTACAAGGGTAAAAGAAAACATGTCAATTCAGTGCGCGGTATTTTGTAAGCTTTGTTTGTATCCCATTGTAGAAATACCACAGGATTTCACAATTCAACAAAACCTTTATTCATACAGATCTTTTTCATCTCAGACCAAAAAAGCTCAATCCCCGTAAGATATTATAACAGATTAAACAATAAAACTCTACTCGTTCACTTGTCCTGCATCATTAATCCACAAAATCCCTAAAAGCCAGAAACACAGTAGGTCTGTGTGTCCCTCTCCAGGACAAGAAACACACTGTCAAACTCCATACAGCACTGCAGGATGCATGGGGCTGTGTAATGCTGTGGAACAAGCAGCAGGTACTTGTTAGTTAATCAACGTTTGAATTAAGCGAAAGGCTGAGATTGTGTTCAGGAGCAGTGAGGCTGTTTTGACTAAGCCATCTCAGCGAGGGCCCGGTCATGGAGACTCCCAGCATTTGTTAAAGATTAGCAGCCTAGTCCTGATGCACTGAGCCCGGGTCAGGCAGAGTGCAGCGCTAGGACGTAACTTTTTACCGTATCTTTACCATCTGCAGCTCTCACACAGCATTTCTACAAGTCGAGGTACATGAGACACACAGAATAATGTGATTAAAGGTTTTTTTTTTTAGTTGAGGAGGGGAGGAGTTCACTGAGGGGAAGTTGAACAGAAGTTGTTGCTTCAGGAAGCCGGTTTGACAGACAGTCAGTAAGGTCATGCCACAGAGGTACTTAGAGTAACTACAGAGCAATAAGCAATTCAAGATTGTCTGCCTCATGTGTTGCACCAGCATCTCATAATCCGACTGCAAACCTTCTGTGGATCACGTTTTCTTTTGCAGAGTGTTGTATCAGATGTGAGCAACTTCCAGTCAGAGTATCTGCTGAATGAAGGAATAACAATAGCCCACATGCTCTCGGTCTATCATTAGCCAAAAGACGAAATGAAAACCAACTGTGTGGGAACAATAAAATAATTTGTCAAGGGAAAAGGCTGTAGATAAATTCTGCAAAGCATTTTCCAATTGGCTGAGGTTTTTGATACACTGGGCCAAGTGCTCAGCACCTGGCTGTCACGGCTCTGCCGCTGCCTAATTCATTTCAACTTCCAAACACATGCCTATTAGATCACTGTCAATATGAGCTGGAAGAGCCTGATTAGGCTTTTTATCGGTATCCGTTAACATGTGCTGTGAGCTGACTCTGAGGAGTGAAAACCTAGATAAACAGAAAAGAGAGAGAGGGGAAATCTTGCTCACTTCTCCTGTCCCCCCCTTTCTGATAAATCTGTGACTCAGCTTCAGTTAGGACATACTGGGGAGGAAGCCAGGTACTCATCCTAAATATTCTTGTCAAGAAACTACTGATGATATATAAGAAACATTTCCTGCTACAGGGACGTTTACTGGTTACTGACGCCATGTGAGCTTTCCTGGTTTGAACAGATCCAAGAATCTGTGTCTCACAGTATTGAGGCGAGTGAAGCGCTTCCTGATGGGTTTTGGCTTTGTCGTAAAGGTTGAATGCTGAGCTGCAGGAAATGACCATAAATGTCACGCCAGCTAGAACAGCTACACAGTGGATCCTATTAAGCTTGAATCATTCTTCTTTCAAACATTACCTGCCTAACTCCACCATTTTTACCAAATACTGATTAAAAAAAAGAGACATTTACACCCTTAAGTGTTTGAGTGTCCTAACGCAGCAAAGCCACTAAGAACACAAAACCATCACAAGTTTCATTTGATCATTTAACTATCAAAAACGTAAGAAACACACCAAAAACTATCAAAATTGATTTCAAGTTATCTGACACAGCTTGACACAAGTCCACAGATTATGCAGATGTGTGCTGTCTAATTGGTTTGCAGACTAGTGTGGTAAATGTAGTCAGAGCTAGCCCCACTACCCGCAGGCTTAATTGCAAGTTAAAGCCCCTGTGAAGAGTTTTTTTTTTTTTACATTTGTGACATAAACTGATATTCAAATTATATCTTCTTATGATATCCAAAGGCAAACAAGACCATCGGTGACAAGACTGGCAATTCTGGTGTTGTTATTGTTGATGCCTAAAAGAGAGTTAGGTATCAGACACAGCCCTGTTTTTTTGTCATTTTTATATAAAATATTCACACAATAACTCACATTTGACTGTCAAAAGTTATCAGAATGAGATGTTTTGTTTTTGTGAGAAGACACTGTTATTGAATAAAGAGCAAGATCAGCAAAGACTGCAGTGCCCACAAGGGGTGCCATAATGGAGAGAAACTTAAGGTTTCTCACAGGAGCTTTAACATCCACACTTGCTGTTGGTCACACGCTGCTACGGTCAGTTACATGCCGGTTCAACATGACACAGTCAGCGTTATCTCCATTTTTTAGACCAAAATACTGCCAAACCAAATCCAATTAGATGTCATTTTTTCAAGTACTTGTTTACATCAGAGTAGCTGGACATGTTTGCATTGCGGGAGAAGCCAATGCCAAGGTGACAGCTCTACAGCTAGGGGCAGCACTCAGCCATATGTTCCTCACAGGAGCTGTTAGTTTCCAGATACTCTGGTTGCAATGCAAGTGTTAATGTCTAAATCATTACTGGAAAAACTATATGGATTAATTCTTCAAACCAGTGACAAGAACATCCACCCGGAGCAGCTCTTTCTCTTTTTATACCTTCTGTGAGCACCGTCCATGAGTGGTTATTAATGGTTCCAATTTTGTGCTGATTGCAGCTGTTCATTTTTTTTCCATGGGAGTTGAACTCAAACTGTCAGTCGTCTACTTCTGGGGTTGTGGAGAGTTCACATTTGTTGTGCCAATAGTACAAGCTAATACCTTAAAGCCATCATTAAGGATCACATGTAATGTTTTAGAGGCATCGATAGCGTTGATGCTCACTGCCTGCTCATGCTAACAACTGAGTTTGGGGTTATATGGGTTTAAAGTGTTTCTTAACTCACTGTTCAGCAAACAGTTACCATGAAGGCAGATGGTATGGCTTTTTATTTTGAATCTGAATGTCTAGTTTCATTAAGGTCTTTGCAAACTTGATGATACCATCAGTTTTATGTCATTTGTTCATTTGGACTCTTGCACAGCATTTCTCAGGGGCTTAAAATGACTAAAGCACACAGTACCTTTGGTGATTGATTGCTGTTGAAAAGCATCCCTAGCTTGGCCAAGTTTTGAAATTTCTAAGTATCATATACAAAGTTGCGTGTCTCTTTTTGGAAACCTGCATCTACAGGCCAAGCAGTGTTGCAACAGCATCTTATTTTGTTGCTGGATTTCTACTGTAATTAGCTAGCTAAGTGTTTGCAAACTTTATTAACTTTTCAAGGCTTTATTCAAGGCTTTGAGGTCATAAATGTGTCCATCTTTCCTCAACTTTCACAAATATACATGCACACAAACACAAACATAAAAACCCACACTATTCAAATCTACTCACTACTAAAACTGCCAACAATCCCCATAAGAGATCCTGAGAGTCCAACATGATGTTTGTGTTAAGCAGTGTATTATAGAAGCCGACTTCTGGGTCTTAGGGGGAATGTTAAGCATGTTAATGAAGAGTGCATACTGAGGCTATTACTCAGCGTAATGTGGATCCATTTAACACACTTATTGCACCGCCCATATCAGCCTCGGTTCAAATGGAGTAAAGGGGGTTCTACATTTAATGGGAGCAATAGTAAATCAAAGTAAAAACAGAACTGATCGTCAGGAAAACTCTGCCAAAATAAGCGCGCCACAGTTCTCATTAAAATGCATCCTGGTGTAGTGAATGTAAAGCAGTCAGACACAACAGGAGACAGAATACAACAGATGTTTCTGTTGCTTCCAGTGGAAACTCCCGACCAGAGCATCCAGCTTGACTCTCCATGGTGGTTTTCTGCTTCAGAGGGTGAAATTTAGCTGACATCTCTGATAGGTAGCTACATCAGTACAGCAACTAACAAGCCAATGTTGTCTTTCAACTTTCTGTTGAGGAGCTTTGTCAGTGAGGAGTACTCTAATCAAATGTGTAGACTTTGACACCGGACAGAGAAAATAAAAAGGCAACCTTTGGATTATTATTAAACTATATAATCATTATTGGAGCATTTATTCATATTGTTTCTGCTGTACGCTTTCTGTGATGTGAGAATTGTATAAATGTGTGGTTTAACTTCTGGTGCAAACCAAATTGTCCTTAGGGGACATTACAGATTTTCAAATCAAAATCAAATCAGATGAGAAAGTGGACTAAGAATAAAGGTCCTTACACACCGGGAGCGTTTTTTTTTTTTCGATTTTTTCTATTTCAATTATTACGATTATTTCGGACGTCAATTTTATTTTTCGAACCCGAATCCTGTCAATACAAGCGTTCACATCAGCAACGTTTTCCCATCCTGCGATATTGCGGCATTTATTTTTTCGGATCACGGTCGAATTTTCTATAAGTTCCAAACTGTGTGTCCACTTCTGACCAATCAGATTTCGTGTTGTTGCGATGTCAGATTCACCGGTATATCCAACATGGCCGACCGGCTGATTGTTTACGTGTTGGAGAACAGAGTGCTTTTTGATAAAAAAACACAAATATTACAAAGATAATGAACTGAAGGACAAATTTTGGAGAGCCAAGGTGTCGGCTCTCTCGTATGACGATGGTTTGTGTGCTTTAACAGTTTGCTAAACGCCTTTGTTTTAACTTTCATCTGTGCTAAGTAACTTTAGCTCGTAAGCTAACCTGTTCAGATACAACATACCATATGTATTTTCACTGTCTCAGACTCAATCGCGTTAATGTCACATCACCATTTGGTCTTGGTTGTTACCTTACGTTTATGTATTATAGTTTAATGTGCTTTTCTGGTACTGCCCCCGACTCAGTACATGCTATTATGACAGACAGTCATCTCAACACTAGTGTCTAATCAGAGCTGAAAACAGTCAGTCTGGTGTTGTGTCAGTCTTCTCACTTCCACCTGGGAAGTTTTTCCCCCCGGAAAGTCGCAAAATCACATCGTGCTTGATGTGTATAGTCAGGCGCATCAAAATTCGCCTCCGAATATTTCGTAATTTCACGTCGTATATTTGCGTCGTTCCCAGTGTGTATGGACCTTAAGGCTGACAATGTTTGCTCTCCCCTTCGAGATGTAGTCAAAGTGTCTTGTTGAATAGTGGCAGAACTACCAGGTTTTTGGAAGTGTGGTAATCAGGAAGCTGCGATTACTGAAGTTATTTTGCATATAAATAAAGAATACTTTTGCTGTCTGTTTCAGTGTTTCACGGGGAGTTCTCATACTGAAGTTATTCCCACACAATGAAAAAAAACTCACTCTGCTGCGTCACATCATGGGAAATTGCATCTTCTTATCACATCCCCTATCTGCTTGCTCTGATATTAGCCCAGCCGAGAAACAGCCTGCCCTTTCAAATATAATTGTCTGTAAAAAGTCTGTAAAAATAACCCTAAGCATTACAGATCACAGTGCTGGCATAGAGCCTCTAAACTTTATTAACATCCAGAGTCAGCCTGGCCAAGCTCCCAGCTCCCTGCTACTTGGACTTACAGGCATTAACCTGAACAGAGCAGCAGCATAAGTTTCTCCAAATCCTCCACTTCCTCTCTTCATGCAGCACCGCGCTGTCCAGATTCACAACTGAAAAAGAAACATTTTCACAAAACACACGTCCACCTGAACTACAATGCTGCCTGTGTGCTGACAAAGAATGAGCAGGATGAAATCACCGTGCACTCGTGGGACCTCTGCGGTTTTAATATTCAAACAATTTATAAGCTATAATAAATTGCGGCTCAAAGATTTGCTTGCCAGTGCTTTTAGATATATCTGTGGGAGAATGAATCAACAGATATTGCCTATATGTGATAAAATTCTGCTTTTTATCCAGAACAGTAATGTGTACCGATCTACATCTGCCAAGACATAATGCACATAAGAACACTGGGTTCCAGATTTACAGACGTGCAGGTTGTCACGCTCAGGGTTTGTGATTGATGTGAACCCACAACTTTCACAGACAAGTAAGAGTGCATTTTCCCCAAGCAACCTTTCTTCCATCATTCCTTTGTGCACTTATTAGTCCTGGTGAGCAAGTTAATGCAGCGCAGGGTCTGGATAGTTTTGCTCATGACTAGAGAATAGGTAATTCTTCCAGAATGTTTGGCTTCGATTAACGAGCGCTAATAAAGTATATAAACTGCACTATTAGACTTTATAATGTCTTTCATAGTCCTCTGGGGCAGAGCCAGCCAATGGTGTGGTGCACTGACTGGGCACTGCCCCATGGCAGCTTCCTGGCAGAGATGGGGAGAGAACAAGAAAGAGGATAAAATTCAGGTTTTTTGGCTGCTTTCTCCAGCACTCTAATGAAGGCATTAAAACAGCCTCGCTTTGCATCATGTTTGCACATTTGTTTTTAACCAGTCGGTTGGAGCCGGTGTATGATTGGCTGGCTGATTCATCAGCAACGTGCACAGCCCTATAAAAAAGGACTATTTCAGACACAGTTTTAAAAAGCTGAGTCTAAAAATTTACCGTTGGTGTTGCAGTTTTACACGCTGATCTGATTCAGCCTTAGAAACCATGACTCTTACTGGATGTTTGTGACATCTTGAGTCAAGAAGGATAAACAGCTGATTCAGTAGTAGCATATTCTCTGGTGGAATAGATGAAATCCTCATGATTGACTCAGATGTCCAGAAATGCCCTTTCACACTCAATCTGCGCTCTTGCAGCTTGTTTAGTCCAGCTTCCAAAAGTTACCTCTCTCTCTCTTTCTCTCTCTCTCTTTCTCTCTCCCCCCTTTCCTCTCTCCAGCTGACAGCTGCGAGGGCCCAGTCAGCTTTCAGCCCCCGCTCTGGCAGAGGCAGCACAGCGGCCGACGGCCGTCCTCACTGCCACAGTCAGAGTGGAGCGGATTTTTCTTTGATGAAACACAGCAGTGTTGAGCCAAGAACAGCAAGTGGCACAGCCGAGATGTAAATCAAAAACCCACCCTTGTGCTCAGTCATACACTGAGAGGTCTGCGAGAGGAGTCGCTGCTGTCTGAAAATGCATGAGTAATAAAGACTCTATAGACGTGTGGTCAACTGTGGCATGTCTGTCCAGGCAGAAAGAATAAGTGAGACGTATCTTTAACTTTGCTATAAATAGTCAAAAGGTAACATATATTTGTCTAATTTACAAGAGTTGTCAGACTAATCCCCCCCCCCCATCAGCAAATAAAAGAGGTATTTGAAACTTTTTTCAGCACTTCTCAAGGCAAAGTTTGTGCTAAAAATACATTTTATGACAACATATCTGAGCCAGCTCTGCAGATTTCTCTTGATTAAGTCGGGGCTGGGAGCATGTTTCCTCTGGAATTCCAATGATATTTCAACACTTACTCAAACCAGATCATATTTTTGCTGAGTGACTGTTTGGAGTCTTTGGCAGCATAAAAGTCAAAATGCCTTTGGTTACAGTGAGATGCCGTACTCATACCACACTGGTCACATAAGAATGAGAACATTTGACCTTACTGACACTGACAGTGGAGAAGGAAAAAGGCAGCGGTGAGGCCGCAGTGCTAAACGTCTATGTTTTGCATCCTTTTTTTTGTGGGCTCATACACGCCTGACTTAGCTTCAGAGGACCAATCAAAAGATACTCCAGTAACAAACAGCCACAAGCTCTCATAAATCTCTTTCTTCCTCTTTGATTTCAACCTCTGTCGAGTTGATGCAACACTCATCTCTTCCTCTGCCACTTATCTCCTCCTTTCCACACACGTCATCTGTAATTCTGGCCAAATTTGATGGAGGTGAGTCAGCTGTGCAGATGCCAGATCAGGGGTGTTCGCTCACTCTCCCTCTCTAGTGGCTGTGACTCAGGATACGCTCTCATTCCATTACCCAGCATTCCCACCTCGACTCCTCAGCCAGACAGAGGTTTACGGGAATACCGGCGCAGAATCATCACCGGGGCTATGCTTTATGAATCAATGGAACATGCTGCAAACATTACACCCTGAAACACCCTTCCCATGCAGCACCCTCACATTTGCCCATAACTCACAGCTGAGCTCATGCAAGACGAAGAGATGTGGGCCGAGGCTCATGGGAGCTCAAGAGTACAGACTGGTGAGAAAACCTATAAGAGGAATGCTACTACCACAGCATTAGTCTGTTATTCTGATTTAGAGGCACAAATGCAGAAAGAGTGGATGTTTGGTTGTTTCACATGCTAACGAATAATACCTCAAAGATGTGGTGGTTTACCATTATCCCCGTTTTTTACAACATGTGGGAGGAATGGCTGCTTTATCAATCCCCGGTTGGTTTGTCAAGCTTTAACAATGCTTAAGAAATATATATTATTGTGCTCAAGTTGATTTTCCTCTGCTCTCTCACAGATCCACAGAAGTGGCAAAGATTCAGTGTTTAAATCCAGCAAGGAAAAATAATATTTTCTTACGGATAAGAAAGTTATGATTATATGGTTGTACTCTTAAGGCAGAGGCAGTAAGTTTTGGTTTCACTGAATGGCAAAAGCTCAAATTCTTATAAAAAGGACATTATTGGGGTCAGCCACATTGACTAACTTTCCGGTTTCCTTTTCAAATATCTCCTGAAAATAGGTTTGAGGCAAAAGGGGCTTTGATTTTTCCCTTGTCTTATCGAATTCTTGACCAGAAACTTGCATTTCACAGTAGTCTTGCCAAACCAGACTATGACAGCACAGTGAATGAGTGAGACTGAGTCGAAGCGTGGGAGGACATCATGATGCTGTTTTCATTTCCTCAGTGGTGACTTCATCCATGCAGAAGAATAAAAGAAAGAGCTGATCTAATGTGAAACAATTTTAAGAGTGGCCCATACTCCAACTGTGGTCAAAGATACAACATCTCATCTGCACAGCCATATCTCTAAGTGATCAGAGCATCTATTCGATTTTTAGTATTCAGGATATATCACCATCTCCTCAGTATTTTGATACAAAGCAACAAGTGACCAAACCCATGTGAGTGTGAGATCCCTTCCAAAAACTCTGGAGGCATAGACTATGACTACCGTGCTGATTCAGCAAGATGGAAAAACAGTTTTATAGTAAGAACTGACTACCAAGAGAAATACTGAAAACAGAGCTGAGCGAATCACATATCTGCATATATCAAAGCAAAACTTGAATCTAGGGCCGGGCGATAAAACGATCTATCTTGAAAACTAATTTCCCTCATTATTGATATAAAACATGGTCAATAACCTATTTGATAGTCGGCATTCTGCCATGTTTTGGTAGACTATACAAATAGCCAATGAAAAGCGGAGTTACCCCGGGTCCGCTTCGTGCTGAACCAATCATATGCTTAAATAGATCCAAGTAGCAAACAACAGTGTAGTAGCTGGCTGCAGCTACACGCAACCATAGCACTTTAACACATGAAGCATGAAAATGAGTGCTACCCTCGGCAGAAATACAGATGAAGGCTCAACAGATGATGACATTGTCGACAACACTGGCGTGAAAACATCGGTGGTGTGGAGGTATTTTGTTTGTTTTAGGTCGGACATGAAACAGAGTAATGTGCACTGCGAATAATGTCGAGTACATGTTCTCGCAATGTCGGGGAATACCTCAAATCTTTTTCACCACCTGAAGCAGTGCCACATGGCAGAGCACGAGCAATGAAAAGGGTTACAAACCCCGAGGGGAGCAAGAAACCAATGGCGCCTATGCAGCCAAAACAGCGGACCATTCTGCTTTCTCTAGCGCAACACCTTACAACAAAACATCAAAGAGACACAAAGACCTCACAGATGCAGTAGCTTATTGAATTGTAAAAGACATGCTACCAATAAGCACTGTTCAATTTCATCTTTTATATCGTTTACATATGAAAAAAATATATCACGATAAACTTTTCCCATATCGCCCACCCCTACTTGAACACGGCTTAAGTCCTGGGTATTTCATGAAATTTAAAACCCCTTGTTACAGTTGAAGTACACATGTCCACAGAATTGCAGATATACAAACAAGTGTGTAGATTTACTCAGATGAAGAGTCTTCAAACTACTACCCAAAGAAAGCACTGTAACATTTCAAATAGAGGAAATTGACTACGTTATAGTCTGTCGCCTGAACAGCAGTAACGTTGCAGGTATTGTTGATAACCATGATGATTCAAGTATATTTTTAGGCGCATTAGTAGCGTCAAAAACACGATTTCAGTGCTGAGAGAGCATAGTTGGCTCTTTCAAGTAATAATGTAGTCTTAGTAATACCACTTGCCCTCTCTGCTTTATGTAAAAAATGAAAAATGGTTTTGTTTAATAGGGAAAAAGTGAAATTTACCACATGTGCTCTATGTGTTTTTCTATCCACATGCTACTAGTCTCTGTCATTAAGCGTTGGACACGGCTGAGCGGGGCCTGGAAGCAGCGCTGTGATATTCAGTTGTTTCTCATAACAGTCAGATTATCGCCCTGCAGGCTGAGGTTTACAAATGCTGCAAGGGAAAACACAAGTCACTGTGAGGAAATTCATCACTGGTGCCAATGCCACTCCACCACAAAAAGTGTGAACATAATTACTTACGTGTGTGAGTCTATTAGTGTGTGCTGGTACACACTAGCATGGTCTTTGTATGAATAAGTCATAGATAATGCTGGTTACATCGATTTGCAAATGTACACTGCATGTTTACTTGCAGTTCATGCAGGTTTGTAGTAAACGTGTCTTCATGATGTGCGCTGTCTAACAACAACAACCCTCTCACAATGATCAAATCCAAAAATCCATTACTCATCTTTCTACAGGCTGAGTCCCCGCACAGAGCTCTGCATTGATCTGAGAGAGCAAGTGCAGCACCCCGGCTCACTCTTCTAACTCAAACATTTTCTCCAAAGTAAGCCCACAGACAGAGCAGCGCCGTCCCAGCCAGGAGAAACTTCAGTCAGGTATCAAATGATGCTAGAGTACACACTTCATTCAAACCTGATATTCTCTCTCAAGAGGGGGTCGAGTGTTTTTCTTCGCAAGCACAATATTTTCTTTGCTGGTGGGCACCAGTATTTATAGCACAGAGGACTCGCAGGTAGTGAAAGGATGATCAGCTGCTTTTGAAACTTGGTTTTGAAACTTACACGCCAGGTGTGACGTAAGTCTCTGTAATTTATGCTTCATTCCACTTGATGTTAAAAAAAAAATACTAAGTACATTCAATAATTGTCTTTGGATTTATGCCGATTAGTTTCATTAACTGCAGGGGTAGATAAACAGTGAAGAGTCACAGAGTTTGGTTGAACTTTAAGTTGCTTGTTATTTTTTGCTCCTTAATCTTTAAAAATGTATTTAATTCATCGTTGCAACTTACTTCCAAGCTTTTCCACTTAATTTGAATTTTTCTTTCTGTCAGTCCCTTGAGGCCGACACTAACACTCTCAAGCAATACTAGCTGACTGTTACAGTAAAAGGTTCAGCAAAGCTTAGATTTGCATTTTATGGCATGATTACAAATTCAACGGACAGGCACTGGGTGCAAATGTTTTTGAGCACACTGGCACACAAGATTTTCCTCTAATAAATATTCTGACTTTGAGATGAAACATCAGAGGTCCAAAGTGTTTTATCAATAGTTTTCACTGAGCAAAAGTCCATATTTTGCAATCACATGCCACATGTTAAAGGTCAGAAATCTCCTGTATGAGGTAAGTTTGGGATGAGTATCAGAGTCTGTGTCTGTTTGGAGACTCATTTCAGTGTAACTCTCAAGTAGCAATAGAGAATGCAGTTTAAACTCCAGCTCTGCCCCCAAATGGGAATATGTAATATGATCAGCCTGAAATGAGGCATGATACAAAAGACTGATGAGCACTGAGATCACTTCATACTCCAGAGGAGACAATAAAACAACACCAAAATGACTGAAATACAGAGCATATTTTTAAGAATACAGACTGCACAGTTTAAACTGTGTAACACTTTAAAATATACATTAAATATATGTGAAAATCAATAGTGTTTTTGCTCTCCAACTGGAGGCTGAAAACTTGTTAAATTCATAAAACACACAAAATATTGAAATTATTAAATAGCACACAACTGCCTCACCAACTCGGAGCCAAACAAACAGATATAAATGTGTCTGATTCCATGTCAATCCACACAACATAATCCACAAACACATAACACATCTTGAAAACCCACAATTTACGGGAAGTGAGTTCAAAAGCGTTGCGAAGACAATGAGACGATTCATTCTGCTTCGGGATGTTGGGGATGGAGGGCTGAGGGTAAAATCTGTGCTCTACGAGAACTCATAAATGCTGGGACACATTTGGGAGACATATGGTTTGTGTTTAGCAAGAAGAAACAACAATCAAAACTGTTGATCCTCTTCTTGCTGGAAGGATGATTGCTAATATAAAAGTCTGTTCCGTCTAATCATAATTTAAGATGAGACTGTAATTACCTCCGCCCTCTCACAACAACACTCTGTCTAAACAGGATGGAGGAGGCTTCCACTCAGACCCAGAACTCGTTTTCCAGCCTGGATGGTGGTTTAGGACAATTTTTTGTTTTCATCCAAACAATCATTTTCGGGCCTTTGCTGGTCCTAATGAGCCCATCTCAAAGGGTTTTTGTTTTTGGACTGAGAAAGAGTTATTAGCTACGTAAATTTTAGCAACTTGAGGGATAAACTACTCCGGGATGAATAATGGCTCTGTTTGAAATTTGGGAGAAAATTTTAGGAAATACTTGAAAAGTAATTATTCTTTAAAATATTTATTTCAAAGAAGACTTGCCAAGTTTTCCACACTTAAATGATCCAACAACGTTCCCTGAAAACTGAACACTGCTATTGCTTATTACAACTCATAAGAAACGAACACTTGGCAGTTATTATACATACTGTAGCTACATCACTCCACATACCCTTCATGTGCAACAGGGACTTTGATTCTGCTGTTATTTATGAATTGGCAACAGATCCAAGAGAAATCTGGGATTAATTAGCAGACCTAATCCCAAATTGCAAACAGGGCTCTCAATACAAATACAGAGTACAGCTGCATCAAAGTTCTGCTTATGTGCAGCCAAGTGGAATCAGCATTATTTTAAAGGAGGGCTTTTTATCAACCTCAAATGATCTCCCAAATGCTTCTTGGCAAAATTGGCCAGACTGACACAGCAGCTGTTACAATTAATACAGTATGTCATTGTTATTCTGATCAGGGGATTTGTTTGAATGAGGGTAATAATCATTTTAAAGTTCAATGCTAATTCAAACCATCAAGTAGGACTCTAACTCTTGTTTACCCTCATGTTATCAACTGGCTCCTGCTCATGCATGGTCTTACCTTGCACGGGTGGGAGCGGGAGGCACGATCGTGGAGCTTTGCCTGACAGATGCGTTTTTTCCTCGGCTGCGATGAGTCTTTTGGGGCTGGCGCAGTTCATGTGAGACGGAGTGTCAGAGGGGCTCCGGCAAATCTGAGCTCCAAAAGCGGCGCTCCCGGCGGCACGGCGCGAGCAAATGTCTGCCGCCTTGCTGCCGTAGACGGAGAGCGACAGGCCGGTGAAGTCGGGGAAAGTTGGGGTCTGACAGTGGCTCACCATCCCGAACAGCGCTGAGGAGTTCTGCATTGATGACTCGGCTTTCCCATGCGGTGTGTATAAGCACGCGCTGCTCACATTACCTGCGCACATGGAAAGAAAAAAAAAATCACGAAATCTCTTTGAGCATCAGCGTGGGAACGAGTTGTAGCAATGTGACCGACAGAATAAATACAAAAATTGAACTAAACAATGAAACTTAGAGGGCTGGAAACACCTACCTTATCCGAGGAGCCAATGAGGAGCAGGAAGAGTGTGAATGTGGGCATCAGCATGGTTATCAAAGTGGAGGTGGAAACATCTGCGAGCATGATCGATAGCATCCTCTCAGTGAGGATCAGGCATCAGATCAGCATCCCATCCCATCCCATCTCTCTCTCTCTCTCTCTCTCTCTCTCTCTCTCTCTCTCTCTCTCTCTCTCTCTCTCCTGTGTTCCGATTTTCGACCAATCTTACTATACCCAGCCTTCAAAATAGACTCTATGTAAATAAGGTCATTCAAAAACAAAGGTATGGAACCTTTATCATATTTTGATTATTTTAAAAAAGTATTGCCTATGTAATCAGGACTATATGATTTATTTTGCCTCAGAAAAGTAAGAACTGGTTGGACTTTTTAATTGTATATATATTTTGTTTTTGTTCCTCAGTCATCTGTGGCAAGTTGAATTGTCCTGGTCTTTTGTGTATGCATGTGAGTGCTGTATGTGTTTAATGGGGGTTGGGAGGGTGGGTGGGGTTAGGTATTTGTATTTTTTTTTAAATTTATTTTACTTAATTGTTTTTTTAATATCCTGTGCTTTGTACTACATCCCATGTATGAAAAGTGCTTTAAAAATAAAGTTGGATTGATTACAGCCTATTAATCAATGCACAAGATTATGCACTCACTAATTAGTGGACAACCTGTTATTCTAGTTTGTTCTTATTCATCTATACTATTTTAACCCCACTCTAATGCATTCGTGACAGATGACAAAATTAGATGCCCAGGTAAGCAGCAGATCATACATCATTTTTTTATTTTATCGACCAGTTTTTCGCCCTTAAGACGTGAATTTATGCCTGGCCAACAGGTACTAATTTGGTTAATTTATAGAATTAGAGCACATAGATGTATGATCTGAATCCGAATTTATGCTACCCTCTTCAAATATGTTGGTGGGGGGAAAAAAAGCTGATATACTTGGTCTAAACACAGATCTAAACTTTCAACTTTTTAATCCAACAGCCTATACAAAGAGGAATAAATGTTCCAATTTTCACAAAGTCTGAGTGTAGAGGACTGATGTCCACCTACAGTAGCAAGATATAGAAAAAAAACATTTTGGTGGATGGGGATAAACTATTCCGTAGCGCCATCTAGAGGTTTCTCTGTAAATGGGAAAATCCAAAATAAAGGTCAGCTGACACTCCTGGCAGCAAAACACCTGCAGTTATTATCATGTAAATACGAGACCAGTTGTACAAACTGTGAAGTGGGACTTAGAAGGGGTTTTGTAAGGACTTTGGTGGGGTGTGTGAGGGTTTTCTGCACGTCCAGTCTTGGGTCTTTCTTTTCCAAAAAATGCGGAAATGCCTGACTGGAAAAACTGGGTTTGGCGCTGCGTTTAAGTGCTGTGGTTAATTTTATTACAACTAGTTCACTTCAACTGTTGAGAGCATTTTGTGCTGTTTTTAACAAGTGGTCGACTAACATTAGATTTTCCAATGCCGATAATTATATTATTATTATTTTATTATTTATTAATATTATTTATCTATTATTTCGATTAATGATAATGATGATTTAAGGAAACAAGTCTTGTGTAACTGAGGATGTTTAAAACTGAATTTTAAACTTACCCCATACATCGTCACAGGATTTATATTTAACACTAGATATGACTTTTTGTAACTCTGCCCAATAAGTGGTTGGGCAGATGAGATGATGTGATATGCAGTTATTAAAAAAGAAAAAAAAAAAGTTATCATTGAGAAATTAAATTGGTGTCAGAAGGTATCAAGGAAAACCCTAAGGGTGCATGAGAGTTGCATTAAAATGTCATGTTTGTTCACAGACTTGGTTAAAAGCCGAATAGCCAATTTAAGAGAATAAACACTTAAAAGATAATAAATGGATTTGTTCTTATTTCACAGTCTGTTCATACAAAATCATACATATATGGCTGAGGGTAACACCAACAAGGCTGCCTCCATTGTCTGTAGAAGTAACATTTACATGTTATCCAGAAAAGCAATCTATTGCAAGCCCAAAAAGGTCCTAAATGCATAAATCAAGTAAAAAGTCAAACTTATGAAATCACAAATTTATTAAACCATTATTAAGATATACAAAGCTTGTATTATGACACAGTAAATCCAAATTATGGACAATGTTTATGAAGATAAAATGAGATAAAAAGTCAAAATTATTATTAATAGGCCAACTCATTTTTGAAGTTGCAAAGGATAGGCTGCCGAGTCAATACTATGAGACATAAAGTTTCAATAATAAGTTTAAAAGTCCAAATTATCAGAAAAAAGTCGAAATTGTGACGACTTAATGTTGACCATGGCTTTGATAAACATATCTCAGCTCTCTGTTCCTGACCCTTCACCGTTCAATAAGAGTATCAATATTCAGACTTGACTTTCTGTCAGTCAGTTTCATGGCAGCCCATGTAACCTACATCCATCTGAGCAGCAGAACTCTTTTTTCCTTTCTGTACCAAAGCTGCTACTTGTTTTAAATCCTGTCAAGGATTTGTTTGTCTAGTGTAAACACAGGTTAACCTGCAAGCAAATCAGGTATTTCATCTGTCATAAAGTCACATCGATGCAGTCTTCAAAATACTTGTAATCCACTTCTATCTCAGCCACTTTGACTGTAGTGTGAAAGGATATTATAATTTTTACTATTTAAAATCTCATTAATATGTCTTATTCTAAAATCTAATAATTTAAAGTTTCAATCTCATTGTTTTGAGTCTTTATTAAACACTTTTGACTGACTGTCTCAGAGTCATAACTTACCTTCTCAAAATCTTGACTTTTTATCTCAAAGATATTACTGTTTTATCGTAGTTGTGACTTTTGTTTCACATTTATGACAAACTTTCCCATAACCATGTCTAACTGTGTCACAATGAGACTGTGACATTCTTAAAATTTAGGCTTTCTGTCATAGTTGTGACTTTTTATCTCAGAATTTTGACCTTGTAGTTGTTGTTTTTTTAATCTAACACACAGGCTACCTTTACCTCTTTTAATCTCAAGGTTATGTCTTAGTGCCTTTTCGTAATCATCTAAATATCCCCACGAGTATAGGCTACATGGGGAATGTTGTATGTTGTGAACAAGTTGCCAACCAAAGAGCTGTGTCTCAAAATTAAGATGTATTTCCAATATGGAGCTCTAAAATCCGTGCTCAGAAAGAGTCCCTGAAGGCAGCTCAAACTGAACTTTAGCCGAGTGGGCGTTAACCAACATGTTAAATACTCGGATGGCAATTTGGTACAAAACGCTGCGAAGAGTACAGACCACCACCAAACAGCAAGCATGATTTTGCAGAAATTGATGGTGTATTTGTCGACAGCATGGATGTTTTGCTTTTTGATAGGGGTGAACTTCGTGCTCATGATCGTGGGTTTTATCTCACCAAACCTTTCAAAGAAGATAATCCTAAAAATGGGTGAAAGGACAACAATGACCCAGAACCCCAACTTTAAGTATGAAGACTGGGGTCTCACCTTCTGCTCATTACAATTCATTAAAATAGCCACCAAACACATGTGGATGTCGCTAGGACAAGTGGCTTTTGAGGGTGGAGAAGCTCCGGACTCACCTGTGGTCACCATGGAGGGACAAAAGACAAGTGTCTGCAAGTACCTGAAAGGTATCACCTGGAGGATGTCATGTGTGATGCATTGGCGCCTGTGTGCACCTGAACTCTAAAAGTAGTTTTGTTTGTTCGTTTGTTTTTCTTATCTGCAGGTAACAGACCGCTGATACTGAGTTTCGGGAGTTGCACCTGACCCCCGTTTATCTTCAAACTTGAGGAGTTCAAGCAACTCGTCAAGGACTTCAGCGATATAGCTGACTTTCTCGTCATTTATGTCGCCGAGGCCCATTCAACAGGTGAGTGAGAGCTGTGACTGCGCCAGGTGAGATCCTGAAATCTGTGAGTGGAAGGAAACCAAAGAGGGAAAGGCCACCAATTTCTCTAAACTGATTCATTTGACAGAATCAATGTTAAGCCTACAGATAAACATAGTATGTATTTCCTTTTAGTTGAGTGCATCTAATGCAGATTCAATAGATCTGTTATTCAGGTCATGGCACTGTACCCAAGTTTTCTTTGACAACAGCTGAAGGCTGGGGGTGTGAGTGGGAGAGAGTGGGCGAGTTGTCTGTATGTGTATTTGCAGTGTTTGTTATGTAATATGATATTTTTTGTCTCTGCATGCTTTATTAATATTTTTTTGTATGTCTAAAGACCTCTTCAAAATGAGATGCGTATCTCAAGAGGTTGACTTTTTAATAAGTCTAAAAATTCACCAGGTAAAACAGCCGCCAAAGACTGCAGTCGTGTAGTTAAAGGTTTAGATGTTAATGAGATTACATCACTGAGTTATGAAATGAGTCAACGATCTTCCTGAGGTTGTCCTGCTGCTTATGCTATCAAATCTAATCTTTAGTTCACCTCTTATAAAAGTGCTGTATGTCTGATATCGTGAACTTACATAACAACTTTAAACCAGGATTTATTATTTGTAAATTTAACTAATGCATTCAGTGTCATTCTAGTAAAATCACATTTTTTTCGTCTCTTTCAGATGGCTGGGCCTTCACCAACAACTATGACATCAACCAGCACCGGAACCTGGAGGACAGGCTGTCTGCAGCTCGAATCCTGGTTCAGAAGGACCCCCTGTGTCCTGTGGTTGTGGATGAAATGGATAACACCGCTGCCATAAAGTATGGTGCTCTGCCTGAGAGGCTTTACGTACTGCAGGACGGGAAGGTTGTCTACAGGGTGAGAGGCTCTGCACAATTACCGCTCTGTGATCCTGGTTACTTGCATGCAATTGCGTGACTAGAAGTGGCACAAGCATTGTGTTTGCAGCCACACTATCTTTTCCGATGCTATCATGTAAGGAGAGGCAGTCACGCAAACAGTCGTAACACTTGAGTACCTGGCATGACGCCATGCGCAGGCCAGCCGTACCATAAATATAGACGAGCTACATATGACATGGCAGAGGCATGTGTCTGATTTCTGATATTTGATGAAGGTGGATTAACATTCTTCCCTCTGTGATTTTTTAGGGTGATGTGGGTCCTTGGGGCTACAATCCTATGGAGGTGCGTTCACTCCTGGAGAAGATGAAGTAAGAATTCAAGTCCGGTCATGTTTTTTCAAACCAACCATTTCAATGTGGAGAGGTCTGTGAGTTCACGAGGGAATGAGATCGCTGACATAACAGAATAGCATACTGCTTTTATATTTACATAAGACTTTAATCAACACCCTGTCACATCTGCATGTAGTTTTCAGCAGCTCTCTGTCATTTCTTACTTTGGGGATGAGAAGAAACTTTTAAAACCGTCCAAACTTGTACTAACACTCAGACTCTTCTGTACAATGAAAATTGATCTCAACTGACAGTCTCAGGCCTGGAGCTCTGTGCTGTGTGTTTCTTGGTGATGGCTACAGTTTAAACCGTTGGCATCTGTAGCCTGATTAAGCGAAACACAAAGACAGTCCAGACTTGAGCTTGTCTTTAAAGATTTCTAAAGATGTGCAGGAAGAGCAAACATTAGTTTCTACAGTTTGAAAGACCTTCAGATGTAAGTCAGTAAGAGCTCATATCTTTCCTCCTGTCTCATCCAGGTTCATTTATGATTGTAATGAAGTTTGTTTTTCATACTGTAAACTGTATTAATCCGTCTAGTCTGAGTAGTATATGAATGCTCTGAGGTTATTTTGCAGGAGGCTACTTTTTACATGATGATGACAGTGCAAACCTTTGGTAACTGTGGTCTGATGAAAGATAACTAAAAGTACGCCTCCTCTGAAATCTGCAGGAGCATTTATCATTCGACTAAGATACACTTAACAGTCTGCATTATCTGTAAATGTGCTTGTTTTGTTATGAAATTCTGCTTTGTGGTATAATAAAGAATAACACAGAGTCTGGTATCAACGTCTACTTTTACATTTGACATTGTTGTCTTAATCTAATTCTAGCTGCAGTCACAGCCGTTGTTTACAGTCAAAAACATCATCAGATGCATCAAACCTGCCGTGTGTCACTGGTTTTTCCACACATACTGTAGTAGTTGCAACTTATCCTGTCGTGCATTGTGCTAACAACAAAGTAAGATTGTTTTGAATGGCACTGAAGTTTCTCTCCTTTAAAAAAAAAAAATAAAGAGCTGTACTTCATTGTTGACTCGCACACACAGCTATTTTTTTCCCCCTCGCTGGATCCTGTTATTTGCTGTCTTGTCTGGAAGTGATAAATGGTAAACATACGGTAACAGGGTCGTGCCAGTTCAACCAATCCAAACATATGTATCCATGTGTTGTGGGCTTTGGCATGAAGGTCCTAAGGTGAGTTAATATTTAACTGTAAATCTCTGATTTTTGGCTTTCAGTGTCTTTAGGGAGAGAAAAATGTTTTTCCCCTTCGGAGCTGTAATCTTCACCGAGGTTACATAACTTTCAAGTCAAACAATGTTGCTTTTCAAGGTGGTTCATTGACTTTGTGAATGGGTGTTAAAGGTTTATTAGGGTTCTGTCCATTAAAACATCACTGTAGAGGCAACCCACATCTATTTTTAATGGAAGAATGACGGCTAACTCCAACTGTTTTCATCCCCCTCTACTCTACACCAAATTACCTACTTCTTTTGCTCGAGAGTGACCTTGAATTAGACGACAACAATAGCAAATCAAAGCGTGCTTAATAGCTACAGGGTCATAACTCATGGTAACAAAGCTACTTCTAGGATTTTGGTGGGGAACAAAGCTGTGTTTGTGTGGCTGTGGCTTTCATAACATTAGCTGTGTGGCTCTGAAGCTGGAGAGCAGGTTTGGCTTCTGCCCAGCCAGGCCACATCCTGTGGAGGGCAGCCAGCAGCAGCTCAGCCTGGTTTCCTATTGTTAGACAGGAACCAGAACACTCAGATCTTCTCCCAAATAAGGACCTTTTGTCCATGTTCACATAATGTTAAACTAAAACTTACGCAAACTTGTGTAATATGTTTACTTGCCTTCACAGGATGTGAATCCACTTTCGTCCACCAGAGGGCGACTTGGAGTCATTCCTGCTCCCAAAAGGACTTTCGTAAAGACCTGAAAACATGAGGCAGATTTTCCATGAGAATCACACATTTAAGAGGGATTTCTCAAGCTGAATTATCATTACCTGTAGGTCGAGTTTGTCCACAAAGAAGTGTCCTCTTTCTTTGTAATTTCCTTTTATTTGTCAAGTTACCTCGACTGGTCGGTGATGGACTAATCCAGATGGTAGACATCTTCTACAGTGGAAACAGTTCAGGGCAGAGCAGTGGTCACACGTCGCTTTAGTGAACATTAAGGGCCTGAAAATGTGCGATCATATGTTTTAACATGCTTCAGGAACACAAAGAAAAATGTTAAATAAGAAAGTGAGGCGTCTCCACCCTTCAAACTGTTCATGTTTGTGTAATCTTGATTATCCTCTATGGAAGCAAACCAGTTTTTCACCAAAGAATAAACCCAGTTGAACCCCATGACCTATCAGGCGACCTGCTGGAATTTACTGGGAACCCAATGTGTACACAACTGAAACGCAGAGTCCCTCTCTTTCTCCTGTCCAGCAGGTCAGGCTGACCTGCTGACTGTTTCACTGCCAGTCTCCCTCCTGCTGAATTTCCTGTTGTTGGTGTGTGAGTTGTCATGGACCACAGCACCCCCTGGCTCTGCTGCCGACACACATACTCTAAGTAGAGATACATGACGTGCTGGCACATTCAGTGTGACTTGTTGAGCTTGTCGTGAGCACATTATTAAAAATATTCTTCAATCTACCGAGAAATAAATCCACATTAAAGCAACATTTAAACAAAAAACACACAAGACTGGGAGTTAAGTTATTGTAAAATTATATTAACAAGCAATCTTTCCTCAATTTGAAATAAAAAAATATCAGCAAATAAAGGCAACATAGGACAGAAGTGTATAATGCATGATGTTCACAGGAGAAAAAAAAAGAAACAAATCCTTATCACATTACAAGACTGCTGCTAAGTTTATAATGATGCCTACTAGAATCAGTTTAGAAAGCTTCGACTAACTCTGAATAACTGGGGCAATATATGTAGTCAAAGATTGTATCAAAATATTTAAAAAAAAAAAAATGAGGGGGAGCAGGACCAAGGGAACGACCAAGAATACAGGTGGGAGTATGAACAACCAATATGTAGGAGAGATTTAAACGGGCAGCTCACTCATAGCCGTTTCATTATAACGAACCGAACTGGAAAAAACACAAGGCTACGATGATGAAGAGCACAGAGTGTTAAGCACAGACAGGTTAAGAGATTTACACCACATCTTAAAGCAAGTGTCCACGTAGAGAAGAGCAGCACTAGGTAGTATGTTGTACACAGATTCTCAGCGTTCATGCACTCACTTCCTCTGGTATCCTTTAACAGAACGCGACAGCGATGTAGCCGTTTCGTTTAGAGAGGGCTGCGCACTCGCATGCCCATCAGATATAGTCGAGGGAAAGGGATCAATTCGACAAAGTAGGGACCATGGTCATCACAAAAAAAAAAAAAAAAAAAAAAAGCTGTATTCTTCCAAGTCTTCCCCCCCCCTTACAGATTTCTGTAAATAGAAGGTAGGGCGTTGGGGAGAATGGTACATTTTCCATAAAGGTGGCCACAGAGAAAAAGGCAAAAATCTGAGTCCTAAGTCAGCTGACAGTTGTGACACAGTATGCATGGCGAGAAGTAAAATGACAAGACAGACTTTCCAAGCTCACAATGCATATACACACTCTCCAGTGTTTTTAAGTGACAAAAGCGGAGACATATCCTGCACATTTTGCAACACAAAGCAATAATTAAAAAGTACAAGAGGTAAACTTCAACCATTTTTTTTCTCTTTGCTCTAGGGTGAAGGGGACAAAGAGAGAGAGAGGTTAAGGGGGCTCTGCAAAGAACAAACGTGTCTTGTATGCATTTTCAGTAGCTGGTTTTGTCACACTCAGGGGGGGGGCGGGTTGTGATAAATGATGGAGAAAATTGTCCTTCATTTTGAGCAAAGAGCAGTAGTCGCCAGCCATTTCCATTTTCCTCCGATCAGCATTCTGGCGGAGAACCGGTGGAACCAAAATGGCACCTTTTCCTGTTCTGGTGCTGATGTGTTTGGCCGTGTCCTGTAGTGAGTTCAGATCCTCGGAATGATGGCAAATAACGTCAGGTGGGGTGGAGGGGAGGGTCACACGCTCATCGTCATGGTTGGAGAGTACTACAAAGACACAGAGGGGAGACGCGTCAAACCTTTTCCTGGACTACGTCTTCTTCTTCTTCTTCGTCTAGCCTCCTGATGACCTCATCATGACGTGATATCAGTCACCTTTGGTCTAGCTACAGTACAGGCCAAAAGTTTGGACACACCTTCTCATTCTATGCATTTTCTTTGTTTTCATTACTATTTAAATTGTAGATTCTCAAAACTATGAATGAACACATGTGGAATCATGTGCTTAAGAAAAAAGTGTGAAATAACTGAAAACATGTATTATATTTTAGATTTCTCAAAGTAGCCACCTTTTGCTTTTTTGATAGCGCTGCAAACTTTAGCTGTTCTCTCAATGAGCTTCATGAGGTAGTCATCTGAAATGGTTTTTACTTCACAGGAGTGCCTGAAGTAACCCTGACAAGGTACTTCTGTCATCAAGAGCAAAGGGTGGCTATTTTAAAGAAACTAGGATATAAAACATGTTTTCGGTTATTTCACACTTTATTTATAAGTACAAAATTCTACATGTGTTCATTCATAGTTTTAATGCCTTCAGTAATAATCTACAATGTAAACAGTCATATAAAAAAATAAAGAAAAGACATTGAATGAGAAGGTGTGTCCAAACTTTTGGTCTGTACTGTACGTTAATGGAGAAAAGGGGCATACTCACATTCTCGCCCTGAAAGGAGTGGAGGAAGTTTCCACTCAGCTCCCCGTCATCCCTTGGGGTCCCAGGAGGATTGCTAATGCCACTTAAATTGTTTGGAGAGTTCTGAAAACAGAGAGAACAAAGATTTTTTTTTTTCTTGTCTTTGTGCAGTATCATCTTTTTAACGACAAGATACTGAGTGTGGTTACAATATTTACCTTGTTCATTCCATCCATATCACCCGAGCCTAACAATGAAAAGACATAAAACACATAGAAACTGTTAAATCCTCATGACCCCACATTTTTAACAGTGGTTATCAGTAGATTCTGTTGTCTTTCAATAAAGCACTTTACCACACACTCTTAACGCCCTTCAGTTTAACCTAAACGTGTCTGTATTGTATAAGTAAGTGTTCTGTAGCATTTGTGGTTACCTAGTGACCCGTTCATGTGGTGTGGCTCCATCCCAGCCATGGCTCCCAGGGGTCCATCAGAGCCAGGGCCCATCGGGAACTGGAGGGGAACAAGAGGACATCAATTCACTTCTCATATCCAACACATTTTCTTTAATTTAACTGTCAGTCCTCAGTACCAGGAACCTTTTATGTTATATCCCAGGTGTCTTATGGTGATCTGGTTCAACTAACTCTGCCCACTGAGATCAAGCCTCAGTCCTTCAAAGCTGGTTATCACTCTGACAGTTATTGTGAGCCGGTTCGCATGAATGGGGTGGTGTTAACTACATTGACATGAACAAGATAATCTTGACTAAAATCTAAATAGCTGCATCTGTAAAATGAAAAACTTCAGATAACAGCAAATGTCAACAGTAAATGTGTAAATCAAGATTCACAGTAGTGCTTTCTCATCATGAGTGTGAAAAAGTTCTGACAATAAGTCCCAAATATTCCTTGAAATTGATTTGATCAGATTTATTCTTGTGGTGTGTAAGTGTGTGACAGTTTTGGATGTTAGATTTCCGCTGTAGTCCTGACCGGAGCAATGTGGAGATGATATACATACATACGATAATACAATTCAAAGAGTGTGCACTCTTTCCCTGGTGTTAGCATATTAAGCCTCTATTGTGTCTTTAAATGGACACAATAGGAAAACACAATCAATAACATTCATTCATTTTTTTTATGTGTAAAATCATACGGGGAGTGTTCCGACAGTCTCTCACCCAATCAGCTCACAGAGGTCCACAGTCAAGTAAACTGATTGGTCAGTTTTCAACAAAGTTTTTTTTTACTAGGAAGTACCAATAAGATGTTTCACTGCAAGATTTGAGGTGTTTGGCATATGTTACCATGGTGACCTGCCCTTGTCAGAAGTGAACCACCATGAACCATGATGGAGTTAGTCCCGACCTTCATATCTGAGAATCCAGCTCTGTGGTAAACTGTCAAACAACTAGGAAACTACTTACAAACGCTATGTGTATGTTCATTTCTGCTTCTCTGAGCTGATGTCGTTTTAGCTCCAGAAGCATTCAGTTTAAAATAACACACACACACAGGGAGTCTGTTTAACAAGTACATTTGTTTTGTTATGATAAAACTCTCATCGATTCATTCCTCTATAGAGAGGGACTCTCAGAAACAGAGTTATTGTGCTCTGCTGAAGCTAGACTCTTGCATTTCAGAAATTGTTTTAATTAGCGAGCTTTATCTACCAACAAGCACCATTTTATACTTTTGTCCCCAATATCTATCTGTGAGAAAGAAATGTTGACACACATAAGGCAAGTCATTTGGTGGGATAAGACATTAGAGTTTGTAGTGTAAATTTCTGGGAAGATTTGACTCATTTTCAGTCATTGTGGCCCTTTCATAATCTATAGAAGTTATTTTTTGTTTTTCACTGTGAGATAACAAGGGCCGTCTGTATTCTAGGATTTTAAATTAACTGCATACATAAAAGATAAGAGAAGATCTCTCATTAAGATATTATTTTCTCAAATCATGGAGGTTTTAACAGAAGAATGAAAATTATAACTTCCACACAAGCAAGGGGATGATATAAAAATGATGGTATAAAAAGAGCTTACATTATTTCTGTTGCCGGGTCCAGTGTTGATCATGGTGTACAAATTGTCACCAGAGTTGTTTGAGTCTGGAAAAAATAGGAAACATATGTTTAATTTCTGCTGGGCACTGCATGAAAAAAAGTTAGGACTATAAGAGCTAAATTTTAGTGAGGTGCTTACCTGCAGGGCTGGGCATGATGGGAGTTCCCGGGGGCCCCCCGCCTCCAGAAGCACCCTGAGTAGGAAAAAAAGGCAAATTCCCATGTTAAGATGTTTTAAAAATGTTACTTTCCCATGATAAAATGTACTCAGTTTGTGCAAGACGGTGTGCCAGGATGTGTTCTCACCCCGTATGCACCAGGAGAAGGTGATGAGTAAGGCATCTGAAACCAAAAACACAAACATTACAGACCAGAAATGGCTGAGTGCAAACCCTTTCTATACCTCAAAATGTCATCATTCATCATTTGATCATCCTAATACTATTATGGCTGTCTGTCTAACTGTCTGTGGAAACCGTGACACATAATACTACAATTACATCCCAGACCAGAACCCTGAAAATACATTAGACCTCAGCAGCTCTGAGAGAAGATCTGACTGCAATCTGACCCAGCGTTTTCTGTGTGTATGTGTGTGTTTGGGGGAGTTGGTCTGTGCTTTAACTACTCACAGAGTTGGAGTTGTTGGGATTTGGCCATGGTCGACCAGTTCCTGGGCCCCTAGATTGCAAGAACAGAAAAATTGACTTGGATGAAAAATCACCGGTGAGAGAACAAAAGAAACTAGAAAAACTGATTTTTAAAAAGGACTCACAGATTTACTCCTGGCATACCGGGACCCATGGTGTTGTGTGGAGGTCTCATCCCACCACCAAAGTTCTAAAACGTCAAACAAGAATCATGAAATTATCAGTCAAATTAAGTTTAAAAGAAAAGAGGAGGATGTAGTGATGAGAAAAAAACTTATACTTAATGTGTTCAGAAAGACATTAGAAGTCTAATATAGACCAGAGCTCGACAGTGCGACCGTTTCACTTGCATTTGCGACTAAAAATAGATGTGTGCGAATTGTAAAATGTATTTAGGGGCACATGTGTGCATAAAAAATAAAATCAGTTGAGGCAACAAATGTTTTTTAATGTAAAATACCGCGGTGAAGTTAATTTTAGGATGGATGTTCACTGTAGATCTACCGGTGTCTTCTCACTCTCCATAACCGCGAATATCAACAGCAGCGCAGTTAAATCTACTCAGCAACGTCGGGTGTTGAATAAGGGACCATCAACAAATTACCAGTTGATGGCTGTTTTCCTTCAATAGCTTCCACGTCATGTGACCATTTGATCTAAAAATGATTTCTAATAATAGTACTAAGGTTCAAACAATAAGACACACCTCTTTATTTCCTTAATTTATCCTCTAAAAAAAATTGTGTTAAATTTAAAGGCAAATTTTGAACATTTTCTTCAATAGCTTTGATGTCATGAGACCAAAAGACCTAAAATTGATTTCAAATAAAAGTACTTATGTCGACCAATAAGACAAACATTATTTGATCAATTCTCCTTGTTCCCTGTAGACCCCTAACCATCAGGTAACCAGGGAACTGTAATGATGATTTTCATTGAGTGAAAAACCTACCTGAGGGCCGGGTCCCATGGGTCCCATGCCTCGAGGGCCACTCATCCTCTGCATTGGCCCCAAGTTAGGATGGCCTGGATAGGAAAAGGAGAACTAGTGTAAAGCAAGAAGCCATGAAAAATGTCTGCTACTGGAAGTGAAGTATGTTTCAGAATGGCGCACCTTGTGGCCGTGTGGGGTCCATACTGGGCAGCATGGGGTGAGGGCCTGGACCTCCGCCTGGAGGCTGTGAGGGCCCACAAACATTAGATGGATTTGCAGTTTTTAAAAAAAGGCTTTAAACATTTTATTCTGAGTCTTTGTTGTGTAATTCAGCTTTACCTGGTTGCCCATCCTGATGGGGGGACCTCTCGGACCTCCAGCAAAACGAGGTGACATAAAGGACTGTAACACAAACAAGATCGACCCTTGAATGATCAGTAGAGTAATATATATGCCTCTCAAATTGTAGTCTGATTACACCTTAGCAAACTTTTGTGAAAACTGCAAGCAGCATAAAAGCATTTAGCAGAGAGGAGTGCCAAAGCATGAAGCATCAGCGCTGAGAACCAGCAATCCCTCGTGACTGCAGACAGCAAAAACAGAGAAACTGAGAAAAAAGAGGGAGCGGGAGCGTTACCTGACTGTGAGGTCCCATCATACTGTTAGGGGGAGGAGGCTGAGGGTGAGGAGAGCCCTGGGGGCCAGGAGGACCCTGTGGCATCACATGAAATAGAGGCAAGGGGGAAGGAGAGAGGGGAGGATGAGACAAAATTAGACAAAAAGGCGAGAGACAGAAAAGTGACAAAAGAGAGGCAGAGAGACGAGCAGGGTTACTGCGGGGCAGAGGGCAGCTGAAGTGCAGGAAACAAAAGCGAGGTGGGAAACAAATGCTTAAAAAGACGCTTAAAATCAGAGAAACTGAGCAGGAAGAGCAAGCAAATGATGAGCATGAGCGAAAGAGAAAAAAAAAACACACAAAGAGACTGAGAGGATGTGTGCTCTTTTGCCTGTCACTCACGACATTAAGAAGCCTGCTGCATGCAGCATGTTATCAGTGCTAATTTCCCTGAATTAACAGCATCAATTAAGCTCTATGCAATTAGCTGTATAACAACACTAAACACCGGCACTGTGTCGTTAATGTTGCTGATCTGACAGAGAGAGAGGAGTCTAATTGAGCCTCCTCCAATGGATTCTGGTATGGAAAGTATGAGTGTGTGTGTGGGTTCATGTATCGATGTCAAAATGTCTTTCCTGATATTAACATGATCACATAATGAGTAACGCCTTTGTGGCTTCTAGTGCATAATAAGCTGCTAGATTTAAAGGGAATAGTTTGGTCGAGTGGAGGCAAAGCAACACTGCAATTTCATGTCGCCTCTTACAGCCAGCCCCACAACAGTTGCCTGCCAAGAGTTTATCCTCATGAGATATTGATTTACAGTAGGTGCTGCACCTTTCGATTTCTCCATTAGGGAAAATGGCTTGGCCACGCCTGCCTGTTTACAGCACTGGAAAGGCCCAGGCAGACAGAATGACTATGACGTTTACTACGAGATCCTCGAGCCGGGTGGATAAAAACCAGGAGCAAGAATAGGGAACAAAACCGACACATACTGCTGCATATGAGGGGCTAAACTTTGACAGCATTTCAGATATATGAAGGAGTGCAGCTTGCACAATGATCACTATATTCACTGAATTTGCCAATTCATATTCAGGCAAATGTCCCACTTTTTGAGCTAAAGGGGAGTAGTTATAAGTGGATTATTCAAGGAGCAGCACTTGTGGATTCACTGACCTGGAAAAAGCCAGGTGGCATGGGTCCTCCTGGCATTCCCTCACCAGGGGGCATCCCTCCCATCACAGGGCTGGGGGCAGCTGCTGCACTCTGAAAACAAAATAAAACAAAACAGTACGATAAACTCTCCATGTGTGGCATCAACCTTAACAAACAGATGTTATGTTATTGAGGGCGGTCTATTTTATCATCCCTCAAGATTCATGTTTTGGTACAGCTTCTCGACCTTTGGCTTGATTTGTGAATTTAATTCCATGTCAAATATGACTGTTTGTGGGTCTCCAGTATGAACAGGGGTGTTAAAAGAGGCTTCTTAACCCTGCTTATCCAGGATCCAGCAGATCAGATAAATATCAGAGGGATTCTCTGAGTCAGAGGCTCTAAAGTGCTGCTACACAGCAGGGCCTTGCTGGGCTGATTTCCTGCTCAAACCGCAGCCCTAATTCACTAATGTGCCATTTGCTTCGGTCACACACTCCTAATTGACTGAGTTTTTCTTCGCTGTAGCAGAGGCAATCTGAGCTGGGCTAATGTGTTTCAGAGCAGAGGGGTTTAGCTTCCAAAGAACCGCCTCGCAACAACAGAGGCTGCTTCAGTGCTATTTGTTAATGCCTATCTCACTCACAGCGTAGATGTATGCAAACAGGCAATGATCACTGCGAGGATGAATGTACAACAGACGCTCAACAGACATCACTAGTCAATGGCCAACACACTCCTCGGTATCCCTGCACCTCCCCTAATTATATCTGCTCAGGCTGCCACTGTGAAATACCTCAGCAGGGAGAGAAGTGAGGCCAGAAGGGAGAAGACATGTATCACCAGGCCCCACCACCACTGGGACACAGACGGCTAAAAATACCATTTCTCATCACAAACTGGAAACCCTCAAACTTGGCTGACACAGGACACCATCTTTACAACATACTGCTGTAAATGTTTTGAGGAAATTTGCTCAACTCGGTGTCTCCAAAGCCGAAATTTACACTCTGCTCTTCTTCCCCCGTCCTAAACCAGGTACTCTAAACTATCCACCCACTCAAGTAGTAATGGCTGCTTTTGAAAGATTGGTGTGGGTGTACGTAGATAAAATTGAACAGAGACTAAAAAATAAACTAAATCCACATTTTTATGGGATGCAAAAATAAACCAACTTAATTTTACTTCTTGTTTCAGACATGCACAGATACCTAGGAGACTACAGGAAGTTATGTAATGCGAAGATTCATGTTGTAGGTATGTCAGGTGACTGAGTAGATCCTTGTTCAGGGCTGAATGCCAGAGGCAAAAAACAGCATCTGCCAGTCACTGAGTTTGTAGGTTTCTTTTAAGTTTTTTCAACCTATCAAAGTTTAATTTTGATGAATGTTAAAGGAAGTCTCTGTTTTCTTTCCTTCTCATAAAAGACAAATATATATAAGAGCACTGATTAAAATACGCACACATGACCACACAAAAAAGTTTACCACACCTCTGTATCAGCTATTCTCTAACATATGAACACAACTTGAAGATTCACAAATGCATCATTTGGCTGTTTTCTACGATATCCAATCAGCAGATGTTGAACATTTTTTCACTATTTTCCATATATTGGCTTTACTAAAGTACAGATGTTTGCTAATTATCATGAGTCTATTCAGTCTGTTTCAGTCTGGGCACTGCTAGCTAGAGGTGCCGGAGTGGAGTCTGGAATGGACTGCTTGTATAGGAGTGCTGATATCGGAGATTTTAGATGCAGGCTGATATAATCCGATGTTTGTTTGTTTTTGTTTTTTTGCTGATATCGGACCAATATCCCATTATCAATATCGCATCGGGACAGCCATATTCATAACCAGGTAAAAACTCATCACAGGAGCTTCAAACTAACATTGACCTAACAATTTTTTACCATTTCATCTGATGTAAACATCAGCTCCAGCTATAAGAGTGGATTATTATTATAATATAATGAAATCTGATGTTTTTTATTAAGCACTACCTATTTTACAAATTTTTTTCCAAATAACACAACCACATGCAAGCTATTAAGATGTAGTTAAATTCAAAGACTCTGGGTAAATACTAAAAGGCTTGTTTATTCCATCTAAATCACAGAAAGACAATCAAATGTTTAAATGTTCTGGCAGTTCAACTGTATTAAGTTTGATTTAATGTACTTATTTTGAACACTTTGAATACAATCCTGGTCTCATCTATTGACTCAATGTTAATCTTACCAATTAAATATGTTTTATTATTGTCTACAGCATTCAGATTTATGACTATAACTAAATCACAGACATCAGAGAGTTGAAGAAAACTGGGATACTACAATTATTATCTAACATTTGAAGAGATTAAGGCACTTCACGAGATCTCCGATTTTACTCTCTAAAAAGTCATCATCACCTCCTATTGGGTCATGCGTCCCTTGCAACATACAAGTGTAATGCTAAATGAGTTCATGCATAGGATACAGTAGTTTATTACTTTACTATTAGTATTACTTTTGGGTTTTGCAACTTACAGGCGATCTGGCCCTTGCAGCGCTGGTAGGTTTTAGGATGCATCCTCAGCTACTAGTTACAACCAAACAACATCAGACTCCTCGGTGAATGGTTTCTGCCCAGTTCAATCATTTATCATGTTATTTTTCATCATTACATAGCTGTGTCATATGCTTTGTTCTGGTTGGTTGAAACTCCATAGCAATGGTTTGTTTTGTTTTTTTTCTCTGTACTACGTTATTCGATGTTTACAGCTCTTATCACAAGTGTGGCAGACTAACTGTGATCACATGAATAGGCTGAAAGAAGTCCAGCAACACTGGCCTTTGTTTATCTATTTATGGCTGGAAAAAGGGACTGACAGTGAAGGAAAAATGCACAACTGTTGGCTGGGATGGAGAAATTTACAATAATTACAACACTAAATATGGAGCATGACGGAAACACTCCACAGAGTATAACCATGGGTGAGAAAAGACTCACTTGGTTGGGGTAAGAGCCTGCTCTTTTACATTACCCCCATCACACCATCTATATCATCAAAAGTAGTGACAAAATTTCCCTTTGCAGGGTATTTGTGTGAGTTTAAATATTTACATGAGGCAGCCTATATGCAAATCTATTTGCCTTGTATATTTGATAATTAATTTTCTGAAAAAGGTTGGAGGAGCTGAGTCAAAACTGTTTATTTGCATCCAGTAGTAGATAACCGATAAGGAAATGAATGTAACACTCAGTAGAAGTAACTCCATAAATTTGTATTGACCTCCTGTAATAAAGATTTATGTTCACTATCAAAGCACATCACAGAAGCTGTGTCTCCACATAAACTTCTCAAATTCACAGCTTATTTAAGATCAAAATGTGATGTAGAGGAGTTATCGGACTAATCTTCGAAAATGTTTTTTCAAGCGAATTGAAAACGATGTCCGTCATCACTCTAAGACAAATAAAATAGCATATTAAGGGAAACACACTCAGTATTTCGCTGCTAAGAAGGTGTGTGTGGTGTTGACCTGTTACACACAACCCTGTTGAAACTCCTCATTGAATAAGGAGACCTCTCTGCAGTGTAAAGGTAGTTTCGTGAAAGACTGTCATATGCAAATGCGTATGTGGCAGCCCTTTCTCACTATGACTTCACTGCAGTTGGCCATGTCACGTTCTGGTCTTTATTGTGTCTCACTGAAGCCCACAGCTGTCCCTGCTGCTGGACTGTTGCGAGCAAACTGTCTGATGCTGCTTTCAGGACGAGCTCCGTGTCTCTGGTACAGGAAAGGGTGCAGATGTCTCAGCCATGCCCCAGGCTATAGGGGCTCTTGTCTGGGGCCTTCCTTACAACTCCCCAGGGGACCTCTTTTAAGACAGACCAGTAAATACCCCCTCCCCCCAGTTGAGCACCATGAATCAGCCTGTAAACGTATATGTGCGTACTTTGAGAGCACATGAGCAATCCCAGCCAAACTGATTTTCCCTAAATTCTTGAATCACTTAAGGAGGTTACAGAAGGCTGGAGCCGCTGCGGATGTCGATGTGCTCTCTTTGAAAAAAAAAACAGTAGAGAGAAAGAGAGGGGAACGAATGGGGGAGGGGGCAAAAGGAAAGAGGAAGACAAGGATAACCATGAGGTTTATTTAAAGAAACTGTAAAAATTAAAAGGTGCACAGACAGAGAGAGGGAGAAGGAGAGAGGGGAGATTTTTATTTTTTTTTAAGAAAAGCAACATGGACCACCCAGCTGCTGTCTTCTGAATTAGCGTGCTCTTACCAGTCTGACTCCACTGGAACCAGCGTTCAAAAGAAACCAGCCCTGATGTTTAGCTTGTAAATGTTTAACCATCAATCAACATCATAAAACCCTCTGGATCCTGACTGGATGCCCCCTCCCTCTCTCTCTCTCTCTCGCTCTCTTTCTTTGGTTACTTCTAGCGGGTCCCTTCCCCTTCTCATCTCCCTCTGCTCTTCCTCCCCAACCCCCTCCTCTCACTATTCCCTCAGTTCCTGCATGGAGGAGGATGCTGGGCATATGCCACAGTGCCACTCCCCTTTTCTTTACTCCAATCTGGCCCTCAGCTCTGTGACAGCCATCAATCAGCCGCTGGCACCATGGCGACGAGGCCCCTCGGGGGGCGTTCATCAGGATCAGCGTGAATATGCCGGGGGCTTTACGAGTGCTGCCGGCTAACGGAGCAGCACTCACCTCCCCCACACCTTTAGACAAAGGCTAGGGTCCAAGAACCAGTACTGTCCACACACACACACACCCACACTCCTGACCCCCAACATCCATAAATGATCACAGGAAGAACCAACGTCAGAGCGGAGGGCAACCGCAAGATGCTGGAAAGAGACGACCACGCTGAAACTCTCTGATGCTCAACACAACAGACACACACTGTCCAGGCTGACGCTTTACTGCTCCCTTATTTGTTTAATGCTTTCCATGATAGGAAAATGGTCTCAGCATGGCCACTGGTAGCATTACTACTGCATGATTTGTGTCTTCAATCTTCTAATTTCTACAATTTAAGGAAAGAAAAATCAGGTAAAATGACTTTGACGACTCAACCATCCTTACACCCTGAGTGAAATTACAGTGACTGTCAAGAGCAGAATGATATGTGATCGATGATAGTAAACACAACTCTTCCAAACATACAGAACTTTGAAAAAATGTAAATAAAAACACTTAAAGAAAGTCAAAAATTAGCTGATTGCAGAGTGGAGCCATGCTCTAGTCTCTCTCCTAGCTCCCAGGTCACCTGCCAGATCAGGAGGCCTGTTACCCTGACAACCCTATCTGCCAACAGCAGGACCAGCATCTCCATTTTAACCCCTTCTTGCCTAATACATTGCTAACTAATCAACAAACGGGACTGAGTATTAGTCCCCCTGAGAAGGCTCCTTAAATATCTTTACTTTATTTACATCAGTTTCATGATGCTTCTTTCTCTTCTCAAAGTAAAAGGCTGGAGAAACACACAGGCGGGAGCAGCTGGAGCAGTTTACATGTTAACATTTTCATTCTTTGATCCTGAAGAGGCTCCTTTTGATGTTCTTAATAAAGTCCGACTGAATGCAAGAAGACAAAAGGCACAATCTCCACCATGGCATAATTACCTAGATGCAAAACACCTAATCCATGCAAATGTACAAGAGCTAATGTAGGAGACGCAATGTGCTACAAAGAGTTTGCTTCTCCTGAGTTCCACAGAGTTAGGATCCAAGTCTGCCCTTACAGTTCTTAGGTTTCAAACCCATTAGGATTATATCATTTCATGAAATGTGTTTCAGCGAGTACCTGAGCTACTACACATCAAACAGGGGTTGTGTGCCATACATTGTTTGAATGGTTGTTTTTTAGTCCTTACAACAGAGGCAGGGAGCCTAAGCGTGGTGAGGACAAGGAAAGAATCATTGGACAGGTCTGACTCAGGACATGCTGACATCAGCATCATTTTACCACAAGTCTATAAAGCTTATTGTTGGGCGCATCATTCAGCGCACAGACAGAGCAAGATGACAGATAGTTCATTCAGAAGAGAACAAAGTCGTGGACCTGATACTGTTAAGTGCAATTGTATTTATACTATTGGGATAGTATTTTGTCCTGTACCTCTACAATGAGCAATATGTATCTCAAAAGCACAAGAGTCATCTATTTGAGTTGAACTGGCTTACTCGTCGAGGAGTATGGGAAAATTTGTAAAGACCAGAGCACCGACAAACAAAAATCACAAGACCTCGATCTGATAGCTCCAAAAATAAATATATAAAACAAAATATCCATGTCATCACTCAACCCAAGCTGGAGGCGCCTTGATGGCAAAGTTGTTGTCTTCTTTAGTGGGAGATGGAGCAATTTGTGCAACAGTTTCCCCATGTAAGCACTACTACTCACGTAATCATGGAAGGCTTTCGCCTCGCTGGAGTGGTCACATGTCTCTCTCCTCTCTGGTGCAGCGCAATACAAGTCCCAGAATACACTGTGGACAAGACAGGTCATGAAACAAACGAGACAACATTCACAACCTCTGGATATGTTAACAAGGATGCAAGGACATTATTTCTTACCACCACCAGGAATGTAGGAATCCAGGAGGTTCTCCAAGTGTGATGTTTTTCTCCCATCGGATCTAGGAAAGGGGAAATGTCAGTGATCATACAATATATCTCCATGCAAATAACTCTTTTTTTTTTTTGGCTGAACTCCACATACCTCTGATAAAAAGGTCTGTGCAGACTTCTGTGCTCCTATGTGCAACAAATACTCATATACGTACAGAGCCAACCTGTGTGGGAGAAATACAAATTACGGCTCACATTAATTAAAAATGACCAAACATGTGAAAATAAACTTTAAACAAGAAGTAAAATCTCTTAAATGGCCAAACTAAGTGGGTCTAGACGAGTCCAGGCCCTCTGAACAATGGCTGCTAAAAAGCCTCTGCCAAATATTAAATGGGGACACAGTTGCCAAATCCAGGTTAACATTCACTACAATGAGAAGGTGGCGAGAAAGTGCTAAAGCAGCCACAAAATTTTACGTCGTGATGTGAAACGTGAAAAAGCAACCAGCAGCCGACTGAGTATTAGCTAAGGTACAGTATCCCAGTGGCAGGGATGGAGCTTAGGGAAATAAAAACGCAGCCAATCCAGAGCGCAACAGAGAAAACAATGTACTGTGTGGCACGTCGGTGTTATTGTTTTCTCCTCCTCCTCCGAGCTCTCGACTGAATAACTGCAAAATTATCAGATAAACCCCGACTAAAACACTACAAAATTGCCCTCGAAACCAGTCGGACGCGAGGTACAAAAACAGCAATTAGCCAAAGGTAGCAGAGGCAGAGCTCAGGGGAGGAATGGCGAGCAGACAAGGCGGTTCATTCAATTCCTTTCTCGGTAGGAGGAAATCGCCTCTTGCTAGCCTGTCCAGCGAACAACAGAGAGAGCAAGAAGGAAAACTTACGCGGTATAAACACAATAAGAAACGTTTCTGAGCTTACTTTTCTCGTGCTTGGCCGTCCGACGGCACCGGAGTGCCTTTGCCTTTGGGGAACATTGTTTTGTGTAGGAGGACGCCCGCCTTCTCTTTCTTTTTCTCGCTATTTCATCTGTCAGATCATCGCGGCCGCGACCCTCTCGCACTCCAACCGCACTCCTCCTCAACCCGACGACTCAACCGAGCCTGGTCCGGAGGGAAGAGGCGGAGCCAAGCGTGACTGAAGCCCACGTAAGCCAATGAGCGTGCGCTTTTCGCCTTAAGGTCGGCCTATGCTTGCTTTCGGTTTGCTGTTGTTTTGACAAGGATAGGCACAATATTGCAAATAACATTATTCAAAAAATAAACTTCTTACCCGTCCCTGTTGCTTTAGTTGTATATTCCTATGCTACCTAATATGCTAATAATATTATTTATCCTATGTTCCTGTACAAGTTAATGTTTTAATAAACTAAATATTGTAATTAAAATTGTATAAAGATGTGTTCTATGGTAAAACGATGTGATATAAAACTCACAGAATTCCCAAAATAATATGTAAAACACATTAGGCTGGTTAAAGGTACAGAACAAGCTTAATATAAATATTCTTTGCCCAGAGCCGGCCCAAGACATAAGCAAACTAAGCGCCTGCTTAGGGCCCTGCAGCCAATAGGGTGACCCCAAGAGCAATCAACAATTTTTAAAAGATTAATATTTTGTATTTTTTGCATTTGTAAGTGATGCTTTCTTTACGATCAAATATATGTTATTGTAAAAATAAAATAAAGTAAAAACATTTTAGTGCTGTTGCTGCTGCGAATGTAAGCCTATGATTCTTACTGCCAATATGTCAAAGCTCTGCTACCATTATGTGCTTCCCTCTGTGCAATGTGCACTGAGCATCCAACGCACAGGTTGTTGTCAGGCAAAACAATGTTGCAAAAAAAGACATATCCCTCAAGAGCTGAGAAAAGAAATAGGAAGACGGAGAAAGAAGAGAAAAAACATAAAGATAAAGGTTTGTTTGCGTGTCATGGAATGTTAATCAAAGAGATTTGTGAAGGTGATTGAATGATCAACAATCAATATTATTGGCAGAAATAGAAGACCTCAAAATCTAATTTTGCTTTAGGCCCCATTGAGGCTCTGTATACTGCCATATTCAAAGGGTATCCAACTTTCCTTGTGGACAAATTGGTGTACAGTGACTATTGTCTTTAACTTATCTCGCAGGTCAGCTCTGGTCATTTAATTGTTCCATTGTCCAAATCCAATTGTATGAGGAGAACAGTGTTATTTAGATCTTTGGAAACATGGAATCAATTGCCTAGGAGCACACAGCAAATAAGCAGTAGGTATTATTTTAAAAGGACTTATGGACCCCAGGAAGACAACCACTTTGTGGAAGCTAAGCTCCTTCAACATCAGGTTTAATGTGGTGAAGCAAAGGTTGTCGCTATTAAGGTACTTAGTTCTCATCAATTTTAATTCAGCAAGGGACTTGATTTCACAAGATAGATAGTCATTCATTGTTTATCTGACAGCAGCAGCACCAAAGATGCTTATTTACATGTTTTGATGCCTTTTAAGTGAATCATCATCACAACGGGAAGTAAAATCAGATTCACTTAAAGCTCTAGCAAGGAACTTTATGCTTGTGTTGATTTTGGTGCCCCCTGTGTAAAAAAATAGTACTACTAGCAACTTTGCTGAGATTATCCAAACATGTATAAGTAATGTTTTCAGCCAAACAAAACATAACAGGAAAAAGAAACCTTATCATGCTGCCTTTAAACGGTTTTGTAATATCTCAAGTAGCAGAACTGTCATCTTCAGGTATTATGTCGAGGTTATTTGCATAGTCCTACGTTCATTTTACTTTGTTTCATGATCAAACTCCTCACTGTATGAGTATAAAATAGCTACTCAGTTAAACTCTTGAGAAGTTGGTTCTTTAGATGAAAATTGTTGGTTGGCCATGAATGGACATGGTGAGGAACATTAAAATATCTTGCCTACTACCTGAGTGCACACTGAAAAGTGTCCCTCTGAAAACGAGGTCACTGCAGTTCCACCTTAAAATGTGGACGTATCCGTAAACACAACAAGGGGGGGAAGGTCTCTCTCTCTCTCTCTCTCTCTCTCTCTCTCTCTCTCTCTCTCTCTCTCTCTCTCTCTCTCTCTCTCAAGCGGCGTAACTGTGGAGTTGTGGCGTGTGCGTGCATGTGTATGACTACTAAGAAGTTGTGTTGTTGTGGAAATGCGAAGTGTCGCCGTCCGGTTACAGGTTGTTGCCGTTTCTCCGCCGGTGTGTCTCTGACTTTCATCGGCTCTTTTCTTTTCGGACTTGTCTGGACTTCACCGCAGAAAGAGACCGTTACATCTGGTAAGCCATGTTATCTTGTTTCAGTTTTTAAAGTGGGTTGTTTGTCTGTAATAATACGACTGTAGGACGACTTAGTTTGCAGAATACAAAGCAGGCACTAGTATCCCCTCTAGTACCGAAGACCCCATGCTGTGTGCGTTTTTTCACCGGCCATGAATGTGGTGGTATGTCCCATTCCCTTAAAGTCACTGTAAAGGTCACTGCAGCTCCTGTCATCGATAACAGGAGTGACAGGTGACCACACTGCGCCCATCTGGAGCAGAAGTTACGGGCAAACACTTCAATCCTGACAAATAGTTTCCATGAGTACTTCGTTTAGCTGCATGACTCGAAATAGTTTGTATGTGTCCTAAAATAGTTCCTGCCCCTTCTTGAATGAAACTGCACTAAAAGGACGGGTCTCAGCTTGCATTAACAAAACAATTGCATGTAAAATGTCACTGGAAGTACCAAGCACTATCGGTGCATTATTACATGAATAAGCCTTACAGGTTTTTCCTGATCCTTGAGAAATGTTGAGCAATTCCTCAGACCACCAACTGACTGGCAGATTATAGAAAGCGTCTTATGTTGCAGAAATGGGACAAATCGTGCATTGATTGTGTGTTTTCAGATTCAGCAATGTGCAAAATATGTTTGTACCACAATCTCAGCACTTGAGTTACTGGGTTCAGATTGTGCTGCAGACTCTTACACCAAACAGAGGGATTAATGTCAGCTCAAAGTTTCTTTTAATACTATATTGCAGGCTCATTCATTACATGCATGCAAGTTTCCTTTACTTATTTATTGCAGCCAGAATTTTTTTTAACACTCATAAATACAAGTTAATACAAAAAAAATAATAATAATAATGATAGTAATAAAAAGGGAAAGATAGAAAGAAAAGAAAAGGGGAAATAGAGTAAGAATAAGGGAGAGGACCAAAAACGGAAGAGTCATATTATTAAAAAATCCAACCATTTGTGTGTGATTTTTTTTAAAGCAGAAATTTGTAATATTGTAAACAGATATTTACCCCCTTCTCTTAGTATTTCTAATGGAATGATACCTTATAAAATATTAACGGGGTGTAAGGGAGTCTTTAAGCCAAATGTATTTGTTATTTTTACCTTTATTGTTTCAATATTGGACAGAAAAAGAAAATATGAGCATGATTGGCTTCCATTTCTGCACATTTCAACTCAAAGTTTCATGAGTTATACTCTTACTCTTCCACAATTTACTGTATCTTTCACAAGTGATGAAATGGCAATGGACACCTAGGGATCTTTCCTTGGATTTATGCATTTAAACCATGTCCCATATTCAGTGCCAAAAAGACCCTGGTCTTATTATTGATAAATCCACGTTTTTGAAAACTTGAAAAATACTTTAAAAATATAGTTTCAGTGAGTAAAGCTCCCATCATTATTTTTTGGTATTGATCATCCAGAGATAATTCTGTTTACATTTGTAATGCTGGTCATACATGTCAATATTATGTTTTTAGGTCAGCACTTGAGTTGGTATTTAGTCAGACAACAAACTGCCTCTGCTTGTTCAAATGAACCTGCATTTCCTGTCTGTGTAGTTGTGAACCATGACGTCAGAGGTGAACCATGTGGACACCATGCAGGACCCTCTGCTTATTCTGGAGAATGAGGAAACTTACAGAAACCCCACCGAGGTGAAGATGAGTCAAATTGTGCTGCCATGCCATGCAAACCACTGTGGGGAGCTGAGTGCAGGACAGCTGCTGAAGTGGATGGACTCTACGGCCTGCTTATCTGGTTAGAAAAAAAAAACATCTCTCAAAAACAGAGTGAAGAAATAAATGATATTTTTACATCATAGATACACAGACTCTAATGCTCCAGCTATCTAAGAATACTGAATAATGAAAGCTCTTACATTCTAGAAAGAAGTAGTGAAATGTTATATTTACTTTGAATTATACCCCGACCATTCATAAAAGTATAATTTGCTATGTTTTGTGATACAAAATTGCACTCTTTCCTGCTATTGCCATATGATCATTTTCATGTTTCAGTTTAAGTGTCACATAGTTGGCACTGGTAATAATAACTTACATAATCTTGGTAGATATCATGTTTCGTTCTCTCAAATACCTCAAAATGAAGTGTCATTTAAGGAAAATAAATGAAGGCATTAATAACAAAAAGGCTTCTTGTAGATTGTTCTAATAGGTACATGATAATTTAATACACATATCTAGAGTGATACAATTGAAAATCTTAAAGCTGTGACTACTACCTTATCTCTCTCACAGAGGCAAAAGATAACAGATGTTCAGTGCTTTTGTATGATTAAAAAATATGTGTGAAAACATTTCTGAAGCCTTTCTTCAGGATATATTTATTCCAACCTCTCACATTGTCCTGTGCTGTCTGGTGACTTTGTGCTTCACTGTGTAATTATTTGTTTATCCTTTTCCTCTGCCAGCTGAGAGACATGCCGGTTGTTCCTGTATCACTGCATCTGTGGATGACATCCATTTTGAACACACCATAGGGTAAGGTATTAACCTTAATGCTGCTCTGTCAAAGTGTTTCCCAACTGAGGAGCACAAGTAGACCATAATGCTCCCTTTAGTTCGACTAAAACGTGTGTTATTTGTGATAGAAATAGTTGCAGTATTTGTAAAAACATCCTGATCAGTCATCAAAATTGACCAAAGCCTTGTGATAAATTCATGATTGTATTCAATGCATGTTGGATATGCACTCCTCAAATAATGTGAACCTCTAAATAAGTGTTTCTCTCCTGTTCTAGGCAGATAAATAAGGAGATTAGAGACAAAGCTGTTGTTAAACTCATGTTTACTCAAAATGGACGAGGAATAGAGAGTTTAGAGTGTTGATACTGTAATCACAGCTTCATATTGATAGTAAAGAAAGGCCTCTGTCTGTCTGCTGTAGGGTGGGGAAGGTTGTCAATATCATAGCAAAGGTCAACAGAGCCTTCACGTCCAGTATGGAGGTCAGTGCACTTTGTGGTTTTAATGTCAGTAGATAGTCATGGTCTTTAAGAAAGATCAATAACATGTAAGTGATTCTGCACATTTCAGGTGGGCATATTGGTGACTTGTGAGGATCTTTACTCTGCAAAGCTGTGGAAGGTTTGCCATGCCTTTGCTACCTTTGTTGCAAGAAGAACTGAAGCCGGGAAGGTAAGAGTTAGAAATGAACAGACTGACACCAAACTGTTCTTCTGAAGCTGATTCAACATCCCCGGATTCACATGTGTGTTATGTGTTCCCAGGTTCAGCTGAAACAGGTGACTCCTCGCACACAAATGGAGCAGATGGAGTACAGCCTGGCAGCAGAGCGGAGGAGGATGAGGCTCATCCACGCTGAGATCATTACAGACCTGCTGAGCAGCAGCACAGCTCAGCTGGGTACAGGCTGCAGATACTGGGCTTCATAACACAGCACTTGGCTGAGCTTCTGCACCACTCAAGCTCCTTGTTTTTTCTTATACTCCCACCAGGAGAATGCCAGGAGTTTCAGGATGCTGTGCCAGCAGAGCGGACACGAGTAGAGAGTGTGGAGCTAGTGCTACCGCCACATGCCAACCACCAGGTCAGCACCTTTGGGGGCCAGATCATGGCATGGATGGAGAATGTGGCCACAATTGCAGCGAGGTACGTGCCCAGTTTTTCATTTTTTATTTAACTGGAAGATGAGCTGTAAGGATTAGTGTGTTATTTAGATTTATTCACTTTTGCTGACTTTGCTGTGACAATTGAAATCAGCGTCCATGTATGTTTTTTAAATCTGACATTACAGCAGTCAGTCGGTTAGCTTGTGTGTATTAGCCCCCCTGCTATGAAATGGGCCACTCCAAACGTTTCCATTAAGCCAGTTACATTCTATTTAGTCTCCAGTATTTGTACAGATAAAACAATCAAGACTGACAATGTGAGCTCAAAGATACTGGTGGATAGCAATTGTTACCTTCGGACGGAGCCAGATGTGAGCTAATGTTAGCTGGTTCTTCTTGTTTTCTAAGCCAAGAGAATAAGAAACAAAATAAATCACTGGTATTCTTAGTCATTCATGAAAACTGCAAGTTTGTCTGAAGTTCTTCTATGTTCAGGTCTAAGTGTAAAACCAAATAGGCTCACTACAAACATCTTTTTTTTTTTCTATCTTCATGTTTGGATCTAGTCGCATGTGTAACGCTCACCCGACCCTAAGTAGTATAGACATGTTCCATTTTCGAGGCCCGTCTCATATTGGTGACCGGCTGGTGCTGAAAGCCATCGTCAACAACGCCTTCAAACACAGGTAAGCCTGCACAGAACTACACAGACTCTCAGCTCTTCTCATTGGTTAAAATGTATGAACACAACATTTACAGTCTATTTGTGCATATTCTCTACCTTTGTAAGCATTTCTTTCTCACTTCCTTCATACATGGTGTGCTCCAGCATGGAGGTGGGAGTGTGCGCTGAGGCCTACCAGGGCGGTGAACCTCTTCGCCATATAAATAGTGCTTTTATGACCTTTGAAGTGCTGGACAGTGACAGGAAACCAATCACACTGCCGCGGTTACGACCAGAGCCTGTGGTGAGTGTTTTGAGTGTCCCAACACTGCTGGTAATTTAGGATGACGCACAGAGTCAAAAATGTACAAAGTCTATAAAAGGAGGATTTCAGTGTGACATATCACTGTTTTTCACAGGATGGAAAAAGACGTTATCAAGAAGCTATTGCAAGAAAGAAAATTCGGCTTGATAGGTTTGTATCGCATCTTCATTACATGGTCTGTTCTTTGCATGGTTTATATGTATAAAATGTATTGTTTGTGATGCAAAACTTAATCATGATATGTTGTATCAAGAATCTTATTACGGACCTTTTGCTCAGTACATCATACATTTCCTCTTTACAATCAAGTCTGTCCTTATTTTTGGCTTTAATAACAAACCTTTACAGTCAGCCACGACTTGAGAGTGCAGGGACCATCAACAAAGTGCAGAAAAATATTTAATAACATTACCCTGGATAGGTGCAGCGTGCCTGTACTTTCACTTAAGTAAAATACAGACGTAATCTTCTTACTTTTTGTCTTACCTTGATGAAGATTGTTACAATATTTACATATGCAGGCTTGAAATGGTAAGAGGTCAAACGCCAGTTTTTAATATCCAGGCTTTTACCACTACTTATCACACTGCTGAGTAATTACATACACAGACGGACAACTTAGATACATGACACAAATGTTTCCATAATAAATATGCCACGCCACTATTGCATGCAGTTATCATAAAGCATCACAAATCAAAGAAATATGTTGTAAAAGACTCCTCATATATGAGGCAGTTTGAAAGACTTTTCTTAAGTACAACAGGAACTGTTTCTTTGCTGCTTTGTTTGTCTAGAACCCATTGTTTACAATCCTCATCCGCATGACTTGGCAGTGCAGAGAATCACAGCTGAGCAGACTTTGGTGCACAGTCTGTCACACATAATAAGATCATTGTTCTGCTAAAAAAGTCAGGAGTCCTGTGCAATGTCCATTCCAAAGTTTTACAACAAAAAATTTCAATAGAAAGAAAAAGTTTGTTGCTCAGGCTCTCCGATCTGTCACGTCTTGTTATATAAAGCATTGTCTCCTACATCTTTACAGAAAATACATCATCTCCAGCAAGCAAACAGAAGTGCCTCTGTCTGTGCCCTGGGATCCAAGTAACCAGGTATTGCTTTTTCTTGCCAACAGAGGCAGACATGTTTTGATAGGCTTATTAGATATTGGCACTGTGTTCAAGAGTTCAGACGTGTCCTTTGTTTTTCAGATGTATCTGAGCTACAATAATGTATCAGCACTAAAACTAATGGATACCAGGAATAACTGGGTTTTAACTTCTGAGAAAAACAAGGTCAGTGTTTTTGTAATATCTTTCCGGATATAACTTGTTAAATAGTTGCAGCTGTTGTGATTCAGCCATGCATTCTGATCTGTATTATTTTGGACAAGCTGCACAGTCACTGTGGCTGATCTTGACCTGGTACTGAGCCAATTTTACTTTTTCTTCATCAAAAAGTTTAGACCTACTCTTGCTCTGTTCCTCTCCACACATCACTCCACAAAATAGTAATGCTATATCTGAATATAAGTCTCTCTAAAATGTGTATGACTGCCACATATTTAATCTCAAATGCAGCCACCAATTACTGTTACTACTACAGGAGTTTTGACAGTATTTGCACTCAAAGTGGGTTTGTTTTGGTGCCATTTAGGTGAAAGTTTTCCTGTTTGTACACAAAGAGCTCACCACCTCTCTGCATGTTTTTCCTTTCCAGGTCAGATTGTACACACTGGAGGAAAACCACATGCTGTGTTTTAAGGTGGAGATGCATGTCAGTGTACCAGCAGAGCAGACTTTCAACCTACTGTCAGACCTGAGGAGGAGAAAGGAGTGGGATCGGCACTATGAGTCAGTCTACTGTATATTTTTGGCATTTAGTGTAATATGGTGCACAATAGCCTGCAGTCAGAAAAAGTTGATGAATATTTATTTATTCACATCTGTTTTCCAACCATCAATAATTTACACAAGTCAAAAATCAACAGTCTTTGCTCAATAATTGACTTTTTGGCTTTATCATCTAGTCTGAAGCCCTGTTGTTTCTACAAAAGATAATAATCTTTTAGGTTACAGTTTGATAGAAAATATATATGTAATTTATACATATCCACTTTACAGCTTGGCAATGAGCTCTTTGCAAATTTTTCTTAAATAAGAATGAAAAAGTGTCACAGAAGGAACTTTTTGCTGCAGCATGCTGATGCACATCAAATGCTTAAAGCTCCTGTGAGGAGTTTATTAGACATCTATGAAATGGCCCGATATTCATATTGATGCCTTTTTTATGACATCCCAAAGCAAACAAGACCATCAGCAACATGAGTGATGATTTTTATATTGTAATTTTAAATGCCTGAATCTTAATCGAGGGAAGAAACAGCCCTGTTTTTACAATTTCCACATAAGAAATCACAACAAATAATACAATTGGCTGTCAAAAGTCAGCAGGATGATATCTTTTGTTAAAAGACACTGTTTAATCATGTAGAGGAAGAGATAAGCAAAGATTGCGTTGTCCACAGAGGAGTAACTGTGGACTATTCAACTATTAAAGCTCCTGTGAGGAACTTTTGGTCTTAGTCTAATCTGGCACCCCCTTGTGTACAAAAGTAATGCCTCGTGCTTCTATGTGGTTATTTTCCTGCACATATTCAAGTAGTATAGAAAAAACTCTTGTTTTTTTTAACAAACATTTTTACCAGTCCCCTGAAAGTTTTTACCATGAAAATGTAAATACTTTTAATGCTATGTGCTTTCCCGCTCTTAAACCCACCCTGCAGCAGTTTAAGGTATTAAACAAACTCATAGAAATAAGGTTAATGCTGATGTTCCCATTTGCTTCTCCTACTCATGAAAAGTCATTAGTCCTAAGTTCAGACTATTTTGTCAGCAGCATAAAGTTTTTACTTGAGCTTTTAACATGTTTGCACAATGGACTCAAACTGTGTTTACTGTTGGAATTAATGCAACTCAAGTCTGTCAAATCTATTTTATTTTCTAGTTTCAAGAAATAACATAAAACACGTCTTGTCCTTACTCTTAATAATATTGACAAAGGCAGAAACTTAAACTTTGAACTTGCAAGAAACGTTCAGATCAGGGACCATTGGTACACAGCCATGTCGCTTTAAAGTAGGTGCAGAAGAAAGGTACAATTCATGACCCCCTTGCACTGGCGAGGTACGTTGCTCACTAAGAAGAACATCATGGATTTACAGCACAGGTGTTGGTTTTGCTTCGTTCATTGTATTTCAAACCAGTTTTATCCTTTATGTTCTCCAGCTGATTATTACAATAAGGAACCAAATATTCCTGCTTGCAGTAAGTTATAGATTTTGATCATTAGCATAATTCCAGTCTTCACACTGAAGCTGCTGCAGTGACATTGGCTAGTATTGAAAACACGATGAATAGTTACAGTTAGCAAAGTGCCATATAATGTTGATCTAATGTTGATATATATTTCATCATGTTCTCTTTGCTGCTTCCCTCAGGGAGTGTGAAGTGATCAACCATGCAGATGAAGAAGACACACTTTATCGGGTAGCTACGCCTTGTATCAGTAAAGGGGGCAAAGGCCAGGACTTTATCTTGCTGGCATCTCGAAGGAAGCCATGTGATGTCAGGTGTTGTACTAAACTATGTAATATGCACTCAGCAATGACCTTTACATGTCACATTTCTTGTTTCTTTGTTTGTTTTTTCATAACCACTTATCTACTCATTCCATCACCACCTCTTTTTACTTTGATGCTATGCGCTTTGTGTCCCTCACAGGGACCCGTTCCTGATTGCTCTCCGTTCTGTCACTTTACCAACTCACCCTCCTACTGAGGACTACACCAGGGGAGAGGTGCTCTGCGCTGGCTTCACAATCTGGGAAATGTCCGCTACCATCACCAAGGTTGGCTAGATGTTAAGAATGAAAACCCACTACAACACATTTCTGCACACTAACAATCCACACCTGCAAAAACCCTTTTTAAGAAGCACTGGTTGACTGCGCCACATGTGACCTGAGGTGATTTGTTTCAGATTACCTACTACAACAAGGCTACAGCAGGTGTCCTCCCCTACATCTCCACAGACATAGTTGGCCTCTCCTCCAGCTTCTCCAGTGCTTTCTCCGCTTGTAGCCGCTACTTGGAGGACAACAAGGACAGCCAGGTGGTCTCCTCGTCTCCTGCAACGTTACAAGACTGTGCAGCTAAGCTCTCGTTGAATGAGGAGCAGAAGCTCCAGTAGGTCTCCTCTGTTGCTGAGGTGCTGTGCTCTTGAAGAAGGCATTGTTGAATGTAAGTGCTGTCTTGCAATGGATTTGTATTCTTTTTAATTTCTAGAAACCTCTATCACTTTGGTTTTCTAGAAATAAGAGATATCCTCTTTTAGCAGGTTCAATTAAAACACTAAAGGTTTTTTAAAAGAACATGCTTGGTATTTCTGTACGATTAAAACTTATTGTGTAAAAGCGCACAGTGTTTCTCCTAGATTTCAAGACTCTGAAGTGTTATCAGAGCTACATCGTTGTAAAAATGTTTTATTTTACTAATTTATGAATCAATGAATCATATTTTGATACGTAGGTGTCAGTATTACACACAGCCTCGCCATGATTTGAAGTTCACACCTCCTAATACAGAAACTAACATGGTGATAGGACTAGATCATGCTGAGACATTTGACTCAACTATATTTGTTTAGTTTATTTTCTACCTCCTGAATAAAGTTTTTATTAACTTAATGAATTGAATTATAAGTTAACATGATGTATGTCAAGGATCTAATGATGTTGTTTTAATTGAAAACGAAGATGTAAAGTTATAAAAGAAAACTCTTGCACTGATTTTATAAAATGGCAGAGTGTTGCACATGAAAAGTTGTTTTTCTTGATTAAAATGAAACAATAAAAACAATAGATCTGCAGATTAAGCTCATTTCAGCCGTTTAGTTGGTGTTCAGCCCCCTCAATCTGCATTCCTGCCATTCCTTCACCACTTTTTATTGAAAAAAAAAAAAATCACAGCTTGCCCTTGTATCCAGCTGTAGCATGTGATTCAGTGTTGTGACAGGTGCAGCAGCCAGCAGAGGGGTATGTTGAAGTAAACCAGCAGGACTGTGTGTGGGTTTAACAGAGGGGGTAGATTTTCTTGCTTTTCAGGTATTGTGTTTGTTCAGTGATCATCCTGTTATATCAGTGCTGCATTGTAGACAGAGAATCATAAGGGAATACATCTGTAACCAAAAATGATATGCTGTAAAACACAAAGCAGTCGGTAATCCTGTGAAATGAATCCGTCCAAAGAGTCCCAGGATGAGTGTGGGGATCATGTGTCTTGGCTGGCAGCTTCCTGTTTGCTGCCAGTTCACACCACTCTGCAGGTCAGTGAGCAATGTCTGATGTTAGCTATTTTCGTCAATGAACTCAGTCTAAGCTGCGTGTCATCTATGTCCTCCTCATCCTCTGACATAGAAAGGCAGTGTGTATCCTGCATCATGAACCTGCCTGTTGTGTCTGTCTGAGACTGGTCTGCCATGTCTCTTTGCTCATGGGTTTTGTGTAACCTGTTGGCTGTCATCTAGATGGCAGCATAGTGTATAAAATTCTCAAAGCTGTGTACAAACTAAACACACTGGTTTATTATAATTATCATATCATGAGTGGGTCACTTTCTAATGCAGAAATTATAATAATCTGTAGAAACTTGGGGGGTCAAGTCTTTTGGTTTAAAGACAAGTAGAGTTATTTCCAGATATGGAAATTTTATTTGTTGTGCATACTTCAACCTGAGAAGTGATTGCACCAGCTTGGGACCTGGCAGAATAAGTATTTTTAGCAAACAAAAAATATATATATATGAAAACAAACTTGGCTTCCACAACCTGCAGGCTCTTTTCATTTATATATCTTTAACATATAAAGGCATTTTGATGAGGTACCAAACCACACATTTGTCTTGGATTTTTTTAAAAACAGTTGCAGTTTGATTGGGATTACTTTGTGTTTTTTTGGCGGCCAGCTTGCACCAGTTTGGGACCCAGTTTGCACCCAAAAGATTGATGTCTACACACCAGAAATGTGTTGTGTGCGCGTGTGTCATGCAAGCAATTGTACAGTTGTTTGTTGTCATTGCAACAGTGACATCATACTTGTACTTTCAACATCCAAAATACATGTTGTTGCACTGTTTTAGACTGTATAGACTATATGTTTTACCACACCACAGAGGTGTAAAAAACAGGCCTTTTATAATTATATGGTTATGAACAAAAACACACAACATTTTAAATTTGTTTTACGCATCAATTGTGGTATCTATGAGCTACAACATCAGGTCAAAAACCGAGCAAAAAAGTCCATCATTTCAGCTTAGAGGACTAATAAAGTCATCATAGTAGTTCTGGGGTAAGTTGAGCCAGTGGTTCAACTGAGAAAGTAAAGGAGTCTGATGAGAGGATCAGAGTTTCAGTTCAGATTGTTGAAATGTGTTACTTTTTCTTTTCAAAAATACAGCTGTGAATGTTCTGAATCACTTAAAGGCATTCTCATGTTAAAATGACTTTTTACAAAACAGCTTTTTAGCAGTTATATGCAAACATAATAAAAATAATTATTGCTCCAGTTGAATAGTGTATAATAGATACAAATACACATAAGTGTGAAGGAGTGACTGTTACTTAGGGAAAGAGAGAAGGTGAGGGAGGGCTGGGGTGGAGAGTGGGGGCGTAGTAGGGATACGGCTGAACTTACCCCACTCCTACGGTCAACTTACCCTTACAACTTACAACTTACAAAAAAGATCATTTTAAATGTGTTTTATACATCAATTGTAGTATCTATGAGCTACAACATGAGGTCAAAACCCTAGTCCACCATTTTAGCTTAGAGGACTAATAAAGTCGTAATAGTAGTTCTGGGGTAAGTTGACCATAGGAGACCACTTTTTTTGGCATGCTATATTATCAAGAAAGTTATGTTTACACTCATTCTGTTGGTTTGCAGGGATACACAACATCCTTAAATATATGCAGATACACGAGTTAGAGACAAAACTATGATTGCCTTGATGTAGTGATCCGAAAAATGAGAAATGGCTCATCTTACCCCACTCTCCCCTATTTTGTTCTCCGTACAGCACAACTTTTTAACTGTTGAAACTCACTTAACATGCAGACTCATTGACAACATTTCAACCATGACCGCTGATCTTGATGATAAAAATAATGACAGAATTTCTGAAAATACTGAGCTACTATTTCTAAAGTTCTAGTTTTGGCTCCTTCAATCACGTGCAACAACAACTTACCACGTGACGGAACCCGGAAGTGAAGCAGAGTCAGCAGCAGAGAGGTTGTAAGTTTTGAATTAGTAACGGTGCGACCGGGCTGATGAGATTTAACCGACAGTGAAGTAGATATTTCCATAAATTGAAATTTCCGGCGACAGAATGAGCCAGAAATGTGTCGCAAAATTACGAACTGCAACGAGAGAGAAACTCGGAAAATTTAATTCTCTGCGCGGTGAGTTAAGGATTCTCTGCATCTGTGTGAAGTTACAGTCTTCAACAATACATGACATGAGCTCTGTCGCTTTGTGTATGTTTGCAGGTCGAGAGGTCCAGCCCGGGGAGTTTTGGGATGTGGTGGTTGTGACCGCCGTAGATGAGAGTCAGAGAGAGGCTTATGAGGTCCAGATCTCAGAGAAAGTGACCAGAAAAGAGCTCCCCCTCGGTGTCCACTACAAGGTTCTCTCTGATCCACCTGGACCTAAAATAGGTGAGAACTTTACATTTCCCTTTGTTTGTTGAGGTGGAGATAAAGAAAATTCACCATTAATATCATTATTAATATTATCAGTATCTATAACCTTTTGTGTTGAAGGTAATGGGGGCTCCACTCTGTACGCCCTCCAGCAGCTGAATGATGTGTTTGGAAAAGCTTGGAGCTCACTAAGAGTCATCCTGATCCATGCAGGTAGAATTTGGTTGCTTTTTAAGGCAATTAAAACATTTCCATTGCCCTTTATTGCCTTTTGTATCATATTTGATACATACTTTTATGATACTTCTATCAAATCAATATGATCAACAAATTACTAAAAAAACACCTGAATACAGTCTGATAAATGATAAAAATGTCCTCTTGTGGTTCATTAGTTACCAAAAACATCTAATATATCAAACAAGATAAATAAATATATTTGTTACATTTTAAGGACATTTTGATTTTTTTTTTGTTGTTGTTGTTGTTTTTTAGTAGTAAGTGAAATAAACATTTCAGCTCCAAAAATTTGAATTTTCTGGCCATAATTTGTGGTTTCAAGCATTAATAAAAATAATATAATAACTTTATTTGTATAGCACTTAAAAAAAACAGATCTTTACAAAGTGCTTTGACACATATTCGTAGAGCACATGGAAAAAGACAAATAAAAACAAAAATCTCAGTAAAAACGGAATTGAAGGCCATTTTCATGTCATATACAAGAACCACGCAACATAAAATGAGACCATGAGGACCAAAATAAGAACATAAAACAGTAAAAAATTAAAGGGTTATTAAGTTACCTTGAGGACCTGTGTGGGGTTTACATGAAAGCAAGACTGACTTTCCATTTTTAAAAAGTCAATTAAGGTTAAAACCTTTAATACTTTTGTTGAAAGTAGACATGCAGCGATCCATTTTTTTCCAATCTGATACCGATACCTGGGCTGAGCATACCGGCCGATATCCGATACCGATCCAATACTACTGTTGAATGAGTGAAGTGTATACCTTGCCCTGGGACTGAAGGCAAACTTAATTAATATTATTTATTAACAAATAACAAATCTGCACATTAGCACACAGCAAAAAGAAGCAAGACTTCCATGTAAACATTTAGTACAAAAGGATAGACAGACATAGAATATAGAGCGAACAGAATCACTGTGTTGCTGTGTATGTTATAATTAAAGGAAAAAAAAGACTGGATCGGCGTCATTCATCAGATATCCAATCCATTTAATTTCTCAATATCAGAGCCGATTTCTGATCCAAGTATCAGATCAGTGCATCCCTAGTTGAAAGTTTATTTATAACGTATTTGCTGTATGTATAGTTCTCTATTTAACATAACTTTTTCTCACAGGTGGTTGGAGTCAGCGGTTGCCCAGTGCCAGCGCCCTGGGGAAGATCTTCACTCCCCTACCGCTGGGTGACCCTCTCTACCAGATGCTTGAGCTTAAGCTGGCCATCTATGTTGAATTCCCTCCCCACATGAAGCCTGGTGTGCTTGTGACCTGTGCAGATGACATTGAGCTCTACAGCACAGCAGAAGATGAGAGTATTACATTTGACCAACCTGGCTTTACAGCTCTAGCCCACCCTTCCCCGCTCACCATCGGCACTACACACGGAGTGTTTGTGTTACATCCACAAGAAAAGTCCTCTAATTGCTCTGAAATGGAGAATGCCTCATGCCTACGTTTCCTGCACAAACCAAGCATTGAGAAGATGCAAGAGAGTGGAGCTGTTTGTAAAAGGCAGGGTGATTGTTTCTCCCTTCCTGACACAGAGTTTGTCTATACAGACAGCACATATTATATGAACTTTGATACAGCGAAGTCTCTTCTCAATCTATTGAAGGAGCTTGGGCCTTTAGAGTGCGAGATAGATGCATACGGGGACTTCCTTCAAGCTCTTGGCCCTGGAGCAACCATTGATTACACCAAAAACACTGCAAATGTGAGCAAAACAGAGAGCAATCTGGTGAAAACTCGACAAGAGATCTTCTATCATTTAAAAGGGACTCCTCTGAATGTCATTCTCCTGAACAACTCTAAGTTTTACCACATTGGAACCACATCGGAGTACCTCTACCACCTCACAGAGGATGCAGCTTTGAGAACAGAGCTGGGTCTGCTGACTTCTGCCTTTAGCGTGCATATGAATGAAAACAGCTCCTCAGGGGTCTGCGTCATGTACAGTGTCCTCCATCCCAGCTGCTCTGTGGGAGCCAGGTCAGTGGTGGAGTACTCCAGACTGGGAGCAGGAGTCTCCATTGGTAGGAGCTCTATTGTCAGCAGCTGTCAGGTTGGCGCAGGCCTCTCAGTGCCTGATGGAGTCTTTCTGCACTCACTGTGTGTGAATTACAATCATCAAATCAGGTATGTGACTCTCATCTTTGGGATTAACGATGACTTGAAGCACAGTGTGGAATCTCCTGCACACATGGAGGAGCTGAAGCTGTTTGGGTGCAGCCTGACAGAGTGTTTGCTCTGCTGGGGGCTGAAAAATGAAGAAATACGGTTTTCACGACCATCCAGCTGTAGTCTGTGGAACGTCTGTTTATTTCCTGTTTGCTCAGATCTACAAAGCTCATGTCGGATGTCGGTGGAGATGCTGCAGGCTGTTCAGAGCGGCTCCAAATTCACATTACCGAAAGACACGAAGTTGATGTCAATGCAGGAGGCCTTACAGTGTAAGAACCTGAAGGAAATGCTGCAGTTCAGGAGGGGACTATATGATGATATCACCCGAGGAAAATCAAACAGTTGAAGGTGGTATATGCAAGAGGTCTCATGTTTATTAAAAAAAAAAAAAAACAAGACTACACAATTGTGTTTTAAATCGTTCGTATATTACACAATCATTTAGATTTTTTTTTCAAAAGTATATTGTTTTGTCCCAAAGATAATGTCAGCACAGTCACAGGATACAAAAAATTAACAAGCATGACAAGGTTTTACTACATTTTCAGAGGAAGGAATTAAAAAGATTGAGTATCTTGTACCTAAATGAAACACTTTCATTAAGAATGACTGATAGACCGTACTTTTATTTCACTTTCAGGGAAGTGCAAAGAAAAGGAGCTGTAGCATCAAAAATGGGTAATTAAAAAATATTTGATTAGAATATGCTGTACTCAATCACAAATCAATGTAGTAAAAAATTGGACAAAATATAAAAAAGTAGAAAACAAACAAATAAAAACTTCTGTAAACACACAAGACTTTCAGCTTTGTTTTTTAAATTTTTTGCTTTATTTTTTTTGCTTTATTTTCAGTTATACTATTTATTAATGCAAATCCTCAGAAAACATTACATGGTAGAACCCTTATTCAGAGTGGTGCCCAGGTATGACAAGCTATAGAGCAGATTTAAAGGGGATATTCCAGTGTAAGTTTAAGTCATGGTCAAACACACATTAACACAGAGTTAGACACCCCCTCAAGAGATGAATTTTGCCGACCGCTTGCTTCTTTAGTTCTACCAACTTTAGCAATGACCGAATGATAATAATATACAGTGGTTTATGTCTCCACGTGCAAACTGCAGCCAAAAAGCCACTCTATAGCCACAAATAATGCTCAGAACAGCACCTAACTTCACCAACAGTACATATAGGGTCCCAGCCATAGTGCTAGCCATCATGGAAATGTAATCAATTCCTTGAAGTAATAATCATCATAATAATCATTTTGCTCTGCAGACACAGTAGTTCTCCTGCGTTAGCGTCTCAGTCTGATTGCATTTCCATGAAGTAATAACCATAAATGTTCTTCCTGGAGCTGTGAAACTCCACTGCACTCTGTGATCGACTCATCAGGGCTCCCCCACAAACAAGCGGCTGCTGGAAGAGAGTAGGTGAGTTGTGTTTGGTCTCTTTACCAAAGATATTAGGCAAGGTTAAAAAGATGTTTGATGGCTAGTACTACTTTATACTACTTTTTACTTTATAAAAACCTTAAATAGGAATGATGATCTTTCCTGACTCTGAAGTACGAGAGTGAACAATTAAATCTAAAATCAACCATAAGACGACTTACTGAACACTGACCAACACTGCTCTCATGGTTTACACACAGGCTCACGCTGACTTTGATTCAAGCCTGCTCACACATGGAGGGAGATCAGTTGTCGTAGTTGTCAGGCATTCCACTCAAAGGTGTTTATTTTTAGCCCACAGCCATGATCCCCCCTTTATCTGGACCTGTGCAATTGTGAGAGTGAGAGATTGTATTACTGAGTTACTGTAGAAATCCAAACTACACCGCAGGTTTGACACAAGACGGACCTTATCAATGGGAAACTACAAATCCAGACCCTCGCAGACGTGTACAGGTAACAGATCTATTGTGACTCTGTCAGAATATTTGAATATTAGACTGGGAACAAGGTTACATTTGAGGGGGGAACAACTCGTTGGTTTGTTTGTTTTTTAAAGTACAGGCAGCCATTTTTCTGAAAAGTTGTGCAAGTCATCAAATTGTTAGTGATTGACTAAAGAAATCCAAGCTCAAATTTAGTGCAATAAACATGTGTATATATATTTTTAAAACATGCTTTCTTCTGTGTATGGTCTGTAATATATTTTATATTTGAATGCTGATGATGGGGCGGTGAAGATGAGTGGAAGAAGAAGGTGGGCGAGTCGTACTCTGTGATCAGTGAGAAGTTGGAGGATGACCTGCAGCTCAAAGAGAGCGAGCTCGCCGATCTCAATCTGGCTTTCAGGTGTTTCAGACACTTTCTCTTAAAAACATTCAATCCAGTCTGTCTGAGTTATGAGTCAATTGAACAGAAAGAAGCTGTCTTCTCTGCCTCCTGCTCACGTCTCTGTTGTTGATTTTTTTGCGGGTCAGCTCCGACGAGGCTTTTCAGAAGGTGAACTTGTGCTACAGAACGGAGAAGGGGCTGTCGCTGCTGCACCTCTGCTGTGTGTGTGGAGGTATGCATGGCGACTAGAGTCTATTTATACCACCCAGACAAAATGTGACAGTGCAGGGAAGGATTACTCTGAACTGACTGACATTATTGTCTGAGGATGACCTTTCTGCCAGTACTCACTTGTTGGAGACTAGATTCTAGACATATGGAGGCAAACAACAAACCTGTAAATGTTGTTTAGGTTTTCTAACTTCTCAGAAAATATCATAACTGGTGAAACGTTTTACCAGCATGTTAATACATACTTGTGAACAGGCAGCAAGGACCACATCCGCACCCTGATGCTCAAAGGCCTTCGTCCCTCAAGGTTATCCAGGAATGGGTTCACTGCACTTCACTTGGCTGCTTACAAGGTGGAGCAAACAGGAAAACATTTACATAAAGATCTAAATGTGTTTCTAATATTATCTTTAGTTTATTTGTTTATATATGTTTTTATTTTGGTGGAGTGCAGGTGTCCCACTGAGCAATATACGGCTATTAGACGTCTAGTTTTTTTTTAGACGTAATTTCAACCGTCTGGATTCTGGATATTTTTAGATGGAATTTAGACGTTGCACTTCAACCCATTATCCGATAACTATTTATTTAAAAAAGCAACTGTGAGTTGCATAACTGATCTTCAAGTACTTAATTACCAAAGTAATTATGATAGCCATTGAGCAATATACATTGTAGTATAGATATAGCCTAGATTTAGATTTAGTCTAAATTTAAACGTCTAAAAAACTGTCCTTTTTAGACCTGTGGCAGCCTGATTTTAGACCAGTCGTCCAGGCTACATCTAGACGTCTATAAGACCCCCAAAAATGCGCAGTGGGGTACAGAAAGGCAAAATTATCTGCATGTCTTAGCTTCTCTGTTGTGATAAAAACGATTAGTCAAAGTTGCATTAGTCAAAATTAACTTTTATCATTGAGTCAAAGTGTCAGCTCTGTTTGTTTGTACTCATCAGGATAATGCTGAGCTGGTGACTGCGCTGCTCCATGGAGGCTCAGACGTGCAGCAGTTAGGTTATGGGGCTCTCACTGCCCTGCATGTGGCAACACTGGCTGGGCACCACGAGGTGAGAGCTGGACCAATTTTCCTCAGTCCTGAATCTGCACATTTATAATCTGCCTTTTTTTCCCCCCAGGCTGCAGATATCCTCCTGCAGCATGGAGCTTATGTGAATGTTCAGGATGCAGTTTTTTTCACTCCCCTCCACATAGCTGCTTATAATGGAAATGAGCAGGTGCGTTGCTCGTATTAACCGACCTCTTCTTTTTAACAGTAAAAACACATAAAATTGATAATCCACTCAGTTGAAATACATCAAAAAAAGTTAACAAATGTCCTTTGTGTGTTTTCCTCTGTCTCTTAGTTGACAAAACTGCTGCTGAAGTTTGGTGCAGATGTGAATGCGAGCGGGGAGGTTGGAGACCGTCCTTTGCACCTGGCTGCAGCGCGAGGTTTCCTTGGTATCATCAAACTGCTGATGGCAGAGGGCAGCAAAACCAACGGTGAGACCTTAGACCAGGGGTGGGAAATTATTTTGCCTGAAGGGCCACATTGGGCGTTAGATATCACTGGATGGGCCGGCCAGGTGGTGCAAAAACAAACCCCCAGATGTGGATTGGAGGTAAACTCATAATCGTGCTTGATGACAGGGAAAAATACTGAAGAAGCCTGTAAATTAGCCCCACCAGAGATGGTTGATGATGCTTTAAAGGATCTTTGGCCCACTTTCTTGAGAGGACATGTTAGCTAGCTGGATGAAAGGGGGGAATCTTTTGTCAAACAAATCAGGCTTACAATATTTGGCTCATTGAGTAATGTTCCTTTTTTTGTGACGGCTCTGAGGGCCAGATGAAACTGTTAATCGGACCACATGTGGCCCCTGAGCCTTAGTTTGCTCACCACTGCCTTAGACTCAAACTGTCCTTCTTTATATTCTGTATTTACTATGACTGAGTTTAAAGAACGGGTCATTCTCTCCTTTACTCTTTATTTTTTTAATCGTTTTTAACGCCCTCAATGGTCTTTCCCCTCCTTACCTGTCTGAGCTCCTGTATCACCACTTCCCAGACACAGCCTTAAGGTCCTCTGGCCAGCTACTGTTGAGTGTCCCGAAAACCAGATTCAAGTCTAGACGTGACAGGGCCTTTTCAGCAGTTGCCCCTAGACTGTGGAATAGTTTACCTGGCCATATTAGAGCCTCTCAGACCTTAGGGTCTTTTAAATCATCTTTAAAGACCCACCTTTTCTCCCTTGCTTTTAATAAATGAGCACACAGGAATCAGAGGCACTGTAGCTTTTATTCTTTTACTGTCTGTATTTTATTCTACTGTTTTTAATTTTATTTTTATTGTTATCTATTTTTTACTTCTTTTATTTATCCCATGTACAGCACTTTGACTGCTGGAAGGTGCTTTATAAATAAACATTGACTTGACTTTACTCTCTTAGAGTTGTAGGATAGCTTTCACATTACAGTAATTTAGTAGATCCTCTGGCTGACTCCTTGATTTCCTTCTTTTCTCACCTCATGGAAGATGATTCCTGTGGCTGTAACATCTACATGAAGGCTTTATCTCCTTTCTTTTCTGCTCTTGTCTCCAGTCAATGCCACAGACAATGAAGATCATGTTCCTCTGCACTTCTGTGCCCGTTTTGGTCACCACGAGATCGTCCGCTTCCTCCTGCAAGGCAACTTTGACATACAGCCCCACTCCGTTAACATTTACGGGGACACGCCGTTGCATCTGTAAGTGCTCCACAGTGACTGCTATGTTCTCTCAGTGTTTGTTGTGTGGCACAAAGTTGACTTGGAGTAAATGTTCCCCATCAGGGCCTGCTATAATGGTAAATCTGAGGTAGTAAAGGCGATCGTACAGCTATCTGGCACAGACAGTCTGTCAAAGGAGAATATATTCAGTGAAACAGCACTCCACAGGTACAGCTTCACACACTCGCATCTATTTATAGACACAAAGACAAACACATGCTTGGAATGACATGTTGTTAAATTTAATGCAGCACCTTTAACCTGCGTGAGGTGATAATGAGCGTGTGTCTCGTGTCACAGTGCATGCACTTACGGTAAAGACCTGGAGATGGTCAAGTTCTTGGTGAGCCAGAGTCCAATGAACATCAACCATCAGGGCAGAGACGGACACACAGGTGACTTCCACTATCTTTTGACCTCCTCTGAGGCAGGTGCGTTATGAATTATAACTGTGTGTTGCCGTTGTTGTTTTCTTTGCTTAGCTCTTCACAGTGCCTGTTTTCATGGGCACATCCGCCTGGTGCAGTTCCTCTTGGACAGCGGGGCGGACATGAACCTGGTTGCCTGTGACCCCAGCAGGTCCAGTGGGGAGAAGGACGAGCAGACCTGTCTGATGTGGGCTTATGAAAAAGGTGTGTTTGTGTGAAAACAAGCAGACTTTTTGAAAAGCAGACGTGATAAAGATTAAATATCGCACTTCTTGTGTTTTTATCCCTCAGGCCATGATGCCATCGTCACCTTACTGAAGCACTACAAACGCCCTGATGACTCCCCCTGCAATGAGTACTCCCAGCCAGGAGGGGGTGAGTTCCCCTTCTAAAAAAATGATCATCTGGATCTAAATCACAAAATCCCCCTCGTGTTAATCTGCCTCAACATGTCGGCTCTCTCCCAGATGGCTCCTACGTTTCTGTGCCGTCTCCCCTGGGGAAGATCAAAAGCATGACTAAAGGTAGTGAGGTGGAGTGAAGCGCGCCACATCTCTCCACACTTCACATCACTGTCAGCTGTCATCACAGCACACGCTCTCCGTCACTGAGGAGGGGCATTGCTGCTGATGAAAACACTCTGTTACTTTCCTAAACACTGAAATGATATCAGCTGTTACAAACTGGAGTTAGAGATTTTGGGGTGACATAAGCAGTGGCCAGTTTGATTTTAAGGGTATCCATGTTACTCTTTGCTATCCACCTGGACACGCCCCTAAAAGAGGGAGCACAAGAGGCAAATATCTAAAGTGGGAGAATGTATTCTGTTTTAATGAAGCTGAAATTTAAGGCTTTTAATTTTCCAAACATAAGGGGGAAATATTCAAATATAATTTTCTGACAATTTAACAGTAGCTCATGAAAGGAAGAGTATTTTCTGAAAGTGCTGCTCTGCGTTTTTAGAGAAAGCTGAAGTTCTCCTGCTCAGAGCCAGCCTCCCGTCTCACTTCCACCTTCAGCTGTCTGAGCTGGAGTTCAATGAAATTATTGGATCAGGTAACTTCTTTCTGGTTTCATTTTTTAGTCAGTACTTAAGTAATCCGATGATAAAACTGAGCTGTGAATCTGTTTCATTCTCAGGCTCCTTTGGGAGAGTCTACAAAGGCAAATGTCGGAACAAAATAGTCGCCATCAAACGGTACTTGTTAATGTAGCAAATCTGCAAAGAGGAAGAATTTCTCATTCACTGGAAAACTGTTATTTTATGCATGTTTCTTTTTAATCTTGTAGCTATCGAGCCAACACATACTGCTCAAAGTCAGACGTGGACATGTTCTGCAGGGAGGTCTCCATTCTCTGTCGTCTCAATCATCCCTGCATCATCCAGTTTGTGGGGGCGTGTTTGGATGACCCCAGCCAGTTTGCCATCGTGACCCAGTACGTCTCTGGTGGCTCCTTGTTTTCTCTGCTTCATGAGCAGAAGAGGTGAGGAAGACTGCGGTACACACTGGAGCTTATCCTGTTTCATAATCTTAATAATATCAATGCTTCACTGCCCGGTGAAACACGATCACACTCTGGATCATTTAAGCTATTCATCAACCACACGGGCCAAGAGCTATCTAAGTCCAGCCTCTTAAAACTGAGCCAAAGTTCTCCGTTTTTCATCACAATTAAACTCAGAAATAATCAGATAATTGGGCGGCCATGTCCACACTTTTAGACTGGGGTGGCCCAGCTGGTGCACTGTCTGGAGCAGGGGTGGGCAATTAATTTTTACATGGGGTCACATGAGAAACCTGAACTGTGTTGGAGGGCCGAACCGACAATAACTTCAACTTCAAATCAGGGGGTTTCACACATACAGAAACGCAAGCCCAAATAAGTAACTACTAGTTAAAAACAAGCCCAAAAAAGCGCACCCACGACTCACGAGTTTTACAAGTGACTTCTAAGAGAAACAAGCCTAAAGTCTGATATAATAAGCGGACTTGGCAGCTATAAGGCGTCTAGGTATATTTTGACGATGTGTAAACTTGTCTCTGTTCACAAATCAGATCTAGGATGTTCGCACATGCGTCCAAATGGAAATAAAACAGCTAGGTTTTCAAAATAAAAGCATCACACTTGTATAGCATGTTGATGATTTGATTGACGGACCTCACGAAGGGCTGGGCAGGGACACCCAAAGGGCCGGATGTGGCCCTCGGGCCGTACAAAGCTTTTAATCTCTGTCTTCCCTGACTGATTTAACTATAATTATTGTTCCCTATTCCTGTATAAAAAAAGCATGGCAACACATAAATTTTAAAACCTCAGCTACCGATTGGACTGAAAACAAAAAGTTCAGAGTCTCAAAATAAGATAATAACAAAAAAAGAATGCCAGAAAAAATTCTCAGGAAGCTACTGGCAGACTCTCTTACCATCCCAAATGATTCATAACAAAAAAAAGAAAAGTCTTGGACAAACAGAGCTTAGGATCAGGGGTGTCCAAAGAGAGAGTGCCAGCCCTGACCACCCCTCCTGACACATCCCTGTTGTGAAAGTAAGTTGAAGCTCCATTGAATCTTAGGTGGTCAGATTTGCATAATTTGTTTCCATTATAACTTCTGTTGCGCATATCTAAAATTATGAAGCTGTTGTACAAAAGACTTATTTTGGTTTGTATTCATGTGTACTGGAACATAAGTAATAATGTATATTCTATATGGCCTAACACTTAGATTTATTCATTCAGAAACATAATGTTTAATCATCGAGGGAAATCATCCCACTGAGCATTTTTTGGTCTAAAAGAGGTCTAATAGATGTCTAAATGTAGCCTAGACGACTGGTTTAAAATCAGGTGACCACAGGTCTAAAAATAAAAGTTTTTAGACGTCTAAATTTAGACCAAGTCTGAATCTGGGCTATAGCTCTACTACACTGTATGTTGCCCAACAGCTATCATCGTTATTTTGGGTAAGTTCTTGGAGATCAGCAATGCAACTCACAGTTGCTTTTTGAGATAAATAGTTATTGAATAATGGGTTAAAGTGCAACGTCTAAATTCTGTCTAAAAATAAACAGAATCTAGACGGTTGAAATTAGGTCTAAAAAAAAAAACTAGACGTCTAATAGCCGTCTATTGCTTCAGTCTACACTCTTTAAAGATTACAACATAGAGGCACTGTAATATTTGATATTGGGAAGAGGTGCTCTGAAATTGTACAGTTCTTATCACTAATATTATTAGTATTTTGTTGACTCCATTACATCACTTATATTTTCTCCTGCTTTTTTTGTACTCGATCACTTTTTCTCATTTACCTCCTAAGGGAAACTGCTTTGACGAGTGAGTTTTTCCTTGTATAGGATCAATAAAGCTCATCTTATCTTATCCCATCCCTTACTCTCATTACAGCGGTTAAATCCTAATGTTCAGGTGTAAAAATAGCTCCAACTACCTTTAGAAGTAACCCAGTGATTTACAAAGACATGTTTGCACAGCACAGCCGACTGTTTCAGGTCTCATTATCCTCTTTGGAAGCTTCCTCTCACCGATCCCTCGGCCCGGGATCACCATCGATCCAGATGAAGTGTTCTGCTAACTGTGTGGCCAGGTGCTGTCTTTATAGACTGCCCTATCGATCTGTGTAAAGTGCTGTGTGTGATTGGCAGGGACCATTGATCTGGCACTAAGTGGCTGCTGCTTTAATGATGTGTCAATGGACAGGCTGATCGACCTGCAGTCCAAGCTCATCATCGCCATCGATGTAGCCAAGGGCATGGAGTACCTGCACAACCTCACCCAGCCCATTATACACAGGGACCTCAACAGGTGGGCGCCACAGTGCGTGTGCCGGGATATGTTAACAGTGTGGTATAGTTGTTCTCATTGCTAATCATTCATGTCCCTGCAGCCACAATATCCTGCTGTATGAGGATGGACATGCAGTGGTGGCAGATTTTGGAGGTAAGAGACTTGTTGTTATGTTTACTTGCTTTAAATAAAAATGATAATCTGATTTACCTTTTTTATGGTTTGATTTGAAGGTAAGACACATACATGCATGAGCAGAGCTTATCTGTGTGAAAGGACACTCATCTTTGGATCTGGAGTTAAACTCATACATGATGCAACATTTGTTTGGCATTGTAGATACATTTCCCATATTGAATAAACAGCTGTAAGGTTTCTCCTCTTTTAATTTCATTCATAAATATGCTCGGGAAATGTTTGGACTGGTGGCCTTGTTCCCTTAAGTTTCACTTTTGTTAGCATTGTGAAATTCGTCCAGACTCAGTAGCTGATTTAATGTAGGGGACAGTGGGGTAAGTTGAGCTAAAGGGTAAGCTGAGCCACCCCCTGTTGCTTGTAAATGGTAAAAGAAATTGATCATGTGACCAAATATTTAGGCGATGGGCATCAATTCATGGAGTATGTGAAGGTTAGAAGCACATGGGTGAAGGGGTTAGACATTCATTTCCAAAAAGAAACATTTTTCACTCTTGAAAGTGAATTTAGTCTGTCATAAGTTTTATTAGAATTGTGTTCAGACCAAAAAAGATCATTTTAAATTTGTTTTATACATCAATTGTGGTATCTATGAGCTACAACATGAGGTCAAAAACCGAGCATAAAAGTCCACCATTTTAGCTTAGAGGACTAATAAAGTCGTAATAGTAGTTCTGGGGTAAGTTGACCATGGGAGACCACTCTTTTTGGCATGCTATATTATCAAGACAGTTATGTTTACACTCATTCTGTTGGTTTGCAGGGATGCACAACATCTTGAAATATATGTAGATACAGTAGTTAGAGACAAAACTATGATTGCCTTGATGTAGTGATCTGAAATATGAAAAATGGCACATCTTACCCCACTCTCCCCTATATGTGATTCTGCTTGAAACTAAGATAAAGGACTTATCTATAGGCGGACAATGATGTGCCCTTCTCCACTGCAGAATCTCGATTCCTTCAATCTGTGGATGAGGACAACATGACCAAGCAGCCAGGGGTCAGTGGTTTTTTGTCTTTTTTCATTGACTCCCTCTCACCATCTGCAGCATGCATGGACTCAGAATAAAGGCATTGTACATTATGCAGGGGGGGGATGCTGTTATTTTCCAGGAGTTAAACCCAGAGCTTCAGCTGGCACCTGCCATCAATTACCCAGAAGAAAATCTGCCTTCATGCAGAATTTGTCTCAATGTGCTGACTCAACACTGCTCAGAGTGCTTGGCCTGCACTTTGGTGTTAAGTGTGTTACACCTCATGGGAACTGCCTGTTGTGAAGAAGTTCTTGCCCTTGCTGGGACACAGTGTTTATATCAGTAATTGGGCCTCGTTTGTGTGTGTGTGTGTGTGTGTGTGTGTGTGTGTGTGTGTGTGTGTGTGTGTGTGTGTGTGTGTGTGTGTGTGTGTGTGTGTGTGTGTGACTGCTCTATTCCTTGACGTACCAAAATCATTTGCAGTGCAGCACAGCTCTACTTGAACTGGTTGCATTACTGTTTCCCCTGCATGATCACTTACAAGAGGGTTTTTTATGTGTCTGTGTGTTCGTGCAGAATCTGCGTTGGATGGCTCCTGAGGTTTTCACGCAGTGCACTCGCTACTCAGTAAAGGCCGACATGTTCAGCTACGCTCTCTGTCTGTGGGAGCTGCTCACTGGAGAGATTCCCTTTGCTCATTTGAAACCTGGTATTTTTTTTCCTCACACTTTTTGAGTTTTCATCATATTTTGCAGGAGAAAAAAGTTCTACTACTTTATCCTCATGCCATTTTCAGCTTTCTGCTGTTATCACTATGCTGAAGTTTAGCAGGTATATTGTTAACCATGCTCACTGACATAGTTTTGCTTTAACACTACAGTTTTTCAAGACTGCATCACAATGAATTAAAAACCACAGAAAGACACCACAATAGTTCATGAACACAAACCTAAATCATGGTTTAATAACATGAGATCATTTTCATACTAACTATATGATGGTCCCTTGTCGTCAGCGGCTGCAGCAGCAGACATGGCCTACCATCACGTCCGGCCTCCTATCGGCTACTCCATCCCTAAACCAATCTCTGCACTTCTGATGAGAGGCTGGTATGCCTGTCCAGAGGTAAATCACCTGATTTCATTTTTCGTTTGAGCTTCAATCATCAAAACCAGTTTCTAATAAAAACTCCATGTCTTTTTTATTTAAAGTAAATATTATATAATGGTATAAAATGCTGTTTATATCTGCTGTAAGCTGTGTGGTCCCTTGTGTACTCCACCAGGGGAGACTCATAGTTTCAAACTGATCCCATCAATAAAACAACAGGGACTCTTCAGAAACACTGACGCTGAGTCAGCTGCAAACACCAGTAATAAACATGACCTGAATGTCCCTTGGTGATACATTACAGCACTGCTGTTCACTTTTAGGAACAAAGATGACCTGGATGATGGCACATTGTTTCTCTGCCTCATTAAGGCACGTTTTAGCACAGCAGAGCTTGCTGGCACATTTCTGCTTTAGTGGTAATTTGCGAGCCAAGGTCACCAATCTTTTGCATCCTCTCTTTTTTTTGAAAAAGACACACAAGAGTGAGATAAAAGTTTGTAGGGCTGGGAGATACAGGAAAAAGTTTATCACAATATTTTTTTTTCATATCAGTCGATATCGATAGAAATCACAATACAGAAAATAAAATTTAACAGTGCTTATTGGTAGTATGTCTTTTGGAATACAATAAGCGACTGCATCTGTGAGGTCTTTGTGTCTCTTCAACGTTTTGTCGTAAGACATTGCTCTAGTGAAGGCAGACTGAATGATCAGCTGTTTGGGCTGCACAGTCATCATGGGCTCCTTTCTCTGCTCGGGGTTTGTAACCTTGTGCATTGTGTGTGCTCTGCTGCATGACACTGCCTCAGATGGTGAAAAAGATTTGAGGTATTCTCCGACTTTGCGAGAACATGTACTCGACATAATTTGCAGTGCACATTACTCTGCTTCATGTCCGACCTCAAAAAAACAAAATACCTCCACACCACTGACGTTTTCGTACTAGTCTTGTCGACAATGTCATCATCTGTTGAGTCTTCATCTGCATTTCTGCCGGGGGTAGCACTCATTTTCTTTTTTTCTCACTGACAGTGCTGTCGGCTTCACATGTTTAAGTGCTATGGTTGCGTGTAGCTGCAGCCTGCTACTACGCCGTTGTTTGCTACTTGGTTCTAATTCAGCATGATTGGTTCAGCGCGAAGCGGACCCGGAGCAACTCCTCTTTTCATTGGCTATTCGTATAGTCTTATCGAAAAGCATATTGACCATGTTTTATATTGATGTTGAGGGAAATAAATTTTCAGTGTATATTGTTATGGTTTTATCGCCCAGCCCTAAAAGTTTGCATACATCTTTGTTTGCACATATAAGTTCCCCAGTTTCTATTCATGACAGCTAAAATCAGCACACTCATGATTTATAAATTAACATTTTCGTAAGAAAAACACCTGATTACTCTCTAAGAATCTGTGAAAAGGAAAACAAGGTAAAGTGCTTAAAATGAGAAGATTGTAAAAGTCTGTCTTTCTGTAGTATTTTCATCTTGACTGTATAATATCCCTGTGCTTTTGTAGTCTTTGTCTCATGTTTTGAAGCGGTACATAAGCAGGCCTTGACCTCTCTCTGAGGATGTGATGTATAATTGAACAGCACCAGGGTGGCACCGTTTGTTCTTTCACAGCGAGGCAAGAGATCTGAGGAGTGTTTCTGAAGCAGTTCACCCCTGTTTTATGTGTGGGTGGGATAAAACAAACACATTCTCATAAAAGACTGTTCGGGGAATAACTGTCTGTCTTTTGGTGAATATGCCTAATACTTGTGATTGTTCAGCACTGGAGCAGAAATGAGTGTTATTTGTTGTCTCCTAATTCAGGACAGGCCTGAGTTCTCTGAAGTGGTGTCTAACCTGGAGGAATGCTTGTGCAACGTTGAGGTAGATTTCGTTCATAGCTTTAAATCTCATTTTATTTCACAGTGCAGTGAATAACATATGTCGGTTGCTTTTGTGGCAGTTGATGTCTCCAGCCTCCAGTAACAGCAGCGGCTCCCTGTCACCCTCCTCCTCCTCTGACTGTCTGCTGGGACGAGGAGGGCCCGGCCGGAGCCACGTAGCTGCCCTGCGCTCACGCTTTGAGCTCGAGTATGCTCTGAACACTCGGGCATACGCCTTCTGGAGTCAAAGGTACGAGAGCCCAAGTATCTCCACAGACAGGTGAAGATGGAGAGAGGGGGAATAGTTTGCTCCACTATGGCCAGATTTCACCTATAATATAATATAATATAATATAATAAAATATAATATAATATAATATAATATATGAAATGATATGATATGATATGATAAGTTATTTAAATATAATATAACATAATATAATATAATATATGTGATATAATATGATATAATTTATTAAAATATATAATATGATATAATTTATTAAAATATAATATAATATAATGTCATTTTCAATATAATGGGAACACAGACATATTGTAGCAGCAGACCTGCACAAGCACACAGTATCTACATATCTACATATAGATGTCTATGGAGCTATATTTAAATACCTTTACTCTCTTATTATGAGAAAGTCATCTGTATAAAGTTATTTTTTGCAGGTCATTAGGAGGCATCACCATTCATTTCAGTCCATTTCATAACCAGCTAAAAACTACTTACAGGAGCTTTAATTTTGGTCTGTTTTATGGCTAGTTAAAAATTCCTCACAGAATCTTTAAAATTACTTAAATTACTTATTTCTTCAATGCAAATACACTCAGTCAACCTAAGCACTAGATTAAAAAAGGTTAAGGGTTCTGTTTTAGCTTGGCTGTGTCCCATAGACAGTTATTTACCTCAAACATCACGTCTTAACTGAATCTAATTTGTAGGATCAACCTCCTCTGAACATTGGTTTTGTCTGCGACTCCTAGACCAGTTTAAACAGTTACTACAGTAAAGAGTGGAGTTGCTCGGATACCCAACAGGAAACAAAGGAAAGAAAACCCAATAAAACATGCATGGCATTCTGAACGAGGAGGAAGGTATCCATTAGATGCCTGGCTTTGAGCCTGTGTACTGTGACTCAGTGTTTGTGTGTTTATGTGAGTCTGTGCGTGTGCGTAACGGGGCTCATAGCTTGGTAACAGTCTCTATGAAACCAGTCACAGGACAGTGGGTTATTGTGGGGTGGCAATGACTTTTCAGGAGTCCCTCGGTGCCCCGTCAAACACCAGATGAGAAATTTCTGCATGTAGAGTACATATCCCTGAAAGATGCATATTTCTATTATATTATATTATATTATATTATATTATATTATATTATATTTTCAGTGCTGTTCGATAAAAACGAAAACTTTCTTTTATGAAGTGGTAATGAACTGCACATTGTGTCTCTGCTGATCCCCTCAAACCTGTCATTAATGTTGAATACAGTCCCCCCTGCACAGAAAGTGAGAGCAGCAGGTATTATGTGGGACATTACATATTAAGTTTCTTCTGCCTCTATTTGACTCCATCTTATCTGCCTCTCTCCATGTAAACAAAGCAGTATATATTTCTGAACTAGAGTTGTTTAGCAGCGGATGAGAGTCACGGTTGATGTTATGTTTTTAATTTTTCAGTGAGCAACGCAGAGCATCTGGAGGCCTTTCACTGGAGGAGCTCCGCAGAAACATGCAGTTTTCTCCCATCGACAGAAATGGTTTGTTAGCAGAGTGACAGTGTCTGACTTTTCTGTGTTTTAAAGCAGTTCAACACTTCAGTTTATGCTCAGTGATAAGGAGAACGCTACTCATTGTTGAACTTTAGTAGGATAGCTTACTCTTTGCCATTTAGATATGTTTTTAAACTAATGTTTTTCTTTGTTTTATCACCAATCTAATACAAGTTGACTTGATCATCAATGGTGCTATGAAAAAATCTATGTGAGAAACAGTGTAGAAACAAATATGTTAAATCAGCTCATATGTTACAGGGGGGAATTCAGTCATTATATTTGATCTGTAACATAATATAGCAGAGAAGAAAAGAAATAAAGAGAGAGAAAACAAATAGGACAAAAATCAGTTTGTCCGAAACAAAGGAAGAAAAAAAACAACAACAACAAAAGAAAAACAGCAGAATAAGACAAAACGTGTAAAAGCACAGCATGTAGAAGTGGAAAAATCACACATAATACTGCACAGTTAGGTTTAATTTTAGACAATGTGGCCCAGATTAATATCAGAATTGAACTGCTGGGTTATTAGAGAAATTACAGACTGTTTTATATCATATTTTACTGGTTAAAATGAGGTGAGACTGGTTCTTATTGTATTCTTATTGTAAAAAAAAATGAAATGTTGAGACCAAAACCATTTTTCAATTACTCAGCTCTAAATATGCAGGTTCATTCAGAAACAGATTCATTCCTGTCCTCACAACTGGATGTTTATTTGTTTGTGAAACATGATCAAAAAGTAGGAGACTAATTTCAGCAGAGGATGAACACATTTACTGTTCAAGCAAGTAATTTTTTCACTGGGATAATATATATGAGCCAAATTAACAACCTTTTCGGTCTGATCTATTCATTGAGATTCAAGTAGAACCTCACCAGCTTCAAGAGATTTGTGTTAAGCGATCATGAATGTCACAGTTGTCTTTATTTTGTGTCCATTTCAGGTTACGTGTCTGATCCTATGAGCACCATGAGATTCTGCTCTTCCTTCAGCAGCAGCGGCAGCTTTGAGGACAGTAACTAAACCTCAGAGGGGATCCTAGACTGTTGTGCTATTATTACCTTTATGAGTCAGCCTGCTTTCGACTGCTTATTTTGAATACAGCTCTACTGACGGATGTTAGAGGTAGTATGATTGGTAATTAAACTTCAGTAAGTTAGGGTTAGGGTCAGTCCAGGCTATCTTGGGTTTATTATTTTTGTGTATTATCTAAACTTGTAAATACTGTTTCAAAATGATCATAATGTACATGGTTTGCATAAATCTGAGAGCTTAAAAATGTAAAAAATTACTGCGTGCATCAGTTCTGATATTCAATCACTGCAACTTTTCATCCAGTAAAAAAAAAACGAAGTCACAATCTACCTCATGTATGTTATTTTTTAATTAGCAAAATCACACAAGCATTCATTGCAGTCTTGACATAAAACAAGTGCGGAGAAAAAGCCTCACAAATCCACGCAAGCGATATAAATCAGGTGAAAATCTCATACAAATACAACTGAAGTGAATTTTGGAATAAGGAGGTAGCAGTAGCAGCAATAACGACACAAATAAGTGCCTAAATGTCACATTTACAAAGTTTGATTTAAATTAAATAGCAGCCTGTTTACTGCAAGTCCCACACCGGTCATTTTTTTTTTACTTCTTAAAGTGTCTTTATATTGTGATTATGAAGTTTTTACTAAAAATCACGTTACCTGTGTCATTTTCAAGGGCTTTTCTTCTGCAGAGCTCCAGTAGCTCATTAGCAATTCGCCTCTGAGTCGTGGGCGGAGACAGCGCTGCTGTGCACACTCGTCTTCACGTTAGTTTGCAGCCTAACATTGCCGGTGAAGTAGAAGTGGCAGGTAACATAGGAACTGTTCAGCTCTCAGACACTAATGTCTTTAGGAACACATTGAAAGCTAATATCGTAATTAGCTTTCTTACGAACATTACAATCCGCTAACGCACACGCTTGTTCCGCGATTGTCCTCTGTATTTCTCCTCTATATACAGAGTGTGGCCTGCACTTCTTATAAAAAAAAAAGGAAATTTCCCCTTGTGGAACTAGTAAAGGAGTGTCTTATCTTTAGCAGGGCTCCGGGGGCGGAGCTTGGATTTGTTACATATGAAATCTCACTGTTTCTGAACCTGCTGTTTGGGTCTGCCAGAGATTCAGAGATTAGGATGAAGAAATACTAAGAAAAGCAATTTTGCATTTAGTTTTCTCATTATATATGTCCTGTAGCATCCGAAAAATGCCCTATGAACATATAAAAAACAAGAAAAACATGGTTTCCATCGGAGTGGGTCTTTAAATTTTGGATACAATATTTTAAAATAATCATGTTTAGGCAGCGAAACACCACAATTTACATCAGCACAGACATCTCTGAAAACAGCTAAGGCACTATAACGCCATGCTTGTGCACAGTCAGTGGAAACACAAAGTGTGCCAACTAAGCTGCGGGAGTTCGACAACTATGAATTATTGAATCATTTGTGAGCGTGAGTGGAGGGAGTGTCTGTTTACATGTAATAGATGATAGCAGCTGCACTTGATACCCCACAGAAACCGTGTGAGGCCTCTCTGTGAGCGACGAAAAGAAGAGACGGCCTATTGTAAACATTTTGTGTAGCTGTCAAAACTCATTATGAAGCTGCTGTTCAGTGACTGACTGATGGAGACTATTTAAGGAGTCATCGGGATGTAAACACAGAAAACCACGGGGCCTCCTTAAAAAAAACTAAAACCATATCTCCAATATCTGTTTCTTTTGTGTTGAAGTTTTAAAAAAGTAAGTCAAGCATCACTGTACCTTCACTCTAATGTCCACTCTCGGTCCTCCCAGCTGCCAGTAAAGGGTATGTACTCGCACCAAACAGCGTTTCATCCACTGAGAAAGTGCTCACTCGTTCTTTACTCAGAGAGTCTTTGATGTCTTGGATCAGCTGCATGTCTCTCCTCTCTTCGTTGACGTTTGTATCTGACAGTTTTGGTTCGGTCTCTTCATGGCGTGACTCCTTCTGGCTTCCATCGTCTGATCTGGACTCTGTAAACTCGCTTATTTGCGTAACTTCCTGACTTTTATCCAACATTTCGTCTCTGTCTTTGGATTCTGAGCTCTCTAAGTACTCCTGCTGCTTTTCTGTCTCGGACACGAGTAGCTCATTCGCTTCTTCTACAGTTGTTAGTTTTTCACTCGTTTCTGCAGCATCATGAGTGTTTTTTTCTTCAGCTTGGTTCTCAGGGATGCTCTCAGGTCTTCCACTGGTTACTAAAAAATCACCACCTATGATGCTTTCCACATCAGTTTTTGAAACATCTGCCTGATCAGTGTTATCCTGCGTTGTAAGCTCTTGAACTTTGTCTTCTTCCAGAGCTCCAGAACCCTCTTTGAGATCTTCAGACTTCATTTCCTGCCCAATAGCAGGCTCAGTTTGTTCACTCTCTGTTCCCAGATTAAAGCCTTGAACCTCAGTTTTTTCCACTACATGCACTTCATCCTTTTGTTGATCCTTTTCACATAGTTCACCATCTTCAGGGCGATCGCGGGTGACCTCCAACACCTCCGTTTCCTCTTTGTTTTCTTCTACTGACTCAGCCATATCTTTAGGTGTGTGCACCTGATCTTCAGTTTTAGACATCTGAAGGGGGCTCACTGACTGACTCTGCAGCTCTGTGGATGGTGTCACTTCTTCCTTGGGGCTGGCCTCTGGAGTCGATTCTTTCAAGTCCTCCAAAGGTTCAACAAACGTCTCAAAAAACTTAGACGTCTGATGCACGGTTACCCAGTTTGTGACTAGATCTTCTCTCGCTAAAACTTCTGCGGTTTCTTCGACGACTGCTGCTTTCTCTTCTGTTTTCTCACCCTCATTTTCTTGCAGAGGTTGTTCGGACTGAGCTTGAGGTTTGAGCAGGACGCTGGCTCCTTCCTCGGATGCCTTGCTGGCCTCTTCTGTGTCTCCGTTTTCTCTGTTTTCTGCAGCAGTGTTGTCATCGGTGTTTGAGTGTTTGTTGGTGTGACTGTCAGAGAGCACGGCAGACCTTTCAAGCTTCAGAGGTGTAATGTCTGAGTCTTCATCTGTGGGTGTTGTAGGCTGGACCTGATCAGATGAAGAGACGACCAACACCTCGTGGATATTTTCCTCAGCGTTGTCGCTCGTCTTGGTCTCTCTGTTTTCATAATCAGGCTCTGATAAGTTATCGTTCTCGTCTTTTGTTTCCTCCTTGTTCGTTTCTGATCCCTCTTTCAGATCTGTCCTGGATTTCTGCAGCTCTGAGTCGTTTTGACCAGGTTGATCTTGATTTTCCATGTTATCATCCTCCTCCTTAGCTTCAGTTTCAGCCACAGCACTGTCTGAAGTCGTCTCCTGTTTTTCAGCATCGCCTCTAGTCTGTTCGGTTGTTTTGTCCTCCATCAGTTCTTCTGATTTCACCTCATTTTCTATTTGCTCTGCTGTTTTTACATCATCTTCTCCCTTAGTTTGAGCTTCACCATCATCTTCCTGACACCTGCTCTCTGCTTCGGTGGCGATCTCTCCATTTTCAGCATTAATGTCTCCCTTTTCACTGTTGTTGCCTCCCTCTTCAGTTTTCTTCGCCACATCTTCAGCCTCTATCGAGTTTAGCATCCCTGCTGTCGTTAAAGCCGCGAGCGCAACATTAACCGCATCCTCTGTTTCAGTATTTTCCTCTGAGTCCTTCACATTTTCTTCATTTTTGTCTGCATCTGTCTTTTGTTGCTCTACTTCTTCTACTTTCTCTTTTTTTTCTTTGACCTCCACTGTGGTGTACGTCACAACCTTTTTCTCATGAGTTTCTTCATGATCTGGAGTCTCTGTAGTTCCACTTTGACCCGTTTTGTTCTCCGTCTGATTTATCGTCTCTGTTTTTGTTTCATCAGTGGCTGTGATTGCGTTAGCTATCAAAACAGCTGCAGCTGCTTTTTCGATCCACTCCTCTTCCTCATCTTTATTCCTGACACCGTCACTATCCTCAACATCATCCGTCTTCTCCACCTTCTCCACTCCTTTCTCCTCACTGTGGCTTTTCTCAGCTTGCTCTTCATTTGAAGTGTTTTCCATCTTTTCTTTTGCCTCACCCTCATCAGTCTCCTCTTCTGTTTCGGCTTTATCGTTCACTTTGCTTTCCTCAGGTTTGCCCTCTGTTGTCTCATCTACATGTGTTTGCTTTTCCTCCTCTTTGCCTTCTTCAAATTCGCCCTCTGTCTTATCAGATTTGTCTGTCTTCTCATCCCTCAGATCTCCTTTTTCTTGGTTTTCATCCTTACTAGCCTCTACTGCTGACACTACCTCCTCTTTAATATCTGTAACACTCTCCTCTTTTGCATTGTCATCACTTGTATCTGCAGTTTTTTCATCGGTGTTGTCTCCGCTCCCCACTGCGACTTCAGTTTCTGATCCTGCAGGTCCGTCCTTGCCGTCGGCCGTCTGACTCGTCTCTGTCCTGGTTACAGGTGCCTCTTCACAGCTGAGAGCCTCTCGCTCCTCTGAGGGCTCTGCTTTCATCTCCATTATCTCGCTTGCTGTCATCGCCTCCGCCTCCGCATTATCTGTCACTGCTGTCTCATCAGTCTTTTTATTCGGCTCTGATACTGATGACTCATCCTCCTCGCTGCTTTTTGCCCCTTGCCCTGTCTCTTGGGGATGTATGTCGGCGTCCTCTGCTGCCTTCTCCTCATTTTCCTCCATTTTCTCTGAAGCATCGGTGGGTTTACTCGTTGAGTCTTCTTGAGCCTGTGGAGTCTTATCCTCATCCATTTCCAGTGTAGACAAGACAAGCAGAGCAGCACCTATATCTTCTATTTTCTCCTCTAATCTATTATTCTCTGCTGAAGTTTTGTCCTCCTCTAATTCAACCTTTTCATCTTCCTCATTAACTTTGACCTCCTCGTTTTTACTAGCATCAATATTCACACCAGGTTCTTGCTCAATCTCTTCAGGTTGTTTTTGCTCAGATGTCTCTTCCTGGTCCAGTACAGCCAAAGCCACAGCGGCAGCCACAACCAGAGCAACATCTTCCACACATGTCCTCTCCTCTTCCACAGTCTTTTGCTGTTCTGTCGTTTTCACTAGTTTCTCTGCATCTGCAGATACATTAACAAAAACCATTTAAGCAAATATGTATTTCAAACAAAGTGATATTGTTTGTAGATGTTGTTTATTTACCGGTCTGGCCTTTACCAGTGGACTCCACTGTGTCATCAGTGCTGGTGTCACTCAGTTCAGGCTCAGAGCTGCACTGGGACTCCTTCAGTATTGCTTCTGCAAGCTTCTCCTGCACAGATTTGGCTTTGAAAGGAGAAGAAATCACACAAAACTCTGACAATAGGATCATGTTTGAACAAGCAGACTGACCCCCCTGATGACGTCCGAACGCAACAGTGAATAAAACCATGTTTGGATGATGCAAATGCAAACATATGAGAAACAAACTGAAATGAAAAAAACGTCTTTAATTTTTCTGGTACAAACATGAACAAGCAACACAACATGCAAAAAGTCAAAAACATGCATAGAGAAAAGAAAATAAACTCACAAACACAACAAAATAGGAATACACTGAAAACCTATGAGATGAAGAGGTCCTGTTTTATATCAAATGTGCTCTGAGAACATGGAAAAATGTAGGTGACTGAAAAAACTGAAGTAAAAAGCATTTAACTTGCGCACTTAAGCATCTTGTACTAATGAATAACAATGGTACTGTTTGGAAAAATGCTTTTTTTCACCTTTAAACCTAGTTTCATTCATCAGACAATTTACATATTTTCTGAGTTTTTATTCAAAAAAAATGAGAAAGAATTGAAGTCGTAGATTTAATTGAATAAATTTTGTGGCTGATTTGAACAAGATCTTTAAAGCTGCAAAATTCCTCCTCTATTTTGAAACAGGACTCAGATGAGAAGTATAAACATATATATATTACTAGTACACATCTTAATCAGTAGTAGTGCCATCCACTTCTGATTCAACTTAAGCTAATTTGTATATTTTATTTATGTTAATTGTGTTAATTTGATTCTCACCGTGTTTATCTTAATAAAACTGTTAAACACACATAAACTAAAAAAGTTTTACTCCCAAAAAAACTGAAGAAAAGATCATCAGGTACACACAAAAGCAGAATAAAAAGAAAAAAACACACACAACAGGCAAGTTGTTTTTCCACTTTGAAATATTTTATAATCTTAATGTCATTTTGAAAATTACAAACTGACACATTTTGACTGCACTTTGACCAAGAAAATGTCCCACCTGACCTGGTGTGGACGCTGACTCAAATGAAGTGGTCTTGACTAAAGGTCTGCTTTTTATTACAGTGGAAAAACCTCCATACAGGATGGATCTCACTCAGGTGAAAGCTCCACACCTGTATCTGTACGTTCATACCCACCTCTCTCCTGTTCCTCCTCCTGTTTGCTCTCATTTACTGTTTTCTCCCCCGAGGTGTCATCCCTCTCTTTATTCTCGTTCCCTGATGGGGCGCTGGTGTCAGAGATGTCTATCTCTGTGCTCTCCCCCGCACTGTTCAGCACATCTGAGTCTTTAGGTGCAGCTGACTCTACCTCAGCGGTGGAGGTGTCCTCAGGTTGGGGTTCGTCTTTCTTGTCTGCTGGAGCAGCAGTTTCCTTTTCATCTACCTCTTTGGGTTGCTCTGCTTTCTTTTCTTCTTTGGCTGCCTCAGACTCACTCTCCTCCTGGTCACTCGCTGACAAGCTGGAACCTGAACGTGACTTGATGTCGTCTGTTCAAAGATAAATTAAAAAACTTGAAGTGAAAAAATCTCACTCTTAACACCAAACACAACATAAATAGAGATCTGCTGGCTAACCTGGCATGTTGGATAAAATGTTTATAAAAGTGATTCAGAGAAACCTCAGTTTGGCATATTTGAGTGCTTTCAGATGTAGTGATTTTGTTTATCTTTTGAAAGCCGTTTTTCAATCAATAATAGTTAAGTTCTCACCATCTTCATCCGTCTCAGAGGCTTCTTTGACTTTTCTAACAACAGGTGGAGGAGACGCTGATTTCTTTCCTCTTGTTTCCTCTGCAGGATCTTCATCGTCTGCTTCAAAGTCCTCCTCGTAATCTGATGAACACTTATGTTAAAACACTCTGTATGAAAAATAGTTTTGAAGTGTTTTTCCTGCTCAGATTGTTGAATCGTTGTACCGTCTCTGACTTTGTCCTCCTCCGCCGCTGGTTCTTCTTTCACTTGTGTCTCCCTGTCCTGCTGCGGTTGGCTGGTCTCAAGCTCTGAATGGGACCCGGTCCTCTCTGTCCTCTCTATCTCAGGGACTGCTTTAGGGATGATGACTAACTCCTCTCTCCCTCTGTCCTCTCTGACCCTCTTTGGAGGAGGAGAGGGTTTTTTGTCTAATCCCATTGCAATTATGCATCTAAAAAAAAAAAAAAACAATGAACAAATGCAAATATTTTAAATATATAACTGAACATTTTGCCAAAAAAAAAGAAAAAGCATCATTGATTATTCTGCCAACACCCACGTTAGGCATCCACATCACACTTATTTCTTTCTCTGAAGCTGTAAACTTAAAGGGATATTCCGGCATAAAATCAAGTTTGGGTCAAACACACTGTAACACCGAGTTAGACTCCATGAGGAAATGATCATAAATGTTCTTCCTTGAGCTGCGTCACCCCGCTGTATTCCATAATGGACTGGCCCGAGGTCTTGCTACAAACAAGTGGCTGCTTGAAGAGAGTAGGTGAGTTGTGTTTAGTCTCTTTGCGAAAGAAATCAGGCAAAGTTAAAAAGATGTTTGGTGGCTAGTGCTGTGGCTGGGACCCTATATGTACTGTTGATGAAGTTAGGTGCTGTTCTGAGCATTATTTGTGGCTATAGAGTGACTTTTTGGTTGAGGTTTGTTTATGGCTCTTCAGATAGCTGTGTATTGCTATGGTGTGGTCGTTACTAAAGAAGTTGCTGGAGAAGCAAGCGGTCGGCAACATTCATCTCTCGAGGGGGTGTCCAACTTGGTGTTACGGTGTGTTTAACCCTAAATTAATCGGTAACACTTTACAATAACCATAATTTATAAATGTTAAATAAATAGTTTATTAATGTAAGTTAATAGTTACTTTACCATTAACGAGCAATGAAATTATGATAAGTAATTTTCATTAATAATCAATGGACTATTTATGAAAGGTTTATATAGGGTTTAAATATTGGTTGTAAAACATCTAGTTTAAAATGTGTGTCAGTACCACTTTGTAAATGGTTAATATTTGGTTCATAAACCACCTATAAACATTATTTAGATGGTTATTGTAAAGTTAGGGTTAGGGTTAGGTTTTTAAAATTGTAAAATTTACATTTTTTTAATAGTCTATATGCTGTTTATAAATGATGATTAAACATTAATAAATTATTTTCTTACCATTTATAAATGTTCTTTTTACCATTTATAAGTTATGGTTACTGTAAAGTGTTACTGGTTAATTTTACACTGGAATGTCCCTTTAAGCTTTGACTGAGAAGGAACATTATTCTTACAAAAATGTACATTTTGCTTCTTTTGGAGTAGCTGAATAATTGTACAACTTTTTGACACATGCAGGAATTCTCTATCCAACTGACTTTGATGTTTTCCATCTGTGATTTATTACTTCAGCCTTCAAAAAGAGACCTTACTTGTAACAGGGAGAGGCGCCCTCTACGCTACAGATGCCAAAGTGTCCGTGCCTGCCACCGAGTCTGGAGCCTTTCCTGTGTTTGAACTCGCAGCAGGAGCTCAGCCTCTCAACCTGAAGCCCATTCAGGAAGAAAGTCAAACTGAAGGGGAACCCTCTGTGCCGCTTTGAGACGAACTGGAAAGTCTCTGGGGGGAAAGATTTGGGATGGAGGTGAGTCTGTGACCCTGGTATTGCAGAATAACCTGGTGAAGCATCCTTGCATACTCCAGAAAATGGGTAATTTTCATCAAAATGATTCATATTAGGAAGAACAAGTTACAGATACATAGATAATAGAGTTATTTCTAGACCTGCTGACTCCTTTCTAGCATTAGTGCTTTATGTGTGTGTACAAACAAACAAGCTCAGGTCTTGTTTTCACTTGTTTCAGCATGCGTCCTGAGATCAGATATCATCTCAGTGTAGGTCTGGATCACATAGAAAGACGCTTTTTTTTTTTTTTTTAGCTACGTGCAGCAGGTAAATGTTTCCTAGACCATATTTTAAGATAGCCTTGTTTCTGTTACCAAAGCAACAATGAGTTTGAGTGTCAAAAATCTCTCTCCTCATGAGGGAGGTGGTCTCTGCTGTGATTCTGATTCACACTAAAACAAACACCAGTTTTCTTGGCACAATGAGCAGCAAATGAAACACCCTCAAAGACGCAGTCCAAGCAAAGTGTGAGCCGCCGTATTTAAAGCTGTTCACTTGTGGTTGTTGTCATGAATAAAGCATGTTAATCTAGAGCGTAAACACAGGAGCAGATCGTCACACTGACCTCCCTCTCCGAGCTTTCCCTTATAAACGCACAGGTTCTCTCCTCCGCAGTGCTGCTGAAACACTTTGACCTCGTCCCTCATGTCAGTCAGGTCGTGGCAGAGATGGACCGATTTGCCAAAGTACATCATGCTGATACACACTTTACTCTGGTGCACAGAGCTCCTCAACATGGGAGGGTCCTGGATGGAAAAAAGAGCATAGCTCATCAGGTTATATATGTAAATATCCTGCTCATCCTGATCGACTGTGACTTGAAATAAAGTAAATGCAAAGGTCAGGGTTGTTAAAAATAAAAACAAAATAACTTTGAAACACAAACTGAAATATAAGTTTGTCTATTGTTACCTTTTTATGCCAGGCCACATGAAAATGAATGTATCTCAACTAAATATTAAAGAAGGGATATCGTTTTTTTTTCAGACTCTATACTTTCATTCTGATAATTCTTGAAAAGCTTTACATGATTTTTATAACAAAAAACATTATTTAAGCCTCTGTTTTAGCCACCATCTCTGAATACCTCAGTGATATCAGCTCCACTGGATGCAGTGGTGGGACGCAGCCTACGGCCTCTGAGCGTGCTGCTCGGATTGACCTTTAACCCCCTTTCTTTCCTCTTGGTGGGTGGAGGCACAGGGGTGACAAAGTTGTTGATGACTGGAAGGCAGTAGGGTGAGATACCATGGGGGGCTTCTGTCGTGTTGAAGCGTCTGCGAGATTCCCTGTACACCTGAGGGAGAGGAGTTAACAAGGAGCAGAGCTGAACGTGACCCTGGTGCAGCAGGGGTGAATTAAACTCTGTGAGCAGCATGCTGTGAAAAGAATAGATGTTTGTGTTCATCTTAGTATGGATGGACATTTATGAAACAGAAATAAATAAAAAACTGCATACTTAAAGGGATATTCCGGTGTAAAATTAAGTTAGGGTCAAACACACCGTACTACCTACTCTCTTCCAGCAGCCGCTCGGGGTGATGCAGCTCAAGGAAAAACATTTATGATCATTTCTTTATCATTTCCTTGAAGTAATAATCATCATATCAACCATCTTGCACTGCAGACGCAGTAGTTCTTCTGCCTTAGCGTCTCGATCTGATTGCATTTCCACGAAGTGATGATCATAAATGTTCTTCCTTGAGCTGTGTCACCCCGCAGCAGTCTGTAATGAACTGGCCTGAGGTCTCGCTACGACCAAACAGCTGCTGGAGGAGAGTAGGTGGGTTGTGTTTAGTCTCTTTGCCAAAGAAATCAGTTAAAGTTAAAAAGATGTTTGGTGGTTAGTACTATGGCTGGGACCCTATATGTACTGTTGATGAAGTTAGGTGCTGTTCTGAGCATTATTTGTGGCTATAGAGTGGCTTTTTGGTTGAGGTTTGTTTATGGCCTCTAAGACCGCTGTGTATTGCTATGGTGCGGTCGTTACTTAAGTTGGTATAACTAGAGAAGCAAGTGGTCGGCAACATTCATCTCTCGAGGAGGTGTCCAACTTGGTGTTACGGTGTGTTTGACCCTAACTTAATTTTACATCAGAATATCCCTTTAAGTTAGAACGACCTGATCATGGTATATTTAAAAAAAAAAGGTCTCACTCTCGTAACTTTACCCAAATTGAAAAAACCTAAACTGCACCCCACACTCTGGACACCGGTGCAGACAGTCATGGGTGAATGAATATGCGTGTGTGTGCGTCTCATGTGTCACCATCTTACAGTGCAGTTGAACGGCTGGTTGTTCTCATTGGACGACTCCTGGAGTCTGTAAGGGGAGCTGTGTCTGAGCGAAGCTGTGGTGCTGTTACTGTGGATTGGTTTTAGACGCACTGGCCTCTGCATCTTCCCTGGAGCCGTATTGGGACGAGACGAGCCGGGCTGAGACAGACACACACACACACACACACACACACACACACACACACACACACACACACACACACACACACACACATAGTCAGAACTTAGTTTATAGCAAACTCTGTGTATTGATACACAGAAAATCTCTGGCACCCCTAAATGAGCAATTGATGGTTTTTCAGGTTTCAAAGATGTTCGTGATCACAGTAAAAATCCAAACCCAAAAAGAAGCTGAGACCGCCCTTCAAATGTAAGTATGAATTACAAACATGCTAACAATCAGCATGCGCAGACAATGATACGACTCCAGAGGTGTGTGAAAAATATCATTATTTTTGTGTACTGAAGTCAAAATCTTATTGTTTTCACCATTTGATTGTTACACAACTCTGAGGGTTGATGTCTCTACACAGTGACAGACTGGCTGACCTGCATACTTCTCATTAGGACAACAAACAAAAGTGTTTTTTAAAGTCATTTTTAGTCAAAAATCAACATTTAAACACGGTCCTAATATCTTACTCATCAGGTCTGTGACTAGAGCTGATGGATCTGGATTCATTTTGTATCCTCACTGATGACAGAACTACACTTTAAATGAAGCCTCATATTTGCATCTTTTAAAGCACAGCTTTGATTGACCTTTTCATCTCAAACTGACTGATGAAAGCTTTTTATCTAAAAGTTGAGGTATTTAACTCAGATCTGATGTTTCAGAGACCATTCTTAACTGTGTTGTGGCATTTGAAAAACCTCCTTTGCATAATGTAGAAGCTATAATTAAAGGTCAAGGTACTTGATTAACAAAGTGGATCAGTGATGTTCCTGATTGGCCTAAGGGGTGCCTCTGAGATTTACATACGTATTAAAGGTAATATAACAGAGATGGATCCTTCCTTACAGACTCAGAGGATTCAGAGTGCTCCCCTTCTGGCCCAGAGTGCTGTTTCCGAATGCCCCTGGCACCTGTGGGTGGGCGCGGAGTCAGGATGCGAATGAGGTCTTCTTCATATCTTTTAGAGCGCTCCACCTTCAAAAAAAAAACAAAAAAAAACATCAAAAGAAAACATCTGAAGTGGGAAAACTCACACTATCCAGGATTTTGTTTTAATGGATGGAAAATAGACTCAAAATTGAATGTATGAAATGAAGGCTGATGCCACAACCCTTCCTGTCAGTAAATTCACAAGTCATGAATTGACAAGTAGAGCAACAAAGCAGTGTTCAAATGTAAATGAAGTACCTTGATCTTGTGCACTCGTTCCCTCCTTGCAAACTCCTCCAGTTTCCTTTTGATCTCAATATGATGGACACGCTGCATGGGAGGGGCATCGATCCAATTAGCATCACACATTATACACTGACACTCACAGTTCAAGTAACATTGTTTGGTTTCCTCTGATACTCTGCTCTTCTCCCACCTCCATCTCCAGGACCTTGTGGAAGATGGCCTGAGCCAGGCACTCTCGGACATGTCTCTGGTGGGCTCTCTGGATCAGCTTGTGTCTGTACTCCTTATCTGAAACAATGCGCCCGCTCCTGGTGATCTGACAACAACACCTTACATTAAGTTTCCTCAAACAGCTTCCTCAACAGTTGACAAGTACCTACATTAACATAGTGAGTACAGCTCATATGTAAACAAAAGTGTTATGTACTGTCCTTTTATACAAATGTCAGGATGCAAATGTAAAATTAGTCTGAGCCGGTTTAAAAATGAAACTACTTTCTATTTCCAGGAGGTAAAATTATAAAGAAAAATTTCTGCACACCAGAATGTGTGACAGGTGTGCAGGAGGAGGGTGAACTTAGATTGATATGTTCATTGAACCAACACAATGTTTCTGTCCACATCAGCAAGAGCCAGCCAGTCTTGGTTACTGTTAAAAATTCTTAAATCATCGATGAAGTTTACCCACCAAATATTGGATAATCAGCTTTTGTTTGGCTTCAGTTGGACATATCTGGTTCCCAAGTTCAGATTCAGGTTAAGTCATAAACTTAATTGAATGTTGACAACACTGACGATGCTCTCAATCTAACCTTGTTATTCTTACTGACGTAGATTAGCTGAGTTTTATCAGTTCAATAAAGGGAATGACATATTGTGATGAAAGTATTTTATCTGCTCTAAATGAAACAATTTTTTTTTTCATAGTATTTGATGTAGATGTGTGCAAAAAACAAGTTTCAGTTGGAAAGTATTCTTACATTTCAATGTTAACAGTCTTTCTGAGTGATTATATGCCTGAAATAGGGCTGGGCAATATGGCCTCAAATCAATATCACGATATATTGAGCTGTTCACCTTGATAACGATAAATGAACGATAACTACTCCACAAGCTGCTCACCCCCTCCCACATTAACTTCATCTACTTCAGCCACTACAACTCGTGAACCATCCTCCATCTCCTCACCTGTCTTTCCCTCTTTGTTACCAACTGGATGGTGTGGAGTCACGTCCCTGACGGAGGACGGCATCTTTAAGGGACATGCATACCCACACACATCCAAAACCAACTTTTTTTTTTTTTGACACTAAATTTATTGACATGGGCAAAATGACGTCAGTTATTGTCATAAATTTTGGTTTCGGTAAATTTTCGGTTTGTCACCCAGCCCTAGCCTGAAATGATAAATACTGTTAACGTTGGCAGTCAAACTATCTTTAGATTTTAGCTCATAGAGGCAGGATGTGAGAAAATTAGCAAAAAATAGCAAAACAAATCTTCTGAAGAACTTCTTGACTGATATTTTTTTAAAGATGCATTCATCTTCATCTTCACCCAAATCATAAAACCACCCCATCAAAACCATAACTCCATCATATCTGGTTTTAACACAAATACGATTATCTATTCAGTGTCACATATGTCAGAATCAGTCATCCAGGTTGTTATTTTCAATTCAGCAGAGTCCATTTAAGGACTCTTCAAATTCCCAACCACAATATTAGTGTCATCATCATCATCATCACCGTGATCATCATCATCCCTCTTCTCCACCACATACCAGTCCAGCTCTCTGCAGGTGCCTCCTGATGCGAGTGTTGCTGAAGTATCCGGCCAGATGTTTGTCTGTGAGGCTGTTGTAGGCCGAGATCAGTCTGCAGAAACAAGTCCGACAGTGAAGAGCACAGACACACTGAATTAATTCCAGACAAAGCAGCTCCGCTTCTAAAAACAGAGGCTCAGTTTGCCTTCAGCAGGAGTAACCTGAGACTTGTTGATTACAGTTAACAGAAAACCAGAATCTCAATCGAATGGTTTAGTGTGGCACTACACCATGTTTGTTTGTCATCCTCATTAATGACACATCAGGTTCGTCTGCAGCACTGCAGACCTCTGAAAGTGTGTTTTTTTCCAACCCAGATTTGATTTCCTCCAGCATTTGTCTGTGAGATAACAGGATGTCACAATAGGGTCTGTTACGGGTGTCTGATTACACACAGGAATTAGACGGGATGGCACACTTAACCCTGTCGACCTCCTCTTTGTGCACGACTCATTTGTCTATTGAGCTCTTCAGCTTCGGCTGCCAGTCTCGTTTGAACCGCATCATGGCGGTTTGACTATCACTTGTCATAAAACACAATACTTCCTCTGAGGGCATACAGAGGACTTTGTCTCTGCTTTACTTTTGTGTTCTGCATGCATAATCACACTCACACCTCTCATGGCTTATAAACACTGGACATATGCATTATTCCATGCACATGTTGTAGATGGTCTTTTAAATCATTCATGATGTAGAAACATACTTATGTTTTTGTTTTCAGGACATGGCTGGTATTCAAGCCAGAAGCAACACTAAACTTTATCATTATTCTTTACACGAAAACTGAATATCAAAAATCTGCCTGAAGTGTTAAATGCTGTCATTTAGGATAGGGAAAACCTGTTTTTACTTAATGTTGCTGGACAGCAGCCACACGTATGATGCTGCCTGCAGTGTCTGCAGACATTATCTGTTTATTCTTCAATCAGACTCATGAGTACAGGCTTTGGCTGATAAAGATTTTCTCAAAATGCCTTTAATCAGTCCAATTTATCAGCCAATTGATAAATTGGTCTATCTCTATTATCTATGTTTGTGTTTAACTTGCTTGTTTGTGCTTTTTAATGTCCCATAATTACCTTTTGTATTATGTTTGTATATACACGGCTCTGTATTTATCAGAAACCTAAACTATGCTGCTGCCTTACCTTGGCCCAGGACACTCTGGCAAAACAGATTAAGATTAGATTAAAAAAAAGTAATAATGAGATTAATTCTTCAACCCTATTCTAAGACATTCCTTCACAAATCTTTTAATTAGATCAATTAGAATAAACTGGTTTGAAGAACAACTCAACTTTGTACTCATGTTGGCATTCAAACATGGTAAATAGTTACTTTTACACTACCTGAGACGTGATAAATCAACATAAATATTTGCTTTATGTCTTTAAATTCACATTTGTATCTGAGATATGAACTGAGTACTGACTTTTACAGTCACATTTTGCTAAAGCCAGTGAAATTTGTGTCTTTAACCCTTTAATGCCTAAAACTACAAATTATGGCCAGAAAATTATAATTTTTGGGGAACTGAAATGTTTATTTCACTTATTACTGAAAAACAAAAAAATCAAAATGACCTTAAAATTTAACAAATATATTTATTTATCTTGTTTGATACATAAGATGTTTTTGGTAACTGATAAACCAAAAGAGGACATTTTTATTATTTATTGTACTGTATTAAGGTGTTTTTTTTTAGTAATTTGTTGATCATATTGATGTGATAGAAGCATCATAAAAGTATGTATCAAATATGATACAAAAGGAATAAAGGACTACTGTATTAGGACCCTTTGGTTTCATAGCCTATAAATTTCTTAGAAATCTGTATAAACTGTTTAAAGTTGTAATCTGGTTAAGCGTCCGTATTTAATAAAGTTCTGTTTTTTTTAACTTGTATATGAATAATATCATGTTTATAAGTAACTACATTACAATGGTGACAGTTGGCGATTGGAAAACCACAAATGTGAGCAGCTTATATCGTTTTTTTACAATGTTAGGTTTAATTGAAACAGGTTTCTCTCGTTGCCCCTCTTTAGCTTTAGATAAAAACAATTAGGAGGACTTACCCTGGGTTGAGGTGACTCATGGTTTCCAGCTCGTGCAGCTCTCTCTAATGTCTCTCGTGTTTTCTCAGGTAAAACGGTCTGCAGACCCCGTCTTCGTTACAAAACCTCTAAACCAGTGTGGAGTCAAATTTACCCCGCAGAGTTTTGACAAAGTGTAGCGGTAAATTGTCAGCTGAGCAGCTCTGAGGCTGCACTTCTCCCAGAGCGGAACTGATGACACTCGGTGGTTGCCATGGGAGACCACGTGACCATACCACCAATGAAGCCGGTTTCTACTTGAAGAGTCCCACTGACAGCTGAACAAGTATGACACTAACAATCACACACACAGTCCTTCTCTTTGAATATATATATTTTTTTTTATACAAGATTTTATAAATTCTTACTACTGATGCAAAACTACAAGAGTCAAGCTTGTCTGCTGCGGCTGACTAAGATACACTTAGTTTTATCCAATAGTTTTCAATACATGAGTCAACTCTTTCCCATGTGGGGGCCATGGGGTCATAAACTAGACAGGAAAAAATATATGAATTTCTGTTACATTCTTAACTTTATTGGGAATTTCCCCTTGTGCGACTAATAAAGGAGTATCTTATCTTACATTTTCATCCTCTCATCATTGGTGACATTTTTGTAAAAAATTATTTTTTTCAACATTTGTCTTTTAAAACGCGTCTTAAAACACACTTTTACTCCTTGGCTTTTGACCCAGAATGAGAATTTTTTATGTTATTATGTATCGCACTTTGTGTCAGCTTTGGTTGTATTTAAAGCGCTCTATAAATAAAGTTGAGTTGAGTTGAGTTTTTATAATATACTACAGTATACAGGTCATCTGTAGGGAGAGAGTTGGCTATTTTCAGTTGTGTCTTTTATACTGAAATATATCTGTTGACATTTGGAAAACCTATAGGTTTTGCTAGTTAATAATATAATACAGCATAAATTGCAGCAAACTACAAAACATGTATACTGAGTCATGCAACAGCAGAATTAGGATTCTGACACTTTTTTTTGGGTCCAGTTCAATCACCATTTATTTTGATGGCATAAAATAATTGATGACTATCTCACATACTGTGAAAACACAATGATTAGCAAAATGAAAGCTTGCACATTGGTGATAATATCCCTGGAGATCTGTAATGGAAAGTGACTCCCACAGTACTGCTGATTAAGGCAACAGCTACTTTGTGTGTGTGTGTGTGTGTGTGTGTGTGTGTGTGTGTGTGTGTGTGTGTGTGTGTGTGTGTGTGTGTGTGTGTGTGTGTGTGTGTGTGTGTGTGTGTGTGTGTGTGTGTTACTTCTTACATTATCAGTGGGGTAGTACTTAGAGAGATGCTTTTTATCATCCCTTCATGGTGTCTGAGTTGAAAATAAAGCTGCAGGATCCTCATCTTTTTTTTTTATAAAATGATGCTTTAAAAACTTCGATCCATAATTTCTTTGCTTCACTGCATGGTGGGCTGAATCCATATAAAACCGCTCAGACCAGTTACCTGACAGCTTAATAAATATGTGAACTTACGCCCTCCCAGCACACTGAGGACATCTCTGATTCAGACAACAAACCCACAGCTTTCACCTCAGAGATAGTGTGTATTCTGTAGGTCATCTGTTGCCCTCTAGTGGACATATGGAAAGCTGACTTTACATCATTTGCACATTTTCTGTTCACTTACACTTTGACACCTCCTGTGTTAAATAGGAAGTAGCAACATGACCTTTATACACAGATAGATTTGAATGAATCCTCTCTTTAGGCGTAACACTATGAATGGCGTATCGGCTTTCATTTGTCTTGTGAAGAAGTGGCTTTGCCTGCTATTAACTTTTATCCAGTTTCTTATTATTACCTTGATATGCACAATATCAGAATATGTTGCAGTTTGGGAAATAATTGCTTCTCCCTTCCCTGACCAGTTGCAGTGTTTTGTCAGTACCAGAACTGATCAGTAGGAGGAGCCATTTTTCTGTGTCAACGTGAGGTTCATCTGGAGCTGGGCACATCAGGGGCATAAAATATTCTTTATTTTGTTCTTCTGCTTCATATTTGTTTAAAAAAATGAAGTGCAACAGATGATTCAGATACTGACAAGAACAACAGTGAATTTTCTGAACATTATAAACAATCAGTTATTCATGTTACACGTGTAAAATGATATAAAAGTGATGGAAAGTTAAAGGGTGGTTTTTGCAGGAAAGTACTGGGGAACATTTTCCATCCAGTTGGCCAGAGTGAAGTATTTTTCTCAATGATAATAGAGCAAATTGCTAAATATAGGAGTCTTTAATGAACCAAGGAATAGGTCAAATGTGGTGGTATAAAAATAGTCATGATTTGATCAGGATATTTTGGGAGCAGTAAAGATTTCTTTTCAAGATGTGGAAAATTTAGATCACATGAATACACTCGGACTTTGTGATGAAAATATGTGACTGCATACAAAATGTTGTGTTTACAATTCAAAAACACAATCAAACTCACTGAATTCATCAGTGTATGTTCAACATTTGTAATATAATAAGAAAATATTATACACACTTGTTGCTTATCAGGAGTGCGCTAAGTAATGCTTGGTATTGAGTGGGAATAACAAGGTTAGATGTATTTCTTGTTCATTGTACATACAGTTAACTATCCATACATTTCTGTAATTGCCCGGGAGAAAAGTCAAGTAACTATATTGGACATTTCTTCAGCCTCATGGTACATATCAACAGTGATACATTAATCAAGTGCATCTCCGTTGACAGGTACCATGAGGCTGGAGAAATGTCCAATTGTCAAAAGGAACATTAAATTTGTCACAGGTCCTCTGCATCAAAATAACTAACAGAGGCCAAGCCCACAGTTTCCTGCCCAGTGTTTTCGTAGCACATTTGAATCTCTGCTTTTGACTCTTTTCCAATTGTTTTACTGCAGGAAGCTCCACACACCTGTAGGTGTTTGAGACATCACCGGCCAAGGGAGAAGTAAAATATAAGCAGACCATAATCAGCAGAAGAATGATGACAAACAGAAGTGTGCAACAGTAAGAAGATGCCTTTTTGTTTGTGAAGCCACTCAAGTTTTTGTTAAGACTTTATTTTTCAGCAATCATAAATAGAAGCATAGCTAAAATCCTACATGACCACATTTCTTCAGTCCACAGGCGTGAGCTAAATGACGTCACAGAGTTAATCAGGCAAATATATTAACAAAAAACAGGTATGGCAGTTTCTTTGTGTGAGAAATGAACAAATGTGAACAAATGATTGAACTGACAAATATGTTTAGTGGCAGGCTAAATGGAGAACTATCGATGCTACAACATGTAATACTTTTGACATGTTACATGTTTGTCTTTATTAAATAAAATGGGAGACCGGGAGAAATGGGAGCCAGCAACCACTGTGACGAGAACTAAAAGTATCAATATGCAGGGCCATCAGGATCCAAAGTAGTACTCTTGCTAATGTAGTGCACTATGGCTTTAAATGGAGTAAGAGCAGGTTGACAGCAGGCTGATGTTGATGTGTGTCAACCAAAAAATTGAATGACATGAGAAGCATTTTTGAAACTTTTTACTGAGCATATATTGAAACTTAAATTGCTAATCATCAGTGTATTTCATGTATTATTGGGCCACATAGAAAACTCTCTGATCTGTACAGATGTGCACTGCAGCAGCTCTCTCACCGAACAGCTGAGATAGAACGAGTCAGGTAAATCAGACAGAAAGAGACCTGTTTTCACAGTCTCTACCTGTCAGGCTGCACAGGGGAATTGAGAAGGATAGACCTTCAAATGCTCCAATAAAACACTGTAATCAAGGCAGACATTTCACCAGCACCAATACACAACCCAAGTGTTAAAATAACAATTAGTGCAGAAATAGGGGAGGGGTGATTATGAATTCCTTTCAGGAAGGGTCTTAGCAGTAAGCTGGGAGGCGGTGGGGAGATGTCGGGGAGTCATGCGGCTTAGAGATGGGGGGGGCAGCAGTTTTTGCAATCAGCATTAAATAGAGCAGTTTTGTGCCTGTGTGATTGTCAAGTGGGCCATTACTGGTTGATAAGAGCACTTTTTCCTTATGTGGCTCTGATTGGGCTGAGCATGCTGCTCCCTCTCGCATGCTGTCCCAGTGCAATCAGGCCCCTCTTTTACCGCACTGCCATTTTCACTGCTGTGATTTCCACCCAATCCCCCATCGGCCCCCAGCCAACCCAACTCCACCTCAGCCTCCCCCAAACCCTCCTCATCCTCTCCTCCAGCACCCCACCTCCCCCTTCAGATGAGTACCCATTTACAGCAAGGAGAAAAGGTCATGCCAAACTCGTTGTGTCAATTGTAAACCACCCCAATTCTCACTGATTTCAATGAAATAAATGAGGAGGTGCAGCCCCCAGAGAAAGCAAAGGTCCACGGGGAAGTGAGAAATTAGGAGATGTTCATAGAGGTTTGCTGGGACCAAATGCTCAGCGCGTCTCCGGCGAGAGACTCTCCCACATTCTTCTTTCTGACTGTATGTAGACACCCTGTGTGTCCTTTCAAATGTTACTACTGAAAGTAAAACGATTTTAAAAGTTTACCATTGCCAACTAATGGGTAGGTATAAAAATCTAATACCTACTAAAAAAGTTTAAATACCTCAATAATCATCCTCATTATATATTGTCTGTCTCAAGATCGTGTTATTTAGAGGTGTGAGCTAATAATAAATAATCTGTCAAACAGAATTGATTGATGCTCAATTTCCTCTTTTTGTCGTAGTCTGTAATAGTTTAATGATATTCCCCCTTTCTCAGAAAAATCATCTGCTTTGTTAAAAAATATGATCCAAATTTATCATTCAACCCAAGTTTAAAAAAAGCTGGGACACTGTAAAAAAATGTCAACAAATACAAATATTGATGATCATTTCAATTATTTAAACCCCCTGTTTAAATGAAAACACACTAAAGACAACACATCTGATGGTGAATCCAAAAACTGTTACTGTTTTCTGCTTTTATAAAATTTGATGCCAGCAACCTGTCGAACAAAAAGTTTTGCAGTGGCGTGCTTCGTGTTGTGTCACACTGACTTTCTTCAACACTGTAAATATTTAGGAACCAATGAGATCACTTTCTAGAGCTTTTGAAGTGAAATATTGTCCCATTATTGTCTTATACAGGAAGTCAGCAGCTCCACTGTTTGGGGTCTCTTTTGTCAATGATTTTATTTTATGATGGGCAAAATATCTTCACTAGATGACTAGTCAGGCTGGTCATTTTACCCATTATGGACCTTTGCTGTTTCATGCAGAATGAATTCATGTAGAGTAAAGTGTAGAATTGTCTGAATAGCAGCATATATCCCTCCAAAAACCTGTTTGTATCATTGGCATCAGTGAATTCCAAACAGAAAGTCAAATTTTGATTTGTCAGGCCTCAGTCTATCTAAACAGCGTCCGGATCAGGTTTAAATACAGTGTCTTTTTGTATGATATATTTTAAGTCTGAATTTGAGACAATGGTTTTGGGTGGTGATTTTTTTGCCAATCCAGTGATTTCCACTGCAGAGTCACAGCTACTTTAAGGCAGTGTTGTCCAAGGACCTGATAATAAGTGCCATGCAGTATTCATGCCAAAGTTGTGCCATTGCCTTTTCTAAATTTGGGTATAATTTCTGTCTACAAACATATTATGAAATTATTTTCTCCCCAAATACTGAACACTTTTCTTTGCCTCAAACAAGACCAGCAAACTTGATGAAGTTTGCAGAATTTAGGAATGACTAAGCATCTTGTATTTTATCTGGGTCCCCCATGAAGTCCATCGTAGAGAAACAAATGCCACAAAGAAATTATATTTTTATGTGGGATCTTAAAGCTCCTGTGAGGAACTTTATTTTAATGTATTTTTTGGTATCCCATGTGGACCAAGTGATACCTCTCTATCATTTATTTTCAGATCTTTTCTTACCTTACCTCTCATTTTTTCGTAAGTAGTGCCTCCTGACCTTAAATCTCGTCCTGCTGTCTTTCAACAGTAAAACTCATCACACCGTGAATACTTGTTGCGGTGGGTTTGACTAAGAAATTATGCAAATTAGGCAATGGCGTCATCTAGCGACTTCTAGCCACTTTTATGACAGTCACCGGTGACTTCCCTCACTGAGGAGTTGGCAACACTAGAAGGAAAATCTTTTCAATGGAATAGCAACAACCAGTGAAGCAGCTTTTGTTACATTCATTGTTCCTTTTGGTTGCGTAACCCTCCAGCGTACACACAATGCACTTTGGCGTCTTTCTATGCTGATCACTAACCCTAATCCAGCCTCTCACAACTAATAATGGAGTATTTATAGAACAGTCTGCATGTACAGCACTAGCACCACACACACACACAAACACACGCGCACACTCACAGACATACAGCTGCTGCGCGGAGGAACAAGTTTAGAGGTGTGCTGACAGATGAGACGTTGTTTTTGTCTGGTCCACATCACGCAAAACATTTAGCAAGTCAGCCATGCAACATGGAAAACAAAAACATACAACTGTTACACTCTCAGATTTACATCTTTCCTAACTTCTGCACACTTATCAGGTTTTCTGCAGATGGTGCAGGGGAGTGATAACGACTTTTATGTCTGAGAGAGGAGTTTTATTACCATGACAAAGCACTTGACATATTTTATATGTTTTGCTGCGTTGTATCCCTACTTTGACCTTTCACCTTCTCATCTCAGACCACATCAAAACAGCAGCTTTTCAGGACGTCTTTTCTTCTTCTGCAAGACTGTTGCAGAAACAAGGATTCATAGAGGAGTGGTTGTCTCAGACGCTCCTGTGTTGAACTCTCTGCTCCACAGCATGAAATGTTTGATATGTTTTATCTGATAAAGAGCATTCATCTCCACCAGCTGGAACAGGACACATCTCGATGGAGGCACGCTAACTCCTTTATCTCAATGCGATGGTGCGATACAGACGCAGACTCATGCTGCTGCAGGTTGGACTGTTATCTAGAGGACAGAAAATGGCTTTTCTCACCGTTTGTATGTGTGTGGCTGTAGGAGCAGAAAGGTGTGTGTGGTATGATGATAAGTGGGGTTGCGTGATGTGCTAAAAAGAATCAAGGAAACAAGATTGCAACTGTGGCTTTTCTCTCAAGGAACCCAAAGAGTTTGTCTTTTAGATTTCTGTTTATGATCCTTTTGAAGTATCTTAACTTCCTCATTAAAAGAACGATTCATCTCTCTCATTCGGTTAATGTGATTTGCATACTGACGTAAAAGCAGGTGGTGCTGTACTGAGCTATGTAATTTAGTGAAACTGAAAAATTGCAAAATGGTTTTAGTTGACACCATTGTTAGGTTTCTTAAAGCCCCCATGAGGAGTTTTAGGGTGTTTATGAAATTGACTGAAATTTATATTGATGCTTTTTTATGATGAACAAAAGCACATCAGATCATCAGCGAGTGACCATTTGTATTTAGTCTTTTTTAATGTCCAGGACCAGTGCAGTGAGGTAGGTGAGAGTTAACGGCTAAAACCCATAGGATGGCACGGCAGGCGTACCAAACACGCAAGCATTATAATCAATGTGTGTCATTCCACACAATCCGTCCACTGTCCAGCTCCACTGTGGATCGGCTCTGGTGGCCTCTATTTTTGCCAGATGGCGCATCAAATCAGTGCAGCGCAGCACGAGCAGCAGTGGAAGTTGTATGTGGCTACAGAGTAAAATATCCGGTTGATTTTCAAAATAAAATAAAATCAAAACGTTGAACTGTTCTTCACTTGATAATAGGAGAGGCCAGGGTTGAAGGATGTGTGTGCTTACATACACAGCCATTTATATACTCCGATCAGCGGATCTCATTCAATGTCTCACAGGGAAACATGCGAGATCTAGTGAGATTTTGTCCAGTCTCGTGAGAAATATTAGTAATCTCGTAACCGCTTCTCTTCCAATGTCGGCGGCGGATTGGATCCGGTGGGCACTGTATGCTTGCGCATTTGATCCACCTGCTGGTCTGGAGTGGAGCCATTCCAGATCCGGTGGGATTCTGGGGTTGAGTAGTTAAGGAAACAGCCATGTTTTTTTTTAAATTTCAACATAAAGATTTCTTAAACAATGGTAAAGCCGACTGTCAAAATCAGCAGAATAATTTTTCTGTCAGTAGGCACTTTTTAAGCATCTCAAGGACAAGATGAGCAAAGACTGCTCTGTCTACAGGGAGCGCCAGAATTGACACAAACAGAAAATTCCCCACAGGAGCTTTACTCACTCCTGTTTGTGTTAAAATGATATCAACTTTTATTCCTTCAAAACAGAAAACACAACAACAAAGTGTAATATGAAGAGAATCTGTAAATCTGGATAGTAAAATCTATTTATATGGATCTCTTATTATCTAGCAAAGTGGATAATAAAGCAGAGGAAATAAGTCATAAAGATAAGTAAGCTATAAACATGTCACCAGATCGGTATCATGATTGTCAGCAGCAATATATAAAGATGCCATAAAGTATTGTGGATTATAAAACAGTTTTAAGTGGATTTTTAACAGCAACTGAAGCAGGAACTTTTTTAAAGAATATTTAAGTTGTTGATTGTTTTTGTTTTATTTGAGGCTGGCATGGTTCTTGAGTCAAGAAGTATCTTGTCATGCCCTTTTATTTAAGCGTTAAGTGAACTTTTGCTGGAAGAAATGGTCATTTATCTCTTTGGCTGCAGGTAAGCTGATTATTTAACAACACCCAGTTATAGGGAATATTTCCATCAGTATTAAACTCCCTCACTCTGTGCATCAATCTCCGTGCCCCTCTAACTACTCAGTTATTAAACAGGATTGTTGCCTTAAGAGACCAATCCTGAACAAATTCATGTGTTTTATATGATATTCATATAAAATGAATACAAGTTGGAGTCGTATTTCGTGAAGTTAATTAACTTTTCTTATCAAATGGTTGGTTTAAATTTCAGCAGTTTCTTTGGATCCGAGTGCTGTTAATGACCGCTGCTTGTGGGCCCATAATTTACAGAGGAGTAAATAAGAGTATTTACTCAAATACCATTTTAAAAGCAGAAGTAAACATTAATATGCTGGTATTCACGCTAAAAAGGCAAGTGTGGGCTGCAATGATTTTACTTTTTGTTGAAAAGATGAAGTTAAAATCTCTCACTCTTTGACAGAGCAGTGTAGGAAAAGAATTACACTCAGGAAGATGCAGCAGAAACAGAAATGTCGAACATTTACAGAGAAAGAATTGATTGCATTTTCTTTTATCTACAACCTTTCATTTCTATTAGCCTGCTTCAACCTTTTTATCAACATAAATTAATTATTTTCATTATTTGAATTTTTGTTTGATCTGTATCATGTAAATATTATTAGAAGGCAAAAAAAAAAAGATAGACATAAGGTTTAAAGTAAGGGATGATGAAACAGTTAAAACCTGATAAAGAGAATAAAGAGACTCCAGTAAACATATACGATATGGCTGTAGTTCAGAGCTTGCCCAAGCTTAGGGCCCCGCAGCCAATAGGAGGCCCCCATGAGCTATTTATAAATATATATATATATATATATATATATATATATATATATATATATATATATACATACTGTATATATGTTATTTTTGCAAGTATGAGTGATGCTTTCTGTACGATCAAATATATATTATTGTAAAATAAAATAAAATAAAAACATTTAAGTGTTGCTGCTAATATAAGCCTATGATTCTTACTGTCGATATGTCAAAGCTCTGCTACCATTATGTGCTTTACATTTTGAATTTAAAATCTGTATATGGCACCCTGAACATCATTCATCAGTCATTCATTGGTATTATTTGTATGGTTGCATTGGCATTAACTAGGCCACCCCCTTAATGTGTAAAGACATGTCAGGTGCATTAAATTTATACTGTTGTAGGTGTGTGAATGATCAGCAATCAATATTATTGGCAGAAATAGAGGGCCCCAAAATCAAATTTTGCTTAGGGCCCCATTGAGGCTTGGGCCAGCTCTGCTGTAGCTACTTAATCTATCATCATAAAATGCTTTATGGCAACCACGCCTGTGTTCAGGGTCTACAACTGAATACTCCTTTAATAAGTTGTAGACTATGCATGCCACTGGTAGATCTCTGAATTGTTGGAGTCATAAGCAGTATTTTCAGTAAACAAAATGTCTTAATTCTGTATAGATTTCTAAATTTCTTTCCAAATAAAACTGCAAAGAAATTGAAGTTTTTTTTTTTTCTCATAGAGTGCAACAAGCTGCTTCTCAGAGGGAGGCGCGGCCAGAGAGGAAAAGGAAAATATGAATTATGATCCGCCCCCTGAGCAGCACAGCACAGCACAGACGGACTGACACCTCGAGGAATCCTTCAGGATATCCACTGAGGAAAAAGAGGACACAGACATGCGCTGGAAAAGTGAAGTTAATGTAGAGTGTTGCATTGTCAGCGAGGACGGGACCGGCTCTGTGTTGTCCAACGATGAGGTAAGGTAACACTTCCAGGCAGGCGGACAGGCTATAGACTTTTTTCTTCTTCTTCTTCTTCTTCCAGCAGGTTGTGGTGTGAGTCGGCGAAGGGATTAAATACTCGTAGTAATTGCTTTGCCAATTAAATCAAAGTGGGCTTCAGTCTGTCATTAAAGCTGGCCTTCAACGCGCTGACAGCTCAGTATTTTCACAATTTGAAGAAATGTCGAAGAAAATTACCCCTCCCTGAATTCTGCAATTAAAACTCAAGTAGTTAATGAGACCTCTTCACCTTTTGCTTGTCCCGGTTAGACGTTTGTGGCGAACTTAGCGTTTTTAATTGCTGTTATTAAAAAAATCAATCCCCCTTCTCTCCCTGAGACCTCGCGCTGTGCTTTTTGATTGACACCTGAAATTGGCGTGTTGGGGTTTTAACCGCGGCACGCGCGCGCTCGCGAGCCGCCGAATCCCCCAAATGCAGATCTGAAGAACATAATGCACATAAGGATAAGTATTAGCTCGAGTGTTGTCTGTTTTTGTAAGTAATGACTATCCTTCTCTTTTAAATGTCATTTTGGAAATCGTCGACGTTGTCATGGTGAAAGGTGAAAGGCATGATATTTATGGGAAGGGGCAGGGGGCATTTAAGGCAGCTGCTGTAGTCTGACGGAGAGACCTCCTCTTCCCGCCACAGCTTCTCGTCATGTGCGAAGACTGCAAAGGAGAAGAGGAGCTGCTGGGCAAGTGCGCTGAAGACAGGAGGGACATCATGGTAGGAGGACAGAGGTGTTCGAGCCTCAAACTTTCTCTTCAAGTTTATAGTTTTAGGAGAAAACTTCAAACTCTGTTAGCCAACTCCATCTTCTTCAAACTAGAGGAAGAGTCAGTGTGGGGGCTCTACTCTTTACTCCATCATGCGCGAGACATTTTAACGGTCAAATTTGAAAAACAACAACAGCTCAGTTTGATTCAACGGCTGCCAATATCCAGACTGATACTATTTTCGGTATCATTCTAGTTGTTTCTTTGACAGTATAACTCCAGCTGGGAAATTCTCTAAAATATTCGAGAAATATTTGAGAAATACAGATTTTTTTCCCCTTTCGTTTTATGTTGAATACTGTCATGAGCAGGTGAACTGAGTTCTACCATGTTATGTAAGCACATGTTTGATGCTGCTGCTGCAGGTATGTGGGTAATTTTCTAACCACAGGTCTGATGCCTTTAGGGTGCTCCGGTGGAAGTTTTGGATGAAGACGCGTCTTCTCTACAGACCATGACATCTGTACCTCTGCTGGGCAGGGCCGTGTGCGCGAGCTGCAACGAGGAGATAGTGGATAAATATCTATTAAAGGTTTGGAGAGTTTTTTTTTTCTAAATATGCAGTTATTTTCGATTATTTTATGTTTTGCTTACAGTGAAACTGCTTCCTTTGATTAACTCAAACTTCAATTATCTCGTCTCTACTTCAGGTAAACGACCTGTGCTGGCACGTGCGCTGTCTGTCCTGCAGCGTGTGCCAGGCGTCACTTGGCAGCAGCACGAGCTGTTACATCAAAGAAAAAGAGGTTTTCTGTAAACTGGATTACTTTCGGTATGTGTGTGTCAGTTATTGCTACGAGACTACTTAAACTGACTCATTATTAACCGCTTCAAATGACCTTTATTTTATAAATCAGTAGTAGTAGGGGAGAGTGGGGTAAGCTGAGCCAACCCCTGTTGATTGGAAATGGTGAAAAAAATTGATCATGTGACCAACTATTTAGGTGAAAGTGAGTTTAGTCTGTCATAAGTTTTATTAGAATTGCGTTCAGACCAAAAAAGATCATTTTAAATTTGTTTTATACACTAATTGTGGTATCTATGAGCTACAACATGAGGTCAAAAACCTAGTATAAAAGTCTACTATTTTAGCTTAGAGGACTAATAAAATCAGAATAGTAGTTCTGGGGTAAGTTGAACCAATCTAAGAAAGTAAAAGGAGTCTGATGAGAGGATCAGAGTTTCAGTTCAGATTGTTGAAATGTGTTACTTTTTCTTTTCAAAAATACAGCTGTGAATGTTCTGAATCTCATGTTAAAATGGCTTTTTACAAAACAGCTTTTTAACTGTTATACGCAATAATAATAAAATTAATTATTGTACCAGTTGAATAGTGTATAATAGATAAAAATACACATGAATGTGAAGAAGTGACTGATATTTAGGGAGAGAGAAGGTGAGGGAGGGCTGGGGTGGCTCAACTTACCCCGCTCCTGTGGTCAACTTACCCCATACACGGGGTAAGTTGACCATAGGAGACCACTTTTTTTTAGCATACTATATTATCAAGACATTTATGTTTACACTCATTCTGTTGGTTTGTACAACATCTTGAAATATATGCAGATACACTAGTTAGAGACAAAACTATGATTGCCCTGATGTAGTGATCCGAAATATGAAAAATGGCTCATCTTACCCCACTCTCCCCTAATGAAGAAATTAACGAAATACCGTTAGTAATAACTGATTTGTTCAAAAAAATTTGTTTGATTAGCCTCTAAAATTATTTGAGTGCCAAAAAATGCGCATTATTAATAGTCGAAATTATAGATAGAGAGAAAGATGCAAAAAAATTGCACATTTAAATACCCCTTTGTAGCATAATGGAGAGTCTGATTCGCTCCCCTGACCTCCACCCGCAGAAGATACGGCACCTGGTGCGCGTGCTGCGGCCGGAACATCCACTCCACGGACTGGGTGCGCCGGGCCAAAGGAAACGTGTATCATTTGGCCTGCTTCGCCTGTTTCTCCTGCAAGCGGCAGCTGTCCACCGGAGAGGAGTTCGCTCTAGTGGAGGAGAAGGTGCTCTGCAGGGTCCACTACGACTGCATGCTGGACAACCTGAAGCGGGCTGTGGAGAAAGGTGAGTCCCGGGTGAACCAATGGAGGAAAAAATCGGGAGGGACGGAAAATCGTTTCTATAGACCAAAAGGATTAAACTAAAAAAAAATGCTCCTTTTACTTCAGTGGAGTACAGCTCAGACGAAATATGATGTTAGTCTCCCGTTCTTGTTCAAAAATCGGACACTTGAAGGAAGAGAAATCTTTCAATGTTTTCAGTCAAACGTGTTTATTATTAGATGGTTAATTGTAGCATGTGTATGTAGCATATTTAATACAGCGTATTTGTAGCCCTTTAATGCCTGAAACCACAAACTATAGCCAGAAAATCCAAATTTTTTTTGGAGCGGAAATGTTTATTTCACTTACTGCTGAAAACAAAAAAAAACAAAAAACAAAATGTCCTTAAAATTTAAAAAATATATTTATTTATCTTGTTTGATATATTAGATGTTTTCTGTAAAGTGATAAACTACAAGAGGACATTTTTATCATTTATCAGACTGTATTCAGGTGTTTTTTTTTTAGTAATTTGTTGATCATATTGATTTGATAGAAGTTTATAAAAGCATGTATCAAATATGATACAAAAGGCATTAAAGGGTTAAAAATAATACAATATTTCAATTAGAATATGTGTTAATGTAGTGATCTGCTCTTGTCTTAGGAAACAGTGTTAACATGGAGGGGGCAGTGCCCACTGAACAGGAGATCAACCAGCCGAAGCCCTCCAAGAGAGCGCGGACCAGCTTCACCGCCGACCAGCTGCAGGTTCACCTCTATATATAGACCCACTGATAGATGAATGATTTATTATTATTATGCAGGAATATTTAAAAGAAAAAAACAACCAAAGGCATCGGCATCTTCCTTTGAAATGCATTTAATGTGACTTTGACTATTCAAAAAGGAGGTAAAGGAGATAAAGATGTGACTTTGAATATTTGCTCTCTGTGAACAGTTGCATGTTAAGGATAGTAATATAGCAACAAGTTAACTATTTTGTTAACAAGGGAATGGCAATATAGGATTAAAAATGAAAAAAAAAAGTGTTAATTTATGTAAATGATTCTATATAGAACAGATGTATCAGATATTTAGATTAAACTTTAACCCTAATGAAAATAATAAATTAATCATTGTACTCAGATTATCTGAATTTTCTATTTAAAGTCTGAATACATCAACAACCCTAGAGCCAGAAATGCTTATATTTTCTTTTTTTTTCTCAAAAAACAAGATGCTGCATCTCAAGGGGCTTTCCTAAATAAATTGAAATTGAAAATTATCTGAATTTTATCTACATTAATCACTGGATTTGTGTTCAAATGCAGGCTGTTATAATCAGCAGTGTCATGCATTCTGATTTGATGAACTTTTTATTGATCTCATTTCCTTCTGACAGGTGATGCAGGCTCAGTTTGCTCAGGACAACAATCCAGATGCTCAGACTCTGCAGAAACTGGCTGAGCAGACGGGCCTCAGCCGAAGAGTCATTCAGGTTAGTGAGTGACTGATGCAAGATGGGAGCCTGGATAAAGTGAAATACTGTACACTGAAAAGAGACCTTTAGCTGCTATTAGATGTGTGAGTTAGCGTCATGCACATGTGCTACTACCAACAAAAAGTACCTACATGTAGATTATTTATTTTTAACCAAGTCTTTTTTAAAATTGATCTACTACTTTTATTATTGCACATTTGAATAAGATTGCTCAGTACAGTGAAGCTGAATGTTCATGGAGGTTTCTTTTGTTTTGGTGTTCATATGTTAAAGTCCATTTAAATGATCAAAGCAGCTATAAGCAATTCATTTTAGATGCATTTGTGGTCATATCTATAGAAATTCTCTTTAATCCTATCAGAGATTGACTGATCCTCAAGTAATTCTGATCAAATAAACAAATTTAATTTAAAAAAAAAAATGAAAAGATGCAGTGTTTCTACACTTTTTCTGAAGCTTCCTATAACAGCTTTAACGACAAAATAAATCAAGTATGTAGCCCTTAATTCTAATGTTAAAATTGTGCATATAAAATGGCCCAAAAGTCAGTTATCTCAATGTGAAAAAGGTTCTGCTTTTGCTTAGTTTCCATTGCTGTCTCATGCAGTGAATGGGAGAACTAAACCAAGCCCTGACTATGTTATCATTAACCCTTTACAAAGAAACACACTTTGGAGGCAGACAAAGTACATCTGTCCTGTCTAGAACTTTCAGGGGAATAAATGTGCACACACAGTAAATTATATTTGAAGTAAGATCAATAGTACTGCATAATGCCGCAAAGACAGAGGGATTTCATTCTGTAGTCTACGGGTAAATGCAGCAAAGTCAGAGCTCAGCTTTAAATGGATGGCTGTGAAATCTCATTACTAACTATAAACATGACAGCAGAATTTGGCTTTATTATTGTGGAAAGACAGTGTGGTAAATTGATGTCTTGCTGTTTTAGCCTGACTATGTCTCTTAAAAGAATGACTCATTCAAGTTTTGAGTTCCCAAACATCATCAATGCGGCACTAAATGTGAATAGAATTGTACTCACATCTTCACAATAAGAAAATAAAACCCTACATAAATAGATCGCTGTTTCTGAGTTTGCTCTTGACCCCCACGGTACATACTGACTCAAAGGTGTTTGTCCCGTCGCTCCAGGTGTGGTTCCAGAATTGTCGAGCCCGCCATAAGAAGCATGTTAGCCCCAACCACAGTTCCAGCACCCCCATGACCTCATTGCAGCCCAGCCGCCTATCCCAACCCACTCCAACCCCCGAAGAGCTGCAGTACACCGCGTACGGAGGCCCAGAGGGGTCAATGCTTTCTGCACTGCACTCCTTCATAGACAGTAAGCGAGAGTATTTATTTATTTATCTCTAATATGTTGAGCATATTTAGCTACTGAACCTCATTTTTGGCTAAAAATTTCATCAGTTTAACAATATCAGGCTAGAAAATTAACCTTAGAAACAGATTTAAAGGTTGTTCAAAATGAAGGACTTGATCTTAACACTGTTGTAATCCGCAACAACCTAAATCAAACAACATTTAATTTTATATTTCAAAAGAGGGAAATATTTTTGTATCTTATAACTTTTGCTCTGTGTTCCTGCAGTACATTCCCCACAATCCATGTTTCAACCACTGCTGCCAGCCCACGCCATGACCTCCCTGCCTGTCTCTCACACTTGAGCTGCTCCGACACACACACACACTCCTTCACCAGCGATCATCCGACAGTAGCAGCTGCAGTGCTCAGATCCCCGTGCTTAATATAATTTTATCTGAAGTGAACCATCAAACCTTCCTTTCTTGAAACTGCCAGTATTTCATTACACGTGGATATTCTTTGAAAATTCTTCTCTTGACTATAAATGACAGTCCTTTAATGTACTGTACTGTGGAAATTGAAAGGTTTCTGTGTACCTCATAGGATTGTGACACCTGCCATTATAGATTTGTTTGTGTAGTTGGTGACACTGTTTGACTGTGCTACTTCTAAGTGAAAGCCAACAAGACCCCAGATGTTGATTTACTATGAAGGTGACTTGAAATTGTTTGTATAGCAGTGTTTGATATTTTCAATTTCATTTATTTATTGTATGTGACGTCTGTTTTGGAAATAAATGTCTAATTTCACAAATCCTGGGGTTTACTCACCAAAAATGGAGGTTTCACAAAGATGTCAGTGAGAGCTGAGACCTCAGTTTGTAAGGAAGACGGTGCATTAAAAAAAAAAAAACAGTTTATTGATAAAAATATAGATCACATCTGTTGTTTTTCAATGTTGAATACACACACACAGGTAATATACTGTTAAAGAACACAACACTTAAAGCCGCGTTCAGACCAAACGCGACCTGACGCGACTTGGCGACGGCTCCCAATTCAAAGTCTATGGCCAGCCGCGACCTGACGCGACTTGGCGACCGCCGGCTGCCTGCGACGCGACCTGACGCGACCTAGCGACCGGTCGCCAAGGCGCGTCCCCGAGGTCGCGTCGCCGAGGTCGCAGGACGCCAAGTCGCGTCATATTTGAACTTTGGGAGCGACTCCATGCCGCGACAGCCAATCAGGGCTCTGCTGACATCAACAAACCGGCGAAACAAGGAAGAGGAGAAGAAGAATCACAATGGAGGAGCAGTTAATCACATCCGTTAGCTACCACACGGTGCTACACTACGTGGGTTGCGGGCTGTACCGGGGCCGCAATGCCAAAGAAGAAGCATGGGGGAAGGTGGCCCGTGATGTCGGGCTTTCTGGTGAGCTTGTTTGTTTATTTATTTATTTCAGTGAGCGGACTGTTTTATGAAAACATAGCTAACTGCCCCTGCTTGCTAGGCTACATGTTTCAACGTATGTGTGTGTGTCTTTGCAGTGGATGTGTGCCGCAAGCGGTTGAAGGGGCTTAGGGACAGACAGATAGACAGGCGCTCCGAAGCTGAGATGGAGCGCCTGTATTTCGTGTCCAGGCGGGAGATGCTGCTTCCCACTCGGGCGAAGAGGTCCTCGAACTGCGCCGTCGACACACGGAAATACCGCTGGAGGCGGCCGTCGTCCAGGCGGAGTTCCTGGAGCAAGCGGTGAAAGTCACCCAGCTCCGTCCTCCTCCGGATGGTTTCATGCACCCATAAACGCCGGCGGCGTCTACTGCGTATGTACAGATATGCGGCAGCACTGATGAACTGAAAACTGAGCTAGTGACATGGATGATGTCACCGGCGACCAGCTGCGACCTGCGACTGCAGCTTTGGACCCGGTGTGAACACACCAGAGCACCCCGCGACGCGACGTGACCGACCAAAGCGACGCGACGCGACCTGGTCGCGTTTGGTCTGAACGCGGCTTAACGTTTAAATAAATATCTGTTCAAACCGTTCAGCTCTTTGCACAAACAAGACAATTACAAAAACAAAGTTTGGGATTTATGGACAGGTTCTGGAGCACTAACTCTTCAGAGTTTGACTTTTAAGAGTTTGTGGGAAGAAAGTGACGCACACAGAGAAGTTTTACTTGTGTCTACTTGTTGACTGTGGTTGACCAAAAGAATCTACACATGGGAGGGTGGAAGAGGCGTACAAAAACCACTGTTTTCGCTTCACTTATCAGATCCAGGTATTCGCCCTCATGAAAACTAAGCCTGAGCCTCATGCACACAAAGATAGAAAATACAACTTCAACTTTATTTTATTTATATGGCACTTTTCCCACAAGTTGTAACACAAAGTGCCTTACAAAGCATAAAAACAAAATGAAACATTAAAATCCCCAAGAAAACCCCAAACCTCCCACCCGCACAATTATACCCATACACACACCCGTGAACATAGACATACAATTCCACACACACAACTTCACATACATACGCATCTACACAGTTAGCAGCTGATGGTGAGGAGACATGACTGGGCACTGAGATCTGAGGTGAGGAAGACGCTACCTTTGGGGGCCACGTCGACTCACAGCATGAGGTTATTTAGTGTAAAAATATGCCAATGACGATATTTCACATTGAGCACCACACGCATTATTTCACTACCTTCCCACACATGCAGAATTGTTTTGCTTCTGTTGAATAGTTACACGTCTGAGCATGTTGAGCTCAAACAGGGGTACAAGGTGTGTGAGTTTGGCAGTGCTGTCACACAGAGGCACCATGAGGGCAGCTTCTCAGGCTCAACAAACAGTACAGAGACTTTCGAGTATGAGTCACATCTCACCCATCTAAAGGTGAGCATCATACCTGGTGATGCATGAATCTATTTTAGTGAGGGCAAACCTCAGGGCTATTTTGAACTCTGTCAAATAAAAAAGATGCACTGTGTCACCACTGACAGCATCGATATCTAACAGTCAACTTACTGACAACTTGACCAACAAATCTAAACAAATGCCTGTTACACACAACTTAATCAAACTATCACGTAAACTGACCTGGTATCAGCTGTTTAAAACAAGAATAGACTCCTTGTGCTTTAACTCCAGGAGGCAAGGATGCAAATATGACCTCAAGATAAAATATGACAACAAAATTAACTTATTTGAGTAATTAAGCATTCTATAACACAATGAGGGGGCCGGCCCCACTCAGGATTAAAAGTGACAAGAGTGAACATTGTTTCAAACTGGCTTTGGATGTTTAAAAAAGGGAACTTTTTTTCTTTTTTTCTAACACTGACAGTATAGTATGTAAAGAATAATGTTCCTTTTACTGGTAGATCACTTAAACAGCTGCCAATATCTGCAACAGACTCACAAATCATAAGAAAAACAACTGTTGTTTCATTCATTTCACAGGAATTCCCACAAAAGAAAGAATAAGAAAGAATCTCTCATCACCAGCTGCTGACCATTCATTTGTCAAACTCTTTGGAAATTGAAAGAAAATGTAAACTTTGCAGTGGAAACTTTCTATTAGTCACTTCATGTGGCAATTCTAAGAAAAGAGCTCTTAAAGAGCAGATTATATGAATATGTCCTTTCAGTTCAACGTGAAAACACTGGACACAAGACAGCAACATCAGTATGTTTCTCAATGTGAGACAATCTGTGTAAAAAAAAGGATAAACACACGGATAAATGTCACTCAGTTCATACTGATTCACACTGAAGCGACACAGGAACAATCTTGTGATGAATGGCACCACTATGTGGTGAAGACTAGCAACTACAATGTTTACAACTAAAACAACTCCTATTCACCACAGCCTAAAGAAAGAAAGAAAGAAATTGCTCTAAATAGAACTGAGTGTTTTGTTTGACTGTGGCAGTAAAATTGTGTTAAAACATGTCTCAGTTACAACTGTAACATTCAAAAAATAAAGCTGTGTGATTTTGTACACCATCTGATACAAAGAGCTTATTCATTTAAAATTCCAAATAACCTTCTAATCTTTAAATAATAAAGATGTTTGCTAATCTAATTATCTTTGTTGTTATCTAAAGTGTTTCTATTATAGCGTACATTTTAAATTGGTGTTCACTTGAACTAGATTGACATTCTTGCATGTACCACACTTTGGATATAGATCTTCAGTGTCCTTTTCCAGGCTTCTGGCCCACGTTGTTCTTCTTTTTGAGGATGTGCCTCAATGTTGCATTCATGAGGAAAGGTTTCTCAGAAGAGCCGTCGTTCACCTCCGAGTCAACCACTAGGAGGCAGCATTAGCAGCATGTTAGAAATAGAGTCACACTGTAAGATTCGATGAAAGGACTAGATGGTACAATCCCCGGGACTATGCATGGCCGGGGCGTCCTCCTCCCTGAGCTAGGCTTGCACCTGACCGCATACCTGAGTGGAAGAGGAGTTGATGCTTTACAGCCATACTTATTCCCTGGGACACATCATCAGTTGTGTCCTCAGATCATGGGGCGTTTCGGCCAATTATCACAAGACGCCCTCAGCTGAGGTAGGCCCACCACAGGTTGATCAGACCTGGGTGTGTGTCCCAGAGTTAAGCATTTGGCTTAGCAGCCCAGATGGTGTCGCTCCTCTTCATCCACAGCCAATGGCTCGTTCTCTCGGCAGTGTTGGCCAGCTCTTTGATGGCCTGTCTGTGAGCTTGTCCCCTGATTCCGACCTCCCTAAGGAGTTTCGCTGTCGAGCTGGCCACAAAACCCCTACAACCCACCTCCACCGGGCGCACCCACGCCTTCCAGCCCCTGTCCTCTGCCTCAGCCGCTAGGTTGGAGTAGCGAAGTTTCTTGCGTTCATACGCTTCTTCGACAGCATCCTCCCAAGGAACTGTCAGCTCTATGATGTAGACGAGCTTGCAGGTGTTAGACCATAGGACAAGGTCTGGACGTAGGGTGGTCGTTGCGATCTCTGGGGGGAAAACGAGTCTCCGATCCAAGTCAGCCTGCATTTGCCAGTCTCTGGCTGCATTCAGCGGGCCCAGGTCAGAGTGTGGAACCCTTGCTCTCTGCTTTTCCCCCTCCCGAACAAACAATGGTGGGTGTTGCCGCACATCCTGGTTGTTGGTGGGTAGGGCGTTGATGGAAACCCTCTTGCACTCAAGTTTGTCAGCCAGACACCTGAGGACCTGGTTGTGTCTGCATGTATATTTGCCTTGAGTGAGGCTGGTTTTACAGCCCACCATGATGTGCTTAAGTGTTGCTGGGGTTGTACACAGGGGGCACGCTGGGTCCTTTCCAAACCATTGTTGCAGGTTTATGGGAGATGGTAGCACATCGTATGTTGCTCGAACGATGAAGCTCAACCGGTTGGATTCCATGCCCCAGAGTTCGCTCCATGTGAGCTTCTTCTTCTCGACACCCTCCCACCTCATCCAGCGGCCCTGTTTGGCTTGTGCTACTGCTTTGGATCGTCTGGTTGCTTCCTCCTGTCGGCGCACCTCCTCTACGACCATGGTTCGTCGCTCGGCGGTAGATGCCTTTCGCCAGAGAGGAGTTACAGCTCCAAGGCCAAAACCTGCTCTGCCTTGCTGGACATGGCCCACTACATCACGGTGGAGGAGAGCAGATTTGGCCTGTAGGACAGCTGTGGCTGGGGTCCACTTCCTCCCTGTTGCCAAGGTGGGAGGGGCTCCTCTCACTACAGGGTCCCGGGAATCAGTGAGGGACATCTCCAGCCTCACCTTCGCACACTTGAACTCTTCAACCACGCTGGAGATGGGCAGTGACAAGGCTCCGTCGCTGTAGAGTCCAACGCTGCTGAAGCACCTTGGGAGTCCGAGCCACTTCCTCACATGGGAGTTCACCAGCCTTTCCAAGCGATTAGCATGGCGTATAGAGACCTCATACATGGTCAGCGGCCATTGAAGTCTGGGTAACAGCCCAAACTGGAGGCACCAGAGCTTCAGTTTCCCTGGTAGTGCAGTGATGTTGATCTGCCTAAGGCCGTTGGCTGTGTCCTACCGCAGCTGTTCGATTTGCTGGGTGTCTCTGAGGTCTGCATTATACCATCGTCCAAGGCTCTTGATGGGCTTCTCTAGGAGTGTTGGGATTGGTTCACCGCTGATGTGGAACCGCTCACCTGTCAGTTGGCCTTTGACGATGGAAATGCTGCGTGACTTGCTTGGTTTGAAGTCCATTCGCGCCCACTGGATGTTTTCCTGGAGTTTCTGCAGCAAGCGTCTCGTACATGGTTTTGTTGTTGTTACGACGGTCATATCGTCCATATAGGCTCTAATAGGCGGAAGACGCAGGCCACTCTTGGTCCTCTCACCTCCCACTACCCAGCGGGATGCCCGTATGACCAACTCCATTGCCATGACGAATGCTAGTGGAGAAATTGTGCAGCCCGCCATGATGCCGATTTCCAGATGCTGCCAAGCGGTGGTGTTGCCCTCAGATGTTACACAGAACTGGAGATCTTGGAAGTAGCTCTTGACCAATTCTGTGATGTGGCCTGGTACGCCAAAGAAGTTGAAGGCCGTCCACAAGGTCTTGTGAGGGACTGACCCAAAAGCGTTGGCGAGGTCTAGGAAGACCACATGTAGATCTCTCCGTTCCTTTTTTGCAGCTTGTATCTGGTGCCAGATCATATTGGCGTGCTCCAGGCATCCTGAGAAACCCTGAATCCCGGCTTTCTGCACTGATGTATCAACAAAGTTGTTTCTTTGGAGGAATGCAGAGAGCCTTTGGGCAACGACACTAAAGAAGATCTTCCCCTCCACATTCAGCAGGCTGATCTGACGAAACTGGCCTATGGATGACGAGTCCTTCTCTTTGGGGATCAGGATGCCTCCTGCTCTTCGCCATGCTCTCGGGATCACACCTTTCTTCCATGCTACCTTCATCAGCTTCCACAGGTATCTGAGGGCCCAGGTGCCGACGCCGATCTTGCCTGCTTCACAGTCTTCTCCACCTCGCTCCATGTGGGGGGTCTTATGTCCATTTGGTGTTCAGGTGCATGAATTGGTGGCATGTCGTTTGGGATAATGACTGGCTCATGCTTCCGATCATCAGAGTACGTCTTACTCAGGTGCTCTTCCAGATCTTTTATGGGCACCTTGAGGCTCCCGCTCTTCTCTTGCTCAAAGAGGCCTTTGACAAAACTGTAGGGATTGCTAAAGAAGAGGGTTCTTGTACGTTCTTTCCTCTTGCGTTGTCGTCTGAGGTAGTCTGCTCTTCGCAACTTTGTTAGGCGCTGCTTTATTTCAGCCTGCAGAACTTCAATTCCCTCTCTTTCCATCTCTGTAGCCTTTCTCCACAGCTTTCTCAACTGTCTTCTTTCTTTCACCAAGCTTTCAATTTCACGCTGCCTCCTGGACTTGGACTGGTTTGGAGGGCCTTTCTGCTGCCTCTGTGCCTTGTGCTTTACCCCAAATCGCTCGGCGCCATAGCTGTAAATGACGGCACCCATATTGTCCAGTTTTCTTTCAACAGGACCCTTCTGCTGTTCTAAAAGAAGGACCAGGTCTGCGTCAATGGTCTCCCACTCTCTCTTCTGGTTGGATTTGGGCCACAGGATCAGAGGTTTCCTTCCTTCCATCTTTCTCTCTGTTGCAGGCAGAGGCTGGCTGGGCTCAGTGTTGGAACCTGCTGCTGATTGGTTGAGGTCCGGGATGGAGACTTCTGCTGACTGGCTGGGCTCCGGGATGGAGACTGCTGCTGGTTGGATGGGTTCCGAGTTGGAGACTGCTGCTGGCTGACTGGGTTCCGAGCTGGAGACTACTGGTGGCTGGCTAGGCTCCAAGTTGGAGACTGTTGGAGGGTCTATGCGACTCTGAGCTTCATTTGAGGTGCTGATACCCTGAGGACTGTGGGGGTTCTCCTGCCTCCGGGCTTCACTCGACTGATTTGATCTAGTTCTTAAGAAGTACTGATCAATGCGGGACCCCTTGCTGAGCTCGATGAGGCATTTCTTTTTGCCTTGATGGATTTTTAGGCCCCTCGCTGTTGTTATCTTTGACCAGCCACAGATGCAGCGCTGCAGCATTTGTCCTGTTGGTGAGTCATTAGTTGCTGTGCTGGTTCCGTTCGTTGTCAGTTCCGTTCCATTGTCTGTCACCGTGAGATCCGTCCGTACTGGGTCATCTTCCGCCCCCGCTCTCGCAGACCCTGGGGGTATTTTCTTCCTTGACTTTTCCGTAGCAATGAGGGGTGGAACCAGAAACACTATGTAGCGCTGGGTCCTGCCAGTATGGGTTGCTAACCCACACCAGCCCCGTTGGGGTCTATTCCCTCCAGTCAGCAGTCTTTCCAGGCCGTCATCAGGTCTTTCCCTGATTGTCAGTTGCTCTTTCGCAGCGGTCACTGGATCTTTTCCAGAAGTAAGATTCGATGAAAGGACTAGATGGTACAATCCCCGGGACTATGCATGGCAGGGAAGTCCTCCTCCCTGAGCTAGGCTATTGTAAGAAAAGAGCTCTTAAAGAGCAGATTATATCAATATGTCCTTTCAGTTCAACGTGAAAACACTGGACACAAGACAGCAACATCAGTATGTTTCTCAATGTGAGACAATCTGTGTAAAAAAAAGGATAAACACACGGATAAATGTCACTCAGTTCATACTGATTCACACTGAAGCGACACAGGAACAATCTTGTGATGAATGGCACCACTATGTGGTGAAGACTAGCAACTACAATGTTTACAACTAAAACAACTCCTATTCACCACAGCCTAAAGAAAGAAAGAAAGAAATTGCTCTAAATAGAACTGAGTGTTTTGTTTGACTGTGGCAGTAAAATTGTGTTAAAACATGTCTCAGTTACAACTGTAACATTCAAAAAATAAAGCTGTGTGATTTTGTACACCATCTGATACAAAGAGCTTATTCATTTAAAATTCCAAATAACCTTCTAATCTTTAAATAATAAAGATGTTTGCTAATCTAATTATCTTTGTTGTTATCTAAAGTGTTTCTATTATAGCGTACATTTTAAATTGGTGTTCACTTGAACTAGATTGACATTCTTGCATGTACCACACTTTGGATATAGATCTTCAGTGTCCTTTTCCAGGCTTCTGGCCCACGTTGTTCTTCTTTTTGAGGATGTGCCTCAATGTTGCATTCATGAGGAAAGGTTTCTCAGAAGAGCCGTCGTTCACCTCCGAGTCAACCACTAGGAGGCAGCATTAGCAGCATGTTAGAAATAGAGTCACACTGTACAGAGAACTGAATCTCCGGTTATCTGTCATCATCTCAATTTTGAACTCCAAAATCAGACCTAAAGTACTGTGAAAATGCACTAGACAATACTTAAACCATTTATGTTTATTCCAAAAAATGATTCACATTTCATTGGATTTCATTGATAAAAAAAATTCTCCTATACAAAAAGAACACTGAATAACCTCCAGAGAGATGCGTGTATTATACTTAGTATTAAAACAGCACTACATCTGAACCATCCAATAAAAAAATTACCAAAAATGGCTTTGACATCCTTTTATAAACTGTATTTCAAAAGGTTCCTGGTGTTAGGTCTAAAACCACAGAAGAAGAGGAACATTTTATTTTATTTTTTTTACACAACTAGGCACATAAACTAGTGGCTGCATTCAGAAGTTTCCTGAAAAACTGTCAGGTTCTTTCAAAGTTGAAGCAAAAACTCTCAAACATCCTATGAAGTCTTGACCTCCCACATAGTCTCTCTCTGTCTGGTTTACAGTACGTCTTTTCACCATGATGGAAACTTCGAAATGATTATGATTTTTTTTAAATTTTTTTTTAAAGATGTTAAATAAAAGAAACCTTTTGCTAAGTGCAGAATTACACACCATTTTTGGACCTGTGCATTTGTGTTAGTATAAATACTGTGGACCAAAGCAACCTATAAAACCAATGGTAAACATCAACAACCAGCAAAGTAATCATGCTAGACGGAGGAAATAAATCACATGGTTCTTTTCCCATATGTGAAAGTGCATACACTTTTACACTAGAAGACCAATGTGCGACAAGAGGGTGCCCTGTTAAGTCCACCACTGTGTCAGGGTGTTGCCTAATGTCTTTTGTCCATCAGTGGCATCTGTACAGTTTAAGGTCCTCAAGTTTGTTGGGGTATTAATCTCAGCCTGTGCGCCTGTCCTGCCCGTTGACACGTCTCCTCTCAGTAAGGCAGAGGTCAGCAGAGAATACAGAGAAGAAAAAAAGAACTGAAGCATGGCAGAAGAAAAGAAAAAAGAGGCAAGTATCTGAGTTGGCTCGAGAGAGGAAGTAAACAGATGTCTTTTTTTTCTAGTCCCCCATGCCTTTTCTGTGAGGATCTGAAGTAAAAGCACGTCCATTCATGTCCAGGTCATCCCTGACCAGGCGTGGATGCATCCAGTTTTGATGTTTAGCCCTACAGTTTTCGCTCTCAAACGTTCAGCCCCCCCGACACATACAGCAGATATGGAGAAGTGATTGAGAGAGTCAGCAGTTCAGTTTTTTTTAAAAAAGAGTCGTGCATTGCTCAGGAGGCAGCACTTTGTTTGGCACCCTCCTCTCCTTTACGCAGGATTTTATGCAGCCCAGGTGACATGTAGTAGGGCCTGGAGGAAGAACCATCATTCCTCTCCAGGTCTTCACCTGAGACCGGGTCCCAGCGCAGGAGAGGAGAAGCAGGAAGAGCAGAGCGACAGCCGGAAAAGAGAAGAGAAAAGGAAAGGGAGGACTTAGTGGAGATTTTGTGCAGAGAGGTCGTGCAGGAGTTATAAAAGAGCTGAGTGAGTCGGTATTAGATTCAGTTTTCATTCAGAGACAGTTTTCGAAAGGGGAAAGATAATTAGCATACTTACAAAAGCACAGGAACAACGTGTCCACGCACATGGCATAGACACTGAAGAAGCCGTGTGCGATCATGTAGGATCCAAATATCACCGTCTGAAAGAATCAACAAGTTTAGTCACCAGTGTGCTATTGTCACTACAGTTATTTGCACTCAAACAAACACAAAAACATCATGAAGCAAATGAAGCATTAGGACCCTAATCCTTCAACAAACCTAATTAGCTGATGCCACACTGTAATCTGATATGAGTGGAAGAACTGAAGCTGTTGTAACAAAAACATGCTAACAGGAAGAGCATCAGTGGTGCTGCCTGACCCAGAAAAATAAAATCTGCGAACAGTTTTTCCCCCTGTACCAAAGAGGACATTTTAATGATGCACCTCTGAGTATCGATAACATCTTTAGCGTGCACAGCAATTAGTTCAAATCAGAATACACATCAATCTTCCCACACAATGTATAAATTCGTCACTACTGGTTCAACTGTTTGTAAAAACATCCTGCACTTTAAATCCTTACCACAAGTGGGACCCAGTAGTAATTTAGGGATGGTACCTCTTCTTGAATGACCGGTATTTTACGAGTGAAGAAGAAAAAAGCGAGAACACCTGGAATAAAAGGAGATCAAATGATGGAGTAAGGCTTTCTCACTGGAAGCAAATCACAGCAACACACTTTGGCCTTGCCAGTGGCAGAACTGCAACAAAATGTACCTTTATGTCAATCGTATATTTTTGTAATGGGATCCTGAGGGTAACAAGAAATTATTTGTTTTTAAGATCTAACAAGTCAAGCAGCATTTAAGGCCTGTTAAAACTTTCAACAAGACATTTAGAGCTTTTCAAAGGCCAGCAGATAATCTCAGCAACTGTGAACCATCTGAGTTGATTTTTCCATCCTCTTAAAATTCAGAAGGATGCCTCACCCTGTCTTTACTCTTCTTATGTCACTTTACAGACTGGAGGTGACATTAAACTCACCAACACTTCCTGAAATAAGCAGTTTCCCCAAGAGAAGCAGAAAGTCTGTCACCTTGTCCAGGACAGTAACCCTATGGAGAAGGCAGAGACAAGGCAAAGAGGAGGAGATATGTCATGCACGTAGACACAGACTCAAGAAAGATCAATGAAAGCGCACAAACTACTGAGCACATGGCGGTGAGGAGGCTTCAAAGGAGAAAGAAAGTTCTTACCGAATAACATTCCTCATCAAGAGGAAGAAAGCATCCTTGGAGGAGGTGCAAAAGTTCTTTCCATATATTGCTATCTGTGATGGAAAAAAGAGGGCGCTTATTAGAGAATATAAAGAGCTGAAGTACAAATCAGGCCAACTAGCAACTGATCTGACTGCAGACACTCACCATGATGTATGCATTTCTGTTTATAAACCTGATGGCATGTTCCAGGCACCAGAAGCAGCATTTGAGGCAACTGATCAGGAATCGAGCACACCTATTCTGAGAACCTGTAACAATGTCACCCATGAAGACACTGTTTGAAATGATCATTAAAATGTTTTAGAGCGAGGTTTCCTTTTTCAGTTGTAGGACTCACCTTTCAGCTTGTGATCCAGGTATTCAAGAACGATTCGGATCAGTTGACCCACTGAAAGGATCAGAGAACCAAAGGCAAGAGAACCTGTGTGGTAACTGGGAAAACAAGAGAGAAAATCGATACGGGGAGTTCATGCCTGTACTTGGAACAGTGTTGTTTTCATTGACTAAAGATGACTAAAAGATTAGATAACTAGATGATGATTAGATGACGACGAACAGAGTTGCAAATTTCATGAGCATTTCTTCATTCAAACGCTAAACATATATTCTGCAGTGTTGTTTTTGTTGACGAGGACGTTGACGAAATATTTTCTTCAACGTCATCGTCAACGACAACAACACTGATTTGGAAATAACCATTTATAGTTGTGTTATACAACTCAAACCTGACTTTGTTTGAGTGAAATAACAAGAATGTAAAAAGGACATCTGCTGGAGCTCCTCACCGAATAGCCCTGCTAAAACTAGAGTAGAGCGGGCAAACAGGGATGTCGCTCGGCTTCTTGTGGGCCCAGTAGTAGGAAGCGAAGGTCCCAGCCAGGGTGCACTGGCCCAGCGCGATGGTGAAGTTGACCAGCCAGAGGAATGCGAACAGATTACACAGATGGAGGACAAAGATGTAGCGGTGGTACACACTCTCCCCGCCATAGAAGGCAAACATGCATTGTGAGCCAGGACACACTTTGGTGATGTTAGTCTGACTGAAGGTCTGAAAAAAGAGAAGAATTTATCTCAGTGTGTCATCAGGATTATTCACTTAAGCATATTTGTACACACTGACTTACTAACAGGGCAGACTACTCAATCACAAAAAAGTAACTGTCACTTTTTATCTGCTTGACTTTCCCTGTTTCTCTGTTGTGCATGATCAGGAGTCATTTTCTTTTTTTATTTCCTAGTTTAATGAAAATTAATGAAAAGCTGTGCTCCATTTAATCCTAGTGTGTTTCACATCGTATCATATCATATCGTGCTTCATCAAATCATGTATCCTCTCATACAGGCTCATTTTACTCTGCCAGGAGGTAATTAAGAAATTCTGTCAAATAAGGGTTTAAAACTGTCAGCCACTAATGTGAACTCCATCTATGTTATTAATTGATTCTAATGGTTTTAAGAAAGATTTCACCATCAGTGGATTTCACTAGTTGGAAAAAAAAGAGCTATTACTCTGTATTCACTCTGACTGACAAAAGCTGTGTGATGAAAAATTACCTAAGATATACTTCAAAAATGTAGTAGAGAAAAAACACAGTATTAAAAGTGACACCTGTTACTTTTTTTCTTTTTCTTTTTGACTGACAGAGAATTCCTTTGGTAAATGCAGAAAGGAGATGACCAACCTTTGGACTGCATGTGATGTTGGCATACATGCACTTATCGTCAACAGGTGTGACCTTGTAGACTGCATTACCAGAGGATGCTAAGAGGCTGGGGGAAAACTAGTTAAAGGCAACACAGAGGGACAATTTTCACACACAACAATTAACTATTACCTACAAGATAGCGACTGTTTAGTTCGATTACTTCTCGCTACATGCTGTCAACACAAAGCTAGGTCTGACAAATCCTGCACTAGGATGTAAATCTCATTAAATATCAAGTGAAGGGAGTTTAATCCACTTTGCAAAGATATGTTAGTTACAGGGTCATGTGAGTTGACTACCACGGCTACAACAGAATACACAGAAGTAGTAAAATTCATGTACTTCTTAATAAAGCTGTGAATCATCATGAAGGATACACTGCTATGACGGCCCAAAATGCGATGCAGATGGCCAGAAGGAAGAAGGTGATGATAGGGTAGAAGAGAGTGGACATGGTGTAGCTGATGGCCCTACAAAAAAAAAAAAAAACATCTCAAAAATTGTGTTGTGTGCATTTAAAGACACTCTCCGCTGAAAGTCATGTTTTTCTTGTTGCCTAAATGTTTATATGGCATTTTTCTGATGCTTAAAGTAAGTGCGAAATTGCATTTCTGAGTATTTCTGCATTCAAATTGCTCTGAATCTCTGGCAGGTTCTGATACAGTGAGACTTCCGATGTCACAAATCCAAGCTCCGCCCCCGGAACCCCGCTCTCCAGGCCAGAACCGGAAAAGTAGAGAGGATGATTGAGGAACAAGCGTGTGCATTAGCGGACTGCAATGTTTGTAAGAAAGCTAATTATGATATTAACTTTAATCATGTTCGTAAAGACATTACTGTCCAGGAGCTGAATAGATCTTATGTTACCTGCCACTTCTACTACACCGTCAATGTTAGGCTACAAGCTAGCGTGAGGAGGAGTGTGCAGAGCAGAGCTCTCTCCGCCCACAACTCAGAGGCGAATTGCTACTGAGCTACTGGAGCTCTGCTGAAGAAAAGCCCTTGAAAATGACACAGGTAACACGATTTTGGCTAAAAACTTCAAAATCACAATTTAAAAGAGCACTGATAACACTCTAAGAAGTAAAAAAAAAACAATCGCAGTGGGACTTCAAAAGAGAGTTGCATATATCATTGAATATGAGAGAGTCAACAGAGCTTGAAAGCATACAAACCTGCTCGCCTCCTTCAGTAATGCTATAGCAATGCGCAGCCTCTTCCTCAGGAATATCAGAATGATAACAATGATAGCCTCAATCACAGAGAGTGAGATCACTGAAATACAAATGATGTGTTATCAGTCAGTGAAAATGCAGTTTATGTTGAAAGTAAAGGTAAGGGTATAAATGTAGAAGATGACAGCATACTGAAGATGAGCCAAGTTTGGCTGAGCTGAAGGTAAATACTGAAGTCTGTGATGAAGCCAATGTCACTGATGGTGACATTAGCACCTGGCTTTCCACTCAGGGTAATAAACTCCCAGTAGCAGTGCCAAATACCTAAGAGACAGAGAAACAAGCAGGAAAGGGTGAGAGCCAGAAAATGATGCAACAATGGTGAGATAAGTTAATTCTGCCACACTTAGCAATTAGGGCACAATAGTTCCCTGGAAAGGAAAGGGAACATGTGAAAGAAATAAAGTTATTATCTCCAAAAAGTTTACCAAGTCAACAGTAGCCACTAGCAACGCAGTTTGCCAAATAACAAACTCACCAAAGGCGACTGCAGCGATGACACCAAAAATAATGAGCCACAGGAGCACACCAGCAGTGAAGCGCAGCAGCAGGATGAAGACCAGACTGACCACCATAGTTATCACCAGACCACTGCAACAACACAAACACACAAGAAAGTAAGCCACACTGAACTGGTGACAGCTTAAGCTAATAGGTTCATTAAGGATTTAGAAAGATGTTTGGCAAATAGGAACAGGTGCAGAAAATTCCTCCACCCTCTGAGAATCAAATCAAACAAATATTTAAGAGCAAATATGAAAAAAATAAATAAAATTAAAGTAAATTATTCTCACATGAGGATCCAGTCCCAGGAATTTGCATAATCCTCGAAGATCTTCATGCCAACTTCTTTGGCATTCAGCATTTGGGTGATATTTCTGTGATGGAGCAACAAGGTGAGGAGAGAAAAAGTGGGATAGTGAGGAGGAGACAAAAAAGGATTGATGGAGAGCCCAGAGAGGAGCCGTGACAGGATTATGTTATAGCCTCTAATAAGTTAATCATTAGGGTGTATCAAAAACATTTCGGAAACTTTTTCTTTCTCAGTCTTTATTACCCTCTCTGCAAAACAAATGAAATCCAGCTTCAAAATGTTATGTGGATATGGAGGGGGAGTTGGAAGTCCACTACCTGAGCCACAGTATAGGAGTTTGGTATGGCAGTGAGTGGTTTAGCAGTGTGTTAATGACTGTATCAGGTTATTGGGAATGCTTTCATGACTCAGATATGATATTTTTTTGTAAGTGACCCTCTGTCTCAAGAGATCCTGACTCATCTTTTCTCAACTCAAATGAGATCAGTGTGGGTGTGGAGATGCCCATACCACCAGCTATAAACTTGCATGGGACAAATTGAGATAATACAAAGTCCCATTAAACAGCAACTGACAGTTTGGGTTGAGCTTTTCCCTTCAGTTGAAATCTTCATGAAAAAGTGAAACTACAACACGGGTGGCAATGTCAGAACAGAAGTACTGCAAAGTCTCACTGCAGATACACTGCCCTATGACTCAGATAAATACAGTAAAGACAGAAGGAGAGAGGGCAGGCTAACTTTGCTATGGGACAAACAGAACAGTAACAGGCAGTTCTGAAAACAACCCTGTGATGAAAAGCTCTAATTTAGCTCCCTAAAGGTCACTGAAACCCTGTCCAACGAGGAGAGTTTGCACCCTATCCAGCTCTGTTATGCAATCTTGCATTAAAATCAAATCCAAAGGGGAGAGGCTAATGAACACCAGGGGGCACCCCATCACTCTCTACATTATTAGACAGAGGCAAGTGACTTGTTTTTTTAGGTTGTTAAATGCCAAAATACTGTCGATCTGTCCGAATTCCTGTCCACTTTTGCAGGTGGAGGGAAGCAGGAGCAGATTCTCTAGCATGAAGAGCACAAGCAGGAGGATTAGTCTACTTCAAGCTACAGCAAAGGCGACGTTAAAAAGCTGAGGGAAATAATTCTTGAGACCTTTCCACTCCTTGCTGCACAGCAGTAATTTGGCTAAAAAACAGAAGCAATAAAACACATTTTAAACCAGGCAAGTTAGGGCGAACAAAGCAAAGACAGAATCATGTATGTGTAAAATATCAGCTCACTGGGTTGGATACATGATTTTAGCTGTTTTTCAAAGTTCTGCCAATTTGTATGTTGATAGCATGGATTTACAAAGCAAAGGTAAGCTTTTATGAACCCCCAAAGTTCTACTGTTGAACTCTTAAGCGAGTTGAGCTTTCATGCAATAAACATGCAAACAACTCTGAATGTGTTTTGACACATTCCTGGGCATCGGTGAGATCATGCCCACATGTCCTACCCTTTAATTTTTGTCCAGAGATCTCTGGGTGCAGTGATGGCAACCCTACACACAGTATAAGAGTTTTCATTTACAGGTTCAGTTATATATATTCATCCAGTTTAACTCCTGCAGTAACGTGAACTCTTCATCTACAGATCGTGACTTTTTCTTACATAACTGTTTAAACAACAAAGAGCGAGAGAGTCCCACTTCAGGGCGGCAGATCTTACTTGGCAGCATCTCTGAGGTCACTGACACTTCTCTTGTTGTTGTCACCGTCTGTGAAGATGGTCTGATTGGCTACGGTTAAGATTCCATTTCTTGTGATGAAATCAGGGAAGCACCGCTGAAGAACTGAAAAACATTTTAGACATTTTTTTTTTACTCTTTAGTGGAATGAAGAACAAATAATAAGCTTCTGCAGGATACTGAGTCATCCACAAATACTTACAAGGTTTGCTTGGCACGATCATAGGCGGGCAGTCTTCATCGCGAATAACCTCTGTTAGTGCCTACAAAAGGGAAAAGAAGGAAAACATTGTGGCAAAAATTTTAATGATTGGAAACTAAATTTAACCCTGATTAATTCAACACATTATTCATCGATGTTAGACAAGAATTGTAGGAGCTAATCTCTCAAGTTAAGCGACCTCTCCTGAATTTATGTGAATCAATTGATTTCTTACAAACTTAAATGACACAAACACTAAAAACGTGAAGTTTAGTCTATGAAATCAGAAAAATAATATCATGCACATGAGTAACATCAGTAGGGTTGATATTTTGTCATGTTTAAATGAAAGATTTAAATTTAAAAAGGAGATTAACATTATCATGAGTATTCTGTCAGAAACATCTACATTTTTGGGATTTTATCAGGGTGTATGAGAAATATCATTAATCATGAATAACACTGGGTCAGATGACGTCTGTCTGATGTAACAGTTTCATACTTAAGATGATGTAGGAAGGAAAATCAATGATTCAGTTCAAACAGTACGCTTGAGCTGTTCGGTGCTCCCACACAGCACCTCACTCTGGTCCTTACACACCATCATGCCACCGTCACTGACACTGAGACGCTGCCAAACGCCAGCAGAGCTGAGATGTGCATCAATGGTTGCTATCTCACTTCCGCTTGTCTCTACGAAGTACATTCAGTTTGAGTGAGACCTTCATTGTGATGACTTTTCTGAAATCTGTGGATGGTTGGTGAGGCACTACAACTAGGATGATAAAAGTATTGGGAGAGGTATGCAAAAGCACATAATTTGTCTGAAAGACTAGCAAACATGACCCGAGAGTCAAAAAATATAACCTCGACAACATCACAATGAGGAGTAAGACCTCAATCTTAAAAAAAAAAAAAAAAAACGCAAAGTTAAAAAAAAAATTCTGCTTGTTAGAAAATAACCCAGAAGGACCTCTAACAACACTCTCTCACCTTGCTGCCAATCTCAAAGCCCGGCTTGCAGAATTTCTTGTAATATTCCCAGTTTTTGGTATTCCACGCATCCAGCAGAGTGGCAAATCTGTCAGGGCACTTGGAGACACAGAGCTGCAGGAAGCAACACGTCTTTTTAATGAGAGAGCCCATCAATCTTGGATAATCAAGCGTGGAGGAAAAGTTGGGGAGCAACATACAGCCGAGTAGAAATATGCTGCTGGAGGGGGCTTCGGTCAGCCTCTTACCTGGGTTGTAGGGCACTGGAGGTTAATTAAAACGGCAGGGTTGGCACATTTCAACATGTTGAAGTAGAATAATATGGCTTTGTTTCTGTGGAGGCAAATAATGGAGACAATGAGTTGATTCTAGTTTGAAAGACTGGTTTATCAGCAAGCACACACACACACACACACACACACACACACACACACACACACACACACACACACACACACACACACACACACACACACACACACACACACACACACACAGGAAGGAAAGGGAGTATGTGAAGCCTGCCACAATGAGTCACAAGCTATCTCTCTGTATAACAGTCAAAGATCTTGTTTTTTTTTTTCAATGTAAAGACAAAAATGAAAAGGCAACAGACACATAGGTGGATTGTTAAAGCCCTGAGCAGACATGTATCCCTTCACTACACAAGAAGATGAAATTAATAACATGTATAGGTGCAAGTCCAGGAGGAACATTACTTTTCATTAAAGGTCCTTAGACACCGGGGCCGACAGGAATGTAGAACGCAAAATCACGAAATATTCGTAGGCGAATTTTTTACACATTTGCGACTTTCCGGGGGAAAAAGACACATCCCGGGAAAGACTTTCCCAGGGGAAAGTTCTACCTCCTTCGCCTCTGATTGGCTGGAAAAGCTGGAAACGTCATGACATGCTCAAGCCAAACGGTCAGCACTTATAGCCAATCAGAGGCGAAGGAGGGTGGGACCTTCCCTTAACAACCTACAGCGCCGAGGACAAAAATGGAGTCTACTTCAACTTCAAGTGATGGCGAATTGGTACTTCTTTTGCTTTCTCAAAAGAAAAAGAAAGGTAGCACATGGGTGCATCCAATATTACAAAAAAAGAAGAGAACTTGGTGAGTTTCACTGCTTGGTTCAGGAGCTAAAACTGTACCACGGTCGCTTCAGAACCTGTTTTTGGATGTCTGTTGGACAATTTGAAGTTCTGTTGAAACAATTAGCTCCAAGTTTGAAGAGGCAGAGGACTAGACACTAGTGTTGAGATGGCTTTCTGTCATGATAACCTGTACTGAGTCAGGCCAGTACCAGATGAGCACATGAAACTATGGTAACAACCGTTAGCTTATGTTAGCACAGATGAAAGTTAAAACAAAGACGTTTGGCAGACTGTTAAAGCACACAAAACATCGTCATATCAGAAATCCAACGCATTACAAATCGTTGTAATGTGTGTGTACACGATCACAAGCATTCAGTGGCCGGCCATGTTGGATATACCGTGAATCTGACGTCGCAACAACACCCAATCTGATTGGTCAGAAGTGGACACACAGTATGCAAGACTTCAGAAATATCGACCATGATCCGAAAAAATAAATGCCGCAATATCGCAGGATGGGAAAACCTTGCTGATGTGAAAACTTGTATTGACAGGATATGGGTCTGAAAAAAACATATTGACGTCTGAAATTATCTCACGACAAAAACGGTCCCGGTGTGAAAGGACCTTAAGACAGATATTTTTCCACTCACGCATTAGAGGTGTTCTGTTGACCACAGAATTGACCGTGGCTGTCAGTTGGGTAGACAACCTTCCTGATGTCGCCATGGAGCCAAGCTGCAAACACAACATAGCTGTTTAACTTACATTGCAGGGGTACTAGACACATTCTACTGTAACAGCATGTGAGACGGTCGTGTTCTACCATCTCTTTTTGTGGTAACCAAGGATAAATTACAGACAAAATTAACTAGGAAACAATGGACATGTATAGTGAGGACTGCATGGATGCATGTCAATAAAGAAGAAACATCTACACACATAAAAGAAGACAAACAGAAAAATCAATCCGGCTTAATTCGTTCAGTTCTGTTCCTCTAGATAGAACTAGCAGCAACCTCCAAATTCAATTTACCAGGCAATTCATGTGTTTCATTTGTTTGCCCAATTTCAACAGCACCCTGTTAAGGCCTTTCACCTTGCCAGTCAATGAAGCGTTGTGCTGAGCAGCACAACAAAAGGTAATCTTCAAGTCTTTGACACACCAAAGATGATGAAACTGAGGAATTATGCTGAGGGAACACCAAGTTTTGCTGATTCCAGACATGTCAGAGTCTATTTGATGTTACATCCATCGCCATGGCTCCTGCTCTTCTTAAATTATTGGGAAACAGTTAGCCAGCCCGTCTCACGCCCAGGTTTAGATGTGACTCCACTGAAAAAGAGCTAGTGAGGGATGGCACTTTGTTAACCCCAGTAGGGTTTAATTTACCCTTTTGAGTTGTTTAAAATAATGTGACTTAGAAATAAAGGTGAGCTGGTATATTTTTGTATCTGAGTTTTAAAAGGTGGCAGAGATTGGCAGTGATAATAAGAACATCAGCAGAAAGAGAAAAACATAAAAAAAGAGGGGGGAAGGGGAGGAGAGCTGAAAGGTAGATTCACAAGCCTGCTGTCAGTTGCAGATGAGGTCAACTCTGTCACACTTAAGCTCCTGTGAGGAGATTTTCAGCGAGGTATCCATCTGACACAAATCAGTATTGATGTCTTCTTATGAACCCAAAGCAAACAAGACCATTCACAAGAGGTCTGTGTATTTCAATTGAGTTATTTATCCTGTCGGAAACCACAGGAGCTGTAATCGCACTAAACAGTTTAATGATAATTTGATTGAAACAACAGCAAGAGGGAATCAACGGTCACCCAGTCACAAACTTCAAAGAGGACATCTCAACAACTTTATATAAAGGTTACTTCAAGTCACTACAAGTGTGAGCAATACAAGCTGCATGTTGTGGAGAGGCCATTTATTCAAAGAATAGCTCGTTCTCTGGGGGAGCTGCATTACTCAGCTCCCCCGCACTTTTAACAATCAGGCAATTTGTTGAATAACCCACCATGAAATTATGAATATTTAAAATTAACTAACAAAAAAACTTTTTTTCTCCTCAAGTGTCAGTCAGTTTGAGAAGATGAGCATGTCCCCTTTGTGTGTGGTTCATTAAAGTTTTCCTTTTTTTTTTGTTATACATAGCTTGCAGGCAGACGCGTTTCGCTGAAGATCAGGATAAGTGAGCAGTTCAGTTCTTTCCAACCATATCCACACAGGAAGATATTACTACCACTGTGAGCGTGCGTGTTTATGTGTGCAGTTATGTTTCATTACGAAGCTCTGTGTGATGTAATCAGCAGCAATGTGTCAAACTCACCCACAGTACCCAGAATGATGTAGCCGAGGATGACAATGATGAAGATAACACAGCAAACCACATCAGTGCAGCTCCTAGGAACAAACGAGAGATGTGTGACAGGAAAAGAGAAGATTATCAACGGGTAAAAAAATAGGGTTATTAAGGAAGAGTTGGATGCTGAAGGCCTTTTCCCAAATCAGTATCATAAGTAAATACTTGTTTTAATATTTCCTTTGGAGGAAACGGAAAATTATCCCCTTCTCTTCATGCACATTGTGTGTTCAACAATTTGGTTTGTTGAATTAAAAGTGAGTGTGAGCTCTATTTTTAGGTGCAGGGCTTGCTGCCAGGCATGACAAGGTGTCCAATGTGTTCTGTCTTTTTTTTTCCACCAAAACTGTAGTAGAGCTCTACTGACTTTCTAATGAGACCCTGAACCCCCCCTCTGAGTTAACTGTCCCACAGGCACAGAGGCAGCTATTTGAAGATTCCTTCTCTCTCTCTCTCTTTCCCCACAGCAGGCCCACTCTGCTACTTTAAAGAAGCATCTCAGAGTCCCCCCCTTCTCTCTCTCTGAGTCTTCTGTACTGTCTCACTGTCCGTCTCCCCTAACAAGCTTTCCTCCCTCCTTCCCACTCTAAATGTAGCTGTCAGTCCAGCCCCTTTCTCAGCCCTCCTTCAAAACTATTCAGACTATGAGTGCTGTGAGCCCAAGCTTGACTAAAGCCAAGCTCAATCTGCTGTGCCTGGTAGTACCACACAAGGGACAAGCACAGCTTTTCACTAACACTATACCGGACACAAAGTGACCTGAGATCCTCATTTCCTCTCGCTTTCCTCCCCTCTTTCATCCACAGGAGCAAGGTCAATGTCAAAAAGAGGCCCGAGCTAAGACGTGACAATGTTTCTTCTGTAGTCCTTTGAAGGCTGCATTTTTCTTGTTTGGTATGCAGGGTGGTGACATGGGTCCATACAGGCGTCGCATGTTCGCTGCTCCTAGCTCTTAAAAACCATTTCACTGCCAAACCTCAAGAGAGACTATCACACTGCTGCGCACAGAGGAGATCAGCGAAGGATCAACCCCGACAAAACAGGAAAAAGCAGCTTTAATAGACGCTAATGTGTTTAAATAAGACTGCAAACAAGACACAAGCAATTCTTTTTAAACTGAGTGCTCAGCATAGCCTCCTAGAATTAGGGTCAGCTGTGTTATTTATTTAAGCTTGAATTGCAAATTATCCAGGGCTGTTTGCGAGAGCTTCTTTTTATGGGCCTGCATTAATAACAGCTGTAAAGTTTGCAATCTATGTTCACATGCTCCCCCAGGTGGATTGGTTTGCTAAATTTGCAATACAGTGGATTGGAAATCTTTTCTTTCCGACTGGGGCTGCTAAAACTCCCTCTCATTTCAGAATACGATGACTCTATTATCTCCACTCCTACCTGAAATGCATTAAGTCTCATAATAGCAGGAAAGATTTTAAATGTTATAGCTGTACTCATGACCTGGGGAGCCCATTTGGAGCTGGTAACCGACCCATTGACCACCAGCTCTGGGACCAAACTTCACAACTTTAGCAGGAAATCCCAAAAGACGTGACCTGATAACAAAGACTAAAAAAGCAGGTGTCTGTGGTATCTCTTTTTTAGAACTACAGTGTGCCCTTATACCAGCCCTTTCTGCGACAATGCAGCAAATGAACTGAGGTATTTAGTGGGATCTTTCATTACATACTTAAGCAGGCAGGGCATAAATCCCAAATATATATTTCATACTTACATATATAACACATTAACAAAACAAAAAAAAAAAGAAAGATTGCACGCAAACAGAAGGGCCAATGGGGGCTGGGGAATAAATAAATACATTAAGTATTCCTGAAATATGGCTGATCATAAAGATAATCATAATATACATCGTGATATCACATTTACTGTAGCAAGGAGTTAAAAAATGCTTAACTGTGCCCCACAATCTTTCCACACCCTGACAGCGGTTCATCTTTACTCTTTCCATAGGTCTACACACTCTTTAAAGGGGCTATGGCATGAAAAACTGACTTTGTTAACGGGAGGGGGTGCATATCAGGGATAGAAAACCGCTACAATCCCCCCAAGTTTGAAAAAATTCCATCCAGTCGTTTTTTTAGTTATCTCCGTATTTAGGAACTGTGTGCTCAGAGCCGTTCTGAAAACTCCACTAACATGGCGTCATGTCAGTGCTGGCGGGTTGATGGTACTACCCATGGAGCCGCCCACTGCCCTGCCCCAAAAAAATATCAAAACAGCGCCATTATTCCCGGCCGCTCGCTCGCATGGTTCCGGTTAGAACCATGGCGGAAGAACGATCTGAAAAAGAGGCAGCGTTTGCTCTGTTGTTGGCTGTAACGAAACGAGCACAAAACTCTTTTGAAAATTCCCTCGTCGGAGGATTTGAGGACTCAATGGGTGGATTTTATTTATAATGGGAACGTACCCGCGGCACTTCCGTGATATCTGTACGCATGTGCGTACTATTTCACTTCGGACTGTTTTATCAACGAGGGACAGTTCAACGCTGGATTTGCTAGATGTCTGAAGATAAAAAATGGATAACCAACTGTCCGTGATCCTACTACAAACGTGGCATCTGTAAGTGTGAACGTTTTATTTTGACTTACTATTCAGCCTAAATTCCCCCCGGTGCCTCAGCACCGCCACCACGCTTTGATAAACACACCGGATCCGCGCCGGTTTACCGGATCCTCCCGTATTTTAGCCGCTCGCTTCTTCCCCAACAACTCCGGCGGCGGGGGACAAAATCCCCCTCCGCAGCAGCATGTAGTGCATGAAGTTTTAGCGCACCAAAATCTTACATTGTAGCAGAGCTCAGGTTGTATTTTTTTCTACATTCATATCTTCGTGACCCTCCTGGCGGCTTTGAATAATACACAGGATGTGTCGACTAGGTCGCTTCAAGTCGCGTTTGGTCTGAACGTGGCTAAGAGTTTCTTCCGGAGCCTCTCCCTCTGGGTCAGACTCTGGCTCAAACTGGTAGGGTTGTACGAGCGATCTACCAACCACCATCATCCTCATTTTAAAGACTATTTTAAGTGTCCAGCCATCTTTCACTATTAAGCATTTGTATTATTTGCTCTGAGATGAAATTGATCAGTTATATTTACATGTAAAATTACTTAACCGCTTGTTTGAACTGGCCCACAAAGACTCATGGGATATCACCAGCTGCAAAAGACGCACCTAGAGGAGAGGAGAGGAAAAAGTAGGACGCATCTGTCGGGTGCATTTGAAGGAGCCTTTGAGATAAAACAGCCTTCGATGGGCTGCTGTGACACATTTGTTTTTGCTTTTCAAATAATCCTTTCAAAAGAAGCAGCCCCTGAATTAGGAAACACTTAAATGTCTCTTGAGGATTTTCCTATCCAGCGTTTTTGTCATTGCTTATCAATTAAGAAGCAGTAAATGAAAACTATTTGTCAGATTCTCCATCTTTATGACTTACAGCATGACGTCACAGAAATATGGCCACCATGTGAACATAGTCTATTCTGTTTGGCAGATAATAGAGGAACAAAGGCACCTAGAGTGAGCTCAGTGAAAACAGCCACAGTTTCACGGGGAGAGTGAATATACGAGAGTGTAAAGACAACCTGCCACACAAAAAGCAGAGCAGTCACTGACACTGTGCATATTATTAACTAAGGGAGTACCATTTCATTCAATTCAAAAAAGAACAAAGGGAAGAGCTCTCTGGGTTGCCATGGTGATGCTTGCATTCCTTGCTTTTGTCCATCCTTTAGCATGTTAGCAATAATTCGGCCACACATCATGGGTGATTATGGAGGAAAAAATGTGAGGGGTGGGAGTCTGGAGCCGACCTTGTTTCCCCTCCGTCTAGATGTGTCTGTTACTGTAGATCTGTACTGTTTCCCTCGAGCTCGTATAGACACGACTGCATTATTAAGACAAAGTGCAGACACAGCACCACGGTGCTAACACAAAGTCACCTTTGAGGCATGCGAGGATGAGTGTTGAAGGGAAGCTGACAAAGTGAGGAGGGTGAAAAACAATTCAGCTTTGTTCTCTTATCTCTGGGAAGCAGGCCTCATTGACTGCAAGAAACATCAAAATTTAAGTCAAACCGCAAATCTTATCAGACCCTAACCTGGTCTCAGTCCCAACCCCCAAACCTTCTCAGATGTCACTTCCAGGTACTTTCACCCATACCATGCTCTGCTTTTACTGTACTGTGAGGCAATGTAGATTTGAAGGACAAAATATCTGCACTGCTAGCTCTGTCAGTGCAACAAGAAACTTTTGTGTCAGTGTTTTACTTGCAGGGTTGATATTCTTGGGAGCCAAGGTGACACAGATGGCAGCAGTGCCACAGAGTAGCAAAGGGCGGCATTGTGGTGTGAATGTGCCAGCCTGTTCCCGCTTTGTTACAGACATTATCAGTGAGAGACATTTGGAGGGCCAGATTAGCGCACAAAAGGGTAATTTGATGGGGTCAAGAATGCAAAGATGTAACTAGGGAGCTTTTTTAACAAACAGAATAGATAGATATACACATAGATTTTTGAAAGGTTTATCTAGAGATGCACAAATCATTTTTTTTTCCGATCCAATTTTTTTCCTGTACTGATACCTGGACTGAGGGTATTGGTCGATACCCGATACTGATCCAATACTACTGCTGAATGAATGAACTGTATGCCTTGCCCTGAGACTGAAGGCATCAGGCTTGACAAAAAAGGTAACAATTTAACATATAAATTTACTTAATATTATTTATTTACAAATAGCAAATTGCACATTAGCACACAGCAAAAAGAAGTAAGATTTCCATGTAAACATTTAGTGCAAAAGGATGCCACTGAGCCTTTTTTGGTCTAATAGACATCTAAATGTAGCCTTGATGACTGGTCTAAAATTAGGCTACCACAGGTCTAAAAATGAACGTATTTTAGACTTCTAAATTTAAACCAAGATTAGACCAAGTCTAAATCTGGGCTATATCTATACTACACTGTATATTGCTCAATGGCTTTCCTAATTATTTTGGTTAAGATCAGTGATGCAACTCACAGTTGCTTTTTGAAATAAATAGTAATCAGATAATGGGTTAAAGTGCAACGTCTAAATTCCATCTAAAAATATACAGAATCTAGACGGTTGAAATTAGATCTAAAAAAAACTAGTCATCTAATAGCTGTCTTTTGCTCAGTGGGATAGACAGACATGGAATATAGAGCGAACAGAATCGCTGTGTTTACGTACGATATTCATTAAAGCAAAACAGGCCCGGATAGGAATGCTGGATCAGATGTCTGATCTAGTTAATTTGTCAATATCGGAGCCGATATCTGATCCAAGTATCAGATCGGTGCATCCCTAGCTTAAACACATTCTGCGAGAGTAGAAAGTGCTTGAACTCTCGTTGATTTTTTTTTCCCAAGTGCACATATACAAAGAAAAGTGCTCTTGTTTTTGTGTTAACATGCTCAACTGGAAGAGCTACAGTCATTTTCACTGCTGTGAAGTACACTCATCACAGGTGTCTGGAGACTTAAGTGCATCCTCCACCTTTGCTATCATCTCACCATCAAGAGCTGCGATAGCTTTTTCTCTCACTGTCTTCATATTAGTTTCGAAAGAGGCGAACACATCCCTTAATCTCTTTTCACCACTGTTGAATATTACCCTGCTGTCTCCTCCTTTTATAGCCAATGAACTTTTGTTCACACGATCCTCGTTAATGTCAAGCATCACTGCAATGAGTCACAATGTCGGGACATAGTGAGTCAACATACTTGAAGAGATATGTTTGGAGCACTGTAAAAATACTGATATCTTGCATTGGGGGTATCGATAACAAGTCAGGACGACGATACATTGCCACACCAATATTTTGTCCCCCCCTGAAAGACAACCACAGAGTTAGGTCTCTCCCAGTCCTCATTAAGAGAAGCCTCTGAGCCACAGAAACATCAAAGTATCCTTGGAGCCTTCATCCAGCTGTAGCAGTGAAATGGGCTGGAGAGGGTGGGATAAAGAGACACGGGAGAACTGAAACATGCCTTCACAGCAGCCTGCCAAACTGACACTGAACATAAAAGAGATGAGAGCCTACATTAGCTGAGAAAATGACTAGATAAGCAAGAAAAAGCCTGGGGTGACACGCTTGGGGGGGGTTGCTTTATTGCAAAAAAATCTGCTTTTCATTATTGTGCAAAAGAAATCAGGTTGTTCTAAAATCTGGACTTCTTATTCACCATATGATTTATTAATATTGTGGGACAAAAGTCTCAGCCTGAGTTTATATCTCTGTGTTTCTTTGTGTAGAGGATCTCTTTTTTTGCTGCTGAGAATGTCTTTGATCTTTTTTAGCAGTGTCTTACCCGAAAATGTTAATAGATGTACACTTAGATGTGATTTTGGATATGGCACTGCATTCAAGCCTTAGTAAGTGCATGCACAAATAAGCTGTGCCTGGTATAGAATTGTACTTGTCATAAGGTAGATAGCTCAATGTAGTTTATCAGCACAAGTTCCACTGCACAGTCCGGTGAAAAAAACAGTAGACTTGACTTTCTCCCCTCGAGATAGCCTGGGTGATGGGTGAACTACATCTGTTTTGGGTGTATCTGGCTGGTTAATAGTGTTTGTGTGTGTGTCATTGGGCCATCTCCAGCCACCAGCTTGACTTATGACCATTGATCCATGTAGTGGAGTGGAGAGAGCTGCCAGCAGTTCAGCCTCAATCTTTATTAACACAGCGTGACAAATGATCAATCCAGCAGCGCCCTGATGGGGGTGGGCGCCAAAAAGATTATACAATCGGCCAAATCAATACACATGTAAGAATTAGATGGTGAGGGACATAGATTGTAGCCAAAAGGGTCACTTCATTTGGGTTACCAAACCCTGACCCTCTTCTGACTAAGTAAATTTAATTTATCAAAGAAATAGTGTTTTTTATTTCTAGTGTATGTCCCCTTGACATTGACAGAAAGTAGCTGAAGTGATCTTTGTCCTCTTTTTATCTTGAATGATGTATTTATTTAGATATTTTTAATTATGCAGGGAATACACACAATGCATACAAAAGCTTCTTCTGTGTTTGACCCAATGAGCTCAAAGAAAAATGTAGTGATGTGTTGTAAATGTTGTACCTGTTGTGAACAGGGCCTCTGAAGTTTGGGTCAAACTTGCGTGGCTCACCTGAAAAGAAGAGCAAAGTGACAAAAACAAGTGTAAACAAGAGTAACATTCACACAAAACAAAGAATAAAGATTATTTTATTTGGACACAAGATAAAACTACCCTGACTATATCTGGTTTACTAACATAAGAGGTGATATTTTCTTGACAAGGCTATGCTTTCATAATGAGAAAAACATACTCAGATGTTACTGGGCAACATTTTACCAGCATTGCACCAGTGTTACAAGTTAACCTGCTGTGCTACCCAGCAGTCCAGAGTGGATTAAATAGGTTATTTCATAGCGCAGGTCTCCAACAGCAACAGCACTAGGGCACAAGAGTTGATCATACACAGCATCAACAGTAAGGCAAAAAACAATAAAGCTAACACAGATGTATAATAAATCATGTTAACAACTCCTAAGCTGAACAACTTATCTGGGTCACAGTGAAAATTCCCCATTTGACCCTGCAGAGTAAAAACTAAACCACAGTTGCAAGCACCATCAGTCACCCAAGGGGCTAACTCGAACTGCTTGCGCTTGTAAATGTGTATGAGCATATATATTTGCCTCTCCTCTGGTGTCTAAGTATTCCATACCCCTGTTGAAACTAAATATGACTCGTGTCTGAGGCCTTATTAATCATTTCACATAAAGCAAAATATCGCCAACCAGCTGAGGCAGACTTAAGGGCAGTAAGAGTGGGTTTATCTCCCATCTGCCTGTTACCTAAATTGATCCTATTGTGAAAAGAACAAGCTGAAAGTGCGATGGTTACAGTTTATTCCTTAAATAAATCCTGAGGGTCTACTTAGATGTACAGTAGTTAAATAGATGAAATTCCTGATTTAATGGGCTCAAAACTATTTTTCAATTTCCAATAACAAATATTGTCTGTGTTGGAGAATGCAGTAGACTAAGTTTCCTCCATTGGCCAGACACAACAGGCCCAGTAAGAGTACACACATCATAAGAAAACACACACACGGCTTCCCATCACCATGATAAATCTGTAATTTACAAGAAGTGCTGTACAGTAAACAACACTACTGAGAACATGACAGCAACTTTACCCACTATGTGTCAGAGTTTTAGGGTGGCCTTTCATTTCTGCTGGTCATTAGTTACATGACAAAACTCTGGCCTGTAGAACAGCAATCAGCTGTAAACTCTGAATAGTCAGATTATGATTAATTTACATTTACCTGCAATAAAACCAAACATAATAACGCTAAGATTTCAAATAAGAGTGGGAGAGGGAGATCCCTGATCATATACCATATTATGCTCTGTTTCACTGTTTGTTTTTCTCTTTCTGCCAGTATTCAAGTCACATTTTACCTCCAATTTTTCTTTTTTATTCAACAAACCTAACAGTCTGATAGCATTCAGGTCCTACAGTTTTTGCTGTACGCCAATGGCGGTGTGACATCATGTGTTTGGGGGAAAGGAAAACGAACAAATGAAAAAAAAACTACCAAAAAAAACCAACAGGTGCTGTATGGCACCACGCAGAGGTGCAATGCTTCAGTAACTGACTGTGTCATAGTCCACCTCTTCCAGCCGTGTCAGGGCCAAGAAAGTGTTCTGTGCCGAGTGACTGCACGGGGAACTCACTCTGGTCAGACAAACTGGACTTTAGGGGTCAAAAGGGGCCAAACATGTCAGAGTACAGTACGGTACAGATTCTCTAGTGTTAATGTCCACTCAAGGAAGGGTAAGCGATAGAGTTTCAATCTAATCTGACAGCTAGATGTTGCTAAATATTCTTGTTTTTACACACTGTACTTCAACTAGTGATACTAGGAAGGGACCCCAGGACAAGCTCTGAAACTGTGGAGAAGCATGAGACGAAAGTGACCATCTTCCACAAGAACTATGGAGTGCTATGGAACAGCTATTGTCTCATTTAACAAGTATAGATTTCTCAAATTCATTGCTAATATTAATGATAATGGAAAAATAAAATGAATTGTTTGTCCAGTGAGGTTGGCAGAGGTGACATCAAAGAGTAGGAGAAAGTGCAACAATAAGGTTTGCAAGATGTGCTACATGACAATAAAATACAGCGTAAATAAGACAAACATAAAGGAAAGACAAATGCTAGTTAGCTAAAGAGTTAAAAAAATATATAAATCGCAATATTTTGTATCCCAATACTTACGGTATTGCAAAATGTTAATATCGCAATAATATCGTATCCTGGCCCAAGTATCGTGATAATATCGTATATTGGAGCCACTAGTGATTCCCACCCCTATAAAGCACTGTGCACTAGTCAAGCATCTGCTGAAACAGAAACCAAAAAAATTCAGTGTTACACTTAATGCATCACTGGTTTATTTTTATTTTTATTTCTATGGTTATGCAAAGAAGCATAGTTTCTCTAGTTTTGTTATACCACAGAAAATCTATTTTTGTGCAGTTAGATTAGCAAAGCAAATACAGAAAGTACCAGTTAGACCTTGAGCTGAAGTGATGTGAGGTAAATACCAGGAATATTTCAAAGTGACTTATTTTCTTTGTCAATTAGACAGACTAGTCTTCAGTTGGTCCAAATAAAGTGGCACAAAGCATGGCAGCACTTCATTAAACAAAAGTTACCCAAATAAATTCTAAATTAGTCATCACAAAAGCTACAAATAATATACCTCCAAAAGAATAACAGTGAGGCCTTGATAAACATTAGGCTGTTTAACAAAAGCATACTTTTTGTCAACATCCGATGCACGGCACAGACACTAAGTGGTATTTACTTAACAGACAAAATATTTTTTGTTCAGTGAAACTAACATGTCAGCATGATGTGGTGAAAGCCGAGTCAGTCTATCAACTAGAAGATCAGCGACTAAAATCAGAAACCCTCTCAGCTGGCACAGATGTTTCAGGCACAGAGAAAGTAATCTGCAAGCTGCTGTTTCAGTCTAATGACTTGGCCGTTAGCTAGAGACTTTTAGCAACTGTTGAAAATGGAAAGAAGAAGAACTTTATTGAGTCCGTAAGAAATATCTGAGAGTAAATTTTGACATTATAAAGAAATCAACAGCTCTCATTACTATGATACCCACAGACTCAACTGTCACTGTGGGGAGTAACAAGTGGGGTAAGAGGTTTGTGGCTAGAAGATGAACCAGGAAATTGTACAACAAGGACTACTGCTGCATTCCAGTTGTACTCCGAAGTTGGAATTTCCCAGCTCGGAGTCAGAAATTTATCTGGAATGCCCCCCCTGAAGTCGGATTTCCAACTCGTAAAGTCGGACGATCCTCACCAACCCCAACTTGAAGGCAATGTCATTAGTGCGCTGCGCACTAACAGTAAAGAGGGAAAGCTTTCATAATGTATTATTTATTAGCACTTCTGTTTTGTTTTTGTGAAATTAAATAAGTGGTAAATGTACTGCCCAACGTCTAACTGTGGACACGGTGCTATGGTGTTTGTAGAGTAAAATTCTGTGTTATGCGTTGGTTATAACTGGTTTAGCTAACAACAACAACTAACAACAGCAGACAGTTGTAAACGACAGCGAATAACAGCTAACAGTAGGTGCCCATCTTGGTTTTCTGACTTGTTAACTGGCTTGTTAACTTGTTGTCAGGCAAACTACTGTCCTGTTTTCACATTAAACATAATGTTAATTTGTCCCAGTGCAGGTGTATGATATTCAGCCAAAGCACTGTGCTATATCACGTGAAATAAAAGCTAAAGCAGAGTGTCCCCTCACAGAATCTGCATATACTTCTTGGTGATAATTATATAGTTAACCATTAACAACATGACACAGATGCAGCATAATAAACTCTATAAATGCAAACCCCCCTCTCTGCCTAATTCTGCACTATATATACCGTAAAATACCAAATAATAGCCGGGGCGTTTATTTGTTTCAATCAATGAACAGACCAGGCGTTTATTTGGGACTAGGCGTTTATATGGGACAGGCGTTTAAATCCTTTCTCACAAAAATCTTGCTTAACAAAAATGGGAAAATATGGTAAATTAAATTTACATCAGTGTGAATACCTTTATATTTTCAGGTAGGATTACTGTACTGTTGTTATACTTTTTTCAATTAAATTAAACCTCAAGCCATCAAACGATTGCTGAATGAATCACCCATAAATGCCAGTAAGGAACTAAAAGAACACAAAACATATAGCCTACTGGTACACAAGGCTGATAATGCAAGGACAAACTCTGAACAATAATGGCCATATCCTGGATATATATGTCAGCAACATGTCAAATAAACAAAACATGTGTAACACATCAAATAAAATAAAACAATGACAGCAACCTGAGTGGGGTAAATCAACAAGGCCACTGGCAGAACAGCCTGCTGTCAGACCAAGACCATGTCCATCCTCTTAATCCTCCTCATCACCCTCATCACTTTCCTCCCCCTCCTCTTCCTCCTCCTCATCATCATCCTCAACTACCAGTTCATTGTTGAACTCTTCCTCCTCATCTTCCTCCTGCTGCTCGGCCTCTTTTTCTTCCTCTTCCTCTCCCTGTCTGGCCTGAGCCAGCATCTCTCTCCCTGCTGCACATGGCTCTCCGTCTTTGAAACAGTGAATCAGGTGGTCCTCATTGCCATCAGCTGCCACTGTCAGGCCACACACCTTTCAGCACAATATTCCACAAATTAATATATTACGCCTCCACAGACTAATAATCTCTCAATCAATCAGACACACACACATACCTTGAAGGAATTTTTCACCATCTCTGTATCCAACTCCTCCCAAGCCTTAAGCACCCAGGCGACCAGTAAGCGACGAGCTGGGGCTCTCAGGTTTCCTCCAGCGGTGTAGGTCTTATCCACATCGCTGGCCATCCAGCTGTCATATGATTCACGCAGACTGGCTTTGAATGGCTGATTCCATACAACATCAGGTGCCTGGATATATTTTGTGCATCCTCCCGGTATCACAGCTGTAGTTATCTTGTAGCCCTTCTTGAGCTCCCTTTTGGTGGCCTGGCTGATGTGGCATCGGTAGGAATCCCACACAAGGAGACGAGGGCCAAAGTTGAATTTCCCCACTACTTTTTGCAGCCAGTCTGCAGTCAGGTCGTCATTCATCCAGCCGTTTTTAGAGGAGGCTATCACCACTCCACTGATGTTTTGCATTGCCTTGATTTCCCTGATACCTCCTTTAAAAACCACATAAGGCTTCAGCTTCGTCCCGTCCGCTTTCGCCGCTAGCACAACGGTCAAGTGGCTCTTCTCGTGGCCTGTAGTTTTCAGTGGAACACTGCGCGTCCCTCGCGTCTCCACAGTAGTTGACCCGACCATATCAAACCATACCGCAGTTTCATCCATCGCTATGATGTCTCTTTCCGGTATCTTCATCCTTTCAATCATCCGCGATGAAAAATGTACAAACTTCACCAGCTTCTCGGTGAATTCCTTGGCGTCTTTCTGGGCAATAGTTGTACGTCTTCTGCAAGTAAAGTTGTTGCGGCGAAGGAAACGGTTTAGCCACCCAACACTAGCAGAAAACCTCTCATCACTGCTGTCACTCACGGTGGCGAACATTTCTTTAGCCTTCGCCCTGATCATTTTTCGGCTCACTCGCTCGTGGCGCAAACGCTTACCGATGACCCATTCCCGCATTTTTAACTCCAGCTCCTCGCTAGCCTTCTTTCTCCCTCCACCGCGCAGCCTAGCCCTTTTGCTATCCTCCTCGGAAAGACGCTGAAGTTCAGTTTTATTTTTTAGCCACTCTCTCACTCTCTTGGGGTCAACAGAGAAGTGTCTCGCTGCTGCTTCTCCCGAGTTTTCTTCTGCATATTTGACGACAGACAGTTTGAATTTCATATCGTATTTTTTATTTTTCCGCTGCACTGAAGCCATGGCGATTGATCAGTGGCAATGTGACATGTGACTTACGCCCTCTACCGGTAAATTAGGCAAGGCGTTTATTTGGAACAGGCGGTTATTTGTCAAAATGCATTGCTGCACCCTGCGGTTAATTGGGACCCAGCGGCTAATTGGAACCCGGCTGTTATTTGGTATTTTACGGTAAGTAATAAACTGCTCTAGCACAGTATAGCCTGCCAGCTGCTCACAACAAGCTCCAGCTACACAACTCAAAATTCATGAGTCCACATGTACACAGGACAACTGTCGGACCATGGTGGAATTCCTTCACACTTCCTTTTACAAGTGCTTCAAAAGCCAATAATCCTGGGTCAATGTAAGGTTTAAATGTTGCACATATGTTTGAAAGCACAATGCAGTCAGTCATGCCTGCCTTTCATCACTGGGATTTCTCAACTCAAGCAGTGGCAGTCTGCAAGACAGACATTCGAGCATCCTAGCTCAACAAAGAAGTAATGTCAGGAGATTGAGTGAGCAACAGTGTCCTTAAGCTGCAGACTCAGCAGCAGGAAAATGCACTGGACCAGAAATGTACTTGAGCTCAGGTGAACTGGCACAGACACATTTCTGTATTTCTTCTTTTTCTTATAAAGGAAGAAGTAAGATAAAAAACAGAGTATGTTACCGAATAGTTTGCCTTTAAAACACAGGCACGTCACATGACTGCAGAGAGGATTGTGCAAATACTCGATCATGAGGACATTCTCTTCATGCACTGTAGGAATGTTTTCAGCTTTTTGTCAAGGAGGCAATAAGATGTGTTAACCCTATTTTTCCCATCTAATATGATAGGCTCCACATCCCTTTTTTTTTTTTTTACCCATCCTGGTGGTTGAAAACCCTCTTTTGCAGCTATCTGTTTGGCTATCACTGTAAGTCACTCAATTGAGTTGTGTTTGTGACTGTTCAGGCCCAACAATGGAAGATGTTCTGGGTTAAGTGTGTAAATTCCTCAGCCAAGGACACTGTGTCACCAGACCAGGTGCTCACTGCAGCATTTGCAGAGCACAGGCACACAAAGCACAAACATACTACTCTTACCTCAGATAAATGGTCTAGAACCTTGAGAACAAAAACATGTTTACATGTACAGTATGTGTCACACACATGTTTATGGTTGGTACTACAGAGTGAAACTACAGAAACTGCCACTAGTGCATAAGTTTTTGATAGTATCATGCAAAACAATGCTATTAATGATGACCATAACTCAGCTGACATCTGAAGAAGTCAAATCCTAAGAACCAAGCTCACCAACTCACACTCAGCTGTTACTGAAAATAGCACCATACCACTCAGATTTTAATAAGGGCCTTTTAAAGTAAGGCAATGAAGCACAATGCACTACTGATAAATTAACTATTCCTCTGTGTATAGCAAGCTGCCTCCTATTGCCTTTATATCCCAGTGGTTGTTGCTACACCCACTTTGCCAGCAGAGTGCATCACATTTACTCACATCAGAACTAATTAAGAGTTACAAATTCTGGGTTTAGCAAGACATGTAGCTAGCTACTAGACAGGAAGCTGGGATAAATATGGATATAATAATGTAATTTTGCTTCCCTGCCTGTGTTGATGCTCAAAAAACATCCAGGTTTCTGCATTGTGGGAGCAATAGTGATAAAAACTGGTATGCCCATATGGTGAGTGCAAGCTGCATCACACTGAGATCAAGGAGAGCCAGTGGTGAGAGGACAGATTGTGGTGCAGTGAGTGTCAGAGAGCGGAGCATTTTTTTTCTGTTTCCTCGAGTCATGTCAGTGGTTTCTAACCAGCAGACTGTTTGGAGTTGTAGAACGCGCCAGTATATTCAGCAAGAGGACCGGCAGGCAGCAAGGTCCCCCACTGACTGCCAAGAATTGAATAAGGGCAATCATTATGTTGATATAGACCCAAAATAAAACTGCTATTGATACCGTATGACAGAGGAAAGTTGAAAATGATCCCGTCGTAGTCCAATTGCGCTCCCTAGTAGAAGCAACATTTTGGAAAAGAGGATATATGATATGATGTTGTGGTAGATATATATTAAATAAGTGGTATGTTGTGCTGCCCAAAGTCTAACTGTGAACGTGGTGCTATGGTGTTCGTAGAGTAAAATACTGTGTAGTGCGTTGTTTACAACTGGCGTAGCTAACAACAACTAACAATAGCTGACAACGGCTAATGACAGCTGACAATTGTAAACAAAAGCTAACAATGGCTAACTGTAGGCGTCAATCTTGGTTTTCCGACTTGTTGACTAGAACGACATCAGCTTGGGTGTAACTTCCAGCTCCGACATCTGACTTCCAAGGTAACTGGAATGCAGCATATGTTCTCAGCTAGCATATAGCTACCACTTACAGTTTATAGAAAAGTCAACAGAAACTTCATGATTTGCATACGATAAGCAAAATGCATTAACATATAAAAGCAGTTAGAGATTTCCAAGTACAGTTTCAGACATGTCTTATTCCTACAGTTGTTAAAGAATCTTTAAAACCTAGTTTGGGAGTTAGATCAGATCTGATGTGGAGTAATGTGAAATGTTCTCGAAATCAGAGGATGGTAGGCTGTGGACATTTGTTGTTTTCTGCTGGATCACACGGCTACACACTTTGAGTGTGTGCATAATGCAATCATCCATTAATGCACTGGTGATTACGTTCAAATGCATGTGAGTGGTTGTGTTTATGAAATCATCAGGTTTGTGAAAAAAAAAGGAAGAAAAGTTTTTGAAATCAACTGATACAACAATGAAAAGTCTCTGCATAGAGATGATTTGCATGTGGCTCTTTTTACATTTTGTCAAATGATGAAGGGGTCGTTTAAAAGAACTAATGCTGCGTTCAAGTTACCTCAGAAGTCAGATGTCCGAGCTGGGAATGATGTCATAGCCGAGTTACCAGTGTTTCAGTTACCAAGTCGGAAAGAAGCAAAATCGGAGGTGGAAACCAGATGGCTACATCTACGAAAGTTATTTTAGCGCTTGCCTTGTCTGAATATAAGCAACTTCTGGACAAATATGCGGTCTTTCTGCAACATCTTGGTTCTGCCTCCAATTTTGCTTTTTTCCGACTTGGTGACTGAAATGCTGGTAACTCTGGTGTGACGTCATTCCTAGTTCGGACATCTGGCTTCCGAGGTAACTAGAACGCAGCATAAATACAAAAGGGACAATTGTACTGAAGCAGGAACCTGGTTGTTTACTGTTGTTATTGTTTAAACATTATGTTGACAGCATCTAGACTTTATAAATGAATAAGTAGGCAGCTCCTCTGAACTTCCACAGCTGGATTTTCAATAAGTCATAGAAATCCTGGACACACTGGTAAAATGTGGGGAGGTTAAACAGCATCAAAAGTTGGATACTGCCTAACTCTACTGTCAACCAAACCAATATATATTTGAGCATTTCAAGAACCATCACCCTGAAACACCAAAAGTTTAAAAAAAGGAAGAATAAAACAATATCAGCACCAGAAAAAAAAAAAAAAAATTTCAGCAGCCTCTACTTTAGTCATTCAACAAAGCTAAGAAAAACAGCAGGGACCACTCAAGGTTAAAGGATCTTCAAGAGAAAATCGTCCAATTGATGGACTATGGTTAATAGGGGAAAATGATGAAGCCTGGACACCACCAGACTCTGCATTAGATGACGGCTGTTTGGACTGCACTGCAGTCTGTCAGTGCAGGAGATGAGGCTGGAGTACTGGATGTGTGCTGCTGCTGCTGCTGCTGCAGCCAGGCTGAATGAGAGTCTGTAGTCAACAACATTTGGAAAAAGCCTGGCAGGCATGTTACACCGAGACAGCTAGACTTGCTGTTAGCTCTGATAACTGCTAGGCTACCCTATTGACATAGTGTTGGATAACGTCACCATGCCCTGCTATGGCTGTAAGATTCATGCAGGACACATAACACAACAATCATGGTCATCAAAAGCTCTGAGGCAACGAGGCTGGACAGGTTGAGGAATTACACATCAAAGTCAGACTAAAGCCTTTGGCTGTAATCTTCAATCCAAAGTCCCATTTTGCATTTGCAGCCAGTCCTCCATGATAAGATCCATGTATGGATCAATTTTACTGTGGAGAGGACCTGCCATCATAAAATAAGTCTGAGACAACCGATAAAAATGTGTGCTAAAATCATTGCCACAGAAAGGCACTTAATAAATGCTCTGAGAGATTGAGGGCATGGTAACAATGCCTCAATTTAAAGTCTGTACTGACTGTCACAGAGATTCTGAGAGCTGAGATTGACTGCTGAGAATCAACTTCAGAGTGCCTGTGCTGGAAGAGAGCCACAGAAGCAGTTCATTGCCTTGTATTGCACAATTTGGGAAGGAGACTGAAATTTCACTTATGTTGTATGGCTCACTGTATCACAAGTCAAGACTACTTGGTGACTATGAGCACATTTACTGAGTCATTTACATTTATGTCGCACTTCAGATACTGCAAGATTTCCTTATCATTAGCAAAAATAACCTCCAGCACATACAGAAAATCTGAGACGTTAACGTACACGGAGCACAAAATCAAAACATGAAAAAGCTTTGAAGTGTTGATCATGCGGAACTGCACCGCTGTCACTCTCCAAGTTCAAACTTTCTGTACTTTTTCTTCCTCTTTTCCACACTCCACCCCCCTTACCCGTGTTTCTCAGCTCGTCTCCATAAACACATCCAGTACACAGACACATCAACTCGGGCACACACAGGCACCAGTGTCCCCTGGCTCCACTGTCCAACACAGGCCTCTTTCATACCGTGGTCAGGCAAACAGCTCGAACACTGCAGGTGCTCTACATGGGTTGGGTCACATAGGGCAAATTTGGAAAAGGACTTTTTTTTGTGTTGTTTTTACTCTGTTAATTCACTGACATTTCCAAGACCTGGAAAGAGTAGAGCGCATGTGAGATCTGTTCAAGCCATGTAAGGTTTAAAATCTAGTTTAGCTAGAGCAGTGGTTCTCAAGTCCAGTCCTCAAGGCCCACTGTCCTGCATGTTTTGGATGTGTCCCTGCTCCAACACACCTGATTCAAATAATCAGCTCGTTATCAAGCTCTGTAATGGCTTAATAACGAGCTAATCATTTGAATCAGGTGTGTTGGAGCAGGGACACATCCAAAACATGCAGGACAGTGGACCTTGATGACTGGACTAGAGCTAGAGTAACAAATAAACATAAATGACAAAACTGGAATGATAAAAATTCAGCATAATGATGTTGCTCAGTAGGGTAGGTGCAGTCTGTACATCTGTGTACAGTGTTTCCATTCATATTTGATGAAAGTGCCAGCTTCTGCCAATCCATAAAGGGAAAAAAAAATCTGAAACACAGTTTGGGGACCTTGTGTTTTCTTTTAGTCTGTATTTAAAAACTAATGGTGCTGTGCATGACACAGTAGTAACATAGCTGCTATAAAGATTGAGGCAGGAAGATGTGAAAGTATGGGGGACTGGAAAAGGATCATGGGATGGTGTGTGGGGCAGGGATTTGTGGTCAAGGTTTTACAATTGAATGTGAAAACAAGTACAAACAAAAATAGAACGGAATAAGAAATTAGAAAGAAATGGGGTGGGGTGGGGGTAGTGAAGCAACACTCAAATGGCAATAACTTGCAGTAAAACACATCCACACACACAAAAAACAAACACATTCACAGCGGAGGACAACAGCATGATCACGCAAATCCCCCACAAAGACAAAAATGGGGAAAGGTTTGGAGTCCATCTCTAAAAAATCAAAGCAGTTAAAAAGCTCCAGATGGCTCCCCTTTTTCATAACACAAAAATGTGGAGCGATAATACACACAAACACTCTCCGTGAAGCACCATGACTCTCTCTTTCTCTCTCTCTCTCTCATTCTCTTCCTTTCTTGTATTGCCCCTCTGTTTCCAAAGACATCTTCCCTGCCTGGCTCTTACTTCGCCTCTCTGGAGAACAGAACAACCTTTAAAGTGCTTGTCTTCTTATTGAGACAAGACAACAACATCCTGATCTCTGGTTTAGGTTGACTTAGCAGGGTCCCTGGGGATTCTGTCGACTATTAGCAGATGGTCGAGGATGGAGCGCTTGGCACGTCTTGGCATATCTGGTTTGGTATTGCCCACTGGGTTACCTCAGTGCATGAACAGTGTTTTCTGCACATAGTGCTAGCTGACAACCCCATCAAATGCAGAGAATATTGAGATCCCGGTTGGGATTTTGACCCCCCAAGAGGGGACTTTAAGTCTGAGACTGTCAGACACTGACAGCTAGCCTGCTGCTGCTTTGAGTGGAGACGGGGCAGTATTGTGGCTGGGGCTTTGTGACCTTGGTTACTTCTGTGGGAGCCTCCAGGCATGTCAGTGGCAGCCCAGTGTTACTGTGAAACGAGACGTGCTGATGCCAGTGTAGATCAATGACATGCTCAAACAGCTTTTGGTGTGGATTTATTAAGACTTTAACCATAAGATGACATGAATCCAAATATGGAATATTCACACCGCAGCAAAGAATAAGACAGAGAGCGCCATTAGTATGACTAAAGCGTTCAAGGAGAATCTGCACTGGAAACAGGTTAATTACAGTAATCTCACCCTGCAGGCGGACTTATTTTTTAGGTTTTGGAAAAGAAAAGATTTAGGACTGTTTAATGACTCATTATAAAGGGAATTTGGTAAGACAGTTTACAAAATGGGCCAAGATTTCTAATTAAGGAGGAGTGCAACCAATTACACATTTGATTTCACCCTTGTTTACAACCACATCCCTGTCTCTGTGTATAACTGTGTATCTTAAAAACTAACAAAAGGATGGTAAATGGTCCAAGGTCAAATAGAAGAAACATCTCAGTCCTGCTCTGACTCACAACAATTTGACCTCAGACACGTATGGGTGTTTAGCAGATTTAGAAAAGTGATTCTTTGGCTACTAAAAAAGTAAGAAATGTTTGTATTTATGATGTAATGACTCTATAAAATACCATTTATGCTATCAAGATTTCAACAGGCATGCTATATTTCCCTTTGGGTGAAAGTACAGTTATTTTAAAACCACTACAGGAGGATTAGCCGCTGATATCAGTTTTATAGCTGGTAATCATCTTCAACTCTGCCTTTGAGCAGCCTGCATATATCAAACTGAGATGCCTATCAAAGCCACAAAAACATCAATGATGCAATGGAAGCAGCTCACCTGCACCGACTCATGTGCACAGATTCATCAGAGCAGCATGTCTCTTGTTGATGGGTAATGATTCATTTGTGTTAATAGAGATGGATGCGTCATTTAGCGCATCAGACCAATCAAAACTCACTTCAAGTCTCACTGTACAAGACTCAACCCCGCGTGTCGAGCACGAATGTAGGTGTATCTCTCTCGCTCATCTTTGAGGTGTATCTTCGGGTTGTGTTTCATAGATCGCTGTCAATGTTGTTTAGCCTCCGAGTCATGAACAAACACTGACTATATTTGTACTGCAAATTGGAAATTTAAAGACTCCACGCTGTCGCCCAGAAGGCCTCTTCACGGCTAACTGTCCCCTTTTTCACAGACTCCAACAAATAACATGCAGTGCCTGCCAATGTGCCAAAGTGAATCTCTTAGAAATTATTTACTGACTCACCCTATCATTAGCGTGAATAATGTACTTCAAACTTCCAGGCTCTGACAAAGCTATCTCCTGGGAACAACACACATGAAATTAGAAGCAAGAGAACACAACCTCATGGCAGATAATGACTACAGTTGCCATAAAGAGTAATAATAATGTGTAAGGGTTATGAAGTGAGCATCATTCTTCATTTGAGACAAGCATTTGCTGAGGACAGTGACACTTAAAACACCCATTATGGCACTTAAGTCTTGGGTGCAAAATGGGTCATTTGAGGCACAGCCTTCTCTGACTGCAATTTCACAGGAAGAGGCTAGCTTGCAGCTTTCCGTCAAGACTCTGTATTGACTCAGTCTAAAAATGCAGCGTTTAGGGAAGCTGCCCAAGCGAGAAATTTGTTAATTAACAGTGTCCCCGACTCCACACTTTCTATGCTGAATGGAAGTCATATCTAAATTGTTACTTACAAACCTGTCACAGAATGATTGTGAGCTATTTTCTCTGCCTTTCTGACTGGCTGAACATTTCAGCAGTACAGTGGGAGCACACTGGATGCTTGCTACATAGTTAGAAACGTTATATAACATACTAGCCACGGGAGAACTCTTGAATCTGGGATATTGAGCAAAGAGAGCTGCTGCATGTGAATGACCCCATGGCAGGTAGTTTGACCAGCAGCTTAAAAACTGGCTTGTACTATCGAGTGTTTTTGTGGTTATTGTCTCAAAAGATCAAAACAAACTGGTGATATTTCAATATTATGATGAGAAGAGCATCATTAGTCTCCCATCCTCCTATATCCACCTCTGCCTCAGTTAGAGATTTTCTTACAGTACATTTCCCAGAATAAACTTTCAAGTGAGTAGGTGGGTTTTTCCAGTGAAGAAAAAAAAAAAGTGAGAACACTAGCACTTCTTCATCAAAACACTTCTTGTGGCTGCTGTTCACAAAGAGCATGGAGGCTCTGCTTTGTCAGTTTCTTTCCATGTGAAAATCAGATGCTATTGCAATCGTATGACAAGATCTATCCAGCTAGCCAAATAGGAAATTGCATACATGACAGAGGCATTCACTTTCCCTTTCCAAATTAATAAATCACTAACAAAAAGAGAAAAAAGGCAGGATGCAAAACAAGCTTAAGGGTCTTTTCCCTTAATGTACACTCCACAGTTTGTTTACAATTAAACAAACATGGTGTGTGGCACATCTGTTGCAGAAGCTTATTTAACACAATCGTCTTGTTGTTCCCTCTCTCTAAATCCCTTTTTGCCAAGCTAGCTAATGGAACAAAAACATCAGGGAAGCCAGTGACATAAAGCAGCTAACCTAAACACCAGTAGACTCCATAACTCCATCCCACGCTCCACTAGCTGGGTGGCTGGACGCTGCTAGTGGCTAAATTATGTTCCTTAATTAAACCGTCTCACTATACTTTATGTAGTCTCAGGAGTAGCAAATGAGTTCAAGCGCCTGAAAAAGTAAAAGTACATGTATATATGAACCTCTGTATTGATGTACATTTACTCTAAGTTGGAAATGTATAATAATGACATAAGGGTTTCCAAATTTGCATTAAGCTCTTCACATGTAATCTGCAAGGCCAGGTTTATGGTATACTGTAAAGTACCAGTTTGAACTTAAGACCAGGGAGTGATAAGGTTTGAAATGAAGGCCCCGTTGGTGAGCTGCATGTCTGCGGAGGCAAGTATGAATCAACAACAGCTGACAGGTTGCCGTCCTGATTGGCAGAATGCTGCAGTCATGAGGTCTGAGAAAAACATAGGGTCAGCATGTGTGGAAATAACAAGATACAACAAAAGAAAATAACATCTCAAGCAGACCCTTGTCTCTCTGATAGTCCGCTGGTGATCATGTTCATTGGACATCTTGTCTAGAGACTGATGATATGACACATATTTAATCGATAATAATGTGGGAGAAAGCAGGATTGACATAAAGGGAAATAACTAGTGAGCAGGTGACATATTTCTGTCAACAGTGCCCTTTGTTTGAACATGATATTTTGTATTACTTCAGCTTTTACTAAAGTTTCTCCTTGACTACTCAACATTTTTGTTAAAGAGTGTTTCACCGAAGGGAACCATTAGATATCTTGTGAGTGTATTACATCAGTTTTCCTGTAGTAGCCGTAGAGCAGCGGCACACTGACAACAAGAATAGAGTAATGAAAAAAATGATTAGCAATTACAAGTAAGAATGGCAAGCATTCAATCAAACAGCTCTGAGGTTTGGATTGTAAAAATCACTGGTGTTGAGTCTTTGCTTCCAAGACAAAACACTAGGAGGCATCTGGTGATAATAAAGGATTAAACTGCACTGATAACATAGATAGACTAGAAAAATTGCATTTCCTTGCAGAAAATGCGTGGAAATGCTGAGTGCTGAAAGCTGAAAAAGCAATGCTAAACTGCTAATAAAACATGGAGCAAGGTATAAATGTTAAAGCTGTTGAAGGGGTGAAAAAGAAATATAAGTTGGATAATTGTTTAATTGGTTGAAGGACAAATAGTATGAATATGCTCTATAAAAGGAAATTTTATTCATGCTGAAAGAGGCTAGAAAAATGTCTAAAATTGCACAAAGTTTGAATGAAGAAGGAAATTGCCTTAAAAGGCAGGAAGGTGAGAAGTGGCATAAGATTCAGTTGTAGTACTAGAAGTAGTATGATGAGAAGTCAAGTCGTGAATGGTCGTCACATGCTACAAACGTTGCGTTTCAATGTCATACAGTAACACAGCAGTTTGAGAAGGGAAGAAATATCCCAAAGGTTGGTATGTAATGGAGGAGGAAAGTGATGTGACTTCTGCTCTGTTGTCTCCGTGTGGAAATTGACACCAGGTAAACAATAGGCTGAAGTGGAAATACATGTATGTTTGAATTGAATGATGGTAGGACAGGAGGAAGGCTGAAGACTCACAACAACAAACACAAGCTTTAACCGTTTACCGTTACAACCGTTTTTTAACGTTGATGCGTTTTTCTCATGTCAGCCGTTAAAATAGCCTCCGAACAGTTAGCAACTGTAAATAAGCTGGCTAATGTCCCCGTAAATCTCAGCAAAGAGTCAAATATCCTCTAGGCTACACCGAATATTGTTATACACGGTTGTCATAACGGTACACAGTACAGAGGGGGAAAATTATCCTGGCATTTACAACAAAGACGAATCGGCTCACCATAGTCTGAGGAGGGGATGTCCGACTTTCTAGCCATGGCACTTCGTAGCACAGATGCAGCAACGTCGTCTTAGTGTTGGAGACCGCATATGAGAGTCGAGGAGGTGAACCCCCGTTATTTTAATGCCTTTCAGTAGTCCCGTCGAGAAATAAACACAGGAACCTGGAGAGGTCTTCTCGGGCTCTTTGAGGATGCTTCGGCCACGCAGCTGAGCGTCAGTCGTGTTTACAGCGCGACGTCATTAATTATTCCAAAACGGTCTTAAAGGGGCCGCAGCGCCGAGCCTGCTGCTGCTGCTGCTGCTGAGTATTGTCTTTCTCTTTGTTCGGACGTGATTTAAAACACAAACCACACACGTTTTGTGCAGATTAGCAGTCACCAAAACGTTAAGGATTTGTGTCAACGATGCTCGAAGCAGGAAGATCGATGCACAGTGCCTCTGGAAAAACGGGTGGGGATTATCAAGTTGCTGTTTTTGGCTGATTAATAATACAGCCACTATTGCAAGAAGTATTTTTAGGTGCCACTGATATCTTTGTCTACACTGAGACACCCGATGGAGGAACACTGACCTCAGCTGACTTGTCTGTGATATTGCAGGCGTGCAGAGGCAGACGCTTCTTTTGAGTCGAATTTAAAAACCTCCCTTATACAGACTTGCTTTTATGTGATGTCGTCTTTGTCTATTTTTTCCCTTTGTCTTTTGGGCCTTTTATTGATTTTATTTTTCATTTTTGTTATTCCATTTTATCATTAATATTATTATAATTATTAATTTATTATGATTTTATTATCATTATTTATATCCTCTTTTTATATTTAATATCCTGTTTCCTACTTTCTTCCGCCTTTTTTATTACATTTCTTTTTCTAACCTATTTTATGTTTTTATTTTGGTCTTCATGGTCTCATTTTATGTTGTAGAGTTCATGTATTTTCTGGGTTTCTTAGGACAAATGAAACTGGCTTTCAATTCAGAGGCCTTGTTTTTAACTGAGCTTTTGTTTTCACTTTTTTTATTTCCACGTTCTGATGTTCTATGCTTTGCAACTGTTTGTCAAAGCATGTTGTAAACTTCTGTTTTTTAAAGTGCTATAAAAATGAAGTTATTATTATCATAATTATTATTATATTGCCTGTACTTTAGTCTATTTTCCACTTAACGGTGGCATAAATGGTGTAGTAGAGATTGTTTCCTAAATGAAAACAGGGCTATTGAGTTTCACAAGATATAAGGTTCATATCTTTAGTTACTAAAATGTGACAACGATACGAATTTTACGACTTACATTCAACCATTTGGAGAAATATTTTTTCTATGACAGGTTCTGCGTGAGACTTGAGAGCCCTGCCTTCTTGTCGGGCATTTTTCCAACCCACTGAGATGATTATAGCCTAATCGTTTAATTGAATAAAAATCTTCATAATGGTCACTTATGGTCGTCACATGCTACAAACGTTGCGTTTCAATGTCATACAGTAACACAGCAGTTTGAGAAGGGAAGAAATATCCCAAAGGTTGGTATGTAATGGAGGAGGAAAGTGATGTGACTTCTGCTCTGTTGTCTCCGTGTGGAAATTGACACCAGGTAAACAATAGGCTGAAGTGGAAATACATGTATGTTTGAATTGAATGATGGTAGGACAGGAGGAAGGCTGAAGACTCACAACAACAAACACAAGCTTTAACCGTTTACCGTTACAACCGTTTTTTAACGTTGATGCGTTTTTCTCATGTCAGCCGTTAAAATAGCCTCCGAACAGTTAGCAACTGTAAATAAGCTGGCTAATGTCCCCGTAAATCTCAGCAAAGAGTCAAATATCCTCTAGGCTACACCGAATATTGTTATACACGGTTGTCATAACGGTACACAGTACAGAGGGGGAAAATTATCCTGGCATTTACAACAAAGACGAATCGGCTCACCATAGTAAGAGGAGGGGATGTCCGTCTTTCTAGCCATGGCACTTCGTAGCACAGATGCAGCAACGTCGTCTTAGTGTTGGAGACCGCATATGAGAGTCGAGGAGGTGAACCCCCGTTATTTTAATGCCTTTCAGTAGTCCCGTCGAGAAATAAACACAGGAACCTGGAGAGGTCTTCTCGGGCTCTTTGAGGATGCTTCGGCCACGCAGCTGAGCGTCAGTCGTGTTTACAGCGCGACGTCATTAATTATTCCAAAACGGTCTTAAAGGGGCCGCAGCGCGCTGAGCCTGCTGCTGCTGCTGCTGCTGCTGAGTATTGTCTTTCTCTTTGTTCGGACGTGATTTAAAACACAAACCACACACGTTTTGTGCAGATTAGCCGTCACCAAAACGTTAAGGATTTGTGTCAACGATGCTCGAAGCAGGAAGATCGATGCACAGTGCCTCTGGAAAAACGGGTGGGGATTATCAAGTTGCTGTTTTTGGCTGATTAATAATACAGCCACTATTGCAAGAAGTATTTTTAGGTGCCACTGATATCTTTGTCTACACTGAGACACCCGATGGAGGAACACTGACCTCAGCTGACTTGTCTGTGATATTGCAGGCGTGCAGAGGCAGACGCTTCTTTTGAGTCGAATTTAAAAACCTCCCTTATACAGACTTGCTTTTATGTGATGTCGTCTTTGTCTATTTTTTCCCTTTGTCTTTTGGGCCTTTTATTGATTTTATTTTTCATTTTTGTTATTCCATTTTATCATTAATATTACTATAATTATTAATTTATTATGATTTTATTATCATTATTTATATCCTCTTTTTATATTTAATATCCTGTTTTCTACTTTCTTCCCCCTTTTTTATTACATTTCTTTTTCTAACCTATTTTATGTTTTTATTTTGGTCTTCATGGTCTCATTTTATGTTGTAGAGTTCATGTATTTTCTGGGTTTCTTAGGACAAATGAAACTGGCTTTCAATTCAGAGGCCTTGTTTTTAACTGAGCTTTTGTTTTCACTTTTTTTATTTCCACGTTCTGATGTTCTATGCTTTGCAACTGTTTGTCAAAGCATGTTGTAAACTTCTGTTTTTTAAAGTGCTATAAAAATGAAGTTATTATTATCATAATTATTATTATATTGCCTGTACTTTAGTCTATTTTCCACTTAACGGTGGCATAAATGGTGTAGTAGAGATTGTTTCCTAAATGAAAACAGGGCTATTGAGTTTCACAAGATATAAGGTTCATATCTTTAGTTACTAAAATGTGACAACGATACGAATTTTACGACTTACATTCAACCATTTGGAGAAATATTTTTTCTATGACAGGTTCTGCCCAGATTTGTTGTTGTTTCGAAGTTAGTTGAGGTCACCATATTTTATCATAGGTGGTGCATCCATAAGAGTGTCATTTCTTTGGGTGTCACAAAGCCCAAAATGTAAGCCATGCATAGTATTTACTAAAAATGTTCTGAGAGCATCACACAGAAAAGTGTAGATTTTTCTGTTGCATCAACCAGTATCCCATGTTATTGTGCAAAAGTCTAGTCTCTGTGGTTACAAACTGAAGTGCACCTTTTAATGAAATTATAACCAAAAATATCAATCACTAGCTTTAGATTTACATGTGAAATATTCACTGAAAAGGGTAGTAAGGAGAAAAAGCAAAATCCTACGTCCAAGCAAACAAAAATACAGAGCAATAGCCCTTTATCCTGTCTAGGTTAGTTAGTTTTTCATATTTAGACTGAGCTCTCTACCATGACTCACCAACAGAAACCACTCACTCAGTGGCTCTTAAAGCTTAGTGACTTTGACCAGGAAGTGGCAGCAGAGACTGGAAATCCTGTTGGAGACTGCAAAGAGTTTAAATTTGCAGGGTGAGATTCACAAGCTATGCAAACAAAGCATAATCATGAGAGGAGCCTGAGTTATCTTTGACAGCTGCAGCCTGAAGGAAGTGACTTTGAAACTTGCATGTAAAATCATTGCACACTGCTAAACGTGATTCTTTTTTTGAGAGACTGTTTTAATGTGCAATGCATTAAAGGGTAAAAATGTATTAGAAATTGGACAAGCACTCTGTATAAAAAACTCTTATCTAAAAAATGATGTGTCTCTTAATGGTCTGGATAAAAGTAATGAAAACTCAGGTTGCCAAAGGCCAGTCATTAAGAAGTACTTCATTTCCTGGGGATGGATCATGAGTAGATGTTGCAGGATCACTGCCCGTTGAACATGGACAGAATTATAATCCCATTAATACTAAGTGTAGTCGTGTAAATGTAGAAACATTTATGTAGATGACAGAGGTCTACATCAGTCGTTGCCAATCTTTCATGGCAAAGGACTTTTCCTACAGATCTGGACCCAAGTCTGTTCAAGAGATTTAAAAAGCAAAGGATTCTGATTTAGTCCTCTGATTCTCAGGGCATTTAAACTTGTGTTTGTTGATGTCTGGCACAGTTGGGTTATGATGTTATAAATAGATTCATACAACAGTGGGATGACGGTAGTTTTTTATAGCTCAGTTGGAAATATTCAGTCTGCCTTCCTCGATTGGTGTTGCTGTATTATGTCAATGTGCCTTTTTTCTAATCATCCATGTATTAGTATTTTAATAAGCTTGGCCGAAATTTGTATGTTATCACATGCAGCAAGGTCAAGCAACATAATTTTTTCTTGCCAGCAGTGAGGAGGTTCGCTAATCCCGAACAAGGACAGACACACATTTCATAGGTGAATTGTTTCTCATATAAGAATGATATTCTCCAGAGTTGCCAGCCCATCTGCTTGTCATTATGTGAAAATGATGGATGCCAACAGCTTGCTAATTACATAATGGTGAAGGGTACATGACAGTTACAGTCACATTTTGTGCTGGTTTTGGTTTTGCATAAAGGAATACTCTCCCCTTTTTGACAACAGATGTCTTTTTTTACAGGCTGTGAACTCAGAGATTTTTTTTACTTTCAGCAGAGAAAGAGGGAGATGCTCTGAACACAATCACCTTTTTTCATTCAGGGGCTACAATTGCTACAGATTAAATCAACCCTTTTGACTCCGCAGGATTGAAATCCCTTAAGTTCCACCATAAGGGAGGAGATTCAGCACAGCAGTATCGCCATAAATGAGCAACAGAGATACAGAGTGTGGCTGGTGATTGTGAGTCACCCTCTAAGTCAGTAGAGTAGACACAACCGTTCTAAGAAATAAATATTGCACATTGGGTAAAAAGGAAATTGCATCTGTGACAAGTTGCAGAGTCAGTCCATGAGTCAGTGATCTGTCCTTAAAAGAAGGCAATTTACAAAGAGAATGACTGTGTTTTATCTGTAAGGCCAGAGAATTCAGGACACAAAGCTTGTTTCTATCTCCAAATGCTCTCTGTTTTTATACCCCCATCACAGTTGAACAGCGTTTCTCTGGAGTGGAAAATACAATAACAACTACCTTGGCTCAAAATTAGATTGAGCAAGAGAGTTATATTCATTTGAACTTCTTTCAGGCTAAAATTGCTGTTTAAATAAAAAATAAGTATACCAATAAGAAAATTTAATTTATGCAGCCCCTTTCAAAGAGCTCAAAGTCCATTTACAAAGTGGAATAATAAACTAAAAATAGAAATAATTACTATATATATGACTAAAAGAAAAATCAAATAATAGTAAATAGACTGAGATAGTTGAAAAAAAGATTTGGGGGCGGGATTGGGAAGCAGAGTAAGTAGAGTTTGTATGCCGATGGACAGGTGATGTTTTTTAAATGTAGTCAGAGATAGGGCATTCAGATGTCTGAGAGGAGGTTGTTCCATGGGGTGGTGGTTGTGGTGCTGAAAGCCCTGCCTCCAAGTGTACAGAGTCTGGATTTTGGGATGGAGAGCAGGCTAGTAGCTGAAGACTGGAGGTTCCGGGAAAGGGTGTATATGTGAAGGAGGTCAGAGAGGTACTGAGGGGCAAGGTCTTGGAGGGCTTGTCCAGGAATTTGCTGGGTACCCCAGGATAGGACTCCATTGAGGTAATCAAGGTGGGAGGTGATGAAGGCATGAATGGGGGTTTCAGCAAGAGCGTCAGAGAGTGATGGCTGGAGTCTAGAGACATTTTTTTAGACGAAAGAAGGTGGATTTAGTGATAGAGTTGATGTGGGAGTGGAAGGAGAGGGTGGAGTCCATGATGACACACAGGTTGCAGACCTCATGGGATGGGTGGATGGTGCACCTATCGACTCCCAGAAGGAGCACCTTGGGGGGCACAACCATGAGCTCAGTTTTACTGTTTGGAAAAATTATTAAGGTTTTGTGCTGAGGTTGAGCTGTGCATGTGGGTAATAAAGAGGAGGAGCCCATGCATAGAGCCTTGAGGAACACCATGATTTAACTTGTTTATTTTTTATTTTGTTTAGTTTTTAGACACACGGTACTACAGGAGGAGCTTTTAAGGTTAGTTAGTTATTGTAATAAGTCCAATGACTGTGCAAAATCTTTTTATTGACTTGTCAAAAGCTTCTGACGCTGTGGGCCTTTCAATTATGAGACTGTGACGACTCAATACTGGGCAATCAGGTCAACCTTGCAATTGGTTTGAAAATGATTTTTTAAACAGATCACAATGTGTGCAGGCTGAAGGCATCACCTTAAGATATCTTTATTCACTGCTCTGGTCCACTCCTAAGATGTGTTTGACTCTGTGAACGACACCTTTTGAAATCAAACTTGAATTTTGACACTAACAAACTTAAAGAAAAAGACTTAAAACCAGCCATCTATAACTATACTTCAAGGTGATGTGATTGAGTCTGTATCCTCTTATAATACCTGGGATTCTTGATCAATCATTCCCTGTCCTTTGAGAGTGATGTCCCTGTAAGCATTCATTTGAACAGAAGCTGAGATTGTGACTGAGCTCTTATTCATGAAATAAGTCATGTGTGTCATTTGCTGCAAATAGACTTGTTGCTGCTTCTTGTGTGCCCATGGTTGACTACACATGTCCAGCATTTCCAGCATTCATCATCTCAGTGCCTACATTCTCTGGATACAGGTTACCATGAATCACTGATGCTCATTACAAATCTTGTGTCCCTCACTCATCACTACTCCCTGTATCCTTGAGTTCCCCGGCTAACTGTAGGCGACTGTCCCTAACTCTATGGGTCATTAGTCCTTAGTCTTAGAGGGTTGGTTGCCATACTGAGCAAAAACAGGGTCATGAAGAACCCGAGTGTTTATATGATGTTGCTCAATCATTTCAGTCTTAAATCTAACTGTTGAGTCATCAAAGACTCCATCACTGGTTGTGGTGTAAGACCTAACATCTACAAATCTGCAAGACTGTCTAGTTTGTTCTCTGTGCTGTGGTGGTTAGATCATCAAGTGCTTGTTTTATTGGCTAAATATATAGTTTTATATTTTTGCTGATTACATACACAAACAGAACTACACAGCAGTGCTCTCTCTCTTCAGTTGAGTATAGGAGTATTTTCTAGCTAAACCGTCACCTTTTGATGTACATAAGGTATAAGAGTGGGACATCTGCTACAAAGATGTAGCTATTTTAAAACAGCAAAGCACACTATTCTTAAGACCTGTTTTACAGAAACAAGAGCTTTGAGAAAGGCACTCTTATCTCCATTTGGCTTTCTCACACAGGTGTCCATTTATATGTAGCACTTTGTTTCGGATAGTATTGATTGCTGTCAAACCAACAAATTACCCAGCCCCATAATAGGATCTGTTTCAGAGCTGTTGTCTCCAAAAGCTTGGCTCAGTCGATATCAGTTTTAGCTGTTCCAAGATATTTATTAGAGGCCACAGATGATTAAAAGAGCCCTTACATAAACTCTTGAAGAATTGTGGTTATATAAATGTGCTTTAAAAAAAAAATTTCATATTATAGTTGAACAATCACTTACAATTTTACTTTATTATTCAATGTTTAAGTGAGTGTGTTTTTCACTCATTTATTTCACATTGCTAGTATTTTACTACACCAGTTTTTAAATGTGATATTGTATCATTAAACCTGCTTTTAGAAGGAAAGACAATAAGTCTGATGAGACATTTCTTTAAACTCATGAAAATCTGGGCCAAAACATGAAAGTCAATACATCATGTTCCCACTGTAGCTTTAAGTAGGCTACCCTGCTTTTCTCGCATCTGTTCTTGTTTTTCTGATGAATTACTTATCAATTCCAAAAAACTAGATTTCCGGGCAAACCACTGAAACAACACAAGACAAATAGATGCATATGCCAGAGCACAGAGTGTTTGAACAAAAAGGATTCACTGTCAATTTTCTTTGACAATTAGTCTTTAGGTCTCTAAGAAAATGTAGTGGTGGTATGATTTTTTTGATAGCAGCAATGACTCAGTGAAACAGGCTGCATCTTATTTATCATGATGAATGATAAAAAATTGTGTGTGGCAGTTTTAGATGGATCACATAAAGCTGCACTTTATTCTGTCTGCATTCTCTTTATCATCTAATAAACTCCACTGGTTAAAATGACTGTTTTCAAAACAGAAGTGACAACACTAAATAAACTGACAAGTGTTGTTTGTTATTCCAGATGATTTTGGGGCAAACTCTTTAAGGACATGAACTATTTTCCTCATTTGTCACTGTAACCTGAGCAACTACAGCTTCTCGAGGGGGATAGATTTGCTGGGGGCAGTAATCTTGTCAGAAGGAGCTGGGAAATGGGGAATGAGTCTTTTTATAGACACCCTCTGAGCTGGTATTACTGCGTTCATTTTTAATGTTTTCATTTCTTGTCAAGTCTTCTTTTGCTGAAAAACTGAAAAATATATCTTTAGGCTTTGTGGGAATTAGCTATTTACCCTGAAAACTAAAGCTGTCAGTGTTCATGTGTTCATTGTGATTAAGGTCTCAAATGACAACAGATTTTAATCAGGTGTGACACTGAAGTGTTGTTCTCCCAAAATTCTAAAGATGCATAAAATTATTGGAATTCACAGATCATTTTTGTTTGAAGTGCGCCTGTGGTTATGTGAAGTGGAATCCTGACAGGGTGAGACCAGGTCTTGCTGCCCCTTAAGACACCCTATTTCATAATCACTGGCTAAGTGCTGGCTAAGTTATTTTGCTACCACTCAGCTTCCATCTAAATCAAGTAGTCCAAGTAACTGGTTCAAAGATCTTTTATTGAGTTGAAACTGATTATTTACCTATACAACTCAAAAAGTTTAGTTCTGATGGTTGTCTTTTTTTTTTGCAGTACAAATTATTTATTCATTGTTTTAAGGGTGGGGGTGTTACGGCTGTGTGTTTGTTTTGTGTGTGTTTTTCCCCTTTTGTCTCTCCATAGCTGCCCAGGTGAAATCACTGAGTGCTAATCAGACTCACCTGGTGCTGGGCCTTTAAAGACTGAGAGCTGCCTGCAGTCTGGAGAGGCATTTGGTAGGAAAGTGCTGCCCTGCTGCCTCTCATTTGTGTTTAGTTTGTAATTTAGTTATGTTGTCACAATAAATCACTTGTTAAACTCTTGAAGGTGTTTTGTTAATTTGATGGGTCGAAAGATGAGGATAGTTGTTAGCAGCATAGGGCCGCCTTCGGGTGGGGCGTAACAAATGGGGGCTCATCCAGGATCGAAACATCCATGAGTTTTTTTTTTAAGTTGTTTTTTTTTTCCTTTCGTAACTAGTGACCATAGTTTGGGTCATAGTTAGTCTTCTGTTTCTGTCACTATCATTAGTAGTTGCTTTTATTTGTAACTTCTGAGCACCCTGATTATTTAGTCGCCGGGCAGGGAAGAGCTTGCCACTTTTTTATTTTGCCTTTTTTATTTTTGGTGGTAATCCTGAGGAGGGGGCACACTTAGGTGATGCCTCGAGCTCAGCAGGCCACTGAAGACTAGCTAGGTAAGTCAGACATCTTGTTAAGCAGGTAGGGGTCGGGGTGACTCATTTTGCTCTGAAATTGTTTTGTACTATAGTACTGTTTTTGTGTGTGTTTCAGAAGGCTACCCATTCTTGCTTGGTAACTCTGTGTGATAACAATTAGGATTTTGTGTGCGCAGTAACTTGTGTTGTGTGACCATTTGTTGGCGGTAACTGCTCTCCACATTTGGTGGGTCAGGTGTGAGTTGCATCTTGGGTGTAAGGTGGCAACAGTTGTGTAGTGGTGACTACTGTGTGATAGGCCTGCACGATATATCGTTTGAGCATCGTCATCGCGATGTAGGTGTGCACGATAGTCACATCGCAGAGCCTGCGATGTCGGAGCCCAATGAACTCAGTTAATTTCAAGGGTAACTGACTGAGATACACTGCACGTGACTCTGCATGTGCTTTGCAGCGATCCATCAATCACCTTCGTTCTTTACTCAGTTGCCAATCAGACTCAGTTCTCAGTTGCCAATCAGACTACCCTGCCAGCTGTCAATCAAACTCAGAGAGGAGGAAACCCACCCCTGCACATGTTCTGCACATGGAGGGAGGCGCTACCAGAGTTGAGCCGAGAAATGGGTGTCCACAGAGTATTACTCTCGGAACATTACTCATCACTGTTTAGCCCCACAAATAAGAACTGTATGGGTTTTAAAATGTACATTTCCGTGGACCACTCTACTATAAGCAGTGCGCGTTTTGTGAGGTGCATGCAATTCTCGGAGGACATGCGTTTCTCAGCACAACACCGCTAACAACAACAACAACGATCGCAAACTGAGCAACAAACAGAGAAAACCACCTTAGATGAAGACTTGTTGCCAAAAAGAAAAGGAAAGTCAGTTATCTGGAATTATTTCGGTTAAAAGAAGGATGATGTTGACCTGTGTTCACCTGTTGCCACAATAGTGTCCCAGCACAACAAAAGCTAAAAATATCTCTGAGACAGACAGAAGCCATTCTACTAACATTCACAAAAAGAGGTAAGAACAGCGCAGGTTAACTGTCCTCAAGATTTCAGCAGCGCAGCATAACATAAAGTGCTATTCAGGTCATCTGGTGAAAATTCCTCTATTTTTTAATACCGCATTTATATATCGCAGGGTTGAAAAAATCGCAATGTTAGTTTTTTCCAATATCGTGCAGCCTTAGTACACATTTTGTTTATATATAATGGATTGATTTCAAGAAATAGATAAGAGTGTAAAAAGTGTGACAACAAGCCCCGGTCTCCCCTACATAATCGGCGTCTTAGATTATGACCGCGTGCGGGTGGCCCAAAGCCAAAGTAAATTGGGAAATTGAGTTTTTTAGGACCATGAGGCGCACGCGGCTGAGCCCCCTGTAGAGAGGGGCATGGATGGGAGAGCGGTGTAGTGTTGTAGCGTCGTCTCCTCGCGCTGATCCCAGTGATGCTGCTGCTCTGGTGTTGCATGCTGAAGAAGACTCTGGACTCCTTTATGAGTGAGTGAGCTCCGGTCCCTGGACGATGACGGCTCGTTGTGCGGTGGGAAACGTGGAGGAATAAAGATGAAGATCAGAGTGGTAAGTATGAGTGAGACCTGCTGAAAATATGTCAAACTGAAATCAACCCCAGTATGGATCTTCAGTCTGTTTTTTTTCTGCAGCTCAGAAGTGCCACGCTCTGCTGTGACCTAATTGCACTTTGTGATATTTTGTTTTTTTTTAAGCCTATTAACATCAGAGTAATATTTTGCAATGGAGAAACTAACAATGAAACACGCTTGAATTCAGCAGCCTGGTGCTATTTTTATGCCTCTCATTCCCACATGTTGCCCTACTAATGTTGAGCACGTTTGAGTGGCACAGCTGACATTTTATCTCCAGCCTTGTAAAAAGAATGAGCAGCTGCTATTTATGCATCAATCTGTTTTATATCTGGCATTTTAATTAGCACCAATAACTTGACCATAGATGTAGGCGACCCTATAATCTAAACCAAGACCCTCCCTCTGGCTTGATGCTGCTGTTAAGCTCTCTGAAACTTTATTATTATCATTATTTTTTGTCTTTTCAGTGCCAAGGCATCAGTGGCATCATCATCATTACCATGGTTACCAGTATTATGTTGGTGTACAACAGCAGCTCCAGGGACAGATCTTTCCCATCTGTGTTGTCATCGTTGTCCCAACATTCAGATGGTCCTGTTTCATCTCCAAAACCACAGAGTCCTTCAACACTGGAGGGGTACACAGGTGTCATGGATCGCAAGGTAAACATACGCCATCTGTGCTTCCAGACACAATCTGTCTCCCTCTGCCTTTTTAGAAACAATGGTGCTGATACTGGTTTGTCATTCAGGTTATTTTTTGTGTAGTAGACTAAAATAAAATGGTGAATAGTGACAAGGAGTAATTTACATTAACTGTCTTTGCTAAGAACTCCCAAAGTAGGGATGGAAATCTCTTATGATAAGATATGCTACCCTGTGCACATCATCTCCCTCAAAACGAGAAGTGAAGCCAAAATACCAAATCCATGACACTGGGCTGGTAGAGCTAAGGCATTGATCGAAAAAATCTTGTTGGTGGAGCCACTGGACTGAAACCACACAATTTCTTCTCAAGAAAAATTATGAATCAATCATCAATCATCGGCTTTACCTTTTAAGTAACTTTGATAAGAGGAACGCTTAACTTCTGTTAAATAATTCCATTTAATTTCTTCAATGTTGTCATTTTGAATTCTTTGACTTCACTGGGGTAATGCAGCACTATGGCATGCAGACATTTGCACTAAGATGGGGATCATAGTGATTGTCCAGGAACTGTACTATGGAGAGCTCTTTATGGGCGTTAAAAGTCTGATGATCTGAATCACTAAGGTCACTCTGACATCACTTGAATCTACAGTGTTTACCTGAGAAAGAAGAAGGATACACTCCCTTCTCTGGAAAGATGGATCATAGAGAACTTGAGCAAGAGCATACAGCCTTTGTAGAAGTATTGTTATCCACAAATCTTTATTGATATGTTTGGATAAATCTTTGACTGAGCTTGGATTGTGGGGACCCTTTCTGTAGCAGCAGGAGGGGGACAGAACATCATCAGGTTTTCTACAGGTTTTGATGTTTATCTTAATATTTTCTCTTACTTTTGAGCAGAAATAATGTATAAACAGTGTTTGTTAAGAGCTAACAGAATTTCATTTTGGATTAACGGTGCCAATCTCCGGTTATCACATTTTCTCTCACTATTACTCTGCTACTGTGCTAATCCTGAGAGGCAGGTTTAGCAGGACCCTACAATTGTCAACAGGGCTGTAAACTAATGAACCTCTCCAAACAGTGAACTGTTGCACATTAGTCAGGGTGGCAACAACTAACTAAAATGACACAATTTATGAGTAAATTGATTTGAATTTCAATTTTTTAGTTTGAACCATAGGACATCTGTTATAATAGAGGGTGGGGGGTTGATGGCCTGTACAGCAGTTATCACAAAGTCATGGCTTTAGAGTAGGGTTGAATATCATCACGCCTCAGTGTTAGTCACATGACTTGAATGAAGTCATGCTGTTACCAATTCCCTGTTATCCTGGATTAGTCTCTGATTAGAGTCTACCTGAAACCACTTCAATGCAGCCTCTCACTTGAACATTAAGAAACCTAACTGCTGCACAGGTCAGTATTTGTGTGTCACATGACTGTAGAATGTAAACATGCCCATAAGTTGCAACACTATTACTGTGACAGATACCTGTAAAAAGAGGTTTGAGGGCAGTTTTGTTTTAACATCTATACCTGCAGTACATAGTGATGTGAAAATCATGATTAGATTAAACATAATTTTTAGCATAAACAGAAATGACTGATTACGTGTAAGTGAGTTGATTGTGTTCATGAGTACAATTTATGTAGTGGCATGTTGTTCTGCCTTCCTCTTCCTTGATCCTATGCTTCACCATGACCCACTGTCAGAGAGCTTTACACAGTATGGTATGAATAGGAGGGTGAGAGTAAAAGAAAGACCGAAGGATCCAAATTGATAACAATGAAACTGTGATAATGAGGATTTTAATAGTTTGTATTTATCTGGCATATTTTTTATATGGCAATATATAAGACAGCAAGGAAAAAACATTGAAGTAGTATTTTTTTTTTTCAGTATTCTGAAGCCCTTCTTTTGGGCTCTTTATATACTGTTTAAATCATACCACTATAAAGGGATTCAAGGATTCTTGGTTATTTGCAAGACAATCACGTGGTATTCTCCATAACTGAACAATGTAATAACAACCTATACATGTATTTATCTTTTTAAATTTTCTATTTAAGCCCTGATTCAGTAAAAACTACAGAAAGCTTCATAATGTTTTAATGAGTGTTTGACATATCTGGCTCTGTATGCCGATTTCATCACTGCATTTCTCATGTGACGTTCAACATGACTCTCCTGCTTCCCATTGTTTTTGTGCATATTTGTGACAACACACCTGGACTGTCAAAACATCCTGTTGCACTTGAGTACCTAACAAGCTTAACCTAATAAGTATTCTGATGCCATACACACAATGCAGAGAGATTTTAATATATTGAGTTTGTCAAACAAACTGTATGGAGGTGAGTAAGTGTTTTGTATACATTGCACTGTGTCTAGAGATGACTATTAAGTCCTCTTAAGGTAATTAACTGCAATTTTACCTTGCCTCCATGGTTAATAATGATCAATGTTAGGCTCAAAATTGCTGTGAAGGCATCCTCTTGGACCTTTGCACTGTTTATCCCAATCCTTAATTCATAATTAATGCATAAACCATGAAATATTTAGTGACAAAAGCACTTAAAACAGGGTGCATTCCTACCAGAGCAGCTACTTGAGACAACACAGCAGTAATCTTTCAGTCTTATAAGCCCTTCGGCTTTTGTTTTCACACAGCACAGGCCTTTTGTTCAGACCCTGCTCAGTGCTATAGACGGCTCATTCAGATCAAAAGATCATCCAGACAGCATGGTGTCCTCCCTCAGTGAGAAATATATGCAGCGAGAGCAGAGAAAACATCGGAAGCACTGGGCAGGAGAGGATTTGGAGGGAAAAAATGTTGGTTACAGTTTGCCTGTCAGTGATTTATGATCAGTGACTTAAAGTGTGAGTTTGGGGAGAGGTTTGATCCAGCTGGATTTGTTCCTGTTTTCTGACGTGCCAAAAATTTTATGTCCAGGTATCCCTGAGATGTTGTACTATCAAATTCCTTTTAAGTAAATTAAAAAGAAACATTAATCTACAGAGAATGAGAGAAAGCCTCTTTAATTTATATTTCCTACAGTAGAGCCGCATTATTATTCAGTCCTGGCCGTTCACCTTTTCCTGGCTGACAGCTAATTCGTGATGTATCCTCTCTGCGAAATCCTCAAACTGCTTAGTGTCACTCCCCCCTCTTCTCCCACTGGGGCTGCTGCTGCTTCTACACCCTCACACAGAGCTGAGGGAATGACTAACCAGAGGGGACCTGCTGTTAGATCAGTGCAGTAGGCGGATATGTCCATACTGTCTCCTTCAGGGTCATCTGAGGTCTGCTGCTGGAGAGAATCTTAGCTCGGGTACACACACATATAGAAAACCCCACGCAAAAATGCCCAGACAGGATGTAAAAGTTTAATGCCCTCATCAGAGAAGTGAGTGGAGCTCTGTCTAATGTGTCTGCCAGACCCTGGTTTATGACCTATATTGGCTCATGAGCATGTCTCTGATGCATGGATTATGCCTGCGCTTGTTTCATCATGAGGTTGCAATGTAGCCATCATTGCACATTTAGACCTTGTTGACTAATTCGTAGGTTGAAAATGTAATTTCTTTGTGTTTTGTGGCAGATGAGGACTAAAAAACAAGGTTGAAATCCATCAAACTTACAAACTATAAGATTAGACTTTAAAGCTACTGCAAATTCCTTGCATGTTAGATATTTTGAGCTACTGGCAGTCATCATATTTCCCCTCTTTGCCCTCTTCAGCGTCTGCAGGTTTCTGCGAGATGTGCTCCTCAAGTACGCGTTTCTCATTTGTTGACAAGCTACAGTAATTAGCTGCACTCTTTCGAATCCGCACACCCACGTTTGCATCCGAACACCTTGACACACAGTAACTCCGGTCTATCTCTGTGCTGCTCATCCTCTTTCTCTCTCTGTTGCTTTAGCGATCCAAGTTAAAGAGATGCTGACCTTTTTGAAGAACCACCAGTGGAATCAATCTACATTGGCCTTTATGTGCAAAACATGTGCAAGAGCATGAATGTGGATCATGAGGCTTCACCAGTTCATGATGTACCTGCTCATTATGGGAAATAGCTTCAGCGCTCTTGCAGCCTATAATGCAGTCAGCCCTGAAGAAATGCGGGTCATGAAGAGCTTTTAGATATGCGAATAATTCTCATGAGTATATACCCCCTGTTATAGCATACAGTTTAAGCTCTTATACTGGAGGTATGAGAAGAATTCCTAATTGATGACTTATGGATATATCTTCACTCATAGTGAGTGTAAAATCCTGGCATAATAGATTTTAACGCAAAATTTTACAATCATAAGAGACGCAAATTTCTCACCTGATATGATCTGTGTTTGGAATAATGAAACCCAATCCATGGGTCTTTGATTTACGCTCAGTAAAAATCATTCCTGTTGTTTCTATTGTGCCCTTTTTCAAATAGATGTCTTTTTGCTAACAAGGCTAAGTCTTCAAGATACAGCTCCTGTGTCTGCTCTCCGTGCTCAACATAAAAGTGCAGAAGAAAAAGAACAGTCTCCTTGATCAGCTCGCCCACACTCCCTGAAATTGAGAACAGAGTTAGTTTGGGATTTGGACCTGAATGTGTGCCACACAAGCCACTTAATGAGGTGTCAACTATCTGGAGGATGACTGCTGAATTAATTTGAGTCAGAGAAAAGAAAGACATCCTGATCATTAAACTCTTACACACCACGACAGGTGACAACCCACCCCCGCTCTCATTCGAGCCATTATGCAATCATCTATATTTAACGCATAATTTTAACAAACAGGTTGATAGCAACCCAGCAGCTTTAGATCAGAAGAAGTTTATTGGAGTTTTGATTTGAATGATTCATTTCTTTCATAGGATGTTGCACTGCAGTGATTTTGAAGTTGTATTGACAAACCTCAGAGATAACTTCAATCTGTTATTATCCTTGAATCTACAATCGACATTGACACTGAGGCATTTCCTTTCATTTATTATCAATGACTCTCCTATTACCCCTAAATAGTTCAGTCGTGCCCAGGCTATTATCTCTGTAGGTTTGTTCTCGCTGCGCGTCTTAACTGAAAGGGAGCAGAGGGCAGAGGCTTCTGGATTGGCAGCACAGTAAAGTCTCTGGAGCAATATTACAGACTGACTGATGGGGTTTGCTCTGAAAGCAATTATGATCCTGGGTCCTCCTGGGAACTATAAACAGGATCATACTGATGAGACTGGAGTCAGTGTGTGGGCTGTAATAGACTGAGACTGGAACCAAAGCTGCCCTCCTCGTTGTTTCTTGTGCGACTGCTGCTCTGTCTCTAGGTAGAGGGAGTCTGTGTTGAGTCTGAATATATGCGAGTGATTCATCAAGCTCACACAAGCTGGCATAAAAACATGTTCAACTTTGCTGAATAACATCCTAATTTAGAATAGATTTTGTGCCCTGAAAAAGACGACTTGAAACCCACTCTCCATTTTTGGGCGATTACAGCGGTAGATTAAAAATGGAAAATGTTAATACATGAAAAATAATACATTTTAATAATAAAGAGATTACAAAAAATCTGTGTAGTCAAAGAAAAACTTGAAGGAATAACCTGAAAATTAAAATAAAATGTGGATGGTATAAACTTTGACTAATCTCATTCTACATTTTAAAAGTCAGACACAAACTTAACTGTACATCTTTTTGGTTAAAAATTAAACGAAAACTTTTGGCTGTTTGTTGCAAGATCTCAAACCCAGTGACACTCGTGACAGACATAAAAACTTAGAAATATCAAACGTACTTCCTGATGGTGGTGATTTCTGACTTATAATTAGCTGAAACTCCTCTCATTGTTGCTTTATACGACCTAAATAAAGCAACTTCTCTGGATTTGAAACTAAAGATTTATTTAAAAGATTTGCCTCAATCATTGAGTGGTAATATATCAATAAAACATAAATCCATGACTCCTTTATTGTGAATATCATAGTATATCTGTCAAATGTAATATAAAATTTGAATACATTCATTATAACACTGGGAAGAGTTTCCAAGCTCTCGGTCCAGGATTGTGTTTCAGTATCCACTCGCTCTGCCCAGTTTGAAAGGTTCATCTGCAGGGTACATCTAATGAATGACTGAGGGTAAGATTAAATGTTGAAAGTTGAAATTGACTTCAAGTACAACAAAGTGAGTAAAGAGGAAAGAAATGCATAGATAATATCTCCGTCAGCCCAGATGGGAGAAAGAACACCTGATGTTAAAGATTTATTGCAAAGTTTTCCAGAGGCAATAAAATGTACAGTGTATTGTTTAAATCCTAGATAATTTTATTCCTTTCAAGTGAAAGTCTTTATGAATAATAGCTGAGCCTCTGGACTGAGATATTAATATAACATGAAACATTTCCATACCCTCTAATTATGAACTCTGTTATTATCTTTATTATAAAGATGTGTTTTCTGCAGAAATGCTCTGCCTACATGAAGCAGTTGAAGATAAAAACTGGCTCCAGTAAATAACATAATATTTGGTTTTATAGAATAGGAAAATGATTAAATATGAGTAAAAATGTTGGTGATCATTAACGACAGTAGAACCAGAAACATTGGGTGTTAAATAAACTGAGTTTTTCTCACAGTAACAAAACAACCTTTGTCACACATGGATTATTAAACACCTCTTTAGAGCAACTCAGATTTTGTTTCCTGTCTCCTGTAGGACAGCACTTGCCCGTACCATTAACATTTTCATATATCCTCATGTCGAACACATATTACTCTTAAAAGATCCTGATATTCACTGAAAGTACATGAAACCTCACAAATATATAACATAACGCTTTAAATATGAAAAACTTCAGGTTTTAATAAATATGGACAGTGTTTTGTATGTATCACACCAGAGTCCACTGAGTAGCGTCCTTGACTTAAACGTTTCACCTCTAAAGCGCATCTGTGTTGGAAAGTGTACTGCTGACCAAGTTATGCATTATTGATAAAGGCAGACAAGCCTCTGTCCTCATGATGAAGTGCAGACTGAGTGTGTGTGGGAGGCTGCAAGTGTTCAAGGGCTAATTGGATCACAAATAAAAAGGACCACTGTGTTCATTAAAGTCTTATTATGCATCAAAATGTTTTTTAAGAGGCAGTATATTGCACTAATATTTATTCATGCATTTAACAGTCTGTGGGTTGTATCTTCAGGCTGACCATTATCTTAAACGTTGCCCAACTGAAGCTGAAAGCCCCACTAAATGACAGCATGGTCCTCAAGTGGCTACTTCCCAACATCATCAAGCTGTCAGAAGCTGGAGGGTGCTGGCACTGGAGCTTTAGTATCACTGTCAAGGACACTATTATTTCATGAATACTTTAAAGCATGATACCGCCAGTGCAACCTTCAATCGCCTTTTACCGGTTTAACACATTCGCCGACTTTTGAAGTGATTAAAAGTTGCACGGGAGAAACCATAAGGACAGAGCTAAGAGGCGAATGCACTTTATCTGTTGTTTGTAGAAGAAGAAACAGCTTAAAGGACTGTTGATTTTTTTTTCCAGCAAAGATGTGGAAGGTGTGCTTGTGCAGTGAAGGGTGTAATTTGCTCTAGTCTACCTCTTATAGAGAAGGGGTCTGAGGATAGAGAGGGCAAACACTCGCCAGTAGGAGTTGGTTTGTTTTGAAACGTTCGTTGGGGAATTGGAAATCCTGTTACTCAGTGCCAAAATATTTGAATTGTGTCTTCCTGTGTGTGTGTGTCTGTGTGTCTGTGTACTTTTAAATCTGTCTAACAGGGAACTTAGTTGCTGTTCTGTGTTCGTCAAGTGGGACCAGGGAAAATTTTTTAAGGTTCCATTTTAATCATGCTTCAAGTCAAGCTAAATCATGTAAAACAATGACATTTCTTCAAAATTTGCTAAGAAGGGACTCGCAGGTACATATGTGTGTTTAAAACCATGCTAGGCGTCCTTATGCAGGAGGAACAGGAGTTTCGAACACCCATTCACATGTCACTTTTTCACTGATTTAAGACCTGAAAGGTTGTCTTTCTGTCCAATTTTAATAGCTTTTAAAAGAGACTGCGCACTTGATCAATGTAAAATGTTAGTCCACTGCGCGCGCGCGCGTGTGTGTGTGTGTGTGTACTTCTAAATCTGTCTAACAGGGAACTTAGTTACTGTTCTGTGTTCGTCAAGTGGGGCCAGGGGACATTTTTTTAAGGTTCCATTTCTATCATTCTTCAAGTCAAGCTAAATTATGTAAAACTATGGTATTTCTAGAATATTTGCTAAAAAGGGACTCGCAGGTACATATGTGTGTTTGAAACCGTGCTCGGCAGTCCCTCTGCAGGAGGAACAGGAGTTTCGAAGACCGGTTCACGTGTCAGTTTTCTTTGTTTTTAGACCTAAAAGGTAATCTGTCTATCCAATTTTAACAGCTTTTAAAAGAGACTGCACACTTGGTCAGTGTAAAATGATAGTCCACTGCATGTGGGAGTGTGTGTGTGTGTTTGTGTATAGAGGGGATTACAACTAATTTAGAATTTTGACACTTCTAGGACAGTTGCAGAATTTACCATAGAAACATGATTGCATTATATTTGTGGGGGCACATCAAACCCAACACAAAAGTTCACAGACACCCACAGACTCTTCCTGTACACATCCATATGGGTGCAGTGCCACACATACACACACAGCAATCATTCAATGTGGGGTCAGAGATAGTGGGAGAGTATTATAAATATAGTGGTGGGAGCAGCACGGCCTCTGGCGCTGGTAATTTCACCTGCATGTCGGCACACACATACACACACTCATACAGACAAACACACACATTCCCACCTCTGAACCTGATGGAGTGTGAAGCTCAGAGCGCAGTTCAGAATGCCAATGTAGCTCTCTATTAAGGCTGGGAATAATTCATGTGAAGGGTCTCTGGGTTCTTGCTGTCGGATCATTCAATCCGAGCTCCCCTTTTTCTACACTGAAAACCTGATGGGAACAACAACATGGCCAAAGGAAGTGCAAACCAGTGCAACTGCCCTGCAATACATTCTACTTTTTGAAAGCTGTGGTACATGAATGATACATGGACTGGATTTTGTATCGAGAGGATATGTGGGGACATATATGTGTGTATGTCATATGGTAGAAAACATTAATCCAAGTCTTAGTGTGACTGAATTTATTCACAGGTTTGTGTTTCCATCCTGATATAGAATAGCCTCTATTACTGCCAGCCACGATAATCTGCGGCGCATTTGAATAATGGGATATGGGACATAGCAGACCATCACCTTTCTGGCTGCTTAAATTTGACTAATTGTGATTCAGGAGATGCTTTGTCAAAAGACAGGAAGGTTTCTTTTTTTATGTAAGATACTCAGCACAAGATAATTGAGCAGAAAAAGTCAGCAGTAGCCTGGTTTGAAGGCTTTAAATATTATCTTGTCAGATTTTCTTTTTGTGTGAGGTGTGTTAAGAGCAACTGTACTGTCCCCTTACTGCTTGGAAGAAAATTGGAGCCACAGTGATTTGGGAAAATAAATATTAAAGTAGTTTTTCTGTCTTTAAAGTGGGGTTGTAAGAAGTTTTTTTTTGTCAGTGGTAAGACAGGTGATGCCAGTCAGCTCACCCAGTTTGTTACAGACCAGCTGGAGAACCAAGGTAACCAAACATGCTGGACATGGGATATATTTTACATAGATGAGCTGACAGCTGCTGTTTGTGTTAGCTCCAGTTATCTTTGCTATGCTGTTGTTGTTTGAGGTCACTTTTTAAAAAGTGAATACAAAGTTTAAAATATGACACTTTGAATAAACTTCAACCTAAACACTAATGTCCAAGCTCCAGAGACTCAGCAGCACTATTATTAAGAATCTATTAGCTATTGTTAGCACATGTAGCGGCGTCGTACTTTCTCTCTTTGTGTTGTATATTTCAAAGAAGACGACCATCACAGTTGGCACTCTTGCCGTTTATTTCTTTTACATCTGGCAGAAGAACAATAGCACAGTTCAGTCACTTCTGGTTCTCTCACCCACACACACATACACGTCTGAGAATAGTAAAATGAACAGAAAGGTTAGCTAACCATGTGCAGCGTTAGCTACTTTATAACCAAAAATACAAGTAAAACACTGTCAACTCTTTATAAAAAAAGGACGTGCTCGACTGTTCGTGAGCTATACATTTAACTAGAGACAACTTAAACCATCCCTTTTTATTAAAACTAAAGTAATTAACATAAACAATGGCGGAGCTCATGAGGTCCAACTGCTACTACCCCCCAGGATGCACGACCATAATCCACCGGGGTGCTGCATTTAATTGCCATCAGACAAATGAGTTTTAGTGTTGTGTGATGAGTTTTTATGGCAAGTCGGATCACCTACTTCTTAACTCTGTTACACACACTTGTGGTAAACATGACAAAATTGACTCTTGCTTTAATTAGTCTTTTAGTTTTGCTTTTGTCAGTGTGTAGCTTGCAGGTTGTAGACACTGCCAACTTAAAGTCTCTGTAATTACAGGACGTAGCGGCAACGAAATCATCCCCTGTTTCTGAAGGGGAGTTTTGAAGCCAATCGGTGGCGGCAGTCACTATAATGGTACCGAACATTTAGTCAGCCTACCAGAGACGGGCCTTTAGCCTCCTAACAAATGGTTACAGTATGCCTGCCTATCCGTGCCTCTGATTTGTTTAACTTGTATCCTGACTTACAAAAAATTAATTCCCCGTATCACATGGTAAGCCGGAGCTGCTCAGACCAAAACCGTTTTCTTTAATCAAGCTGTAAACATGTTTAATTTTGCACCAAAGTCTGGCTTTTTGGTTGAATGTGTACTTGGTTTCCGGTGCTTCTGCAGCCAGCCTCTATCAGGCAAGTTTTTATTAATTAAATAAAAGGAAATTATTCTTTGTACTGCAACTCTTTTGTTCCCTGGATAAAACTTCATATTTGACCCCAACCTCTAATTTTTCCAGCACCTGAAGATGCATTGCAGGACCTGTGCCCTGGTGACCAGCTCCGGCCAGCTCACTGGGAGCAAGAAAGGAGAAAAAATCGACCGCTCTGAGTGTGTGATCCGTATGAACGATGCACCGAACATAGGCTATCAGCACGACGTTGGCCGCCGCACAAGCCTGCGTGTCATAGCTCACTCCAGCCTTCAGAGGGTTCTGCGGAGCCGGCAGCAACTGCTCAACGCCAGCCAGGACACAGTGTTCATCTTCTGGGGACCTAACAGCTGCATGAGACGGGATGGAAAAGGGCATGTTTATAACAATCTCAGACTTTTAAACCAGCTGCTGCCCAAATTGAAAATCTACATCATCTCTAGGTTAAAAATGCTGAAGTTTGATGAGCTCTTTAAAAAGGAAACAGGGATTGATAGGTAAGTGTCAACATAATTAATCCTATTGTTTGTTTTTTGGGTGACTTAACTGGGACGAACAGCCACCTCTGCAAATGAAAGACAAACACAAGACAGTCCTTAGCTTATGCCTCACAATTAAAAAAACAAAGCCATCTCCATTTCCTGCATTATAAGCAGGACTTAGATGAAACATTAGGGTTTCGATTTGATCTGAGATGACTAATAAAATGGCTTAAGAGAAGAAATGCCAAGTGTCTTTTAGTGCAGTCACGCAATGTAGTGAGACATTTGAATATCAATTAGAGACACATTTTACCAGTGTGAGATTAAGAGTCTGGTTTCCCAGTATTTAGAAACAAACAGAAATTGACTCATAAAACAGTACTGATACAGTCCTCAACATGAGGCCAATTCACGTCTTTTTATACTTGAAATGAAAAGAACATGTCACAGCTTCATCTCTCTATTTAAATATGGCTAAGGTATAAAAATGTCTGGCTGAATATGAATGCACAAAATGAAATCACAATAGGATAATGTGACATTTTGTCTGCATCAATCCAGCCATTCATAAACTCATTTGCATGTGAACAGTTAGCCCACAGGATAATAAGAGGACACTGCATCTGAAGGGAAAATCCAATTACTTCAGCCTTCATGTAAAACAATGAATGTCTTACTCACTGATATTTCCTTTTTGTTGTGTAGAAATCATGGAAACAAAACAGACTTTCAATTTCTCTGTGTTTACCTCAACAAGGATAATCAAGTGTAATCATGAATTATGGACTCACGGTCTTTAAACATTCTTTAAAAAAAGAAGAAGAAAGAAATCAGTACAGGGAAGTAAATATAGACTTTATGAATTTACTGATGAGGTACATATTTTCCTGTCTTCCAGGAAAAGTTCGAACTCCTGGCTGAGCACCGGCTGGTTCACCATGGCCATCGCCCTGGAGCTGTGTGATCGGATCAACGTTTATGGCATGGTGCCTCCTGATTATTGCAGGTAAAGACACTTTTTTTTTAAGATTGAGAATTTAGTAGTATTAATACACCAGTATTGATATGTGTGCCTTTCCTGGTCCAAAGAGAGCATCTGAAATGTGTGCTTAGGTTAAGGAACAAAACTTTTTACTTTATCTTAAACATCAACTTTTAGCCAAATGTCATGAGCTGGTGACAGCACAGGAGTAATCCAGTGAATTTATACCACTGACTGTTAGAGTGCATGTCTCCACCTCCTCCCATGATACATTAAAGATGCCAAAACTCATACTGTGGTTTTAACCAATCTGCACAGTAGGGATCATCTCTTGAAGCTCACCTATTAACAGCAAACATCCTTAAAATAACTACAGACCACAAAGTAACAGCTATCACTTTACTCATCAATCTTTATCGTACCGATATGACAAAATAAAAATAAAGACAATGAGAGAAAAATACATGATGATGATAATTGCTGTGATAGTAAAGAAAATTTATCTACAATACACATACAACGCCCTATTAAAAAATAGACATTATCAAAAAAAAGATGGATATCTAAATATAATAAAACATGTTTATTTACATTGTCAAGTTTAAAGAAAACAGGAGGTTTTATGAGAGATGCAGGTTTTGTATGAATTCGAGGAAAGGAGACTGGGTCACAGTAAATCTTTTATTACCTTTGGCTCTGCTGTATCTCAGTTTTTCTCGCTGGAGCATAGAGAGCATTTCCTAAATCCAGCTGTTAGATGAGGGAAGATTTATCTGACCTCCACTGCAGAAAAATAAGTCTTAGAGACATTAGTACGGCAAAAGTATCAGCCCTTGATGGTGATCTAGGAATACAAACCCGTGAAAGTTTGAATGCACTCTAAGTGAAGTTACCAAAACTCCCTGGAGAATTCAATGTTTACGTCCAGTTTTCATGTCAATTTTGTTTTTTCCTAGCACCTTGAGTCATGGTGTAGATTCTAGAAATATCACCTGTTCTGTGAGGATTTCAGGTCAGTTTATCATTAACAATATTCTTGGTCAGTGAATATCGGAGGCTAAAGTGTCTACTAACAGCCTCTGGTTTGCAGAAATCCAAAAAAGTGAGTTTTAGGCACACTGTACTTTGTTTTTTAGTGTTGAACCACAGGACCGGAGGATATGGACCTGTTAATGTTGTAGAACTAAACAATGAAACAAGACAGACTGAAAAATTGTTCATCGATTCCATACCAGCCCAGACCCTGATTATTCCCAAAATAGATATCTAGTGTTTTACTTTACTTAAACATTTTTATTTATGTCCCAACTTTTAAGAGGAAGGAGGTTTATGTACTATGAGGGAGCTCTTAATGGTTTGGTTTCACTGTCAGGAATGTGTCAATTTGTCCATCTCTTTATTTGATTTATTCTTGATGTGTCAGCTTATTCACCCATCTATACACACTTGCACAGATTCACAGTTTCAACTGTGAACACTTTGTTAACGGAAGATGAAAGGTACACACACTTTTGCTCTCCTCCGAGTCTCAATGAAAGTCAGTCTCAAAAACTACTCCAGTAGTCTCGTCAGTTTGGTTGTGACTTCATCCTTAGCTTTGCTACTCCAAGCTCAAACCTGCGATGTCTGACTGACTGAACCAAAACACTGATGTTGTCACCTTGAACCAACATAGTGAGCTGACGGACACTATAATATTCTGTGTAGCAGAGGTGTGCTGATGAGCTGACTTTATTAATAATGAAGTGAGGGTTGTTTTTCAAGTGAAGGCTGGTTTTAACCCAGTTCCCGCAGTCTATGAAGTGTTCTTGTGTAAGACACTTAACCCCAAATAGTTCCTGGTTGTATAGCCAGCAACACATGTCTGACTGATGGAACATGTGAGTCAGGTTAGCTACTTTGTATGGGCCCTTTACAAAGCATCCTCTGCCATCAGTGTATAAGTGTGTTTGTGCATGTGTTATTCAGGCATGAAGTGAAAAACACATTTTTAGAGCTCAAAAGACTGAGAACATGCTACATCAGTTTTGCACATTTAATATTCAAAGATAACAAGTGTTGTATCCATGACAATGTAAAAGAAATAATGAATAAATAAATAAATAAATAAGTTAAAATTCTAAAACTATGCTTGAATGCTAAAAAAAGTCTAATAAAATATGTAGTAATATTAATACACATTTTAAATTATAAATGAAAACATTTTAAAATAACTTTTTTTTACTAATCCTAGCTTTCAATTTATGCAGAAAAAAGAGACATAAATCATCTCAACAGAAGAATTAAGTTCATTTTTTGGTATTTTTTAGTTTCCTAGCAACATAAATGATTCAGACCATCTGTATGTCAACAATAATGTGTCCTTGACTCTCTGGTCAAATATGCAGGTGTGTGACTTTTATCTGAAGGAATCACAAGTTTATACAAAATGAAAAATGAAAAGCTCACTCAGACTTTCAGTTATATTCACAATATATTTATAGTACCTTTGTTGAAAGCAAATTGCTCAAAAGTAAGAGAATACATGGGGTTTTGTTTTAAAATGCCTAAATATTCACTTCAGGGGGGAAACAGCAGGAACGCCCTTTATAACATATAACACTCATTTATTCAACACACATTAAATGCCACATCCTCATATGTTTCATATGTTAAATTATACATCCAAGACAAGTTGTCATTGAAACTCCTCATCCTCAAGACTCTTAGATGTTCCCTTTGAGCTTATAGATGATATATGCTGTCTTCTGTTAGCGTGTCAGTTGACTATGGTTTTATAGCACTCTTTCATAACTTCTCACCACTCAAAGCGCTTTAAACACCGATTGCATGTCACATCTTACCCGGGATTTCCACCGCATCTGGAACGGCTCCAATCTGGAACCGCGGCGATTTTCGCCACACACCAATTCCCACTGGATCCGTTTGTGAGACGAATTTCGTGGCAGATTACAGACGGTGGTAATCGCGCGAACTCACAAGAACCGACGGATTCACGCGCAATCGCACAATAACGAGTTGTCTCTTAGCCACAGAGGCTAACCATATAAGCAGTAGATTGTGTCCTTCCAGAGGAGGAAATCTACTTCTAGACTTATAAAATCAGCATCTCCTCATCCATGGTGTCATTGGGGTGAAATGCTGTTTAAAAACTTTTCACATGTTCGTCTCCGCCCGTTTGCACGGCGTGAAATACGATCTGCCTGAATCATGTGGCTGTTTTATTTTGTGTCTGTGCCCGACACTCTGTGCTAAATTTATGCGGTGTGCTCCGGTGTCCGGAAAAAATAGAACTCTTGCGATCAGCTGACACCTTAACTTGAATGGTTACGGTCAGCTACGATTGACAGATACGGCCTTTTCGTAGCCATTTCGGATGCGGTGGAAATTGCCCGTTACTCATACACTGATTGCGGAGGCTGATATGTAAAGCATCACTCATACACCAGCCAGTAGGGGCAGGTTGAGGTCAAGTGTCTTGCCCAGGGCATGTGGACCTCGACCTTCTGATTGAGTGATGACTGATTCTACCGCTAAGCCGCCCCCAGCTCTGCTCTTTGATTTACTGCATGCTGATAACATGGACGTGTTTCTACATCAAAATCTTGTCTGGTGTATCTTTATAGATAACTTCTTCTTGCTTTACTCCCTGCTGTGACATCCTCAGGAATCTGAAATTGCCATGCATTCAGGCTGGTGAATGACTTTGATTTTAGCACCAGTGAAAACATTTTACATTAAAATATAACAAATTCCACAAATAAGGTTGAAAATATATGTACGCCTGTATAAATGCATGAATAACAGAGGGATAATTTCGGTTACATTGTTCTCACATGAATCCACAAGTATGCAAATGACAGTTTGTCACGTTTGGATATTCACAGTGAAAAGCAGTGCAGATTGAAGTGACTCTCATGTGGCTGAACCTTCAGCTCTGTGGGACTGAGAGCATCAGAGGATTAAGATGGTGTAGAATGAACTCATCTGCGAGCCCATATTCTTCTGATCATCCTGTTTTCCTTTGTTCCGTCTCCATTTTCCTCCCTACTGTGCCTCTGCTTCTTCTTCCCTCTCCCCCACACTCATCCCATAATTATCCTCTCTATCTCCACATCCCTCCCTCTCACTTTGACTTTCCTGATTTTTTTACTCCTCTCTCCTCTACGGCTCCTTTGTAGATCCTTCTCACATCCTTCCGTGCCGTATCATTACTACGAACCCTCAGGGCCCAATGAGTGCACCATGTACCTCTCCCATGAGAGGAGCCGGCGAGGGAGCCACCACCGCTTCATCACGGAGAAAACAGTGTTTGCAAACTGGGCTCGAACCTCCAACATCCACTTTTACCAGCCGGACTGGAAGCCCGGAAACCTGACTGCTGTCATCCCCGGCATGAACAGCTCGTCCACTCCTGTTCCTGCTGGATCCTGAGATTTGACTCCAGAGACCATCAACTCCAGTGGTGTAGAATATGTGCGTGGACGTTTTCCAGCACGCAGATTCTCGCTCTGGCTGACATGAACGCATGAGACAGCAGTAAGACAGAACAAGCCTCTGTTGTGGCTCTTAGCCGGCCGCCTAAGCAGCTTGGCAGAATGGGATCATTGCATAAAAGCAGCACAAAGCCTCAGCGATGTTTTGGAAGTGTAGCTGTAATAGGATGAATTTCGTACTGGAATCAAAGCCACAGAAGTTGGCTCAGTTTTCTTTTTTTTTACTCTAAAGAGCTGCTTTAATAACACTTGAGCTTTAAGAGAGGGGACAGACACTGAGACAGAACAACCCTGCAATAAATGCAGACTGAATCCTAATGTGTTTAAACTGATTCAGATTGACTGGAGATACTGACGTCAGATGATCTGAGAAGACCCTTTTTTTCACCTACGTCTGACACTGATTGACCAAGTATTTGTTTAAGATAAATAAGATGTTTTATGAGGCCCAACATTACATTTTCTAACCATTATATTTAAACATCTTCTTTCAATGATATAGTTTTTACTGTACAGACAATTCTGTCATTACATAGAGAAATTGATGCAGTTGTGACATAAAGACAATTCAGATTCAGATTCAGACAACTTTATTTATCCCCTCAGGGCAATTCTGTTCGCAGTTACCCTGCCGTTTGATCCATACAAACACACAAATCAGCAGACAAACAAACCAGACAAGTGCAAGACGTTAATAGCGGCGACAACCCCATTCCCTTGTCAGTACTCACAGATCAGCTGGATCAGCAATAAATAGCTAAATAAGTACAAAAGCTGTCAAGTTCCACAGCGCAATGGTTAAAATACAATAAGATCCACAGTATGAGACACAAGATAAAAAATAAAACAAATAAAACACTCCTAAAGCTCCAGTTCAGCACAGGCCACATATGACCATCAGCCTACTTTCCGGCATTTAAAAGCCTGATGGCTGAGGGGATAAAAGAGTTTGAGTATCTGTTCGTTTTCCTTGGGGGTGCATAGTAGTGCCACCTAGAAGGCATAAAAAGAAAATCAGAGAACAGAATATGTCCATACACTGCTTGTATAGATAATAGAACAAACCAATCTTATATCTGTCATTGAAATCACAAACATAAAAGAGTTTTAGTGAATAAAAGGACTAAATAAAACAGTTATTTACAGTTGTTTACTGGTATAAATGTACATATGTTGTTGTGTATTTATTTATTCATGACAAAGTTTATGGGGAGGAGAGTTTTTTCATTGCACAAACTAAGGGGTACTAGATTTTGTTTACAATCCAGAGCTAACAATGAACCAAATTTGCTGTTTAAATGATATGAAGTGGTGGTGTGCTTTTGCAATAAAAGGATTCTGACTCTGATGATTTACCTAGATAACTCGAACAACATATTTCTCTGCAACAAACGAGGCAGAAATGAACATCTCCCAAATTTTTCTAAGTACTAGTTTTCTCATACTGAGCTGGATGTGCAGCTCATCACACTTGTTAGCTTGTAAACTTGTCTTTCTCACATGAAAAAGAAAATGTAAATAACGGTGTTTTGAAAATTTGCCTTATGCTTGGAGAAGAAATGTGTATTGTCAGAAGTCTCTCTGCCCAAACAAAAATTGCTGAATCTATTGTTTATCTCAGATCGACCCACCAAGAATATTTTAATCTTTCATTTTGTTCAGGAAACGTGACTGAATTTTTGAGTTTTAGTAAAAGTTTATTTTTGTCTTTGTCTCAAAAACCTGTAAAGATCAACTTATTCTTTCATTTTTTTTAAGAGCAAAGAGAAAAGAAACTAAAAAATGATAATGTTCTTCATATTAATTGGTGAATTAATCATCCTATCATTTCGGCACTTGTTCTGTTGGAAGATATATGAGAACACTTAACGTGCAGCGATGATTTAAAGAGCTGCAGGACCTGGACATATGGTCCACTGCTGCTGCTGATGACTGTTGATGTGTAATGTGGGACAGATGGCAGCAGAGATTTAATTTTCTGCTGTAAAAGTTGCACGATCTTGAAATAATTTTTTGGCTTAAAAATGTAATTACAGACAAAACGAGATTAAAGGACCGAAGCTTTTCTGTAGCCTGATTATATTCTTTGAACAGCTCTGAGTCCAACCCTGCGGGAAATCAAAAGAACAGAAAATGAGAAATTGGACTGAAAGACTGCAGTCCTTTGGTCATTTGGACGACTTGCATGATCCACATAATTGTTAATAAAGCCCTGGCTGTAGTCCGACCCAGTGATAATGTATGAAATCAGAAAAGTCAACTCTAAAACTCCTTTTTCAACTTTTGAAATGTAAAAGGGTGCTTCAGGTTTTTGCAATTTCACCCAATTTCATTGTGCATTTTTTAAGACGAGTTAAGGAATATCAAGATTAGCTGGGAACATTTGTGAGATACTCTTTTCCTCCCTCACTCCCCAACAGATGGCCCTCAGAAAAGCCCATGTGTCTGGTACTTGAGGCCATGATTTGTCCTCTCATAGAAGCCAAATGCAATTAAAGCCAGAACCAGCATTTAAAGGCATTCTCAGCTAGTCAACCACCATAATACTTATACAAATGATTACATCAAAGTGTCCTAAGAGGCCTTTTCAATCATGACCCGCAGACTTAAGTATCAGCCTCTTCAGCATACAGAGGAGAGCTGGTTGTAAGCAAGGGATTAGACTGTGCTATCCAAGCGTATCTCCAGGGCGATGGAAGCAGCACGACTTCTGCAGAATAAAGGATGTGTCGTCCTGTGAAAAAGAAACTGACTTCTGCCTGTTCCCTGTGTTCAGTTTGATTTTACTGCAAGCGTCTGTACTCCGGTTGAATGTTAATGTTGGACTGCTCTCAGGTGCACTGAGAAGCCCGAGCCGTGCTGGATGTCATGCTAAGTGCACTGGCTGCTCCTGAGATCTGCGCTGTGTGCCCTGCAAACCAATTACTGCGGCTTCAGGTAGAAAGGTGGGATTTTAAAGGCTTCAAAGGACAAGCTGGCAGCAAATGAGCCTGCTGTGGCTGTTTGAAACAAGCCAGAGGGGGCACTGTGATTCCCATTGACCTTGAAAAGTCGAGGACATAAACACTGATACTGAGGTGCTTGGAGACTGAAAGCCGTTTCATAGACTTTAGGTAAAACTGAGCTTTGTGGGCTCCTGATGCGCAATGAGAATTTCTAAATTTGAGTGGGACTGCAAGACATAAATTATTCAAAACCTAAATAAAGGGCTCAACATTTTAGAGTGGGTCTGTTCCCATAATCCTCTAAAGAATTATCACGCTAGTTTTTGAGGTGCAGGTTAACTTCAAACTCTTCTCGTTTTGCAGATTTGATTTCCAATTCAAAGTGTAATCTGCAGTAAGGTGTCTAGATTTTAGTTTGGGGAATGATCATGGTGGTGGCATTGACCAATCAGGCAGAATTTAGAGCAAAAGTAGGAGGGAACTGCTGTAATGACATCCAAGTCTCTGTCTGACAACAATGTATTTCTATCTATTGAAAGATCACTGCATGCAAGTGCTACTATCAATCTGTACTTGATCAAAAATTTCAACTGCAGCAACAAATATGATTGTTGTGAAACTCAAACAGTGTTTTTATTCCCCAACTGCCTGAAATGCATCAAAAGTGTTTTCACATCTGTTCAACAATCAAGTATTATAACACTTTCTTCCCACCATCTGGGAAACAGACCCAGAAAAGGCTTGCATTTTAATTTTACATGATAACTGCAAGTAAATCACAAGAACATTGATTTCTTTTTCAGATCTATAGGGGAGACCGGGGCTTGTTGTCACACTTTTTACACTCTTGTATATTTCTTGAAATCAATACATCATATATAAACAAAATGTGTACCAGATGAAAGACCAAAGTCTCAGGTATTTATTTTGTATTCATGTCATTGTCGTATCTTGTGTCAGTGCAGAGTTAAAAGCAATCAAACAGAGAGTGTGAACATGTGACATGTTGTCCCATCATCGGGTAAGTTGTTTCACTACATGGGGTAAGATGTCACAGTGGATTTTTCAGCTAATGAAACAAAGACAAAATTATTGTTGTTCTCATTTTTTTACTTGAAAGTGAACATCAAAGTCAAACAGAAAATGTTTATCATTGAGCTAGAAAAAGTCATTGAACAAACGTTTACATAAACTATTACGCAACATGCTCTGGAGTTTGAAGAGCTGTCTGAGTCTGTATTTCAGCTGGGGTGAATGTTTTGCAGTACTGAGCCAAGGTATGGTAGTTGATGTTAAAGTCCTTTATTAAACTCCAGATTGATTTATTAGCTAAGGTCACCTGCCTGACTGCCCTCAACATCACATCAGGAACTGCACTGCCAAGTTCAGTTTTTCTTCTGTAAATCCTGACCAAGTCTTCTTGCTTTCTCCGCTCCTTTAAACCACTCTTTTCTCTGTAAAAATAAAGTCAAAATTTCTGTATGACAACTGCTGATAAGCAGACTCTCTATGTTAATTTTAATCCCTTTTAAACATGTGACAACTAACCCCAAAATGACTGAGACATGTTTCCCCAAACTACCATGTTTGTTAATTCTAGATCTATCTTAAAGTTAGCTTAAAACAGAACAACGACTGAGCTATGACAGGTAGACTTAATCTCTCCTCTAACAAGTCCACATGTTTCACTGCTAGGATTTTTATCTGAAAGAAGCTTAATTCAAAATATACCAAGTTAATTTTTTTTTACTTTGGGTTGTGCAAAATGGTTAATTGGCACTCATCTCAGCTCATAATGTGCTCTTCTCTTCTCAGACAGGACACGACCCCTGACCATGTAAAGGAAGAAAACTAGTTTTCCACTTTTTAGTTGCGCCCTCTGGTGGCAAAGATGATTGCAATGTGACAACTTACCCATGTGACAACAAGCCCTGGTCTCCCCTACGACTGAGGTAAGGGTGAGACTCCTCAGAAACAGATAGATGAGGGGATGTAATGAAATAAGAGATGACAGGGTTTCTTTACTTTCTTTGCGTTTGATCTGAATTTACAAGCACTTTTAAAGTTGATGATTGTACTGCTGATGTCACAGGACACAGAAAAAGAAGTCATGGCTGGAAGTCTTTTGCTGTGGCTGCTGGCTACACCTAAATGCCCAAAAGTTGGCTACTATCTTTGGAGGCACATCTTAATGTCGGAGAGTATGAGTCACAAGAAAAGAAAAGTTAAGCAGATAGGAAGATTTGGAAAATGTGTAGAACATAACTGGGCATTATTGAGTGCACCAAATTGACTTTTTCAGTCCATCTGAAATCAAAATACACAGACATGTTTACAATTTCTGAATTTTACTCTGAATTTTGATCACTAAATCCTGTTTGGTGATTTGATAACTGAGAGCTAACAATGTGTAGCCTCCTCATAAAAGCACTAAACATCTTATATTATCCATCCACAGCGCTCCACTGCAAGCCCTACAATAACAGCACAAACATTATTGACTGACTCCAATGCAGCACAAATGCACCTCATACCGTCAGGAATCACTTTGACTTGAACCCAAAGATGTTCACTGGTGTTGCGGCTGATTGTTCTGAGTTACATTTCTTTGGAGAGCAGATCTTAGCTTCACCTCCGCTTCTCACTTATCATTGGCAACATCACAGTCTTACACTGGAGTCTTTCCTGAATGTGTTTGGCTGTAACACCTCTGTAAATAGAGCATCAGGATAAACTCACACTTTCGTTTTGCTCTCACGCTGTAACCACACACCAGCTGTTCAGAAGCAGAGCATCTCAAACAACCTGATTTACAGATACGTCCTGTTCATCACAGCAAGATTCAGTCCTTTTAGAGCATGAACAGCAAGTCTGAAAAAAAAAATTCTGTCAGCCACTTGAGGCAAAGTGTCTTAGAAGGAGAAGCCATGAATCGGTTTTCTCCGATATCCCCAATTTACCCCTCAAGTCTTTTTCATTAGCTGGTGTCCAATAAATCAGCTGGTTAAACTGATCTTTGTTGTGCTGTTGTTTCATGTATCTGCACTGACACCTGGTGGCTAAATGTGTCAGTGCAATTAAAAAAATAAACATGTTTTTAAAAACTAAAGCTTTTTTTAATAAAGATTTTTATATGTACCATAGACGTATCATTAAATGTGTTACATGATGTCTTTTGAGATAACTAATCTGAATGAAGTTTAATGTAAAATAAGACAACAAATAAAAGTGACATCAGAGTAAAAAATATTATACAATTTAAAACCAATAAATGGAGTAGTGCTTTAAATGCTGTGCAAGATGGCTTAATTTTGGATATCAAAAACAAGATGATGATAGTACAATAGCAAAGTGTTGATTAAAGCTACAGTCACTGAATCGCAGTCTATTAAATGCTACGATTTTGAGTAACCATCGAAGTGAAGTGATATTAACATACAAGTAAAGTTTCTGAAGCAGAGTTTTGATGTCTATTGGGTCTATTGTCAACTCGACTTACTTTCAGTGACCTAACAAGAGGCAAAGAGGGGGAGTTAAGCGGCCTTTTCGCCTCCTCCTTGCAAACACCTGCAGTACATTCACTTGTCAGTCCACCTTATCATGCAAAACCTAAAGCCTTATATTCTTCAAAAGTAATGAGTTATAAATAAATAACTGTTCAGTGTACCAGGAAATAGCAGTGAGTGATGCAGATAAAAATGTTTTTTGAACCAGGCTGCAAACATGATCATTTTTGCTGATGGCCTTTATTAAATAGGCGTGTTGGTGTCTCCTTGGGAACTAACCTTAAGTGGACACTTGGGGAATTCCATTTAAAAGCTCTTGTGAGGATTTTTTCTATGTTGATGAAAAGGCTGAATATCACATAAATGCTTTTCAATCATGTCCAAAAAGGAAACAAAATCATGGGCAACATGATTGTAAAACTGATGAAATAAATTAAAGGTTACATTCAGCTCCTGTTTTGACTGTAAACATACATTTGAAATCTTCTCACAGAGACCAACAGCGCCGCAGAGTAGTTCCTCCCCTTCGTCACGGCTGCTTTGTTTGCTGCATGCCGTTCAGGTTTGCTCTGTGTGCAAAGCTGTCAGAAATGTTTTCACTGCTCATCCATAAGTTGATGTAAGACTGCGCCTCGACTTCATGATGACTGTGTACTGTAAGGTGTTTCTATGGTGCTCCTCACTTAGCACAGCTGTGTGTGTGTGTGTGTGTGTGTGTGTGTGTGTGTGTGTGTGTGTGTGTGTGTGTGTGTGTGTGTGTGTGTGTGTGTGTGTGTGTGTCTCCTGCTGGATCAGCATGTTTGTTTTTCTGGGAGGGACATTGTGCTCACTGTGATCACTGAACTGACTGTCCTGCTGGCAGAGTCATCCTGCTCACTGCTCAGTGTTGATCAATCAACACTTACTTATACAGAAGTGGCGCATTATTTTTAACTTGATTTTAATGAAGGTGAAGTGAAACTGACTAGTTAGGGTTTTATGTTAGGGGTATTTCTTTGGTCACAGGCGTAAACCTGGTAATCATTTCCAACTACCATGGGAACATTTTGAATCCAATGTTGACTTTTTCAGCTGGGGTGTCACCTGTTTTATCCAGACTGAAATTAAACTGTAATTAAGGCTCAGTGGTGAGTTATTTCAGCATACTTATGGTGTGGAACATCCTCTACTCCAAAAGCCTGCTCACATCGATCCAGTAGTACTGTAGCACCAGCTCCTGTGCAGTAATCCTTTCAATGTTGAAACAGCATTTATTAATTTTTATTATCTGCTTCTGGTTCATTCATGCCGACATCATGTGCTCTGTATACCCCGTCACCATCCAATAGTTGCACCTTATCTGCTTTATCAGCGTCATTATTTTGCTGCCCTCAGCAGGATTTATCCACCACAGCATCTGCTTTCCAGTGAGTGGGTGTTCACTGTTTATCTCTGTTGCCAAGGGGAGACACCTTTTCGGTTAAAAGCTCCCTGTTTTCCAGTGATTTTTAAGAATTAAAAAAGTAATAAAATGAATCTTTGTTGTCTCTTAAATGTTTTATGAATTGTTAAATTGAATGTCCTAGATTTGATAATTCAAAGTATCTACGGTTTCCATGTAATAGATCCCATAAACTTCAGTGATCTGTTTTATTTTCATTTTATTTTTCGGCCTTTTTCTGATTTTTGTTTTTGTAATTTGACTATATGAATATGGACAACACATTTTAATTTTTTCCCATATAAAAAAGTGAAGTCAAATCAAAACAGACATTTAAAATCAATAAAACAGCAAAGTGTCGGTTACTTTTTCACTTGCTTTTCCTTCTTTAGTCTGCTGATCCAATTGAACACTGCAGGAGCCCTCATTTATCCACAGAGCTATCAATCATAAATCAATATCCCCTCTTTTTGCACATTTAGCTCATTCAAGTGACCCCTCTTTTCAGAATAAACACAAATAAACCAGCACCACAAGAACTCACTGTCATGACAGAGAGCATGTTTGTCAAAACTGTATTTGACTCCCGTTTTAATTGATAAGTCAGACCCATGTTCCATCTGCTAAAATGGAGGAGGTCCGCTTTAAAGGGCCTCATTAAAGTGATACTAGGGAACTTTTGTTGTAAGGTGTGTAAAC